TTTTTTTTGGACTGCAATTCCCATGCATTTATCCCCCCCCCCCCCCCCCCCCTCTCTCTCTCTCTCTCCCCCCCTCTCCCTGTCCATTTTCTTTTTCCCCTCGCTCATCAGTTGTGGAAAAAAGAAAGGTTTCGGCAGCGGCGCAAGAACCTGTATGATATCTCGATATCGGCACAAACCTCTCCCCATATCTTAGATACTCGAGATATCATATCCAAAACCTCGTGCCGCAGGTGTTGAGGAGGTTTACATTTTTTGGAATTGACGTTTCCCGGAGAGGGGGTGGGAATGGGATTGGGAATCGCATTGATTTGGTTTTTGTGGTTTGTGAAACAGACGGGGTTGATTTGTATCTAGGGTTCAGAGGAGGAGGAGGAGGAGGAGGAGATGGAGAAAGTCTGACATCTTATGCACCTCCTCCAAATGCTTCTGTTATATATGTGGTCATCACTGTGCGAGATGAGGTCTCTCGCTTCGTACCTGCATACATACACTGTACCTGCATACACGTAGGTAATAGAAATATGTAAGGTAGCTTGCTCATCCAGTCCCCACGACACGTTTTGCAATGGCCGAATTTGGCTCGCTCCACAACAAAAGAAAGACATAGTCTTCCATTCAATGCTACGATGAATGTAATGCTACTATGGTATATTATTGAAGATGGGATGCGTCGTTTCCAAATGTGGAAAAAAGGCGAGCTGCATTGCAGCGTATCGAATCCAGTATCTCCCAGAATCGTCTTGAAGGCAAGCTATATGAGAACCAACGTCGAAGTCCGGTTCTGTTCTCTGTTCTTGGGACGACCAGGCTGTCACGTTTGCCTACCTACTCTTCCTCGCCAGTGGCTCCTTCAGCATCCTCTCCCTGAATGCCGCTCGTCTACCCGCAATTCTCAATTTCAACGATGTCGTCGGCGACAAAGCCACGGATGCAGGTTATATTGGCGAATTCTTCACCGAACATGGGTTCGATTTTATCCATGTGCAGGAAGATTTCAATTATCACGCTCATATTTATGCGACTGACAATTATACTGTGGGTGCCTTCTCTAAACAAGAGTATAAGGAGCGGTCATGGTACTGACGGTGATATCAGTACCGCACGGCGACGTCCGGAGATGTTGTTATGGGATTGAATACGTTCGCGAATTCTGCTTGGGCAGATGATTTCGCCAGAATTACGTGGTATCAGTGTGATCTCGATTCGAGGCCTGTCTTACTCCTCAAGGGTAGGCTCTGAGATAGAGTCTTCACCCGCTGAGGGTTCCTCAGCATCACCTACATGCAAGTGACCAATGAGGATACTGTCACCGTGGCCCTGTACAGTAAGTCGAAAAGTAGAAAATGTGCATCTGACTTGGCTCTCTACAGACCTTCACACCGATGTCGACGACGAAGAAGGGGACATCGAAGCCCGTGCTGCCGACATCCAATAGGTAGCCGACTATTATCGCGAGCAACTCAGCGAGCAACGCAGTCCTTGTTGCTAGCAATACGAACAGTCGCTATACCCGGGATGGCGACGATATCGGCGTGTTCAACACCGCAAACGGCCTGAAAGACGTCTGGATCGAGCTGGAAATGGGCGGCGTCCAGCCTGAAATTGAGGCGACGGCTCTGGTCTGCGAAGACAGGCCTTTACGATGGAGACGCGCGAGACGGTCGACAAGCACTTCTATCGCAGCGGCAATGGAGAGACGTTGAGCGCGACGAGCTTTGACTATGCCGGGGACCTGTTCTTGTAGCCGGACGGGAGTGTGCTGTCTGACCAGGATCCGATTCTGGTAAACTCCAGCTGGGAGTGTCAAGAGGAGAGGTCTTGGAGGGAGGGTTAGGCCTGTGAGGTGGTTGGAAGGGTCTGTAGTGAGTCTTGAGAGGTCGCAATAAGGCATCCCGGGAAGTAGGGAAGTACGGTAGCTGATGTCGCCTGGCGTGATGTTCAGCCCAAGCGGTAGAGTTCTGTAGAGCATCATCGATTTATCGATTTCGACTGGTAAACGTCGGCGAAGGAATCTTGGTGTACGTGCAGTGAGGAAGGGTGAATATGCGGGCGGATGCGGAGTGGGAATCGGTTCATGTGGTTGGACTGCAGATGGCCGCGAGTCAGGCTTCATTCAGTACGACCGGCCGACTTGAGGGATAGCGTCAAGTTGACTGTGAGGTGGTAGTGGGTGGCGTGGTCCGATGAATTGGGTTTACAAGGGCAAGGTGAGGTCAGCGTACGGTAGCAGGTACATGTAGTGTGTGATGCATGGCGCATAGCGCATAGCGCATAGCGCATAGCGTGTAGTCCGTTATTAGGTACATGTAGTGCCCCGTGGTGAGTCTGGTGAGTGGTGCTTATCTGCCCTGCAAGCTGACGGGCTGACGGGCTGCTTTAGAGTTGAACACCCGTATCGTATCGTATCGGCTCGGAAGCGCTTCCCCGTCGGCCTCCAGTGTCCAGTAGCGATTGCAGTCCAGGTCCAGTCCAGTACCGCGCAGCCAGTCAGTCTAGGGAGCCTGAGAGGGTTAGATCGCAGCACTTCTAGCGACAGCCTCCCGATCCCGCGAGAGCCTCCCACAGTCCCCGTCCTTCCCCTCCATACCACCTTCAGCACGACCACGACGATCCCGCCGAGACCGCGGCCGTTGGTCTCTCTGTCGAACGCGTGGAGCGGACGAGCGTTGACATGGACGACAGCTCGGCAGCAGGGCATACTTCAACTCCCCGTCAGGTCCCCGCTCCGGGTTTCACGTTCCACAGCAGTGCGGGACACGATTAAGAGCAGCGAGTGATTGGAAACGGCCGCCGTACCGGCAAGACCAGGTCGATATATTGCTCGCATCGCAACGCAGCGCATCGGGAAATGCCTCAGTCGTCTGCGCGCGAGTCATCCAGGCGATGCAGCACGTCGCGCTCCGAATCGCAACCCCACCAGCGCCGGGAGAAGGCCAGAAGCAGCCAGAGTTACGATCAGTACTACAGCCAGCACCAACACAGGACAAATGCCGGCGGAGGAGAAAGAGGAGGAGGAGGAGGAGGAGGTTTCTTCGGCGACGAAGCAGCGGACGCCCAGCTGCAGCGGCCACGCGTGAAGAGTCGGACTAGAAGTTCCCCCCTGGTCGCCGTAGCCCAGCAGCACACGCGCCTCCACGCCGGGCACGAGCTGTGGAGCCAGGAGTCGTCCGACCAGGTCCATGCTGCTGGAAAGCGAAGCGATGAGTCGCATCCCCAAACACCCTCTGCGACAAACACTTCTTCCCATGCCCGCCGCCCCGCCCCTCACCACGTCGATTCCGCTGCGCACCACGACGACGGGGCTGTCGGCGCCGCGGGAACAACGCGAGGGCCTTTCCCACAGCCCTCTGCCAGACCCGAGGTATGTACGAGCGCGATGCATCGTGGACTGACAGGCATCATCGGAGGTTATGGTCGGACCGTGCTGGAATACCTCACATGCTCGCTCCAAATCCACCGATTGCTACCCACAAAACAGTGTTACATTATTGACGCGCGTTTGTAGCTGCTCGAACCGCTGCCCGAGATCAATATCGCCATCATCGGCGCCCAAGGCGTTGGCAAGTCCACGTTCGTTCAGAAGGCTCTCGATCTCCCTGCACGCCCTCAGACGCACGCCGCCGAATGCACGATCCCGATCCATGGCACCTTCTACCTAGTCCGTTTGCTCGAGCTGCCGCTGGAAGATATTGATATAGACGACGATGAGACGATCAACTGGCCTGACAACATTGAGAATAAGATGCTACCGAGGGTGGATGGCGCATTAGCTCTATACGACGTGCAGGATAAGAGGAGCGTGGAAGACCTCCCTGGGATGCTAAGTGAGTGGTGCTCGCGTACGCCCGTATTGGTGGAGACGATGGGACAGTACTTACTAACAATGCGTCGCCAACAGATGCAGTCACGAAAGCTTCACTGCCTACATTTCTCGTCTCAACCAAGTGTGATACTCCAGCTCCAGAACGTGAAGTTGATCCTACCGTGGTCGAACAGAACGCGAAGCGAGCAATCAGCAGTATCACTACCCTCCAAACCTCCTATCTCAATCCGGGGAGCCACAAGCGTGGCATTTTCATGCTCTTGAGCACCATTGTCAACAGCCATCCGGACCAACGTTTTCGAAGCTCATCGGCGCACCGGCGCAGAGCTCAATCGACGGCCGTAAGGCCAGTGTCACCACGCCACCCTAGTCCCTTTGGACACAACCGCGCGAGTTCTGAGTGGACAGCGGGACGCCAGAAGGACCAGAGACACAGCCGACACGACTCTACCATCGCGGGCCACGGCTCACACGATCGTCTCCGTGTACCGCTAGAACACGAATCAATGCAAACCTCATTCCTACTCGAGGAATCTGCGAGCGCTTCGCCCGCATCCTCCCGCTCATCAATTAGCGGCGACGTGTGTCAAGTGCTGCCCGGAGCCAACTCAACCTCTTCAAGTCTTACGGAGAGCGGCGCAACCTTTAACGAACTGGTCGATCGACTACTATTGCAACCTGCGTCGAAGACAGATCTGAAATTCGCCGCGATTTTCCTCGCGTTATACAGAAATTTTGCGGCTCCTGGAAAGCTCTTGGAGGCCATCGTCGAGCGCTTTGACTTGCTCGAACGCAACGGGTGTCCACAGATCCTGAAGACACAGACCCAGTTGCGCTACGTGGGCATCGTCGAGCAGTGGGTGGGATGGTATCCGGGCGATTTTGCGTTCCCCCGGACCAGGCGGCGGCTACGGACGTTTGTCACGAAGCTTGCGGAGCTACGAATCTTTGCTCAGGCCGCGAAAGAAATCAACATCGATCTCGAGGCAGTACGCGAAGACGACGATACCAACTGGGCGTACTGCGATCGTGACCGGGAGGCGTCTGCAGACCATGCGCGAAGTTCGATGTCATCAACAGCGAGCACTCTGATCGATGACCCAATGTTTTCCATGGAGAAAGAGCTAAGTGGGACAACATTGAACGAGGAGGCACCGGAACACCTACCGAAATATGCGAATCAAATGATCGCTCACGTCGAGCACGCCCAAAAGCAGGCGCAATCATTGCAAGCCATCCCTCGAAATCCCATCACCAAAATACAATGGCGAACGCTGTATGAACAACCGGACGAGCTCATCGCTAGAGAGCTCACGAGAATGGACTGGATCATGTTCTCATCAATACGACCACGCGATCTCGTACGACACGTCTCGCTACCCAAAGATCAACGAGCATCGTGCAAGAATCTCGCCCATGTCAACCGCATGATTGAACACTTCAATCAACTAGCCAGCTGGGTAGGAAACTACGTTGTCCTTCGGGACAAGCCGAAGCACCGAGCCCTCATGCTGGAGAAGTTCATGCGTATTGCGCGCAAACTTCGAGATCTCAACAACTACAACGCCCTCGGGGCCATCATTGCTGGCGTGAAATCCACCGCCGTACACCGCCTGGTCGCAACTCGCGAACTACTCCCCCAAGCCATCGGACGAGACTGGATGAAACTCGAAATCCTCATGTCAGCTTCAAGATCCCACTTCGCATACCGACTCGCATGGGAGAACAGTTCCAGCGAGAGGATACCGTACTTACCTCTCCATCGAAGGGATCTGGCGACAGCCGAGGAAGGCAACAAGACATTCTTGGACCGTGAGGGAGAGCGGATCAATTGGAAGAAATTCGAAATCATGGGAGATGTGATTGTGGGGATGCAGAGGGCACAGGGGATGCCGTATAAGAGTCTGGGCGAGCCGAAGGGGAACGAGACGATTCGGGAATTGGTGTTGGACGTGAAGCTCATCAAGGACGAGGAGGTAAGTTTTGGTGACCCAACCTGACCTACGGGGTTTTCAACTTTTTGAGAGAAGAGGTGATATTGACTCGACTGTGTTTACAGGACTTGTATGACCGCAGCGTACAGTTGGAACCTGCTGCGGGCACGGCTAATGGGGCTTCGGCGAAGTTTAAGGAGTTCTTCAAGAGATAAATTTAAGGCTGAGAGAGTCGGACGGATCTCTGGAAAGAACAGCAGAGTACATTGGAACGCCGAGCGAGAGGGGAAAGATGAACCATGGAACGAAAGGGAAACGAGAAACGTGCTGCTGCTGTTGTTGTGGACGTCGTCGTCGTCGGCAAATCCATATATCCTATTTTGGGAGTAGTGAGAGCAAAGGGGGCCAAAAAGGAAGAGAAAAAAGCCCTCGGATATCTTGGGAAGGGGGTTTTCTAGAGAATGCCTTTATATTGATTCAGCCTCGCGGCACAAGAGATGGATGGGATGCGGGGGAATCCAAACGGATTTTTTTTGGATCGAATTGTTTTTGGAAAATTTTGGGTGGCTAGCTGTTGATATTTGTGAAGCGAAATCTTTGTGGCTGAAGGGATACTCGTGTGCTTAGTGTAGAGATTTGGATTGGATTGATATGGAAGGAATCTGGGTGTGAGATTGGAAAACTCTGCATGTGTGTCTTTTTGGTGTGGTCTTGTGCGGTTCCTCTCGTGAAGCTGATGAAGTTGATGGGGGGTGTGTGTGTCGGGGGGGGGGGGGGAAGCTAGCGGTTGAGGATGTGTCGTTTCCCGTATTGGCTTTGCAGCTCCCCGTTAAGTACTGTGTGGGATATCTGCTGTTTTAAGAATGGTGAAGCGGGCTGCTTCGGTATGGCGGATAGGGAGATACTGCTGTGTACGTACTCATGCTGATATGTGCCCCATTTCCTTTCCGAAATCCTATGGCGGGCCGAGTCTGCTAGGGACGTGGCCTTGTGTGCTCTTCTGCGCCCCTCGGCCCTCTCATGGGTATGTGCTGTGTAGGACATGCGATGTGGATAGTCTTAAGTAACTCGCTTCGGTTTCAATGTCTCCTCTCCGAGCTTTACTCCGAGGTAGGCACCTCAAGGGCTTCGCGATGTCAGCCGGAAGATTCGAATTGCTGCTGTTGGCTTACCTCAACTCGATTTGTCGTTGCATCCGCCGATCTGGCCGCCATGTTGCTGTGCTGGTGCGCTGAAAGTACAGTGTGCGGTATGTGATGTGTTTGCGCGAAGTTGGACCGCATAGACGATAGCATGTGATTGGCTTGGCGTCAAGGTTGCCACTTCACTCGTCCTTCGAAAGTCCACGTGCTCGAGACCCCTCTTTTAGAACACTGACTCTCCGGCTCTCTCAGCACTTCCGAACGGCTCGCAGGTACGGCTCCAGAGAGTATTTCCCATGGTCTAGAGTCTTCCAATCGGGCAACGCGCCTGCCCTGGCGCCCGTCGACCATGGTGCTTGTTAGGTTTCTTCATAGCAACGTTTGAATTTTTTTGGCAACACATATCTCTATCTCATCGCCTTTCATTTTCCGAACTTCATCTGACAGAGCTGGACGAACTCGCCCATTCCCTCTGCATGCTCCTCGTTCGCACTCTTTCGCATACTGCCAATGATCTCAGTAGCTTGCTTGTCACCCTTTTCCCGGTTCCATGGCAGGCGCAGTCTCTCCTCGGGAGGTACCTCGGTGAATAAGAGGCCGCCACGGCCACCTCCCGATCCGCCGCCACGACCACGTCCTCGCCCATGGCCTCGATCTTGAAGGCCACCTCGAGTATTTCCATGGTCGTCCGGATACCAGTTCTGCTTGTTCCACCGGGTGGAATCATCTGGTCCCGGTTCGAGGGTAAGTCCACATGCCAGCTGTAGCTGATGTTTTAGATTTGGAAATCTCTTGAGAAGTTGCTGGAAATCCTTGTCCTTTTCGAAGCCAGTGAAGTCTACCTTCGGTACTCGCTGCGTGGTGCCCGGCCGATCAACCTTAATTTGCTGGGAGCCGCTGGCTGTCGAGCTTGGAGGTGTGTCATTCTCGTGAGTAGTCTTGTGGGATTTGTAGCACGGGATGGAGCAACTTGGTCTTGTCAGTGAGCCTGGGCTGGGAGGTCGTGATCAGCAAGTACGCACTATCTCAGTTCACAAACAGGACATTTGTATTTCGATTCTGCTGTATCGCAGACGCCGCATAGTTGCACCATTGCTGCGGGATCATGTTTCTCATGCGATGTCTTCGGACTGCTTACAACTATGCAGGGCCTTGAGTTGGCGGAATCGGAGCTTTGAGTAGGTCCACGCTCAGGTCTGAGGTGGGTCAGCGAGCCGTCTTCCACGCCGTTGGTGAGTTCGCCAGACGGAGAGACTGTGTGCTGTGTGCTGTGTGCTGTGTGCTGTCTGGTGGATGTAGGATGCCAACCGGTGGATCTGTCCGGTCAAGAGTACATGTAGTCGTTCCCGCCAAGACTCGGGTCGGCTGGGATGGTGCAGGAAGGAAGGAAGGAAGGAAGGAAGGAAGGAAGGAAGGTGCGGCGTCACTCCCGAGACGACTTGCAACGACCATCGGCATCGACGGCTTCACTTCTTCAAACGCACTGCAAATACAGTCGACCATGGCGCCACCGAGATACCGAAGCTTACTAGACCTGGCCACGAGGCGATCACCGTGGAAATGCTCTGACTGCATGCGACTCCGTTCGATGCCGCAATGGCGCGGCCAGCCGGCTCGTACTCTGCAGACATCCCAAAGAACGAAACATACGGGTGGGGCAGCTCCAACCATGCAGCAGCTGCGAAAGCCTTTTGAAACCAAGAATCAGAATACACTGTATGCCGGATCCTCTGTAGGTTGATTGGCCTGCAACACGTCTAACAAGATCTCAGCTACTACGCCCTCTCCATCATTCTCGGAACTGTCGCCCTCAGCTACGGGAGCGTACCGTTGTACAAGACCATTTGCCAGCAGACAGGGTGGGGTGGACAGCCGATCAAGTCGTCTGCGCATTCAACCCCCGAGGGTGAAGACGTGGTCGCCGAAAAGCTCACCCCCGTGACGACCTCGAGACGCCTTCGAATCACATTTGCTGGATCAACATCAGATATCCTGCCTTGGAAGTTCACGCCGCAACAAAGAGAAGTCAGAGTGCTACCGGGAGAGACAGCTCTGGCATTCTATACCGCAACAAATCAGAGCAAAGACGAGGACATCATCGGGGTGGCCACATACAGTGTTACACCTGCTCAGGTCGCACCATATTTCAGCAAGATTCAGTGTTTCTGCTTTGAAGAGCAGAGATTGAACAAGGGCGAGACGGTGGATATGCCGGTATTTTTCTACATCGATCCGGATTTCCTAAAGGATCCCAATATGACGGGAATCGATACCATCACTTTGAACTACACATTTTTCAGTAAGCTCAATGAAGTTCAGTCTTGGATCCGCAAGTATGGAGAGCTTACAACATCATAGAAGCCAGATACGACAAGAATGGGCACCTTGCACCCATGCCGATGCCGTACTAAACCTATTGGAAAAGCTCACATATGCAACAGTGCCGCTGTCTTGTGATGGCGAGAGTGCATCATTGGAGAAATTGTCACATGAGACGGCGTACTGGATGCTCGTGAGAGCTCGGGCCAGACGAGTATTAGACTTGTCCTCTTCGACCAGAGTGTGCGCGAAAGCGCGCCGTCACGAGCAACGGTCCATGACGCAGGAGATTTAGCTATGTTGGGGAGACCCAAAGCTGCCAAAGCTGGCTCGTAATAATCGGAGAGCACGAGAATCCAAGTCAGGTACCTGCATTCAAATGCTCAGCTACCCCGCCGTCCGGAGTCCGAGGCCATTTTACACCGCCAGTCACTCGAGAATACGCAAACTCTTTCAGTTATCCTTGATCCCAACTCTTGTATCTGATAACTTCAACACATCAGCTGCGATGGCAGACAACAGCAAGCCTACCAACAATCAACTCTCGCTCGACCTTCTCGGGCCGACCGCATACTGGACGGGCCACAACGATAGTACTGGGAAGGCTATCGTGCACTCCAAACACCCCGTCGACTGGGTGAAATATGACGAAGACAAGCTCGCCATGTCCGTCGCCTACACCACCGCTTTCCCCGCCGACCTCAACAACGACGAAGACGTCAAGAAGCACGAACAAAAAATGAAATCCGGCAATCTTGGTCTGGTGTCCGGAGGTGGCACTGTCCTGAGGTACGTGGACTTTGCTCCGGGATATACTTGCATGATGCACCGGACGCAGTCGGTGGATTATGGTATTGTACTGGAGGGTCAGGTGGAGTCTGTCCTTGATTCGGGGGAGGTGCAGTTGATGAAGAGAGGGGATGTCATGGTTCAGAGGGCCACGATGCATGCTTGGCGGAATCCGAGCCAGACGGAATGGTGTCGGATGATTTTCTGCTTGCAGGACTGTAAGCCTCTGTATGTGGGCGGGCAGAGATTTGGAGAGGATCTGGGGACTGGTACTGAGGGAGTGCCGGCTTCTGGGAACGACGCTTGAGCTATGCCTCGGAGCGGACCGAAAAACACATGGTCCGGTGAGGAAAGTGATAGATACGAACAAACGGAAAGAGATGAGGAATGTGCTCATGATCCACAATGTCGCTGTTTCCACTGCTCCTTTTGAACACCGATTCTTACAAAATCCTCTCCGCGAAAGATCCTTCCATAGGCAACCGATCCGCATTATCCCTCGCCTCCTGCATCTTACTCCTCCTCTGCCTCTCCTGCTCAAAAGGCTTCCTCTCCAACCTCCTCCGCAACGCCACATTCTCCACCCCCAATTCCCTCCACTTCTTCGGCGGCTTCGTACCCATCTTCTCACTCATCTCCGCCCACTTCTTCACCCCCCTCTTCTCCCACCTCTTCGCCCTCTCCTCTATCTCCTCCGGCTTAGGTTTCCACTTCGACTTCAGAATCCGACGGATTGCGTCCGCGGAGATTTGGAAATGGTTGGAGAGGGTTTCGGTGGAATAGGTAGATGGATCGGAAGCGTGAAGGGCGCGGATGCCTTCTAGGGTGTCTGGGGAGACGCGCTTTCGGGGGCTCCAGCCTTGTTCGCCGAATTTGCGGGTGAGGGCTGCTTTTTGGACTTGCCAGGGTTCTTTTTTCAATCTCGAGGGTTGTGATTGTTGTTTTGTTGGGGGTGGTTGTTGTTGTGGTCCCTTGGGTGTCGTGGAGGGTTTCTTCTTGGCCGCTGCTGGTTTCGGTTCTGGTACGACAGCTTTGCCGGTCTTTTCCTTCTTGCTGGCCGGAGAAGCCGCGGACCTGTCCAGTTTGTTCTCGTCTTTGGAAGGGTCCGCTTCGCTTGTTTCTCTCACTTCTTCTGCTTCTCTTGCTCTTCGTTCCCTCTTCCGAGCGTTCTTCCCCTTCTCCTTCTTTCCACCAATATGCTCCTGTGGCCCTTCAATCTTGCTCCTTGCGCCTTCGTGCCAACTTTCCTCCTGAGGGCCATTCTCAGCTTCACGCGCCTGGTCTTGACATTGTTTCCCCAAATGGCGAGCCATGGCCAACTGCATGAATTTTCCGTCCTGTATCCTTCTCAGACGCCTCACATAACGACTTTCGGCTCTTGTCCTAGGCTCCGCTTGCACTGTAGGCTTTGTCGCTTGTTGTGGAGTTGCCTCCTCTGGAACAGTGACGGCCTGCGATTCTCGAGGAGCAAAGTGTTGCGATATGGCGGGAAGTTCCAGCACACGCACTCGTTGCAGAGCGCCTTCGCTTCCTGCATTCGCAGACAGACTCCGCAATGTCACTCTATCAACCGTGTCCTCTTCGTGTCGTGTTGCCAGAGCCTCGGGGTCCGTAATCTGAACCTCAGCATGCCATTCCTCGCTCTCTACTGTATTCTTTGCCTCCTGCGGAGTGTTATTCAGATCTCTCGGGGAGAGTGTCACGACACTCTCGTCCTTCTCTCCGCCCCTACCACCATCGAAGGGTATCCAGCCATCACTGTCGCCGGCAGCATCGCCTTTCGACGCATCTGTCTGTTGCCATAACGAAGCCCTTCGGCCAAAAGTCCTCGCTTGTTGAAAGAATTGTTGGGCGCGTTGCTGCCTGTGCAGATTGATTCCAGCAAAGTCTTTCACGAAGCTTTCCAAGGCCCTGGTTGCGCATGTGCAGCGAAACATCTCTCATGGGATATGTAATGTGTAGAGAGACAAAACACAATACTGAATGTCAAAGTTCCGCAACTTCGGGATTAGTCACACACTCACGTGAAAGAAGCTCGGACCACCTGATATTCAGGGTGTCAGGCACGACAGGAACCCCACAATCTTGGTCGTGACCGTTATCATACTCTTCGTACAGGATATCTTTTCCGTTAAGGATTTCTACGTGATACATCATCGTCGGGCGAGGGCTCGTTCCGATTGCGGTGAGCGTTCTACGCTCCAACGCGCACCGTCCCAGCGCCTGCGCCCATGCCGTTAGCAATCAGCAGCAAGCCTGCAGCTGCTTCACGCCGATCAGCCTCCTCCATTGTTATCCTTCTCTTTCGTGCAGCAGCGCCGCGCTCGGCATATCGACTCGAAGGGCCTTCATCCACAAAATCAATACCATGAATCATGAATGACATGCCGTCATGTCCCCTTTTCCATTCCCTGGACGTTACGTGATTTTGGTGCGTGGATGCATAGCTTTCGAGAGGTGGCAAGATGAGTATCGTGATATGGGCATCGTGGTCTTGGGGTACTTTGACGGGTTTGGGCGGAGGTGCTGTCAACGAGAGCGGCACGTCGTCTCCATTCTCAGCTTGCTTTGCTTCTTTCGTCTCGTCGTCTTTCAAGGACTTTTGCAACTCTTTCAAGTCATCATTGTGTTCGCCAAAATCGCCTTCCAGCCATCCGGAATGCACGGCTGCAGCGACGACGTCTGAATCATCCGTGTATATCTCTGAGCCCCATAGCTGGCGTCGCAGACATATTTCTTCGAAGCTGCAATTCTGACCTGCACCAGCCTGACTTGAGGTGAGATAGTATCTTGGTACGCGTATAGTGAATGTACAGTTCTCCTTGCCTTCGAAAAGGGGTATAGGTGTCATCTTGCTACTGAACTTGATTTTGGCATCGAGCGGCGTCTCTGCGGCTGAAGGCAGAGAAAGCTCAGTCGTGTACAGCTGCGAGCCAAGATGTTTTCGAGGTTTCGCCTTGACTTCGTCAAGCACTCGCTTACTGAGCACCGTTGTTGAGGGTCGGCGAGCGGGCGCTGCTGATCGAGGAGGATGGTGATGGTGATGACCAGGATGTGCGTGGTGATGGTGGTGATGATGCGCCGGATTGCCGGCCGTACCACTATGAGAGAGCGGGTTAGAGGGAAATCGCATCATGTTGAAAGGCCCGGCGGTGTTTTCATTAGCTTCGTGATGGTGATGGTGGTGGTGATGCGGATGAACATGATGATGATGGTGCGGTGCTGAGTGGCTGTTTGCTTTCGCTCGTTTCGTGCCACGTTGCTGGTCCGGAGTATTTCGGCCATTGTCGTTTGCATATTCTCCTTCTTCGCGTGGCCTTCGTCCATTCTTCCGTGCCCCTATTTTCGATGTAGACCTTCTTCCATCGAGCTCAACAACAGCAGACTGAACTAGATCGCCTCTCTCCAAATGCCTCGTGGGCGTCATCCTGGATGGAGTAGTAATTCCAATCGCAGGATGAGTTGGGTTGGGAGTAGCACTTCCTACTCCAGACCCAAGACCAGAAAACATGCGCCCAAACTCCATCTTGATTCCAGGGTTGTCCCCACCAGGCCCAATATGCCTGGGCTGTGCTCCTTGAACAGCTTGGGGAAGAGGGGAGTTTCGACCTCTGCGATTCAATTCCGGGCTTATTCCGAGCAAAGATCGATGAACAGATCCCTCGCTCTCTTTGCGTTGTTGTTCGCGCTGATGCTCCAGTCGATGATGTTCGTCCAATGTCATGGGCCGCTCCACAACTCCGTTGCGCATGCGTTCGTACGCGGGTAGTTCAGACGGAGGTGGTGACGGACGAGGATACTGACGCCGTATATCGTGACCCGTGCCTTCGATGGATTCTCTTGCCATCTCTGCCGTGGGGTGAGAGGTCGGCGCATACGAAGGCCTGAAGGAGGTCGCTTGCTCCTCCCGCAGAGGCGTTCCAAAGCTACCAGCCTGGTAGCGCATGGGAGGTTGCGCGCGCTCAACCTGGGGACTACCAAAAGTAGGCCGTTCTTGAGGATGAGAGGTCACCCCATTATGGAATGCAGCACGTTCTTGCCTGGGCAAAGGCTCGGCTCTTTGTGGAGGTGGCGGCTCTCCAAAATTTCGGAATGCGCTCGTTCGAAAGTCTGGTCGACTGTCATAAGGCGTGGGAATTTCGGTCCGGCTGGGCCCAGAAATGTCTACAGGCTGGCTATTTGGTCGCATTGGCGGTACTCCGTGTCCGTTCTGATGATGTACATGGTCGTGTGGAGGCATCTGGTAGGTGCGAAAGCCATGCGCAGGTTCTCTAGAAAACTGTGGAGAACCGAATATGCCGTCTCTACGAGGCTCTGACACTGTCCGCGGGGGCTCAGCGAAAATTCCCGGCCTTGGAGGGCTCGCACCCTTCATCATGTATCGATCGCTCCCCTCGCGCATGCTTGCTGATCGTGCTCTTGCAGGCGAAGGTGGTTGCATCGATTTGGACGTCGAGGACGGTGCGGCAATCGAGCTGTGAGGCGAACCGACGGGTTTACGCTCTTCGCCGCCGCCGAGTATCGATGATATCGACATACCGGCGCGGTGGTTGCTGAGTTCGCGCACGCCTGGGAAGGGAGATGTGGTGGGAGGACCTCGAGGAGCAGAGCCATGATGGAGCGACGATGAGGATGGGTTCTGCGGAGGAGATGGCGGAGGCATATTTCGAGCGGGAAAAGAGGGCGGTGGAGGATTAAGAGGGTCGAGAGGTCGGCCTGTGTTCTTTGATGAGCTGAGGCAGCTTTAGAAACTGTTTTGTTTCCACCTCACCTCCAAGGTACTGCGGTGGACTGCCAGAAGCACCCAATGAGCGCCGTCGCGCAGCATCATAGGGGGATGCCATGGCTAGACCGTTGGCCGGCGGGACATGGATAGAATGGCTGTGGAATGAGGGCTCGGCGGGCGGCGCAATATGAGACTGGTGAAGGTGCTGTGGGTGGTGTTGGGAGCTGGAAGCACCGCCGTTTCCTGAGCACGCAAAAGTTAGTTTAGGTTAAAGTTCAGGTGAGAGCTGGAGGAGCTGGAGTCGCCGGTCGAGCTCTCTGCGCTGCGGATCCCAGGGCGGGGCAGCGCGTGGTCGCCAGAACGTCGGCTTGGGAGCATGTGACAGAGCAATTTGCGCGGCGACGCTGACTGCTTGCAGCTCAAAAATGGTGGTCTGCTTGGCTGCCTCTCACAAGCATCGTGCATGTCCAGCGCATCGCTGTATCTGGCCCTGTCGACGATGATCCGTGCTCGGAATTTGATGTTATTCTTGCATCCAACTCCTGGCTTGCAGCAGGCCCTGGCAGCCATCTCGGGTGTGACTTTGTCCCACGTACCTTGATTCTGAGGCCATGCTCTTGACGTCGACGACGATAGTCCTAGACTGCTTCTCCTCCCGTCAGGCAGAAAAGGGTCTCTCGACGACTGGAATGGGTCTGAGAAGGGCATTTGGTATTGGGAGGCTGCGGGTGGTGGTGGGTAGATGGAGGAGGCATGGCTCGAAGGCGACGGGGCCGGCTGATTGGGAGCGTGATATTCGCGGTTCATCGTCGCCGCCTTGGTGGACCTCGCGAACTGCTGCTTGCGGTCAGGGCGACGGCAATCCCGACGCAGGTACGGATCATAGCGTTGGGAGAGAGGAGCGTGTCGGCGCGACCATAGCAGATGCAATGGCAAAAGCCGAACAGATTGAGAGGTGGAGTGTCAGTTGGTGGAGAGAGACGCGTGGTGAGAGGAAACGAAGTAGCTGGGCTGGCTTTCACGCTTCAGAACACAGGGCAAAGACAGGACGAGGCAAGGACAGGACCCGGTCGGGCAGGCACAGGCACACCACACGACCCACAGACCAACGACTTTTGCTCTTTTAGGGTTCGGGATCATCCCTGCTGATCCCGCCAAAAACTCCAAACTCTTAGCGCCAAATCTGCACCAGCCCCAAAACGTCGCCCACCTTCGTCTCACGTGCCCACCTTTTGTACAACCGCAACACCCGCTGCGATGCGATGCTTGGAATCGCGGCATGTTCCTCATGGCGCCGTCGACAACATGGCGTCTGCGGAGTGCCCGTCTGAAGGCCAAGCTTGAAGGCGCAAACTGGAGAGTCGTCGCGGCCTTTTGGCTCTTTGGTAGGTTTAATCTCCGCCAGAGTGTCGCTCATTCACCAACCGCTCACCGATGGCTGATAGGCTTGATCAACAACATCTTCTACGTCCTCATCCTAACTGCCGCCCTCGACCTGGTTGGGCCCTCGATACCGAAAGCGACTGTCCTCCTAGCGTCTATCGTACCTGGCCTTGCAACCAAGATAGTCACCCCATACATCATCCATCTGATACCTCACTCCCTCCGAACGATCATCTTCGCTGCGCTCTCAACATGTGGAATGCTCGCTGTAGCCCTCTCGCCCAACACGACGGACGCTCGCAGTATATCCAGCAAGATCGCCGGTATCGTGTTGGCAAACATTAGCTCTGGTGCGGGAGAAGTGAGCTGGCTCAGCTTGACACACTACTATGGACCGTTCAGCCTTGCAGCTTGGGGATCCGGAACGGGAGGAGCTGGCCTCATAGGAGCCGGGGCGTATACACTGGCCACGACAATCGTCGGTTTCAGTGTCCATGCCACGCTGATGTCCAGTTCCCTACTTTCCATCGTCCTGCTTGCCAGCTACTTCCTCTTGCTTCCATTGGGACCACTCAAAACTGCGAGCCGTGGCCGTGCCAACAACGATTCAGTTGATTGTCAAGATATCACCGCGGAAGGGACTGTGGAATCTGCTGGCCTGCTCGATCAGCCTGGTCCGAGAACCGTCTCACCGGTCTACAGGAACAAACGGAGCTTCATCATGAAAGCTTTGATCGACTTGAGAGCGAAGCTCACACGTGCGCGCTCTCTCGTAATGCCATACATGCTTCCGTTGTTCCTGGTGTATCTTGCTGAGTATACTATCAATCAAGGCGTAGCTCCAACCCTGCTTTTCCCACTTGGAGAGTCGCCGTTCAAACACTTTCGAGCATTCTACCCCACCTACGGTACCATCTATCAACTCGGTGTTTTCATCTCGCGATCGTCTCTACCATTCGTGAGAATCCGAAGCCTCTACCTCCCATCATTCCTCCAGGTGCTCAATCTGTTCGTGCTGGCCATGCACGCGATGTGGCCTTTCATACCGAATGTCTGGTTCGTGTTCGCAATCATCCTCTGGGAAGGTCTATTGGGTGGACTTGTGTATGTGTCGACATTTGCCGCGATCAGAGAAGAGGTCCCCAGGGAACATAGAGAGTTCAGTCTTGGCGCAACCACTGTTAGCGACAGTGGAGGCATTTTCGTGGCAGGCCTTTTGGGTGCGGGGTTGGAGACTGCTCTCTGTAACTGGCAGGTCAGTCATGGAAGGGATTGGTGCAAGCGTTTGTAGGCGGGCGAGGATCTCCAGAGGAGATTATTTACCAACACACACTACATCCGGGCTTGCATTTGGGGTTTCTCGACCAAGGTTTCCACGATACCAGCTGCGATTTCATCGACCCCCGGGAGTATGGCACGCATTCGACTCACCCCAGCTTACAAACGCTCAACAGAGCAGAGGCCGAGTGGTTCTAGACCTGAAAATGGCGTCTGTCGTCGCAATTAAGAAGAAGTCGCATGTATTCCAGGCGGCTGTGTTCAAAGCATGTATTCTCACCAAGGGAGAACAATACACTTTGGTCATCCCGGACAAGAAACTCTGCGACACAGTCGGAACAGAAGAATGAGCAGCTAGTCTGCCTTCAACATCTTGGAGGAGACTAAACATACCGAACAGATCAAGACCAAAGACACGATATCATGCGAGCAAGACGGGTCTGGTAAATCATCTAGCAATTGCACACAGCGAGAAAAATTCACCATACTGTGGCTTTCGCTGCTCGTCTTACCTCGTACAACAGAAGAGAGGAAGCCGGCATCTATTGCTAGTTGAATTAATAGACTGGGATGCATAACAAGATTGGATCTAGATGTAGTTTCTTCACTCGTGTATAATCAGATCTTGGTTCTGTAGATATACCGGCATTACATCACTCAACCTGAGATGGTAGGAGCGACCAAAGAAACCTGCCACAGCTGCCGTTGCTATGTTAACACTTGCGTCGTCTCGTGAAATCGTTGCAATTGCATCCGTCTGGAGGTGGCTCATCTAGTACCAGCCAGCCGACCTCTGCGACGCCACGCGCGGCGGCGTAGAGCGGCGAGACGGGATTCGATGATTGTCCGCCATCCACGATGAATCTCATGGCATGACCACCATCGTCGTTGTCGTCATCGTCGCCTCTAGAGAGCACATCTCGTAAGACAGAGTTGAGTCTCAAGTCCGAGGCGGATTCTCCGTATATCACAATGGTTTGGATGAAGGCCATCTCTTTGGCGTCTTCATCTTCTAAGACCGGAAGCTGTGTAATGTTTGTCAATGCGGCCCGTAGGCCTGCTGTGCAGTCGAGTTCGATATGATCGGGTGATGAACATGTGCGGTCCAGCGCTGCCCCGCCGAGTGTCTCGGAGTGAAAGGTGCGAAGGGTGCGATACAACGGCATGTCCTCGTGGATGAGCGTTGCCGTGAGCGCAGCGCGACTGTAGTCGATCGCCAACATCAATCGTGCCTCGTCCCAGTCATCCGTCGGAAAGTTGCGGCATTTTGCGGCCACTCCATACCCAACTGCGGCGTGAACCCCAGCGGGAAGGCGGGACAGGCTGGGCTCGAGGAGGGAGAGTGAAAGTGATGAGGCAGCCGCTTGGAGAGAGACGTGGAGCTGTGGTGATATGGATCGTGGAAGAGATATGCTGATGGTGTGGAGGCAGTCTACCATAACGAGATAGGACTCGACTGCTGTCTTGAGGGTGTGAAGCATGGGAGCGAAGGCTCGAGCGGTGTCGGTCAGATGTAGATCGCGGAACCATGATGGCGGAAGATGATTGCAGACTTCTCCAACAATGGGCTGTAACCAGGCAGGGAGCTGCTGTTGGATAAAGCCGTGTGACGACTGTAGGAACGGAAGGGCTTTGGTCTCGTTCGCCACTGTCGACATGAACGTTCGCATGGCTTGTCGATATTCCGCTCCGCCCTGCACCGTGGCGACATCGACGAAGGTGTGGTTCGAAAAATGGATGCTTGCTACAGCATAATCCAAGGAGAAGTCGAAGCCAACGCTGTGCTGTGGGCGGCCTACTCGCGCAAGGAGGGCATGATCGAAAGCCACAAATACAGTCAGGAGCAATGCGCTGCGCATCGTGGTCATGAGGTGTAAGTGTGCTCTAGTGGAAAGAGCAAAGGGAAGCTAGTTAGCGAACGAGGCACATGCTCAAGGAGTGAGCAGACCGGGTCAAGAGGCAATCTCCTCCTTCGAGATTTCCACTAATGACACGCTGCCAGTGTAGTAGGCGTCTTGCGATCGCCTTAGATGCATGTGGGCGCGTAATGAATGGAGTTGATGGGCTTCCATAAAAATACATCTTGCCTTGGTACATTGCAGCATTGACCACACTCTTTCGGCACCACTCACGACAGGCCAATAGCTAAGTATATGCAATCCTTCTCCTACCTCCCCAACCAGCGAGGGAATTACTTGAAACACCACCAAGCCTTTGCCGAATCTGTTGGAAGTAAATGGCGGAAATCCACTATTTGACGGCTCTGGTATTACTCGACAGGAAGGAGAGGATGGTCGGGAAGATACTGCGCTTGTTGCGTGCCCTAGTATCTGGCGTTTTGCGAACGTGCTGGATGAGGAAGGATATGCAGAGGTGGAATGGAAGTCTCAAAGTGGGAGTAATCAAAGATAATCCGATCTCGTGCTGTACGGAGGTGAAATTGTAGGATGAAGATTAGTCTTCAGGCAAGTTCTTTGTGGTGACATACCAGGTATGAATGGCTCGTCTATGCTACACTCCTCGCCGTCGTCTCTGGAATCCTATTCGCAGTAGAATCCAAACTCGGAGCGGGTATTTGCCGTCTCGGTCTCCTCAACTGCTGCTCCGTAACTCCATTTCCCAACTTCGTAATCCCCATGACAGGCGGATCTCCCTTCTTCACAAACTCGTACATTCCAGGCAATTTATTCCCCGCCAATCGAAACGCATCCTTAACCACCTGTTCATGAATCTCTCCTTTCAATTCAAACAAAATCCTGCTCACCGGAACCCTCGCGGTCCAATGATCAAAAGAACCCTTTCCTTTACCCATACGTTGGTCATTTCCAGAAGTATACACTCCGATATTGGCTGATACGCGATGATAGAGACGATATTTCAATCCACGGAGACGCTTTTTAATTGTTTCATCGGCGATTTTAAGTTGGGCGGCGGAGACGCGGCGGTCGTGGTCTTTTAGGCGGATACCGTATTCGCCCCACACGAGGGTCGTGCCTTTGATGCTACCGCCCGTGGGGACTTTGCAGCGGCCTTTGCGGGATTTGCTGGATTCTCCTGCTTTTGGGGCCAGCCAGTTGAGGGTTCTAGGGGTGGAGGTGAAGGTTCGTTGTTGGGAGGCGGATTGAACTTGGGAGCAGAGGGCTTTGAGGGCGGTGTTGAGGCCTGTAGCCAGTTAGCTGTGTTTCAGGTTACTGAGGAGGTGGATGACCATACAGCATGCTCTTGTGGTGAAGGAAGAGAGGAGGGACGTCGATGCGCCGGCCTTCACGTGTATCGCCGCCATTGTCGATTCCCGCTCAGACGACCTGAACACTACCAATGACTGGAATCTCAACTCTTCCTCCCCTCCAGCCGAGCGCGTCGCCGTTCTGAATCGATTCGAGGTTTGCTGTTGTTGATCGTGAAGCTGCAGAGTTGAAGTGGAAGTTGCGCTTGGACCAGCTCGGCCATCGGGAGTCGGGAGTTAACGCCGTCATACTTTCGCGCCTGAACGCGTCTGGAGGCAGCTTCGTGAAGGAGTTGTGGATGCCTTGAGAAACATCCTCCATATATCAGCCCAAACTTGTCTCAAACAGCTTTCACATGTAGCTGTGGCGCCTCACACCAACAACTCGGAACAATGCCATCGGATATCCGCTCCTTCTTCGGTGGCAAGCCTGCGGGCACTGCTGCCGAGAAGCCCAAGCCGGAGGAAGACAAGAGCAAGAAACGAGGACGAGCCAAGAAGATTGTTAGTGACGATGAAGATGATGAGCCTGCGCCAAAGAAATCTACACCAAAGCGAGCTGCCACAAAGAAGCCAGAGCCCGAACCAGAATTAGAAGAGACAAATGCAGAGGACTTCTTTGGCAAGGGAAAGCCCAAGCGGACTGAAGTCGTGAGAACGAAGAGTGCTGCCAAAGAGAAGAACGGAGAGACGCCGAAGAAGGCATCTGGGAAAACTAATGGCACCAAAGCAACACCCAAGGGCAGGAGCTCAGCACGTGCGAAGAAGAACACGAGCTATGTCGATCTAGATGCTGACGACTTTCCGGATGACAACTTCGAGGAAGATGCGGATGATGTATTCAAGAGCGGCGCAGCAGTTGGCAAGCGTGTGGGCGACGACTACAAGGAAGGCACTGAAGACGAGGATGACAAGCCGATGGTGCACACGAAGAGAGAAACTGGCAAGCAGAAGAAGCTGAAGAAAGACGATGACGACTTTGATCCAGATGGTGACGTGGACATGAAGGATACCAATGCTGATGATGACTTTGTTGTGCCGGATGATGACGAGGAAGTTGTGGAAGATAAGCCTGCGAAGAAGACACCCGCAAAAGCCAGCAAGAAGCGCAAATCTGCTGCGTTAGACGACGATCACGAGGATGATCTGGAAGTCGAGGAAGCAAAGCCTACGAAGAAGCGCGCTCCTCCGGCCAAGAAATCCACTCCTGCGAAGAAGGCGAAGAAGGACGAAGTCCAGGACAGTGCTGATATCAAAGCTATTTTTGATAGCATTCCTACTATCGATCCACCACCTCCGCCACCAAAGGCTGACGATGACGGAGAGAAGAAGAAATTCCAGTTCGGTCAACATGCCAACTCAGCCGTACCTGCAGGAGCTTTGGATGCTTCTGATATCCCACACGGGGCAGACAACTGCCTTGCTGGTCTCACATTCGTCTTCACTGGCCAATTGTCACGTTTGGGTAGAGAGCAGGGGCAGAATCTCGTCAAACAATACGGCGGAAAGGTAACGACCGCCCCGTCCAAGAAGACCAGCTATGTCGTTCTCGGCGAAGACGCTGGTCCCAAGAAGTTAGAGACGATCAAGCAACACAATCTCAAAGTCATCAACGAAGATGGACTCTTCGAGCTGATTCGACGCTTACCTCCGAATGGCGGCGATAGTGCGGCCGCAGAGAAGTATGCCGAAAAGCAGGCGAAGGAAGAAGAGAACATTCGTAAAGCTGCAGAGGAGATGGAGAAGCAGGAGCGTGCACGATTGGCAGCTGCGAAACCGAAGCCAAGCGCATCAGCTGGAGCGGCTCAGAGCGACAATCAAAAGAGCAAAGGCAAAGCTGCGGCTCAAGGCCCAGACACGCGGTTGTGGACCGTCCGATATGCGCCTCAACAGCTGGGTCAAATCTGCGGCAACAAGACTCAGGTTGAGAAGCTGCAACGATGGCTACGGGCTTTCCCGAAGAACCAGAGCAAGAGCTTCAAGCTGCCTGGTCCAGACGGTAGTGGCATTCACAGAGCAGTCATGATCCACGGTCCTCCAGGTATCGGAAAGACTACGGCGGCCCATCTTGTTGCAAAGCTAGAAGGCTACGACATTGTGGAATCGAACGCCTCCGACACCAGGTCAAAGAAGCTCGTCGAGACAGGTCTGAAGGGAGTCCTTTCGACAACTTCACTGATGGGCTACTTCGCGCAAGGGTCCGATGAGGTCGAAGCCTCGAAGAAGAAGCTGGTACTCATCATGGACGAAGTCGATGGAATGAGTGCTGGTGATCGAGGTGGTGTCGGGGCCCTGGCCGCTGTCTGCAAGAAGACTCAGATCCCAATGATCTTGATCTGCAACGACCGCAAGCTGCCAAAGATGAAGCCATTCGACTTCTGTACGTATGATCTGCCCTTCCGGCGACCCACGACAGATCAGATTCGCAGCCGCATTATGACCATTGCATATCGCGAAGGACTCAAGATGCCAGCGAACGTTATCAACGCGCTCATCGAGGGCTCTGGTGCCGATATTCGACAAGTCGTCAACATGGTCAGTACAGCGAAGCTTGATAGCGAGAATCTGTCGTACGAGGATAGCAAAGACATGAGCAAAGCCTGGGAGAAGCACATCATCCTTAAGCCGTGGGATATGGTCGGCAAAATCCTAGGTGGAGGGCTGTTCAATCCCGCCTCCAAGTCAACGCTCAACGAAAAATCGGAACTATACTTCAACGATCATGAATTTGCGCCTCTGATGCTGCAAGAGAATTATTTAGGCACCAACCCGCAGCGTTCGAACATGCACAGTAGCAATTCGAAGCTCAAGAATCTTTCCAACCTGGATCTTGTCAGCAAGGCCGCTGACTCTATTAGTGATGGAGATCTCGTGGACCGCATGATACACGGAAGCCAGCAGCAATGGTCCTTGATGCCGACTCATGCAATCTTCTCTTTCGTCAGACCTGCTAGCTTTGTCTACGGTTCAATGGCTGGACACCAGACTCGCTTCACTTCCTGGCTCGGCAACAATTCGAAGCAGGGCAAATTGTCTCGTTTTGTGAAGGAGATCCAAGGTCACATGCGTCTGAGGACTAGCGCCGATAGACATGAGATACGACAGACGTACATGCCTATCCTTTTCGAGAAGCTTGTCAAGAGACTTCAGAAAGATGGCAAAGATGCTGTGCCGGAGATCATCGAGCTTATGGACTCTTACTTCTTGACCAAAGACGATTTTGATGCCATTATGGAGCTTGGCGTGGGCAGTGCTGACCAGGAAAATATTAGGATTGAAACGCAGGCCAAAGCCACGTTTACGCGACTGTAAGTTTAGGACTGTCTCACCTGCTGTTGGAAAAAGAACTAACTTCAAACAGGTATAATCAACAGTCTCATCCTCTGCCGTTCATGAAAGCATCTGAGGTCGTTGCTCCGAAGAAGGCTCCTGCCAAGGAGAAGCCAGATCTTGAAGAAGCTTTCGAAGAGTCTGAAGAAGAAGCCGTCGACGAGGGTGAGGCCCAGGAGGAGGAGGAAGATGTGGATTTGAGCAAGGACAAGTACGTCAAGCAGCCGAAGAAGAAGAAGGCTGCGGCTTCCAAGGCGGGCGGCAGCAAGAAGAAAGCCAAAGATGACGACGATGATGACGAGGACAAGCCGAAGAAGGGCAAAGGCAAGGGCAAGGCGAAGAAGTGAGTGATTGATCGATTTCTTAGCAATGGCGCCTTGGTCGGCTACGAACGATTGTAATCAAATTTCGAGCATGATTGTACTACTGTTGACAAGCAGCGCCGAAGCACGGGTATGACTAGCGCCGAAATGCACAAACAGAGCTGTTAACGAAGTAGGTCTTGCAGTGATATTCATACCATGAGTACAGTTCTGCCAATCATGGCTGCTTCTGACGTGCTACAGCAGTACGGATCCTTGAGAGCTCCGCATGTACAAAGCCGCCCCTTCGCAAGCGCCCAACTTGAAGCTGTTTCAAAAGGGAGATTCGGAGTAGTAGTATGACCAAGGTAATTCTTAGAGAATGTATTCAAGGAGCAGGATTCGAGATTTGGAAAGAGGTGGAATGTGGGTTGAAGCCGGTGAAGGCCGTAGAGGTGGGACTTTGTCAGGAGGAAGATGTTTGGGGCGAAGAACATTTGGTTTGTATATGTAGGAAGCCTGAACAAGACGGTTTTCTTCCCGTGCGAAGGGTCGATTTTTCTTTGGTGCTTGAATGCTAGTAGGAGATGCGATACGATGCTAGGGAATAGGAACTTGGGCCATTTCGTGCCTTTCCTGTGTAACTCGAACCATGTAGTCGGCCTCAGAGTGCTATATGCCTCTTTCAAACTCGTCTTCGCCCTATCTCCACATCACGGCCTGTAGATCCCTACCCACCTATACCTATCGCCCCGCAGCTTGGACTTCACCATCACCACCTAGTCCCACTACTCGTGATCAAACAACCACACAAGCACCCTTCCTCCTATCATCCCCAAACCCATCGAATTCACCTTGACCCAGAACATTTATTCGAAAAAAGGCAGCGATCCGAAATGTCCCTCCCCTTCAAATCCCAAATCTGCCTCATAACAGGCGCAGCCTCAGGAATCGGCCGCGCAACCGCCATCAAACTCGCCTCCCTCGGAGCAACGCTTTCCATACAAGACATCAATCCCACGGGTCTCCAGGAAACCCTCGAATTATCATTACGTCCTGAAGGAACCGAACAACAACAACAACAACAACAACAACAACAACAAGGAGAACACTACCACGAAACCTTCGACGTATCGTCCTCTCAAGCCTGCAATACCTTCATCACCAACACGATGCAGACTTTCGGAAAGATAGACCACGTCTTCAACTGCGCGGGCGTGAATCCCACCGCGTACCCCTTGACCGACACAACGGATGAGTATTTTGACAGGTTGGTCGGTGTGAATCTCAGGGGGACGTATAATGTCACGCGTGCGGCGATGGCGGTCATGAAAGAAGGAGGAAGTATGGTGAATGTATCCTCCGTAATGGGCATCACGGTAGCTGCGGAGTATGCCATTTATTGTGCTACGAAATTTGGCATCGTGGGCTTTACCAAGGCTATGGCGATGGAATTGGGTCCAAAGGTAAGTAAGCTGGAGCAACTAGCATGTGCTGCTCTTTTGCAGATCTGATGATATGATGGTTGATTGCGGATTAGGGTATCCGCGTCAATGCCGTTGCACCGGGTTATATTAATACCCCGACGAGTAAGGTCCCTTATGTTTTCAGTTCGCGTCCTGCAATCTGACGTTTACCATCAGATGCTGGCGTATTAGCCGGTCCTGAAGCGGTGGCAGAGCAGACCAAGAAAGTCGCCCTGGGCCGAATGGGTACAACAGAAGAGGTTGCTGATGTGGTTGCGTTTCTGTTCAGGTGAGTCCAACTGAGTTCTCCAAGCACTAGTTCAAGCGTCGTGCTAATGTAAATCGCTCCGTCAGCGACGAAGCAAGATACGTGAATGGAAGCATCGTCGAAATCACCGGTGGCCGCACGTAAACGCACCTGGAACTGCAACTGTCGAGCATATGGTCCATCAATGCGGTATCCCGAAACCAAGAGTGACGATCAGAGAGCAAGCCAAGCATCCTGGCGATGATCAGATGTTGGTATGCAACGCTATCTCTCTGTCGATCGGCCAGCGGTGGCAACAATTGGCTTCAGCTTTACTCAGCCCGCTTGCAGATGAAAGCGTTGGTGAGCCACCATAGCAAAACCGGGCATCCGCATCCCACAGGTATCGCAGGCTTCGTTCAGATCTTCATCGTCGTCGTCATGCCATCCGGCCGTTTCTCCCTCTGCAGCATCGTCGAACATGATATTTTCACCCTCTTCGACGCCACTATTCGCTGGTGCGCTATTAAGATCTTGGTTGTCGGGATGCTGCTGTTCGCCAAGCTGTCTTCGGTCCCTCTGAGGAATGGACGTAGCTGGGGTAGTGGCAGGCCAGGGACTTGTATCGGTCACGCGAAACTCCCTGAGCACATCTTCTTGTTTCCGGAACATACTGCCGATGTCCCGCCCGTTCGCCGTCTTACTGTCACCAGCAGTCTCCGCCATATTCGTAACGGCAAGATTGACCAGACTAAGATTCCAGCCAGCCTTTTCCGGGTGAAGCTTGCGAAACATGGTAACAAGTACCTCCTTCACCAGCTTCTCTGCCAGTACTTCAACGCTTTCGCCCAGACTGAAGACAAAGTTCGGCAGAGGACCTGAATGCGAGATCCGCTTGAAGGAACGTACTCTTGTACCGTCTGGCTGGAGCGGTTGTCGTGGCCTGGTAGTCAGCCGGAGAGTCCTTGGATGGGCCAGCCATTTCTTGCCAGCAACAGCAGGGTTTGTCGAATCGATCTCCGGCTCATCAAAATCATCATTGGCTCCAAGTAGATCTATTCGCATTCGAGTGATAAGACTGTTCGCGAGGGTAGTAAGCTCTTTCATGACCTCAGGCAGCGTGTCCAGCCGGATGTAGCTGTCCTCAATGCTGATTTGTCTTGGTACAGTCCTCGCTGAGCTGACTTCAGTGTCATCGACGCCATGGAGTAGGCACCAAATCTTGTAGCCTATTCCGTGCGGTGACCCAGGACCAGCAAGCAATTTTTCGAGTTGCTCAGGGTTGACGTCTGGACACTTGCGCACGTCGGCAACTGTGACGCCCTCTTTGGTGCCGCCATACACGAGACCCGCATCGAACTCTGCTGGACGCTGCAAGACATACTCGCGTAGCTTCTGAGCCAGCTTGAAGCCGATACCAGGCACCTTGCCAATGTCATGGCCATCCATGAAGCGTTGCGCATTATTGCCTACATCTTCCGAGGCAGTGTAAGGCGGCATAAGCGTCGTCTGACCTTTCGGCTTGTTGAGATTACCCACCAGCTTGCTTAGAAGCTTGGAGGTGGCTATGCCGACAGTCGACGTATAACCCTTCTGCTGTTCCAGCCGATGACGCATGTACAATGCAAGGTGACTGCCCAGACGAAGGCGCAAGGTAAGATCATCCTCTAAGTCGGCGGATTCGGATCTAGGCCAGGCATGGCCAGCCATCGACGAAGCATCAAATGCAAACCCCACCGTCGGGTCATCTCTCACAACCTGAAAGAACGAATTCCGCAAATCGTTCCTGTTGAGAATTTCCAGATTATACTCCACCATATCTGTCACATCCATCCACACCTGAGAAGAATCAGAAAAAAGGAATCGTGTCCTACCTTGATTGCACCATAACTCGCAGCACCTACCTCATCGAAACCCAGGCGTTCTACCTTGTTATTCCATGTGAAACTCTCAATGAACGTATACAGCTCTTTCGAGGCATCACGGAACTTGCTGATGTCCTCTCCCAGCTCGATAATGACATCCGGGCATATGCGCTTCGCGTCGCGGATGAGTTGCAGTTTGTGTAGACCTCGCCGTCGGGCTTCGTAGTTGCAGGTGACGATGATCTGCTTCTGTTGGACGGCGAACGGGAGGCTTTTGAGGCTGGGGTTCTTTGCTTCGAATACCGACGCGTAGAAGCAGTCGTAATCCTGGGGTCGGTCAGCTATTTGTAGTTCCTGGGGCCCGTAGCGCCTTACGAAATGTATGATCACACGCCCATCCTTGCGCGGTGGGATCTTTCTATCTTCCATCCTGCCTTCATGTTGGTATTCTCGATGTCTCAGATAGAGCAAGGATTGTCTCTGGTTGCATCGAATCGTATCAGTCGATTGCTAGAATAGAGTCTGCACACGATGATGCTATGGGAGACGCGACGTAGTATGATACTTTACGCGCTAGCGGGCACGGACCATTCCTCCTCACTGGGACAGTGGCCTAAGCACCTTAAGTGTCGTTTTCGAAAAACCCAAAAGCTTAAAATGTAGGCAGTAGCGACGTACACGTATGCTGAACCTTACTCTCCAGAATCTACATGTACACCTCTTCAGTAACGTAATCGTTAGGTTCTACACAGATCACGTGCTTCGCGATGAAGAACATTTTCAGCTTTTGGGTTTTTGAAGACGGCAAGTGGTACACTGAGGCCACTGCCCCGGTTACCTACCTACACATTCTTGGGGTGCCCGTGATCTCGCCTCGACAACATCCTTACAGGACTTGCCACGGTTCTGCGTTAATTCATTTCATTTGTGCGACTTGCAGCCCGCCCTCATGTGGGCGAAAGGGTGGTCCGGCTTTCTCACCGAGTGCAGCTGCCAGACGACCTTCTTGAATACTCAATAACGCCACGTTCGTATCTGGAAACAGCCGACCATCTGTTCCCAGATCATCGCGGATATGCGATATACTTGCCACTGCAGTAACAAGCAATCTGTCCTACGAAGACATCATCGCCTAAGAATAGCTTCAGGCCCATGACGCTCCTTGTCAACCGGTTGCCAGGAAGTGACGGGTGTTAAGAGACGGGTTCAGCATTACGTCGAACTTCGACTTATTACCAGGGTTCGCGCGACCCACAGAAGCTGTTCGCATCAGCAATGCTCCGGTGTCTCGAGGCGACAAGTGGCAACAAGATGGCAGTGTCAGGTACGCAGATCTGCTGTGCAAGTCACACCCGGAAAGGCTCCATGATCCGTCCAGCAAGACGTCGCAGTCAGCAGCAGCCGTTGGCTCACGTGTGTATTTTGGGTTGCGAGCTCTATTGTCAATACCACATTACACGTGCGTCTTTCGTGGGGTGCGGTGAGATGGAGCAGTGTTGACATGTCATGCATGCTCTCTCCTACAACACCAGGGCTGAAGCCTTAGCCTGCAGACGCCTTATCCGCCATCGTCATCACGGTGGCTTCGAGAGCATCGTGTCGGCATGTTGCTTCCGAACATTGTCCATGTATGAGGAGCGTATTGAGTTTCTGAAAATGTTGCGCCTTAGTGACCGTTCCCGAGTATTTGTCCGAAACAAAGAGTAGGATGTCGATGGGGGTGGCAGTGTGTTCAAGCGGGGAGTTCGTCGGGATTTCGGGCGATACACGGTTAGGGAGCGATAGTTCGAAGAGTTGTCGCCATGTTCCTGGTCGACACGCGGCCAAGACCTATGATGAAATGCATTGCAAGGGCCAGTTGTTTGTAAGAAGGGATGGCAGGAAGCACCACGGGCGAGGGCATCGAACTGCGCGTCTCGGGACGGTTTCGGGGTGTAGGTGTGCGATGCGCAGCACCTGAGACCACGGCAGCACCGGCGAGATGGGCGCACATTGGCTTTCCAGCGTGTTTTGTGGCCGTTGTGAAGCGTTTCTGTCTGGTGGTGGTAGATGGCTGAAACGGCAGGACGGGCGCATGCGATGGTATGGCCGAATCGATCGAGTGGGCGCAAGGGTGGTGGGTGAGGGTGGTGGTGAGGGTAAGGTAGTGTGGGTGATGTGTGTCGACGGTCTGCATGTGGCCCATGCACATCGAGCACGAGGGGGAGTCGCTCGGTTCTGCTTGCTCGGCCAATGGGCGCTAGGCTGGACAGGGAAGGAGCGAGACGAAAGCAGGGGCCTCGAAAATAGAAATCCAAGTCGACTCCCGATGGCGCTTAGCGTTTGGCGTATTGCAGCGTTCGGCAGATCCCTTCCAACGCCTTTCCCTTTCTCGCTCTATTTCCGCGCACTCGCATGCGTCAGACTCCTCTGCCGCCCAGCGCTGGAAGGTCATTTAGACCGTGACATGGCCCCTCACCTCACCATGCCGCTTCTGCCTCTCACGAACCTCTCACAAACGACTGCGACGGAAGTGCTGCATCCTACTATCGATATTATTGCGCGGAGCAGAGCTGGTCTCGAGGGGCACACTCCCATCCATCCCAATCAACACCAATATCACCATCACTACCCCGACTTCCTCCTCTTACCTCTCAGCTCACAGCCGGCCTCTGCCACTCTACCTATTTCCGGATCACGCACCCTCCTTCCTTGGTCAGCTGCCGTCGCCGCCTACGCCTCCGCCTCCGCCTCTCCTTCGACAATCAATAAGACCATCGCGGACCCCTCCACGAGCCTGGAGCTGACAACGCGTGGTGGATCATCGTTGCACGACACCGCCCGACCACAGTCACCGACAGTCAGAAACCTCGCATCCCACGCCTGGCATTTGTCCGGTTTCGCGCGTCCGGTGCGACACTAAACACCCTCCGATCTGATCATGTTGGCCGTTATGCAACAGTCACCATCACCACCGCTACCACTTCACACGAGCATGTCACTTGCGATTCTGCCCTTGGCGGCGCCCATGACTTGTAGTCAACACTCTGGTCCTGCACTTGTTCCGCCTTCTCCTGCCCCGTCCAAGCGACCCAAGCTATCGCTGAATACCACCGACGTCCCACTGTCTGTCTTCGGCAAAGCCTCCACCAGTCTCCGCTTGGACACTTTGAGTTGCACTTCTCCGACCTCGCGCAACACCTTCAGCAATAGGAATGCCTACACCTCCTTCCAACAACCGCCATCCGACTCCTCCCAGCAGAAGCCCGTGCTAGCTCCACTAACAACATCACCGACGTCGATTGTAGAGGACGAGTGTGAACTTGCACAGGATTCTATCGCTTCGTCTGCCTCAACGTCGTCCAGCACTTCGAGTGATTTCGAATCGACAGAAGTGCCTTACAGAGTCGCTTTCAATACCACATCCATCCTCCGGAACGGCCCTCTTCCTCGAAAAAGGGCTCGTACGTCAAACCTACCAAGTGAAAGGACCATGTTCCCTCCAGCTAAGAAGGTGGCATTCCGCTCGCCTCTAACCGAAGAGGTCAAGACGACCAAGTACATCATGAAGCACTCAGACATCGAACCCTCCAACTCATCTATCTCGACGCTTGAACTGTCGCCACAACGGAACAACACCGAATCGACAGAAGAAATCAAGAAAGGCGAGCAGGAAGGAGCGCACATGAAACGGAAGGGCAACGAGTATCCACATGCAGGCAACAAACGAGAGTCATCGGATGACGAAGAAAGCGATGACTCTTGCCCCTCAACGCCCATGCCAGGACGTGAGAAGCGGTCCAGAATATGGACATGGACTCTTGGATCGATCGATCCATCTTCTAAGCGACAGCAGCCTTGCAACCAACCAGAGCAAGCCAAAGACAAGGCATAGGTTTCCTGCGCAGCTTCGCCTGTCGATGCTTTGACTTTTGATGATACATATATATATTACTACTGCACTTGTGGATGTTCAACATTGCATAGACGGACAGCAGGATAGCAACTGTCTGTTTGGCCTTTTGTCTTGTTTTCACTTGATGATGAGTTTGGTTGGGACAGGCATGATATGGTTTTGGTCAGACGCGCGATGATACCCCCGAGAGCAAGCAAGTTGTAGCATTTTCGATGAACATAGCATTTATCGGTTCTTTTTCCTTCGACTCACCTGTGATTCTCTTTCCGGGATAGATGCATGTTGCTGCGTTTCAATATATTGGCTCCACTTATGTCGCGAAGATCCCCACGGTAGCGTGGTTGTGCCGTCTTGGCAACGGCGAGCACGCGTGGAAGCACCTCGTGTTCGTCACTTCCAAGACCCTTGCCCGGGTCTGGAATGTCGAAGCCACTGCCCAGAGGCCTCTTTTGGACTTGAGAACATCAAAGTGGATTGGCCTAATCAGGACTCTGGCCGTGCGATACGAGAATCTCTGCGAAGCATGACGACGACGACAACGACGACGACTACGACTCCTTCGCTTCTGGAAAGGCTGCTCGATCGTTGTAATTTCCAACTTCCTTTCGGGAGATGGCAGTTCGTGGAATCCCATGATTTGTGGTTGTATGTATGATACCAGTCGCATATATCTTCTTCATATTCATCCGAGCGCCCACAGGCTCCACCCAAAAGGGAAACAGTTATTAGAGGTATCTAGAGGCTAACATTGTCCACCCGAAAAAAATTATAGCATCCCACCTTTCCTCAAACATGACCTGCAAGACATCGCAACTCGCCGCTGGACTCATAAACTCCCCTTCTTCCAAACCCGACCTCCCGCCGAAATCGCCGCTGAGATTCTGCACAACCACCTCAAAAGACTTTCTCGAGATGATGGCTCGTCGGAGGAGGAAGGGGAGGGGGGAATTTCCAGCTGGAAATTCATGGATTTCGGCTCCGGCAACGGCGGTCCCATCCCTCTCATCGCAGACCACATCCCCCAGATCCCCTTCCATCTCTCCGACCTCAACGCCAATCTCAACCTCGACGCGTGGATGCATCATGCCTCGAAATCAGCAAATGTGAAATTCATCCCGCAGCCTTGCGATGCTTCCGATCCGCCCTTTGCGGCGATATCATCCACCACCAGGGGAGATCGAGAAGCCGCTCGCATCAGGGGGTTCGAGAAGGAAGAGGGCGAGAGGATCTGTAGGGTTTATTGTAATGCGTTTCATGTTTTTGGGGATGAGATGGCGGGTGCGGTGTTGCGGAGTACGATGTTGACGAGTGATGGGTTTGTGATTTTGGAATTATCGGAGAGGAGAGTTTGGAGTTTAGTGATGGTGGTGTTGGAGGTGTGTCTGTCCTGGGTGATGGGCATTTTTTGGTTTTGGGGGGATTGGGTTCATTTGATGTTTTGTTACGTGGTTCCTTTGTTGCCTGTGGTGCAAGCGCTAGACGGGTTTGTTAGTTGTTTGAGGACGAGGGATTTTGAGGAGTTTCTGAGGTTGTTCATGATGGCGCACGGGTCCGAGCGGGTGCGAATGGAGCGTCGAGGGAATGTGGTTAGGTTTGAGGCCTGGGAGATCAAGCATATTCGGGTTCTGCACACGTGGCCGTTTGGGTATATGAATGTTATCACTGGAGTAAGCATCGCGCAGCATGAAAGTATGAATAGATGATATATAAAAGACAATCGGTAAAGACAGTACGAGTGCGCAGATTGCGCAAGAAACAACTGCTCTTAGAGACTTCAAGACCAGTCATCCTTCATAGCCCTCGTGCCTGTGTCGACTCTTGATACATGTCGAGTGCCTAGAAATATCGTTAGCTGATGCTCTGGGACCCAAAAGACGATCCGAGAAAGCTTTCTTCTCACCTTGAGCGAGATCACAACATAGCGTGTACGCATGCTCACCAGTTCGAAGCTGCACTTGGATCCGTGTAATCGCACACGCCCTGCGCGGGCAAAATCTTCTTGAAGGCCTCCTTCTGGTCAGTACTCTTACTGTCTTGATCGTTGCCAAGCACACCAGAGCTCAGGCCGAATTCCAGATAATATCGGTATTGAAGCCGCACTTCTGATTGGTGAAGAGCCAGAGACTGCATTCGTCCGGCAGGTCCATGTCACGTCTAAGAGCATATTGACGCGAGTGTATTCTTTAACGAGCGTCAGAGGTGGGTAGGATTTGGTCGTTGCTGTTGATGTCGCTGCTTCATGTTGAGGCAGCTGGGCCGAGGTTGGTCCTTTTTTACTTCTCCGTCATTGACGGCATGTTTCTAGACCACTCCCAATACGACCAACGGTTATCGTCCAAGAAGCCACATCGATATCTGCGTGTAGCCAGGCGGCTGAATGGAGTTGTAACAAGAGCGTCGGGTGTCACAATGACAGCCGAAGTTGGAACTGCTGATCCCTCGCTGGATTGCATACTCGGCAGACAATTGTGTATGGGCCCTCTAGAGACACGCTCGGACCGCCGCTTAGACTCAGCCGGACACATGTGGCCAGATTGTTGGGAGTATCTTGGGCAGTATCGTCAGTGGAAGCCCTACTGTGGCAACAGCCACTGCTCTTATTGATCCACAAATTTGTACTGTCACAGCCAGAAGACCTTGCTCGCGGGGGTTCATCCCATCTCCGGTGTTGTAATGATTGTTCAGGCCTGCAAGGCTTCTCTGCCAAGCTCTTGCAGTCGCTTGAGACGATATTGAACAGACAGACCAGTGATACACTGCTAATGCTTGCTGTTGAGGTGATGTGACGGGGCGTGGGCGGTCGGACAATCGCTAAACTAGGAGGAACCATGGCGAGGTCTTGGGAACCATCTGTCATCTCCTCGTGGGTCCAAAGTGATCTGTAGAGATGACATCTGTTTGACTTGTTAATCAATGCCAGCCAAGAGGCCTCGGCAGAGAATTGATAATGCAGTTCTTTGCGTGTAGAACTTGTCTCGGACAGCTACACAGCATTGGCGATACACTCCAGCTAATACTGTCGTTGTTGTATCTCGAGGTTCTCGGTGAGAAGATCGCATCACCGCCAAAATTGTTCACAATGCAGCCAACCCAATCATTCGGCAGGTTAAGTATCTCAATGTCTAGCATGTATGGAGTGACCCTGTATCATGCCCTCTTGTCTAATTTTCGTCTGCTCAAGGTATGTGACATCGAGCGCCTTGCCAGTGTGGCCCCGAAACTTGCGATAGAACAGTCATTTGACATTGCTTTTGCCTGGTAATGAGAAAGCAAGGCGTTTGTTGGTAGCATCTGGCAGGATCGTATTATCTTGGCCGCAGGCCTTTGCGAGTAAACGTGGGTGATGCACCATCGATCTCATCTCTGTTCCACTGAGCTCGGAGAAGATTGACATCCTTCAGCGAAGGTGTCTTGCGATGTGGACGAAAGAACTTAAGGAGTGAAGTCGCGGCGGCACTTCCGCAGCCCCACTCTTACGACATCCTGGTCACTGACCAAGTGCGCGGTCACATCACACAACAGTCCGTATGACCGTACAGTGACATCGCATCATCCACCGCCACGACTCACATGGCCAACGATGCCTCCAAAGAGGCGATGGACGAGGTGAAGCTACCTGGAAATGTTTGCGATCCGTGTTGAGAAGCGAGGATACCTACACCAACACGGGTGGCTGACCAGTCCTTTGCGCTGCGCGGCGACAATCTGGACGAAACCTTCACTTGACCGAAAGAAGAATGTCCCCACAAGAGCAGAAGTCGGCGAAGCAGCCTGACCGAAACCAGCTGTTACAGGCAGTAGCCGCGCAGCAAGAGATCGCAAAAGCACAATCGTACGCAAGCAGCCTTCGCGATAAGGCCAGCAAGATTCAAGATCCACAAGAACGAGAGCGAATGGTACAGGAGGCCTATGAGAAGGAGATAGCGGTAAATGGCAACAGCAAATTCGCCCAACGGTTACAAAGTGGTCCCTGGCAAGGGGCGGCTGCTGGTGGGGGTATAGGCTTAGGTACAGGTTTAGGAGTAGGCGCAGGAGTCGGAACACTGGCTGGTACTTTAGTTGGCGGTCTTGTGTCAATACCAACAACGGCTCTCGGGTGAGTCGCTGGACGCCTGCGTTCAACCGTGTGGTAAAGCTGCTGACCCTATATGGCAGAGCTTTGATTGGGACGGGCGTTGGAGCAATCAAAGGGCCATTTATCAAGGTTGGTGGGAAAGAAAAGCGATGGGATGAAGCCTCTCCCGAAGAAGTGGTCGATGCACTGGAAGAGGAGCAAGCGACTGGAAACGAGCAAGCCCGATCAGGGGCTCAAGTTGGTACAGAGCCTCTGCCGTCCGCAAGCGCTGCAGCGAAACGGAAACCTCGCAAGCTCGAGATAAGGTCAAAGAAAGACGCAGAGGAAACGGCAGCGTCTGGTGCGGCGACAACATCCGGGCAGGACATGGACGGCACCACGAAGGCCAAAAAGGCTTGATAGCAGATCCAATTCTGCACTTGCAGCGTAGTCGGGTCCAGCACATTCCGGACGAGCAGCATCGGTATGGAGACGCCAAGAAGAGCGAATACGCTGAAAACGCTTAAGATATTCAAGTCACAGAGCGAACGCAAAAACTTTAACGGCCCAGACGGGACGAATCGCAATCGATCGACAGGATTAAGCAACGGTTTCTTTGCGTATGCCTCAGCGCTTTACGTATACATGAAGTTCTATGCATCCAGATCTCTATAACCACGGATATGCTATGCTCCCCGGAAACATGCTATGCCGCCAGGATGACGTGTTATGCCATCCTGAGACATGCTATACCTCCTTGGATGTACTGTGCTCCTGCATATGTCTGGTTATGCATAGTACTTGGCTTGGAGAGTAGAGCAAGAAATACACAATTCCTATAGATATAGGAAGAGAGGACATTCACTAGCGGCGGCTTTATCCGAGCCAATTGGGACCAGCTGAAGCTCCCAGCGCCGATGGACTTCCTTCACGACTCTATCTCGACTTCAACTTGCTAGCAAGTATCACGGCACCTCTGCAGCAGCAATTTGTTGCGACAAATGAACTCAAATTCTGCGCGGACGCTGTGGGCTGCGGTGTGGGCTGCGGTGTGGGCGCTAGAGCCCTGCTCGCTGGTAAAAGCACAGCTTGAGGATTATCATCTCTTCATCATGATGAGGTCCGCACCGCAATCTTGATTTCTTTCATAATACCTTGTGTATACAGCCAGTCTACACACATCCGACCCGTCAACATGTTGTACGCGACGCACATGTACCTACAAAGCCACAGCTCACAGCTCTTGGCAAAAGTGCACGGGTATCGGACTCCCCATCGGCTCTCCGCCCCGAACAAGCCACGAAAGTACTCACCTCATCATCACCGACCCGGAAAGCACCAACATTCCCATTCGCGCGACGCGCAGCACAGCAATCTCGCTCTCTCTTTATCAACAAGACACGTCAGCTTCCCCGTTGTCCGAGAGCACAGAACGTCACTTCCAATCCGACAACTCGCTTGAAACATTCTTGAATTCTGCAGGAGCTGGGGTTGTCTATCCTATTTCTGGGCTTCGGGTGTGGGTGAGAATAGTGTTTGAGATTTACCACGAGGCATTGCTCACGTTCAGCTCTCGGACTACTTCTATCCCTCTCTTCTTGTAGATTTGCTTTTACCTTTCTCTTTTCCATCTGCCGTTCGACTGGCGTTCCCTACACGTCTCGACTGAGGACTCTACAGCACTCCTGACGGCTCTCACAATGTTCTCTCTTGACAGAACAACAGCATTCCTTGCTCTGGTAAATGCTGCTTCCGCCCAGTACGGAGGGGGCTATGGCGGATACGGTGGCAGCGGCAACCCTTACTCGAGCGGCAACAACAATGGCGGTTTCGGTTCTGGATTCAACTCCTATTTCTCAGGAACCTCCAAAATCATCACGGCGCATGCAGTTCTGGCCACCTTGGCGTTCGCATTCCTCTTTCCCGTAGGAGGAATCATGATCAGACTGGCGTCCTTTCGCGGCCTTTGGCTCGTCCACGGGCTCTTCCAGATCTTTGCGTACTTGGTGTACATTGCGGCCTTTGGAATCGGAGTCTGGGTAAGTTGTGCACTTGTTCGTGAAAGAGTGAACGCGGCGCTGATGCAGGAGCGCAGATGATTTCTCAGCGCGACGGTCTTATCAACGACCCGCATCCCATCATCGGCATCGTGCTGCTCGTGGTCCTCTTCTTCCAGCCCGCCCTCGGATTCGTGCACCACATCCTCTTCAAGAGAAAACATAAACGCGGCATCTTCAGCTACGGCCACATTTGGCTTGGTCGGTTGGCGATTACCCTGGGAATTATCAACGGCGGCTTGGGATTGCGGTACGCTCGTATGTCTCCGATTGCACGTCCTTCGAAAGGTGCTATTGTCGCATATGGCGTTGTCGCTGGCTTCATCTGGCTGCTCTATGTCATTTCGGCGATCATTGGTGAGAGGAGGAGGAAAGTGAAAGAGTTGGAACCGCCGGTATATAAGGAAGAGGGTGAGGATAGAACACAGTACGCGTGAGGTGTAGTGCGGAATTCAGGGAAACGATGTTAGTCATGTCGATTTCGACGAATGCATGAATGACGGCCATCTCTTCTTTGCGTGAATTCCTCGTGTTCTCAAGGTTTCTGTGGCCGCATCATGAGGCACGTTCGTGGCATATATGTCGATCAGTCGCACACTGGAATCTTCTTTGTCAGGTACTTGACGTATGGAGATCTCTCATACGCTTACACATTGCCTTCTTGTTTATTTTCACATACCTCAGGTCATGTGCCGATCGCGAGAGGAGAGAGGGTGACAATGAAGAGTACAAAGACCATGGGGCGAGCAGATCTGTCATACTTTGTTGTCAAGTCGTGTTCCGAGCCGCGAGTGACTCGCGAGCCATGCTTTCGCCGCGAGCAAAGCGGTCTAAAAGATGGCCCTTTGGCCCAGAAACTTTAGCGGGCTCCTCTGTTTATTAGAGGTCTGCAAATTCGCAGGGTCTGTGAAGTGCCTCGCCCCAAATTAAAGTTCCCTCCGCTCGTCTTGTCACTTGATGCGCAGACTTTGACATTGTGTTTGGTCGTGGGGAACCAGTGGCTGGCTGTGAGCGCGCACAGCCTGTGCAGCTGCGTTATCTCTGCCAATGATCTCTCGATCCATAGCGACCAGCCACAGCGGATCGATCAAACGGAAGACATTGCACAGCTCTGTAGCAGAGTTTCCGCGGAGGGCAATGATCTGCATCAGCTGGAGCTGGTGAGAGGTATGTGAAGGAGCGGTGTTTGCAAGGGCGTATGCGTTGAGTGACTGAAGAGCCTCATCATGTGCTGCATTCCGGCCGAACCGACTCCGGTGAAGGTGGGTGGTCGTCACCTTGGTCGGTACCGGTCAGTCTGGGCCGGTTGACATTCGTCTCACTCGGCAGCAATGTTCAGCCGGCAGCATTCGGCTCAGCGGAGGCGGTCGCTGCTACGAATGATGCCCATCTCATCTACCACGCCAAATGCCATGCGATGCGGATTTGCCACGAGGAAGGTCCCGAAAGGATGCTGGGAGGCCAGATGGAAAGAGAGTTTGGGCGCACAGGCTGGATTCGACTTGTGAGGAGAGCCAATGTTGAAGGTTTGCCAACGAATGACGAGTGAGGAGCCGCAGAGGAGGGCGAGGACATCCAACCTTATGCAGAAGGAGGGTGTGAAGGCGTGAGGCGTAGGTAGGTTGGAATGGGTACATGTAGGCGACTGAATGGGCGGCGCCGAGAAGGTGGGAAGCGCAAGCCGGGTGCCGGAATGTACTGGCTAGCGTGCCGACTACCCCACCGCTGCTGCGGAGTGCGCGCGGCAGATATCTCATCAGGAAGGGACTCGAGACACTGAGTCGCACAGACATTCTCCGACGTCTTGTTGCATACTCGCGCACCGGGACCGCCGCTGGCATTGCGTTACGCATCTGCTCGAGGCCGTCCCCGAATCTGTGCTATGCAACCTTGTCCGCAAATGTCGTGCAGCCAGACCGAAGGGTCTATCAAATCTTCCTGGCCAGATGCGCGGCGGCGCTACCATCGACCACTAGCCCCACTTGGTGCTAGTGTCACATGCACGAGCTGCAGGGCTGTGGCGCCCACCCAATTGATGCCGTTCGAGGCCTGTCGTTCTATCTGCGCCGGCCAGTCCACCACCTCGATATAAGTTACACCATGCCGCCAGTCAACGTGCTAATCCGGTCTCGTCTGCCGATTTTCTTTCCAACAATTTCGCCCATACCTTTCGCCCTCTGCCGGGAGCAACACCGCAGCCATGGGTGTCTTCGATAACTTCAGGCCCAACGAGAAGACCGCCGACATCGAGGTCTACACTGATAACGCTGATGTCGCGCATGGCGTTGTCTCCGAGAACAAGGACGACCTCCAGAGAAGACTCGGAAATAGGCAGATCCAACTGCTGGCTATTGGAGGTTCCATTGGTACTGCGCTCTTCGTCAGTATCGGAAGCGGTCTCCACCATGCTGGCCCAGCTGGTCTTTTCCTCGCATATACCATCTACAGCTGCATGCTTGCCTTAGTCAACAATTGCATTGCTGAAATGACAACTATGATGCCCGTCTCTGGAGGGTTTATCCGTCTTGCTGGCGAATGGGTCGACGATGCGTTCGGTTTCATGGCTGGATGGTGAGTGGGTGGCGCAGCTCAGCACAGGGAATACCGTAGCTAACCTCATTCTCCTAGGAACTTCTTCCTCTACGAAGCTCTCCTCATTCCATTCGAAATCACAGCCTTGTGTGAAGTCCTGAAGTTCTGGAGAGACGACATCCCATACGCAGCCGTCATCGCTGTCGCCATTGTCCTCTACGCGTGAGCCTCCCCGTGCGACTTTCCTTGACTCCAGAACACCACTGCCCAGAAGCAACTCCCCAGACACAGCCGAGTCCACCGCGTACATCCTCCTTGAAAATGAGCAGTATATGTCGTTTTGGGGTTGAAGCTGACCGAAAAATAGGTTGCTCAATGTTCTCGCTGTCAAGGCGTACGGTGAGGCCGAGTTTTGGCTAAGTGGCGGAAAGGTGCTCCTCATATTTTTGCTGTTCACCTTCACCTTTGTCACCATGTGCGGTGGAAACCCGAAGCACGATGCGTAAGTACTTCTCATCACTGAATTTTGACCGCGCCCCTTGCTGACTTGTGACTGCAGTTACGGCTTCCGCTACTGGAACAACCCAGGCGCTTTCGCCGAATACTTGAGCACTGGTTCTCTCGGAAAGTTCGAGGGTTTCCTGGCCGGGCTTTGGTCTGCCTCGTTCACCGTCGTCGGTCCTGAGTACATCTCCATGGTCGCTGCCGAGGCGAAGCGCCCACGTATCTACATCAAGAACGCCTTCAAGACGGTTTACTGGAGATTCGGTATCTTCTTTATCATTGGTTCGCTCGCAGTCGGAGTACTCATTCCATACAACGACAAGACCTTGACCGCCATCCTCTCCGGTGATGCAAGCGGCTCAGGAACTGCTGCTGCCTCTCCATATGTTATTGCTATGCAGAACTTGGGAGTCAACGGCCTGCCACACTTTGTCAACGCACTACTGGTTACATCCATCTTCTCCGCTGGCAATACATACACTTACTGTGCTACTCGTTCGCTTTACGGTCTGGCTTTGGAGGGTCGTGCACCAAAGTTCCTGCGATACTGCACCAGGCAGGGTGTTCCGCTCGCCTGCTTCTGCATCGTTATGTGCTTCCCGTGCTTGGCGTTCCTCCAGCTTGGAAGCGGCTCCGCTCAGGTTCTTACCTGGTTGATCAACCTGGTCACCGCCGGTGGAATTATCAACTACATCGTCATGACCACCACCTACATATTTTTCTATAGAGCCTGCAAGGCTCAGGGTCTCGACCGCAAGACTCTTCCATACACCGGATGGTTCCAGCCATACTCCGCTTACATTGGTCTGGTGTGGATGATTGTTATCGTCTTCTGCTACGGCTACTCCTCATTCAAGCCGTGGTCCGTCGACGATTTCTTCACCTACTACACCATGCTGATCCTTGCCCCGATCCTTTTCTTGGGTTGGAAGCTGATCATGCGCACCAAGCTCGTCAAGCCGACCGAGGCCGACCTTGTTTGGGAGCGACCTGTTGTGGACACCTACGAGGAGTCCTTCATCGACCCACCAGTTGGCTTCTGGAAGGAAATGTTGCAGCTTGTAGGCATTGGTCGCAAGAAGGGTGGTAATGACAAGAGGATGAACAGTGTATCTGCATAGATGTATTAGCAATACTCGTGGAGTTACAGGACACGATCTGGGTACGATTTATGAGGTGACGGCATATGTGATGCCTAAAGAGATACCAATTTGCTGCAATGTACAGTTTCATCCAAGTCAAAGCACTTCTCATGCTTGCATCGCTTTGTCCCGCTGCTTGGACATGTATCCAACACGGATCTCGCTCTGACCCATTGGCATTCTTCGGGGGCAGTCCTGAGATGTAATAGCCTTCCAACGGCTGCTACCGCTGATTTTGCGCTGCCCGCCTCAATCTTGCTCTATTTTTCCGTCATTACTCTCGGGACGACAAGAGCCTTTCGCTGTGAAGACTGAAAAGACACTGTGACTGAGGGATGAGAAACAAGTGAAGAAGTCAAGTCGAGTGAAAGTGATGTTTCACGTGTTGTTGCCCTTGAATTCGCGCCACCCCGGCTTGGACCCATGAACGCGGTTCACGTCGTCCAAAGCTTCGTCAAAGCAACGGCTCCAAACACTTCTCGACCTCGACCTCATCTGCGTCGCCAAAGCTCGCTATCGTCATCTCGAGCGCAACAACCCACCCTCACGATGGCGGCGGCACCGATCCTCTACCAAGAGACTCGAACATCGCCTACCCCTGCCCTCCCATCCTCGATCCTCCACATCAATGCTGGCGGAAACAGCACCTTCAGCCTCGGGCGAAAGCGACCATTCGATGAAATCAGCGGCGTTGACGAGGAATCATACGCGCGCAATCATCTCGCGACAGAGGGTTCTGTCTTCTTCAGGCCAAAGAGCAAGGTGCCGCACAGCTTTTCCTGGCGCATTCTGAATGACCGCCAGCTACTCGAGGTCCAATGCGTCGACTTGGTGCTAGATAACAAGCACTCCAAGGCCGATTCATTCCTCACATTCCACATATCACTCTCAAGCAAGATTGTACCAGGCGGTGTGGCGCTTGCGGATGTTGAAGAGAAGGACGCCTTGGAGATCTTCGTGATCACGACCAACAATGAACTGTACACTATCACATTGCGCCGCGATCTGCTGGTGAGGGAGACTGTACCCGCCGATTTCGACTCTGCGACATGCGTCAAGAAATACTCGCCTAGCGCATTCAGCAACAAGCACCCGTACCGCTTCGTTGCCTTCAGCCATCGCGAATTGTTTGTGTCGCTGCACGATGGAAGCATGCTCAAGCTGAGCCGCGAGCAGAACGAGAGTGGGAGCAACTGGCGAGAAACACATTTCAGCGAAGGAGGATGGTCGGGTACACTGAAGCGACAACTGCCTCTATATCGCCCGCGTACTGTTCGTTATGGAAAGGTGGAATTGTTTGACGATGCGATTGCTGCAATCGCGAAGAGTCCGGATGGAAAATACATTTGGACTGTAGGATTGGACCATGTTCTGAAGGCTTGGAACGCGGAGACAGGCAAGATCGCTGCACAGTCAGACCTTGTGGAGGATACACAAGACGAAGATGAACGCAAGAAGCAGCCTCGCTACTTGATGAGTCCTGAGCAGAGCGCACTGTTGCAAATAGTTGCTCCGCCAGCGGCTGCTGACCGTCGGGCCGTCAGCAAAGCCAACGTGTCCGGGCCCTACTTCATCGTGGCACACTCTCCGAAGGATCATCGCTTTGTATTTTACGAAGTGACCACTGCATTCAGCTCAATCGACGGCGACCGCATCGAGTTCCAGAACATGCAGCCCCATTCAGAGTTGATACCTCCTATCGACGTTCTCTTGAACACCACAATTTGGCTTCTCGAGCATTTCTGTGTCAAACCGGGCCCGGAATGGAGTAACTCTCAGCTGTGGCTCAGAGCAAGAAGCGGCGTTGTTTGCAAGACTTTCATGCTGCCCTTCGATCTCCTTGTCAATGGCAATGCTGTTGACTTGAGCGAAGCTTTCCAATCCGGCTGGACAGCGGTAGACTCCTCATACCTGACAACCGAACAGCTGAAAGGATCCGCGGACTTCGAAGCACTCGGTACTGATGCTGATTGCGATCTGACTTCCAGTGAGAGGTGGCTCCAATACCTTTTCTACCCGGGTCGTTTCACACAAGCCTCGCTTGAGACGGCGCTTCATATCTATCGCAAGGGACGCAGTCTGCCAAAAACCTCTGGTAAATCTCTTACTACCCAGCCGCTGAAACAGCGCATGGTCGACGCGATCTCATCCAAGATTCTTCTCCGGCGTCTGCCCAATGATCAGCCGGATTATGACCGCTACCAGAGCGACCTCCAGACACAATGGGGCACCTACTTCTCGGTTCTGTCACACTTGCACAACCGACGACATGAGTCCATTGGATTCGCATTTGATCTGGATCATGAACTACCGTGGACGGTCTGTGCCGATTTCATTGCACCTGCCCGAGCAAGCAGCGCAATCGAGCTGCTCGAACTCAATGCAGATCTTCTTATGAGCGGCAAAGCTGCTGAAATGCATCCAACAATCTCAAATCGCATATGGCAAAAGGACGAAGAGGTAATAACGAGTCAACTAATGGCCGTGGCTCAGCAATTTCGACGCTACTTTCCAGCAACGACCCAAGAGAAGCTGCGCGCTACAGCTGTATTTCATGCCCTGGAGCCGGAGATCGACAGTTCGGAGCAAGACAAAGAAGACAAATTGGACACCATCTATGCATCTTGCGGACTGCAAGACAGCATCACAGATGCCGACTACGACTCTCTCAACGATGCTGCCGAGGCTTTCGGCGGGCTTGGTAGCGTCACAGACGACATGATTCTTGCGGTCATAGAATTGGCCGAGGACCTGAACTACGGCCACGATCGTGGAGAGAAACTTGCACGATATGGCCGCCGCGTAACCATAGCCATTGTTCAGGAGACGCTTGTGCGCATGCAGGCAATGCTCTTGGACCTGCTTGCATTGATATCGTTCCTGCACTGCGACCTCGAGCAGGGAGAACTGAGCGCAGGCTTCAACCCACTACAAATGTATGATTCGATCATGCTGCGTTTGAAACACACCGAGCTGTGTCTTTGGCTTGTAAGGAATACTGAGCAGCTTACTCAAGGAGCGGAGCCTCAAACATTGTACGAATCAATGTTTAAGGGAGGCTGGACCCCGTCACGTAACGAGGACTTGACGCTACCAGAATTGTTGACCGTCTGGAGCAGAAATTGGTGTCTTGGACTGGACTCAGGCAAGTTGCACACTATCACTGCTGGAATCCTCGGCCACCTCATCCAACACAAGCATTTCGATCTGGCGCAAGACTTCACCAAGTTCCTGCCCGACACAGCGTGGATTGCTTACCTCAAAGGCCGATTATACCTGGCGACTGGCGACTATGCGGTAGCCAGCATCGCCTTCAAGGCAGGAGCCGAAGAGTTGTCAAACCACAGTCCCAATGAGGAAAACTTCTTGTCGAACGACGAGCGCAATTACTTTGGCCGCAAAGGCCCGGCCGGAATGATGTTCTACTTTCAGCATGTTTCTTCTCTATACGAGGGGCTGAAGAACTATGCGTATACCGCAGATTTTGCTGCTCTTGCTTTGGGACAAATTGATGGCAAGAAGTTGGACCAACAGCTTAAGCGCATTGATCATCAGAAGAGCATTCAGGACAGTCCGCTACCGAAGAAGGTGGAGAATATGGGAGAGGAGCTTGCCGTCATCCGTATCAAGGAAGCCACCATCGAACTCTGGAACCGCCTTTTCAATGCCCGCGTGCAAACGGGTCATTTCGAGCTGGCGTACGACGTGCTGAAACATATCCAGAATCCTGCGCTTCAAAAGTCCAATCTGCAAACACTGTTGCAGACATGTGTGAAGAGCGACGCGGTGTCGATCTTGCTGAGTTTGCCGCTTGAAGGGGAATTGGTTTCTGAAGCGGACAGAATCCTGCTGCAACTCGCTAAGAGGAGCATTTCCTCCGGCCTGCCTTCCGGACCACCCTATCACGAGATCTTGTTCGCTTTCCGAGCGCAACATTCCAACTTCAGAGGCGCTGCAGCGATCCTGTACGAACACCTCGAACGCTTGCGGATCACGCATCGGATGGCCATTCTGGATCCTGATGATGAGACGCTGATCCATATCTACGTGTTGCTCATCAATACTCTCGCTTGTTGTGGCGAAGAAGCTTGGCTATTAGCGGATCCTCCACACGACATACCCGGTGCGGAGAGAAAGAGGAAGCTGGTGACGCTGGATGATATTAGGAGAGATTACACGGCGGAGCTTGATCGCAGGAGCGATATCTCGCAGGGCAGGTTTCCGTTGTTTGGAGGTGATGAGATGGATATGTTGTGATTCTTTGAGGGATGGTTTGAAGGACTTTGATCGAAGCGTGGCGTTTCTTATAGGTACGTTCTGCTTAGGACGATGTGACATCCAGAGACTTTCGGATCTGTCCTTTCATGGCCTTTTATTCACCCTTTTCTCGGTTCTTCTCCTTACTTGCCTTCTTTGATGATTCGATAATGTCGGCTCTAGCTCGCTGTAGCTGATGGCAGCTTTGGGTATAATACCGTCGAGGAAGCCTGCACATTTCCTTCTTCCGAAGCCACGACAGGCGCCTTTCCCCTTCCATTATCAGCTCCGGTTTCACCCAACATACGCGGCAAGGCCTCGTCTTCTGGAAGCCGCGGGTACAGCGGTGCCGGCGTGTAACTACTTTGTCGGTACCAAGCTTCCGGGTTCGAAATCACTTCGTGGCCGGTCGCCTCTTCGACCTCGCCAACTTGAATCTGCATGGGTTCTGACTGCATGTAGGAGGCGAGCACGACGCGGCGCAGATTTTCGGCTTTGGCTTCGGACCAGCCCGCGTGCATGTATTCGCGTGAGCCGGTGTATTGTGGTAGGACCAGATGATCTTTGATTGCGCGGCTCTCGCTTGGCGTAGTGCCCGGTCGGGCTACGGTGGACTGAGTTGTCTTTTTGAGGATGGGTTTCAGTGTTGAGATGGTAGTGGTTGGTTGGGAGGCCATTTTGGGCGGCGAGGGTGAGGGTGGAGCAGATCTGGAGAAATCTGTGCTAGGCAAGATCAAGGCAAGATTTTGTTGTTGCTTTCTGCGCGTGAAGGTTGTAAGTTGATCATGTCTGGTGTTAGCTCGCGTGAGGTCTTGGCGTTCACATGGAAACGCCTTAGTCATCCCTGAGCCCTCGGATTGACCCGCTGGCGGACGGGCGGGCCAGCGCTTGGACATGAGATCGATGCTTCTTGTTGGAACATTCTGGATCGGCCTTTCTTGAACTCGTGTGGCGGCGTTTCTTGCCACGATCGTTGCCTTTTCCACGGGTTAGCCGTCTTTGGAACCAATGGGCTTCCAAACTTCGTTTTCCAATTTACTTGGAGACGGCATGTGCGCTAGTATCTGTAAGTGCCATAGTAATGGGACACGAGACATCAAATACTTGGAGATGAGATTGGTATCTCATTGAAGTGGAAGTGTGGTGTGGTGATGTGCTGCGCGTGTCAAGTTTCATTGAGATTGTACGGAGCTTTGGGGGGTTTCAGGCTGCACTTCCATCAACAGATTTATTGGAGGCCCCTTCAAAATTTCAAGTCAAGATTCCAGGCGCCACCATAAAGTCTGACTTGGGAGGTAGCATGACGTTGCTTCGTGACTTGACCTACCCGTCCTCTTAACTCAACCACCTACCAGCCAATGTAAATACATTGCACTTCCGGGCAAGCAGGCTGGTCCTGCTTCGAATCGCCCATCATGCCTTCGGTTGATCAGATGCACTCTCGTAGACAACTGCCGGCCATTCGCACCGCCGAGGCGCCGCCTTCCGACATGACCCCTTCTCGATCGCGAACCGAGCCTCCTGTACCAGAACAGCAACAACGAGAAAGGTCGGGACTGCAGAGACGATTACATTCGAATAGCCTTCGTCACAGAGCTTTTACGAGCTCGAGAGATCACCATCGCCAGAGCGCCAAGGTGACCGTCCAGTCTGCCATTGAGCTCAAACCTCCGATCAGCTTCGACGCTTTTCTGCGCCGGGATAGGAAGAGCCCCGATTCAAGCCGAAGGGGCAGTGGTGGTCAACAACTCAGTCAACAACAGATACAGCAAAACGGATGGATTGCACAGCAGCAGGCGAAGGAAGCAGAGCGCCGGAAGGTGAAGCCTCTAGACGTCAGAAAGGCGAAAGAGGAGAATGCATTCAGAGAGAAAGAGCTCAGAGATAGCTTAAAAGGCGTGGAGGAGATTGCTATGAGTAGTACTCGGCAGCTGGATGACACATACTACTCTATCTTGGAGAATGCGTCCATGCTGCGGTCTACTGTTGCTAGTCTCCAGCAACTTGCCGAAGAGAGCCGGAGGATGCATTCTACTTTCCAAGAAGACACTGCGAAACTTCAAGAGGACACACAAAAGAACCTCGTTGCTTTTCATAATTTCGAAGGGCAAGAAAAGATGATCAACGACCTCGTCGGCCAACTCAAGAATTCCAAAACGCGGACCGGCAAGCTCAACGATCGCCTTGAACAATGTCGCAATCGCGTGGAAGCTTTCGAGAGGAGAGAGAATGCAAGGCAGAAGTCCCGTCGGAAGAACTGGGGCATCGTCTGGGCTGTTGTGTTGGGATTCGTCGTCTTCGTAGTTGCTGTTATAACAGCGAAGAATCGCAGCATCGTTGGCACAAAGGTATATCATGTTGCGAAGGTGTTGGATTCTTTGGGCAACGAAGTTGGCGCGACGATTACAGGCGCGTTGAAACCGTCGGCCAGCCCGAGCGAGGACCCTTACCTGAAGCGATTATTTGACCAACTTTGAGATACCCCTTGTATGCGAGAGTAGGATGTGGCTTTGTTCCTGGCCAGATGTGGGACCGTAGCAACCCCCAAAAAGTCATCAAGAGAGGGTCCCCTTTCCGTAGCATTTCAGAACCGAAGCTCAGCCCTCGGGATTCCAAGTAAGCTTCACGGCCAAGATTTTCGTAACACGAGACACCCTGGCCAGCTACATGTGACGCATCTTCGATTGACCACCACTTGCGGAAACACTCAAGGCCTTGACAAAGGTCGCCACTCGGTCATACCTCGGCACAACTAATTTTCACCTTCTTATACAATCCGGCTCTAAACTTTCATATCCAATGAGTTGATTTGGATGGGTAGCTCCATTAGTTCAATGGTAGAATGCTTGACTACGATTTCATATAAAGTAATCAAGAGGTTCACGGTTCGAGCCCGTGGTGGAGCTTCTCTTTTTGATAATTTTTTGATCGATTTTCCTATCGATATGATGTACTAGAAATCGATGATGATGTTCCTTTCTTTTGACAATTCGGTCCAGCGTCTTATTCAATCCGGTTATGGAGATAGAATGAAGGACGACGGATGTTAATTCACATGAAAGTGAAAGGTGATATAGAATCATCTATGCGGAGTGCGTGGGAATTCCACATTCTGCAGACGACAGCGCATTTTGAAAGACCAGGGTGAGGAAAAAAGCGAGGATGGACAGTGCAAACTCTAGTGACATGCTACATGTGATTGTCTAAAGTGAATTTACCAACGATCTTCTTGCACCACGAACAAACTTGTCTCACCGGTAGGTTTGGTTCTCTGCTACGAACCACTTTCCGAACAGTTCAAATCTCGCATATGTTGCGATCAGAACGGCTTCCAAGGCAATCCCAACTCTCTGGACAACCTTCTCGTCGCCCCCGACGTCCCACTGGACTAGACCGTCCCCGTCTGGATTTCCGGTCTCGATGAACTTGATCCAGAATCCGTTCATGGCCTTGTCAAACTTGTAGTCTTCCGCCGTCTTTGGGAGGTCTGTAGTATCGTAGAGATCGTTAGAGACATAGTTGATTTCACTCTCATGATAAGCTCCTCCGCTCTGACCTGGAGGCGCATGGTCCCAAACACAGTTGTAGACGGATTCATTGCTAATGTTCTGGTAGAGATGGGACCATATACATGTACCCACTTTGGAGCGGTCGTCCCATTGGGCGTTCTTGGCCATGGTAGCGCTCTTGGTATCGTTGGCAGGGTATGCTCGGAGGAATCTATCGAGCCATTCGCCACTGGAGGTTGACGGTGGCGTTCTGGCAGGCGGCGCCGCTTTCGTCTTTGGTATTGCCGGTCATGACGGGGACTTTGTTCGCGGAGCCTTTACGGAGAGTATCATGATACGTAGACGACATGGCGTATTGTGGTCGGATAGTCCCATATCTGGATGTAAGTGTATCAGCGGTAGACAGAAATGCGAAAGTTCTGATAACTCCTCCCTTCCAGTAGGCACCAAGAGGCGCTGCTGCGTGGTCAATAGCAGACATAAGAGCCTCATCCACGACTTCTCCTCCTCCTCTCTCCAGCTATCTGTGCAATCAGGCTTAGATCAAGTGTAGTATCTGTTCTTTCGTAGGGTAAAACTTTCGAATCCAAACCACATTGCCTAAATTCTTTTTACCAAGTCCACAAGGCCGATGGGTCTCGATACGTGTCGTGCAGGACGGCGTGTCGTAGACCTGAGCACTACCATTTGCTGATGCAAATCAATTCTTTCCATCATCGACTCTGGCATTTTGGACCCTGGAGGATGGGAGCAGAGCGGCATGTGAAAGGTTTTATGAGCGTTTAAGATCTACGCCTTTTGGGATCCGGGGTTCTACCGGTAAGGTAGGTGCACTCGAGATCACTGTTTCCTTTTCTGTAAAAGACAGACATTGCTGCGACTTCCAGATTTCAGACGACACTTTGCGAAGGCGACAAAGATGGCAGGAAATGGTGTGATACAACCTGGCATCTTCGAGGATCTGCAGAAGAAGATTGATGAAGATACTGCGGTGAAGGATGTACGCAAAGCCCACCATCATCATTCGCGATTTCGTTTCGAACTTTGAGAGTGCTGACTTTTGAATATTAGCAATTGCGGGATATTGTACAGAGTCTGGAGAAGCAGAGTATGGGATACGATATGGCATGTCTTTGGCTTCTTCTACTGATCATTGAATGCAGATCGCGCTACGCATTCCATCCTCTCCAGGGCTCATTCTACGAAAACCGCGGACTGTATGTGCAAATGCAAATGCCCTTGCGGAACCTTGACTCGTTTCGTTACTGATGTATGAGATTAGTGCCTGCAATCGTAGCGGCCGCCCAGAATAATATCGGAAATGAGGTGCAGAGCATCCAGCAGCTTGCTCAAGTGGCGTCCAAGTACCCTTACTACCGTTTCAACTATGCCTGGTCACGACAGATTGAGAGCTCGGTATGCGATCTCGCGTGTCTTGTTTAGCAGAGAAATACTAATGGTAGTTTGCAAGTGCTTCTCAATACTGCTTTGTGGATGGCTGGGAGGCTTTGGGAAGGGCGAGACTGGGCAGCTTCTTACCCTGGAAGACGTCGGTGGTATCATGAATGGTGAGGCTCTGTTTCGTGTGCTTGTTGATTGATTGCTGACAAGATTCGCAGTACCTGTGAACCTCAAGGACCGCGATGAGTTCCATCTTACGATTGAGGAGTACCTGCTGTCTCTCATTTCTCTCCTTGACGAACTCGTAAGTCGTGGACACGCTCATGGCAAGCATAGATTTCAAGGTCTAACAAACTCAGGCCCGCCTTGCGCGCAATTCGGTAACACTAGGAGACTATCGCCGGCCACTGCAGATCAGCCAATTCATCAAAGACGTTCACGCTGGCTTCCAGATCCTCAATCTGAAGAACGACACCCTTCGCAAGCGAAGTGACGGAATCAAGTACAGAGTCAAGGAAGTCGAGGACGTGGTGTACGATTTGAGTCTCCGAGGCCTTACGCCAAAAGACTAGAAATCTCAACTCTGAAGGCTCTGAGCGCCGCTGCATAGGGGAGAGAGAAAAGTTTTTGCATCATCCCCAAACACTAGTCCCCCGGACGCCTTGCAATGCAATGCTGTCATCGACCCTTTCCTTCCATTCTACTTGTACACATGGGAGCGTCTGTCCTCCTCTTCTCCTTGCGGGAGAATTATCGTCCCATGCCACCCATTCCGCCCTGTTGCGCCATGAGCGCATTCTGCTCTTGGAAGCGCTCGCCTAACCGCTCGGAGCTCTTCAAGAACTTATCCACGCACCGCATGACGCAGCCTTCCTCCTTACTGGCGAGGCTCTTGGATGTGAAATCGTTGACGCAGTCGTTGAAGCAGCGCTGGACGAGGTTGGAATACAAGTTCATGAAGTCTTTCATTTGTTTCCTCTCCACGCGGGATTGCAACTCGCGCTGTTCTTGCTGGGTGAGCCTATCGGGTAGGACATGTCAGCTTGCGAGTATCGCTCTTGGCGGTAGGAGGATGCGATGGAGCGGTGGGTGGTCGATTGACAAGAGGATGCAATGCTGGTGGAACATACATGTCCATTCCGCTCATGATGGGCGATGTTCTGTTGGTGGAAGATGGAGAATTTGACGATGTGGGATAATGTCCGAGCTGCTCGATGATGTCGTCGAGGAGGCGCAAGTCGAGAGCAGTGTCGGTGATGGATCAGTAGTAGTAGTGTAGAGCAATGATAGACAAGCTTCGTCGCAGCAAGCAAGCTCGGTCGGAGATGGAAGCTCGGGAGACTCGGGCAGATCCGAGATGGCCTGCCTCACACAGTGCTCAGGCCAAGTCAGGCATGGCATGGTCACCTGACGATGGCTAATGCTGGGCTGAAGAAGCGCCCCGCGGCTGGTGTCCATGACATGACGCATCTTCTACGTGCATCTAGATATCCCACAGCTGGATCCTGTAGTCCTGGTCGTGTGTGAATGGGAGGAGTCGTGCTTGATTTTGCGGTGCAGGCTTACATCTCCCTTGTTGCTATTTTGGGCGGGGGTCGAAGTGGGAACTGGAGCAGGACCGGACCAGACCAAACCAGAACCGACCTGGCAGCAGCAGCAGCAGCAGCAGCAGCAGCACCTCACCAGCAGAGCAAGCAGTGTGCAGTGCAAAAGCTCCCCTACCTTACCGACCACTCAACCTAATACCAACCTCACCGACACGCACCGCCGCCAAGCTTGCACCCGGTACTCCAACTCCCGCGACACTGCAGCCCAGCGCGGAACAACAGCTGTGTTGCCGTTGCGCTGCGTTGCGTTGCTTTTCTTTCCTGTCCTGTGCTTGACAGAGCTGCGCAGCGGTGATCTGCTCCGTCCTGTCTCCAGTCTGCTGCTGTTGTTGGCAGCCTTCCGATCGTCGCTCATCTGCCACTGCCTCGCCTCGCCGCGCCTTGCCTCGCCTCGCTTCGCCTCCAACTCCTCCACCCGTCCACGTCCACGTCCACGTCCACTACACCGCACCGCACCGCGCCGCACCGCACCGCACTGCATTGCCGACATCATCAGAACAACATCCCACCGCCGCCCGTACAACGCGCCATTTCACGCCCATCATCCAGCGGCAGCGATATCTACTGACTCTGTTCTCTCGAATCTGCCGCCGTGTCGCGTGCCACCACCCGCGCGTCTCTACACCGCCGCGCCAGCCTGGAATATCGCCTGCATCCTTGCATCTATTCATCTCGCCGTCGCATCCAGCGCATCGACATCTGCACACGATTCAGCGCATGCTGTAGTCCGGCATGACAACGAGCGGTCCTTCGACCGCGGCTGCAGGCGCAGGCGGCCCTAAACCGGCGCCCCATCACCATCATCACCATCAGCCTTCCCAGAGCGAGGCTGTCAAGGAGAAGAAGGATTTGGCTAGCTGGTGGAAGAACTTCAAGAGGAGCGACAAGAAGGCGGAGAATCAAGGTACGCATGCACGTTGAAGCGAAGCAAACATGGGCTGTTCTGGGCGCGATATACTCTTCCCCTTGCGAGGAAATAGCTCCCGAACTTGCCCATCCGTTGCCATATCCTCGTTCCGAGCTCCAGTGGTTGCACTGGGAGGCTGGTGGACACCTGCGCGCACACACATACCTACCAATCTACTGGTTCTAACAAGGCTACATAGCTCTCCCCCAAGGCATCTTCGGCGTGCCATTACAGACGAGCATTCGATACGCCAATGTCGCCATCAGCCTGTTCAACGATGATGGCCAGAGTTACATCTATGGCTATGTGCCCATCGTGGTTGCCAAATGCGGAGTGTTTCTGAAAGAGAAAGGTGAGCCTCGCGTTCTTTGGAAACTTGAGAGCTGGCTCTGATCCTGCGCAGCGACCGACGTAGAAGGTATATTCCGACTTGCTGGGAGTGAGAAGCGCATCAAGGAGCTCCGTGTCGCATTTGACAGTCCTGATCGCTATGGGAAAGGTCTAGATTGGACAGGCTACACTGTTCATGATGCAGCTAACATTCTCCGACGGTATTTCAACCAACTACCGGAGCCAATCATTCCGTTGGAATTCTACCAAAAGTTTCGCGATCCTCTCAGGAACCATCAGGCCCAAGCCGTGGGAGTCATAGAATCTCAAAGTCCAAGCGAAGGTGAATTCGACCCGGAGGCTGCCATCAAGACTTACCAGGCGCTTATCACTGAGCTTCCGCCGTTGAACCGTCAATTGCTGTTGTATATTCTGGACCTTCTCGCAGTTTTTGCGAGCAAGTCGGACCTCAACAAAATGACCACGACAAATTTGGCCGCGATATTCCAGCCGGGCATTCTGAACCATCCACAGCATGACATGGCTCCTCAGGAATATCGACTAAGCCAGGATGTTCTGATCTTCTTGATCGAGAACCAAGACAGCTTCCTGATCGGCATGCAAGGTACTGCAGCGGATCCAGAAACGGTCCGGGAGGTGCAGAGTGGGACACCACCCAAACCTCCCACAACACCGACAACACCAAACAGGGCAAAGACCGTCATTGGGAGGTCCGGTTCCAATTCGAGTGTCGCCGCAGAGAGCGTACGAAAGTGGGGAAGCATACGTCGCAACGTTTCAGTGTCGAGCAAACACAGCAAGAGGTCGGAGAGCGGTCCGGCTCCAGGTTCTCCAGCGCCTGCGACGCCGACGAGTGGCGTGCAGAGGAGTAATACCGTTCCTTCCAGGAGAGGCGAGAGCAACGCGCAATCGCCTCAGCTTTCACGGGACAAGAACTCTGATCCATCTACGTCGAATGCTTCTAGTGCAGGCGCACAGGTTGTATCATCACAGGCAGCTGCTGCGCCTATTGTCGAAACCACTCTGCAGCGACCTTGGACAGCTGGCAACCATAGCTCTGTCCAAAACACGCCCACGACTACCACTGCGCCGCAGTTCCCGGCTCCCCCTGAGATCACCTCGGCTTCGTCCAGTGAGGCGACAACACCGCTTGCTGCGGTTGGAAGCGATACCTCTGTTGCTGCAACAAGGGACTACCAAACACCCAAGAAAGACACTGTCCCACTGTTGGCGCCTGGCGCATCCCATGAACGCCCGGCCGACAGATCGGTGCCACACGCTTCGTCTGCATTAGCTGGCCACAAAGGATTCCTGGACATCCTCAAAACATCCCCGGGCAGCGATGGTGAACGACGCAAGCCTAACAAGCTGCAGAAGAAACGCATCCCTGGTTCGGCTTTGTCCAGCGCGCAGTCCTCCAGTCAATCTTTGCACGAAGACTCTCTAGAGACACAAAGGTCGCCACAGTCGCCCACTATTGCGACTGTGGCTCAGATTCCGGCGCCTGGAGCCAGCGAGGCGAGAGGCGAGCACACTGAACGTGGCGACCAGTCCACCTATGCTACAGCACAGAACACGCCCACTGCACAGGCCACGCCTTCTCAACTGCCCACTGATAACACGACATTGAGGCCAACTGTGTCGCCGTCGAACTCGTTTCAATCTCACACGGACATGTCAGACGCTGATCTGGTAGGGGATGACATGCCACCGCTTGGCGACGAGCAAGAGAGGAAGAAACGCAGATGGCGCTTCTCCCGCACGCAGAACAAGATGGAGCAGCCATCGACCCCTGGCAACCCTTTGGGAACGATGACGGCCAAAGATCAGGCCATGTCGAAGTCTACAATCGGCAGCGGAGGCTCGCTACCACGCAAGAGTATGCAGGAGCCCATCCAAATTGCATCCGTCGCCACGGATCCGGCCGTCGGAGGCCCGGTGCATAGCCAGACAATGCAGTCCTCGAACACTGCGGACACGGTATTTTCGGATTCTGAGCGGGAAAGGAAGGGGCCAATGTCGTGGCTTCGTAACAAGATCCAAGAAAGGAAAGACAAAGATGTCGAGAAACGGTCTCGGACGCCAGATCGTGCTCAGGGTCACGAACGTACGAGAAGCAAGCAGGACCTGCCGCTTTCGAAGGAAGCGACGCCTGCGCGTGGAAAGTCTTTCGAGCAACCAAGGGGCAGAGAAGGGGCTTTCGCGTCTCAAGCGACAGTAATGCCGAATACGATCAATCCCGTTGGAGCTCAGACTATCACTGAGAGCAGCGCAGGGGTATCGCAGCGGTCGGGCACTGCGAATGGCAGCACGCCGGGAAAGGTTCCAGAGGTTCCATTGGATGCTAAGGTGGAGCCGCCGAGGCCAGAGCCAGCCGCCAAAGGTGGAGGATGATGAGTGCGAAGAAGGGGCTCTGCTTGGTGTCCTCTGGGTCCATCATGGCAGCGAGGGTCTGTGAGAAGCGAGCGACATGTGCGAGAATCTGACTGGATGGGAGGCGAAGAGGAGCTGCCTGCGCCAGGTGTTTCAGAAGATGCAACGTGGAGGCGGAGCTCCGGGCAAGCTTCTCTTGCCGCGGGTGGGACGCTTTACCTGCCTGCCTTTGATGATTATCTTTCGAGTACAAGCTGAGATGAAGAAGGTATGTCTATAATGAAGTAGTTTTTCTGAGAGAGAGGGAAAAGGGAAAAGGGAAAGGGGAAAAGGTGGGAATTGATTGAGTTCGGATTCACGAGAGGACGAGGAAAAGGAAAGGCAAAGGAGAGGAGAGGAGAGGAAAGGAAAGGAAAGGATCTGGCGGTTGAGAGGGATTTGTTCTTTCTGTACATACAAAAGACTTCGGCAAGCTCCGTGCATGCAGCTTGCATAGAAGGGACGCGTGTTGCTATTCGAACCATGACCATTTTTGGTGTGCTCGCACGATGGTCGGCGTCGACAGCAGTGGCAAGAAGTTTGGTATCATGTGTGCTGTACACACCAATATTGTTGCGTCTATTATTATAGTTTTTCGAAGATGCCTGGTCTAGGGATGGGATACTGGAATAGGCGAGTTGTGACGCAGCTTTGGCATGGATTGGTGGGCTGTGACCAAAGCCCGGGATATGGATCAAGCTTAAGCTTTCAGAGCTCAACGAGAGTAAAATGGAGGGTCAATAATTATCTACGATGTAGAATACGTGTGTGAGGGGATATCATAGTCGACGCGCGGGGAAAAAGGTGCCGTGATGCTTTAACAAGTCAAGGCATGGCGGGGACGATCTCTCTTGGTAACACGGGTAACGTGTGGTGGTGGAGGAGATGGGGAGATTCTGGGTTTGGCGTGTCCGGCTTGGCATATCGATGAGCTCCGCGGCGCTCGTATCGTATAGGTGATGGGAATGGGATGGAGGGGGCGAGCCCAGCAGAACAGAAGGATGCGTTAGGGCCGCGAGAGGTGTTAGTAGGCATTAGTTTATGAAGGTTGTGCGCGCGGAGGAGCTTCTTTGCCATGTTTTTCCGAAGGTGGTGGTGGACGTGACCGGGAAGAGGGCTTCGAGATCTCTTTTTTAGGCAGGGAATGGGAGGCTTGATCAGAGCAGTCTATACCCAGGGACGGGGGTCCGGATTTGGAGGCTCGGGATGCGGTGTTACGGATGGATCTTTCTTCTTTTGTTCATGTCGATGCACAGATGCACGGGATGCCGATGTTGTGCGAGGTGGACGGGACCTTGATGGTGGTGGGGTGGCTTTTTACCGAGCACAATTGTTCATCACACACGGGCCGGGCTGACGATGACGTCCTCGGCTCATCAGATGTTGTGCCAGAAGTGATTGAGTTCAGCCGCTAGGAGCTAGGGACTTGTGGGAGTTCGGGAGTGCAGATCTTCTCGTACTCGACTGTCTCACAATTCCCACGGCAGGCACGCTCGGGCTGTCCTGACCGACACGATTATTGCTTGGCTGCCACCGTGTGCTGGCAGCTGCGACCCACAACCGTGGCCCGGACGTCGACGGTGGAGTCGCTTCCCTGTCCGAGTCGTGGAACGTGAACTGGTCTGTGGGTTTTTTTATCGGTGCAGCACGGATTGATCTCTTGCCTCTTTCTCTTCCCTACCTCTACCTTACTTCACCTCACCTCACTCACCTGTCTCGGACCACCATCGCTATACGGGAGGAAGGACAGCACTGTTTTACGGCAAGCAGGAAGAATCATCAGCAGAATACGAGAGCCGAGGACTGGACGCGGTCGGATGGGACCGATTGGATTCGCTTGGACTTCTATCTTGGTGTTGCAACCTTCCCTCTTCCGGATCGCCGCCCGTTTCTAGCAGCAGGTAGCACAGTAGCATTGCGACTTTGGCCCAGCCACTTGCACGTGGCGTGCGAATGCGCTGACTGGTGAGTATGCGACACCTCTTTACCGCCGTCTTGTACGCCGCTTTTCATTCTACTTATCTCTGACATGTTCTCTGTATAGCCCAAGCCATTCATCTCCATTGCGAGCAGGTCTCTGCAGTTTCCTCCAAAATCACCTTGGCCGTCAGCATGCCCGCGCTTCGATCGCTCCTCCTCCTCCTCGCCCTCTCCACCGTCTCGTTGGCATGGCCGCAGCCGGAGACACAGCGGGAGGACAGCGAACCTGAGAGCGGCATCGTTCCTCAGTGGGAAGAGGTCGTCAGAGCCCTGCCGGGAGAGTCGTTGGAACTGGCTCTGGAGGGCAATCTGAAGCCGAAGTATCGCGAGGGCGTCTTCGAGCATGGACACGAGGCCATCGAAGCCGTTCACGGCGACGATCCCGGCCTTGCTGAAAAGCTCGTGGAGTTGGCTCGTCAAGATGCGGACGCGAAGGACTACCTGCGCAAGCGTCAGAACGACAACACCACGACCTCGGCGGGCGTTTCGAGCACCGCTACTTCAACCATCAGTAGCGACGCCCCGACCACGACGTCGACGACTCCGACGACGCAGTCCCAGGCGCCCACCACCACCACGACCTCCCCTACTACCCCAACAACGACCCAGCAGCCTTCGTCGACGCCCACTACCCAAGGTCAGTCTCCAAGTTCCACCCCGGGAAGCTCTTCGCCGTCGGGCAGTTCAACTCCTACTCCTACCACCATCACCACCACTTCTTCCCCCGTGACGTCGCCGACAAGTTCTCCAGGTGAGAGCTCCCAGCCGCCGACCACATCTTCTCCTGTGACGTCGCCCACAACTTCTCCAGGTGGGAGCTCTCAGTCGCCGACCACGTCTTCTCCTGTGACGTCGCCCACAACTTCTCCAGGTGAGAGCCCGACGCAGCCGACTACGTCTTCTCCTGCTCCTTCGCCAACGACGAGTTCTCCAGGTGAGAGCCCTCCCTCCTCTGGCGTTCCCGAAGCTAGCTCGACTGTCACTCGTGCTGGCACTACCGTTGAAACGCCCTCTCTGGTTGCAGTACCGGCCCCGGCGCCCTCGAGCACCAATACGCCAAATACCGTGACTACTCCTTCATCGGATGTTTCTCCTCCTGTTCCTTCTTCCTCCTCCTCCTCCTCATCATCATCATCATCACCGTCGTCTTCGTCTTCGTCTTCTTCTCAAGAGCAGGGCTCACAAGTTACTTCTACAGCTACCACGGCTCCAACCACCACGACAAACAGTGATAACGACAACAACAACGGACAGACGACAACCACAAATCAGCGTGGCTCTTCATCTTCACCCGCAAGCAATCCTTCAGCGTCGAGCTCCGGCTCTGGCGGCGCCTCTGCTGGTGGCGGCAGCTCGGCGTCAGGAACCACTCAAACTGGCGTTCTGGTGCCGGTCCTAGTCACCACAACCGACTCAGCAGGCGGAACGACCGTGCGAACGACTGACGCATTCGAGAACTCGGCGCAGACGAGCGTCGCAGTACCTGTCACCGTGGTCAACAGCCAAGGCCAGACCGTGACCACCACCTCCATGGCTCCTGCAGCAGTCATCACTTCTACAGATAGCCGTGGCTCGGTCAGGACCACCACCTCGCCACTCACTAACGTGGCAGTCGCTCCAGGTGGAAGCATTGTTAGCTCAGCGCCTTCGATGTTCACGACCACAGACAGCGATGGTCAGGAAGCGGTTCTTACGAACCCGACCCCTGGAGGCGTGTACACTGTGACCGATGCACAGGGCAGGATTGCCACTATTACTTACACACCAGGCGGCGGCGGCGGCGTCGTCAGCCAGCTGCAATTGGCTACCACAACTCTCGCCAACGGCCAGCGATCTACCATCACGTCCTTCGCAGTTGTTGGTGGCGCCGCGACATCAATTCCCGCCGGCACACAATCCAGTGGCAGCGCGGCTTCCACCTCCGGAAAACCCGGACTGCAATCCGGGGCAGCGACGTTTTCAAGCTGGTATGCGGCCGAGGTCGCCATGCTTGTTGGAGCCGCCATCGGAGTTGCTGGAATTGTATTGTAAATGGTTTAGTTTTTAAAGGGCATGGAATGGGTGCATATGTATGAAAAGGGAAAAAGCGAGCATGTACATGAGTGTAACGAATCTTGTGGATCTTTCAAGAGCATAGCGAAAGGATATAATGGGTGGCATGGGAATATACGACCTCAGCAAGCGAGTAATATCAGTGCGAGGGAAAGCTCCGACGGCATATGAATATAATGATTATGAGTGTGCATCTTACTTCTGCGTTCTTCTTGGGCGTATTATGTGTTGAGAATATGTCATTGATTGAAGTGAAGAAATCAGTCGTACTGTTGAATCATGTGACAGTGAAGAGAGCTGCATACTGCCCTGGACAAACATATTGTGCCTTAGCGGCAGGCAGGGCAAGGCCAAGCATGTGAACGAGCTGAAGCTTCGGAAGGACCCTGAAACAGCCGGACCTCAGTCCGTGCTGAGATATACTTGTCCTCCACCACCACCTTCCATCCTTGACAAACTACGAGATCAATGCCTCCACGATAACCTCCGGCGAATCGACGCAGCCACATTCGCAGCTGTCCAGAAGAACAGAAAGAGGCACTCGGTCATGAACGGATTCAAAGACCATGACCTCGACGAAACCAACTTCGGCGAGACCAACGCCCTAAACGCCGTCAAAGCATTCGACGCTTTCCCCAAAACCAAACCTTCCTATACCGAACGAACATCCACTGGTGGCGTGTGGACCGTAATCCTCATCTGCGCTTCCCTGGCTCTCGCCTGGAGCGAGTTGACAAGATGGTGGAAGGGCGAGACAACACATAGTTTTGCCGTGGAGCAAGGCGTCGGCCACGATTTACAAATCAACCTGGACGTCGTCGTGGCGATGAAGTGCGAAGACATACACGTCAACGTACAGGATTCCTCCGGGGATCGCATCATGGCGGGACAAGCTCTGGGGAAAGATGCCACGACTTGGACGCAGTGGGGTGCGAACCGGAAAGCGCATGCATTGGGGGCTACGAAGGAGGAACGGCTGGATTTGAGTGGCTATCCCGGGTTTGGGGAGTATCGGGAGGAGGATGTACACGATTATCTGGGGGCGGCGCAGACGGGAAGGAAGAAGTTTAAGAAGACGCCGAAGGTGCCGACGGGCCAGCAGGCGGATAGTTGTAGGGTCTTTGGGAGTATGCACGGGAATAAGGTACAAGGGGATTTCCACATCACAGCGCGGGGACATGGGTATATGGAATTCGGAGCGCATTTGGATCACAATGGTAAGTTCCCAACATCATCATCATCATCATCACAGACACATCGCGGTCTTCGCGGTGCAGGAAGGATCGATACTGAACGCTTGCACAGCTTTCAACTTCTCCCACCACATCAACGAGCTCTCCTTCGGACCATTCTACCCATCCCTCACCAACCCCCTGGACAACACCTACGCCACCACGGACGCCCACTTCTACAAATTCCAATACTACCTCTCCGTCGTGCCCACCATCTACACCACGGATACCAACTCCCTGCGCCGCATCGACAAATACCACGAATCCCCCTCCAGCGGCGAAGACGGCCTCAAACACTCCCCCTACCGCCACAGCACGCACACCGTCTTCACGAACCAATACGCCGTGACCGAGCAGAGCCACGCCGTCCCCGAAAACGCCGTCCCGGGCGTGTTTGTGAAGTTCGACATTGAGCCGATTCAACTGACGATCGCGGAGGAATGGAATTCGTTTCCGGCGCTTTTCATTCGGTTGGTGAATGTCGTGAGCGGATTGTTGGTGGCTGGAGGCTGGTGTTTTCAGATTTCCGAGTGGGCCAAGGACGTGTATGGGAGGAGGCGGAGGAGGGAGGATGGGATTGGGATGTTGAATGGAGGGCTTCAAGATGAGAAGAGGGGGTTATAGAGAGTTTTGTGTTGTTATTGATAGATGCTATCTTAGAGAGAGAGGACTTTTTTATGGACCAATTTATTCGCATGCACTCTGTTTCTCAATTTCTTTCTAATGCTTCCGTTTCCTCTCTCTCTCTCACTCACTTACAGATCTGTCAGACAACTCCCCCCTTTCAATCCATACGCCTCCACAATCCTCCTCCCCACCGCCTCACCCGACCAATACGCCCCCGTACTCGTTCCCAAAGCCACAAAGGGAGCCGTATGCTCGCCCGCAAGCCACACGCCCCTCTCGGGCAATCCCTCCCTCATGACTGCCACGTCTTCGTCCCCCCTCTGCAACCCGACCTGGAAATTCGCATACGAACCATAACCCGCGAATGTATCGACCGCCCAGCCCGTCGCGAGCACCGCGCGGGGCGTACAGGCCGGGTTGGCGCGGGAGTAGTTGGGCAGGAGGGAGTAGTAGGGTTCGAAGAATTGCTTGAGCTTGGAATCGGAGGAGTCGGAGTCTTCTTCATCGGGCTGGAGGAGGAGGGAGCCGATGGCTTCGCTCTGGGGACCGTGGATGTAGAAGAGGAGGGTGGGATGGGCGCAGGAGGCGGGGGTGAGGGCGGAGAAGTTTACGAGTTCTTGCATCCATTGGCGAGGGTTTGTGGTTCTGGCGTAGGTGGGTTGGAGCCAGTGGATGAAGCCTGGAGATTTGGAGGAGGAGGAGGAGGAGGAAGAAGGGTTGTCGTCTTCGTTGTTGTTGTTGGAGGGAGGAGGTTGGTGGAGTGGAAATGTCTTGGCGGTGACGTTGGGGGTTGTTCCTGCTGGGTCGATGCCGTGGGGTGGAGGGTCTGGGGTTGAGGCGGTCGGGGTGTCCCAGAAGGCGCTGGGGAAGGTGATGTATACTTTGTCGAGTTGGCCGTAGGAGATGTTGTCGATTGCGGAGGAGAGTCTTGGTGGGAGCTCGGGGTGGAAAGCTGCTTTGTTGCGCTTGAGCCAGCCCAGCGGTGTTGTCACCACAATCTCGTCGAAGCTGAGGACTTGACCCTGGGCAGTTCGTACGCTTGGGCGAGTCCGTGGATTGGAGCCGTGGGGCTGGCCAGAGTAGTAGTCATTCGTGGCCCCATTTCCTGTCGACGAAATCTCTACCACCTCGGTGTTGAGCATGATGTCTGCGGCCTTCTTCGCAGGATCTGCCACTGCTTGCAGGATGTCAACGTAAGTTCCGGCCACGAATGGGTTCTCTCCTTCGATGCACTCTTCCAGCCAAAAGAACTTGAGAGACTGGCGATCCACGGGACTCCCAATATAGCAGCTCCACATCCAAGTGAACTGCAGCAATTTCTCCCGTTTCTGCTTTGCGACTTCGACTGGCTCGCTCTCGAACAGGTCCTTACTTCTCTCCACGAAGAAGTCGTACAGGCTCCTCTGGGGATCGATAGTATCATGATGCTCATTCGAATACCGAAAAGCATCCGCAATCAGTCCGTCATCCCACAAGATGGAGCCATACTCATCTGCTTCTTCCTTGCTAAGAGCCTGGCCCTCACTGTCAAAGATGACACAATCCTCATCCCAAGCATGCAGTTTGGTCCCTGTTTGCTTTGCAATGTCCATGATCGGATTGTCGTCTGTGCCATGGATCCAGTTCGGTCCCAGGTCGACCAGATGGCCGAGGTGAGCACTTTGGGCTACTCGTCCACCAAGTCTGTTGCGGGCTTCGAGGATCGTGACTTTGCAGCCGGCCTGCAGTAGGAGGTCGGCACATCGCAGACCCGCGAATCCAGCACCGACGATGCCAATGGTGATTTGTCTCGACTTGGCCGTGGCAGTTCGGACCATGTCGCTGTTGCTGTTGGAGGCGCCGTCCGCCGGTCGACTCTGCAGGTCCTTCTTCATCCTCGACAGGCCGGTGGCGTCGGTATATCCGACGTGTTCTGTTCTTTCCATCATGGTTAGGTGATTACTGTCGCAGGATGGAAATCTCTGAGGATGAAGATTTGGTGAGGCATTCTGCAGAATCAGTGCTCGCGCTCCAGTGTCACCACATGAGATGGTCTAGATTCGGGAGCAGCAGACGCGGCGAATGTGGAAAGCATTAAGATGAGGGACAGTGGGATGGGATATCAGCAGTTACCTACCTCAGAAGTGGAAGGTGGGAAGAGTGCACCTGCAAATCCTTCCACCAAAGCAAAGTTGGAGTAGATCTCGTGTTGAAGACGAGTCGGTCAGTCGAGCGACATCGGTCAATATCAATATCAACGACAAGACTAAGATCTCGGACTGTCGCAGGACAAGCAGTGGTGGGTAAGTCGATGGCAAAGTTGGCGGGGGAATAGTCGAGGTTGCAGACACGGTGCACGGACGTACCCGCTCTATGAGAAAACATACTGAAGCTCGATTCGTCGTACATGCTGGCTCGGTCATGAGAATGAAGGCGTCGAATGGGGCTGTCAAGAACACTCATGCATACAGGATATCTCTGCCAAGCGGTACCGTGCAACCCGCGTGTTCCAATTAAGACCAGAGGTTTCTGTATGTCGTGCAAGAACCCGTTGGACATGACAATGGCTTCGACTGATGTTGGACAAGAAGTAAAGCGGGTCTTGGCCACCGGCTCTTCTGAATGTGAAAATGGATCGTCGACACCGTGGATTATCGCCAGTTGCCCTGACTGAGAGACAATAGTCCTTGGACACAATCCATGTCATCGCCCGCTGACACATTCTCTTTCCCTCCACGCATGAAAGCAGACAACTCGGCATCGTCCTCGATGTCTGCGCCTGCAGGTCTGTGTGCCCTGCTGCGTGCATTGGCTGTCTGCGCCAATGTTCGACGACTTACACGCTCATCACCTGCTTGGCGGTTACGCTGTGCTGTCGGATTGGAATCTCTGCTGAGGAAGTCGGATGCGCCATCCGTGCTAGGGGACCAATTCTCCTTATCGGAATCATTGCCGTGGCTGCGAATGAGATTTGCTGACCCCGAATGTTTCAATTTCGGTACCGTCTGGCCTGCTTTACCCTGAAGGCGTCCTTGAGAGGTGCTTGACCTTTGCAGCGCCGCTCTCGTTTGATCCAATTTTGATCGCTTGGAAGGATGTACACGCTGCACGGCCGCCGAATTCCTCTTGGATGGCACCAATCCGAGCACGTTCCTTCCCGAGGCGGTGCGAAGCAGGCCAATGGCGCCTGTAGCTGAACCACTTGCATCTCTTTCGGCTGCCGTCTCAAGCGAGCTCCGAGCTTCTTTGTCGCACCAAAATTCCCACGCCCTGGAGTCACGAGAACGTCCACTAGTAGACCTGTGCAAGCCTTGGCCGTAGGGCTGTGCCGACGTCGGTACGGCAGTCGACACCGCGGAGGTGTCATGCAAAAGCACATTATGTTGGGGTCGTGGTGGCGATGGCGAAGATGCATCCTTCGTCACAATCTCAGCCTTGCCCTCCGCATTCATTGACAGACGGACAAGAGAAGCCGACTTCTTGAGTTTCCGGTCTGAGCTCACATTGGGCGTGACTGTTGAAGGATTCTGACTGGTGAGATCATCGCGGACTGGTGGTGCGCTTCGTCGGTTGGCAAGGTAGCCTATGGTTCGAGCTTCCAGTTGTTGATCTGGTGTAGATGTGCCAGTCAAAGATGATAGCGATAGCCGCGAGTTGGCCGGAGACGCCCCGACCGCATCCGATGTATTGCACGTTGGGTGGACAGTGGCTGTGGGCTCAGTTGCTGCATCGGCACGGGAGACAGAAGGGTCGGGTTTCATCGGATTTGGCTCACTGCTATGAGACGAAGCGTTCGTCGGCCCGGGTACTTTCGAGCTGGCACCATCGACATGACTCTCGTGATCTTGATCGGTTGCAGGCGACCCATGTCTGGATGACGAAGAGCCTGCCGGCATACCAACTCGAGACATCTGGTACTGGGCGACTTCATGTGGAAGTAAAGGCCTTGACTTGCGCCTAGAACTTTGACGCCGGTTTTGAAACCATATCTGCGGGGATAGTCAGAAATCTGAGCACCCAGGAAAGGACATAGGCGCCTGCGGAATACCTGGACTTCTTTCTCGCCTAGTGCAACCTGCTTGACGAGCTCAAGACGGGCAGCTTTGTCGGGCTTGGGATCCTTCTGATAGGCAGCCTCCAATACCGTCTGGTCTTCCTGACTACAGATGATCTCGTTAGAATCCAGAGCGAGCAGAGCAGGCTTCCTGATCGTGGACTCTACCTGGTCCGTTTACGCTTCTGGCGAGCGAGCGGTTTGTCATCGACCATTGGTGGCTGATTCTGGTGGACGGTGGATGCCGAATGGTTCAGAAACGCATAGCCATCGGAGCGGTGTGTAGACTCTGGCGGCTCCTGCTCCTGCTCCATTGCTACTGGGGTTGGTAGAGATACGGTAGTGAGAAGGTCGATAATGAGATAGCGAGGTGAGTGAGGCATCAGTGTTTTCGGGGCAGAGCTGCGGAACGCGTCGGTTGACGCGACGGCGCTCGGGCCAGTGTTTGACCCTGGTTTGGGTCTGAAGCATTCCAGTTCCAGTTCCAGTTCCAGTCCCAGTCCAGCTTCAACTTCCGACCTCCGTCGCCCAACTTCACCTTTCACATCACATCCACACACGATCCGGATCCGGACACACGAACGCCCTGTGGTCTTGTCCATCACCACCATTGGCATGAGCATCAACGCCGCTGACCATCTACCCGCAAGGTGTAATGAATCTGTCTGGGTAGACAGCTGTTCTCGCACGACACCAAATCCCCGCCTCTGCACGTGACCCTCGGACCTCAGCCGCCAAATGTTATCTCCACGCCTTCGGAACGACGGACGACATTGCGTTGTGCTGGTCCAAAGTCTACAATGTACATGCCGAACTTGCCCTACCTCACTAATCGGCCCTACGGGCGCAAGCCGAGCATTGTGCAGGCACTCACCGGTGGATCTTCTTTCTGCATGACTGTGCATGAAGCGGCGCGTGAGCGGCCGTGGAAGCGCTCGAGCTCAAGCGAGACGAGATATCTTGAAAGTAAGCTCGGAGCAACTTTTCTTTGCCGCTTCCAAAGCATACAAGCCTCAGAGAAAGTAACACGCGGCTCTACTGGTCAGGGTCGACATAGCCTTGCCTGCCCTACATCCGGATGCGAAGGCTCCTCAGAAGCAGTGATTTTCCTCTCGGCACCAGAGTCTTCGGAACCGGGAGCAGGAGTTGCTGCGTATGACCCTACATTCATTGATTCTGCAGGGCGACTGCTCATAGGCAGGTTCAAGAACAAGATGCGCACATCCGAGTTCCGAAGTGTAAATCCACATGTGTTCGTCGTCTCTGCACAAGTATGCAGCTTGCAGCATTAGACGAGTAGCTTGCATTCGTCTTGGAAGCTACTTCCCGCTCGAGACAGGCCTTGCTTATTGGGACGTCAAGACACTTGAGCCTTCCGATGCATGTCGACGACGCAGTGCCACGAAACGTTATTCGAAATCGCTTGGAAGTGTGTGTTGCGCTTCGCGAGGGATGAGCAGGCTTTATCACGAGCCCGTGGCGTCTCTATCGAGCCCAAGACCTCTCCTTCGGGCCCCACTAGCGGCCACAAAGTATTGCCAATCTACTTGTCACGTCCACGACGCCCAGGATAGTGGAAAGGTCTTGCTCTCCGATACAAAACCCCTGTGAAGTCAAGCTTCGGCTGCGTCCCAGTGCCGGGTCGAATGTCGGTACAGAGGCTTGTTCCCTCTTGCCTAGTGTATTAACCTGCATGCTCTAGGCTTGAAGATAGCAGACCGGGTCACGTCGTCATAAGGACTTCCGTCTGCAAATTCCAACGAAAGATACAACTGGTGCTTTTGCGTGAAGGCTTTTCGTCGGCGAGTTGCTAACTCACATGCAAAAGCGCCCTCCACGGGCCTTTGGCTCATTCGCTACAGTCGCTCACTCAACAACTCTGCGCTCGCCTCTGTACTATCTGTCATTAACCACCCTTGCAGGCCGCTACCCGTCTCCAGTAAACATCTTCTGGCATCGCTTGTTCCATACCCACATTCGACACAGATTGAAGGTTACATCACGGATTTCGTGGCACCTGTCGCGCCTGGCATCGACTGAGACTCACCAAACACTTGAGCAGTGTTTGCCTCAACCCTTTCTGCCCTGCTCTGCGAACATACAGTCTTCGAGGGCGCTAAGCCTTTGAGAGACCTTTGTGTGGATGGGAAGCCGACGAACCAGATCTCGAGGTGAGGGCGTAGCCTGAGAGTCCACTATGCTTCAGCCGGAGGGCCGCCGACAGCCTTGCTAATACCGATCTTACAGGACCTATCCCGGCTCAGACTGTTCCTTCGCTCGACATTCAGTGCTTCCACAAGCTCTGATTGAGTGTTGGGAATCTACGACCGTTTCCAGTCCCGTAAGGTTGCATAGCCGAGTCTCTACCCTGGACTCTGTACATACGAACAACGCGGGACAACAAGATAGGAGTCTGTCCAAGGTTCTGGAAGACTCTACTTATCTGACCCATGGGTGGTTCGTTGCCTCCACGCGTCGTGTCTTGCATCACAATGCCGCCAGACTTTACGCATGTGAAAGAGCAACCAAAGGATTACCAAGCAGATCCTGGACTGCCTGGATTGACGTGGGAGCAACGAGCAAGCCGCCAGGTCGCAGCGCAGCTTGACAGCCCGCTGTGGCTGCACACAATCCTCGCTGGTTTAAAGGTCCAAGGCTCGAAGCAATAACGCGAAAACGGAGTTTGTAATCCGAGTGCAACGAGATGTCCACAATGCGCATAGCAATAGCAGGGACTGGTGGACTGGCATGTCTCATTGCACGAGTCATCGACGAAGACACTAGCCACCATGCTATATTCTTGTCTAGAAGCGTATGTGCCTAGTGTGACCACCAACGAGCACAATGTGGGCTCCTTGCGGGCAGATCCGAATCTCCGTCGGCCTTATCTGACCCGTGTTGAGTCGCTGCTTGCAAACTGACATGTCACAGCCACAACCGCAACTTGTCAACAACGGCTATCAGGTAGCCCTTGTAGACTACAACGACGCCGATACCCTTCGATTTGCGCTCCGCGGCATCGACACTGTGAGTGAGCCGTAACACTTCAAGCTGCTCAAGCCTAGCTAAGCTAATGCGTGGTTACTTCTCCAGGTCGTGTCCACTGTCACCGGCCCCAATCAGATAGAGCTCATCAAAGCCGCTGCCAACGCACACGTAAGGCGCTTCATTCCCGCCGAGTTCGAAGGTCCCCCAGAATCGCGGTCAGCAGAAGACGACAGAGGACGGACTGATGCTCGACACTTGTTGACGCGTTTCTCGCGCCAGATGCAGTCCACCATATTTGTTTGCGGGATATTCTACGAACGATTTCAACCTGGAGGGCTGGCGCGCATTGGCATCGGGCTTGGTTCTGCCACCAGCGGCGAAGGGAACTACATCCTGAATTGCCGCTCAATGACAGCCGTGGTGCCTGCCTATAATGCGAACCAGGAACCCAATGTCACCATTTGCATGACGGCAGTGCAGGACGTGGCTCGCTACGTTTGTATGGCGCTGGAACTCCCGAACTGGCCGGCGCAGATACGGATGTACGGGTTGCGCATCTCACTTAATAACCTGGTGGACAACGTGCAGAGGCTGCGAGGTTCGTAGTGCCCTTTCCCTTACACATGGTGCACATGCTGATTCCAACAAGGAAGCACTTTCACCGCCGAGTGGCATAGTCCATACACTTTGCGATCGGCTCTTCAAGACGCTGTTGCTCAGCGGAACACCACGAGACAAAGCATTGTCCGCGGCCTTATCAGTACCGCTGAAGGTCGTTACGACTTCGCACAGACGAATCTGGGCCACCTGTTCAGCAATCCGACAGTCACGAGCTTCGATGCTTGGTTCGCCGTCAGGTGGAATTCCCAATGAGCTTGCCTGCATATCACTCGACAGACAGTGAAAAACTACGGACAAGGGTGGCACTCGATGTGAAAGGGGCGCACATTATCCCAACGCCAAAAAACCTCTACTCAAGTCACTGTCCTACAAGCAACGTCCAACAACGGGCTTCGCTATGCAGAGCAGCGAGAAGGCAGCCTCGCTAATACCATAAGCCACGACCCCGAATTATGGAAACAATGCCTAACTTTGCAATCCGCCGCCCTCCACAAGGCCTGGAAGGAAGTCAAAACTCCTCTCAGCCGCAAAGAGGGGATATTGTTGCTGCCCTAGGCAGAAACAAAAAAGGGGTGGCGAAAACCTTGTTCCCGTTCACACATGAAACTCATTTCCACCTCTTGCACCGTCTCAGGCCTCGTTCCGTGTGGCATGTCGTGGTGTTCCGGTGTAGAGGGCGGGATTTGCAAAATTCTATGGAAGGGATTCAGGTGGTTGCATGTGCATATGCGTGGCAGCAAGATGCGCTTATCCTGCGGCCTGCGTGGGAAGGACGCAAATTCAGATCACATCTTGGACGAGTAGAAGAGCTGGCACAGAAGAGTTGTATGCATTGACGTTTCTACTTTCACAGGCGCTACACCGGTATTCGTAACTCATTGAGGATCCATTACCTTGAGATCCTTCTCATGCGAACGTTGCCTCCGTCCTTCTGCTGTTCATGATCCCGCGTGGGAGTGGCCGGCCTGGTTTACCTTGCCAGAATGTGGACCTTGTTGATCTGAGGTACAATGCGACCTTAAGCGCTGGCCTCGTCGAGGTTGTCGAACTGGCCGTCACCGGTGATGTTCTGCTGCCGCGCGCCTGCTCCACCTGAGACTGGGACGTTGCTCTCCTCCTGCAAACCGTCAGCGTTCGTTGCGACTGTCACGTCCATTTCAAAGACACTCACCATACGGCCCAGAGCAACACGGCCTGGGTCGTTCTTGCCTCCGATGTCCGTCGTGAAGCTGGCGTTTGGTGCGCCGGAGTCGAAGCCGCCTTCCTGGATGTTCTTGCCCTTGGGAGCGAACGTGTCGCCCATAGATGGAGCCGGATGAGAAGCGTAGCCGGGAGCCGGACCCGCAACGCTGGACGAGTTGCTCGCGTCGCCGACGGCGGCGTTGTATGTTGGTCCCACGCCGGATTCCTTGCCGAGAGTCTTGCCCGCATTGAGCTGCGCGTTCTCGCTCCATTCGCTCGTAGCCGCGCGAGCCTCCGCATCCGGGGCTGGCTCGAGCCGCGTGGCGTTCGAGGTGTCGGTGGTGTTGGCAGTGGTGCCTGCTGAGGGCTGGTCCATGGGACCTCGTGCGTCCGAGTTGGCGGCGAAGCTGCCGCCCTCCTTGATCGACTCGCCGGCCAGCGAGTCAGAGGTCACGATGCCGGGGTTTTCGTTTTTGGGGTTGTTGAGTGCTTGCGGGTCCTTGGTGACCTGGACAAAGGATCAGTAGCTGCGCAGCACAGTATATGGGCACATGCGCGAAGCTGTGCTGAACTATATCGACGAGCTACGCGCAGGCGCAAAATGTACCTTGGTTCCCTCAGAGGATGCCATGCTGACTGATTTCCTGGTGTCTTTCAGTGTGATTTGTACGAGCAGTGGTTGTAATCAAATGTGAGTAGCGGTTCGAGTGTTTGTTTGTGTGATTGAGACGCACAGTTACATCGTCACCTCTTTTGAAGAGCAGTACCACTTCTACTTACGCTGCCATGATGTAATGTGTAGCCGCTGCGGGCCCGCATGCGTGCTAGAAGTTTCAGCCAGCTGAGCAGGATTGATGATGGTTGAGTCAATGTCACAGAACCCACTACACCCACCAGACCGTTGCGATTCATGCCCGTAAATAACAAGAGGTTGAATCAGCTGAACAACGAATCTTTCGAGCTGACGTATGGACGCCAAGATGTCTTGTTAGCATCACAGCGTCGAGAGGGGTCCGCAGAAATCGCATTTACTACATCGGGAAAAGGGTCACGAGGTGGAACTGAAAAGAGTTCAGAAGTGTTCACTGATTGTGAAAATTCGAGACGGCTTTCAATTATGCTGCTCTATCTGTCGTAGCTGCTCTCTGCTGCGTGATGCCGTTGCTCGACGCCTTCTAGGTCTGCTTAGACTCTTCTTGCTCTCATGCAAACGTGGAAATCGTGTCGCCTGTCTTCCTGTGTCCCAGGCCACGATGTAACAGGTATCCTACCGGAATCTACCTCATACATCACTCATGGCAACTTGCTGGTATCGGCTGGGTCATTGTCAGGGTAGCCGTAGTCCTTGCCAGTGGTATCCGCCAAGTTCTCCTTGTTCTTCGATCCCTGAGCCACAGCATCGTTGGGCAGGCCACCGAGACCATCGACTGCCTCACGTCCAACGCCCTGACCGAGGACGTTGCCACCGGTCACGGATGGGTCAGCTCGAACAGCGCTGTCGCCAGTTGCTGGCTCGCGGAGAGCGTCGTTGCCGTAGGAGAAGTTGCTGGCATTACCGCCGGAGCCAACGTTGACAGTCCGCGAGTCGGCGCTGGAGAAGTCGGACTGGCCTGGTGGCTGGTCTGGTAGAGGCAGATTGGCTTGACGCTCGTTGATGATCTCAGGCTTGTTCTTGTCGGCGGTGTCGGTAATGGATTGGAGGCCAGCAGCTTCCGAGTCTGCTGGAATGTTACCGCCGTGGAGTTTGGAGGTTTGCTGCTCGGTCTTGCGGATGTCCTGTTTACGTGTTAGGACGGATCGAATTGGACCACTTCAAGGTGCTTGTCAACTTACTTCCTTGGTGAGGTGGTAGGTCTCTTCGGTGCCAGACATGTTGATTGCTGTTTGTTGTTTCTCTGTAGAGCTGTCAGAGCTGGATCTTGGACGACAATTGCGATGTCTGTACCTTGTGTAAGTGGTGATGAAGGCGTGTGGTAGAGGTTGCAAACGTCCGTCGAAATGAAATTGAATTGTGTGTGCTTTCCAATTTAATAGCAAGAAGATCCCCTCCTCTAGTCAGTCGCGTGTCCAAGCTTCACAGTGTGACGTGAAGTGACGTTATGAGGAACTCGGCTCAAATTCGGTGTCTGGTGTGTGGTGGAGCGAGTCAATCAAAAGACCCATCAACATTTGAACATGCATGGTGTGACCTGGTCGTACATGCGCTGCTATCACATGGGTCACCGCGACCTCGCCGTAACATTAAGCCGTCACAACTTCCACCCCAAAAGTCTTGGCTAACGGGACATCATGGCTGAGTTGACAACGACCAAATTGGACCCGGACTCCCAACTGCTGCTGGATCAGCCACTGCTGCGACTGCCCCACGAGCTGCTAAGGAAGAACCTGAAGACCGCGCAACGGCATATTGAACAAGCTAACAAGAACATCACCAAAGATGTGCACTCAGCAGTCAGCCAGAAGCCCGATCAAGCACTGGAATCGCTAGATGCCACCCTCCAGAAAGCCCAGAACCTCAAGCGGAAGCTGGAAGCACTCCACGCCGAGGAACAGAACCTCCATCGTCAGCAACGACTGCGGATCGAGCATCTCCAGCAATTACACGAGATCCCGAGTCTCGCAGACGTCAAATATGAAACCTGGTCGCATACCCGTCTAGATCGTCTATTGGTGGACTATCTACTGCGACAAGGCTACACCGAGAGTGCAAGAGAGCTTGCGGCCGAGAAGGACATCAGAGATTTGGTGGACGTGGATGTGTTTGAGGACTGTGGCAGGATAGAAAAGAGTCTGCTGGCCGGACGAGTACAGGAATGTCTCTCCTGGTGCAATGACAACAAGCAGCCGCTCAAGAAGATTAACAGTAATCTGGAGCTGGAGCTGCGGCTACAACAGTTTATTGAGCTTGCGAGGAAACGCGATCTGAAAGATCAAGTGGAAGCTATAGTGCACGCACGGAAACATCTCTCGGGTGGACCGGATGTTGAATTCGGCCTGCGAGCGGGTGGTCTTTTGGCACATCCTCCGGATACCTTGGTGGAACCATACCGGGTGAGCGACTACTCGACTCTACCCACCAACTTACGAGCTTTGTCTAACGCTGCAAGCAGATGATGTACAGCCCCGAACGCTACACGCATCTCGCCCAACAATTCGTCAAAATCCACCACGAGCTCTTCGCCCTGCCATCCCAACCCCTCCTCCACATTGCCCTATCCGCCGGCCTCTCCGCCCTCAAAACGCCCAGCTGCCACTCCCAATACGCCCTTCAAGCGAGCGCCAACACCGGCGCCCCCGTCTGTCCCATCTGCAGCACCGAGCTCAACGAGCTCGCACGCAATGTTCCCTACGCCCATCACCCGAAGAGCCATATGGAAGACGATCCCGTCGTCCTGCCCAACGGGCGTGTCTTTGGCCGGGAGAGATTGAAACGCTTGAACGAGAAACTGGGGACGAAAGCAGGAAAGATTCGAGATCCGACAGACTTGGAATGCGAGTGGGAGGAGCGAGATTTGAAGAAGGTGTACATTTCGTAGCGAGCTTTTGATGCGCTACTTCTTTTTGTTGTTGTTGTTGTTAATAGGATACCCCACCATCAATCTGTGATGCTCGTTCTACCTTGCGACGGAATTGGAAATACAATCTCCACGAATGACAGGAATGACAGACTCTACTACTGCAAAATTTCCCAAAACTCCACGCTGCCTGTCTGCCCGTCTCCCACCAAATGCCCACCCAGCTGAGCGCCTCTACTGCATGCCGTCTGGAACGTCGTATCCGAAATTGAATGCAATGAAAGAGCAAGAGAACGCCCTTGATCCGCACTCCGACCTCACTACTACTCCTCCTCCTCCTCCCGCTGCGCCCTCGTCGGACTCTCCCCGTCCCCCCAAACCCCATACTGCCTCGCATCCTCCGCCGAAAGATAAGCCCAAGGCGCCGCCGCCGCCGCCGCCGCAGCAAGATGACTCCGACTTTCCCGTCCATGATTATTATAAACCGGCTCCCCGCCGCGGAAAGTCAGATTCGCAGTCGAATAGTCCTGCGGCAAGCTTGGTGGTGGTGGTGGTTGCTGATGATGATGAGCTGCGGTTTGTTGTTGCGGAACAATGCTATCTGGCGGGTGGAGCTGGTAGTTGGAGGGGGTGTGTGGGATGATGTCTTGGGGTTGCGGCTGGAAGAGTGAACTGCGGGAGACGGGGGAGGGGAAGGCGGTGCTGGTGGTGGTGTTGGTGGTGCCGAGGAGGGGGGAGATGGTGCCTGTGGTGGTGGAGAGGGGACGGTCGACGGGTGCTTCGACGGTTCCGGGGCGTGGGGCGTAAGGGCGGTAGGCTTGGTATGGGGAGGCGGGAGCGTCGGGGTTCGTGATGGTGTAGCGTTGTTGGGTGTTGGTTTCTTTCTCGTTCATCACGTACGGAGCGGCGGCGGCGGCGGCGGCGGCGGCGTTCGGATGCCCGAGGTGTGCGAGGGAGTCGGGCGAGTACAGATTCTGTGACGGGAGTTCGAGGGGGAGCTCATGGCCGCGGTCGTCGCCTTTGGTGAAAGAGGCGCTGGAGCGCGTCGCCGTGTCTGGCTGGGTGGCTTTGTCGTCGTTCTGGGGGTTGTTGGATTCTGGCTCCTGCTTCGAGCCGAAGAGTCTCGTTCGGAAGTAGAAGATGAGACCTGCAACGACTAGAGCGACGCCTGCTGCTGCTCCGCCTGCTATGCCACCAACTGCTCCCGACGAAAAGCCATGCTTTTCCTCTTGCTGTGGTGAAGGTGTTGGCGTGCTGGTGGAGTCGCCGCTCGTAGCCGCTGGATCTTCGGTCGAAGATGCAATATCAGCGGGAAAGTTTGAGGTGATGTAGACGACCACGACACTGGTGCCACTGGTGCTGGTCGAAGGGACTGTGGTCGCCGGAGATGTAGTGAATGAAGTCGAGCTGGAGGTGGACGTGATTGTGGTTGATGATGCAGTTACCGGAAAGCCTTGGGCATCCACCTCGACGCCTGTCATGGCTGGGTTTACGTAGGATGTGGTCTCGGTCCTGGGACCCCCTGCCATATCGCACCAATGGATCCACTGTCCATTCGCAATGTTTGTAATGGTATAGCAGTACGGATACGATGACTCCGAGCTGGAAGACGTCAGTCGTGCATTTAGCGACACTTCTACGAGGGCTGCTCACCATGTCAGGCAGCCGCCAAGGTCGATGTCACAAGAAGTCGTTATAGAAGACTGGTATTCGATGCAAGTCGTCCGAGGTGCACAGCGGGTAGCGGTGCAGCACCCTATCAAGCCGTCCGTACCGGTATAGCAAGTGCCGGAGGGGGCAGGACACGCCATTGCGTTCCCTCCATCGCAAAGCTCAGCGGCTCCTCTTCCGAACAATTCATGTCCCATCATCTGGCCGTATCTGCCATATTCTCTGGTCGCTGTGGGCTTCGCCGTAATTGTCGCCGATGGGTTGATGAGGTGACCGGCCACGAGAGGAAGCACGCCAAGTGCGCAGAGCTTCGAGCGAGCCATCTCGGCCACGCAGACGCAGTCGGATTCGTGTCACGGCCGGCGGGCCTCCAGAGAAGTTGAACCGCTCGTTTGCAGTGGCGGCGGCAGGCGTTGGAGCGCCGCACGTCCGAGTATCGAGTGCAGTTGAAAAAGGAGGGAACGGACAGGAAGACCCGCGTGATGCCTTGTATTCGGCCCTGAAATGAAGAAGTGGGCAATGTTTCTGTTTCGCCGCAGTTCCGTTCGGTCGGTGGTTGGAAGGGAGAAAGCCCGCACGTGAAAAGGGGGTCCAGCTTTAGCTTTTTGCGTGTTTTGAAGTTCACTGGCTTCCCGTTTGCTCGCTCGCTTAGTCTGCTGCCATGTGCACCCACCACCAACGCGTAAAGATGGAAAGCACAAATGTTTGCTGTCCTGCTTGGTCAGTACATAAGCCTCGGCTCGTCAACAATTTCGTATCAAGCAAGCTGTTTTCAATCCATTTGGTACACTGAGACACCTGTTTTTACATGAACACCTGCAAGGGCCCGTGCTTCTACTGCAGGTCAACTTGAACGCGATTGTGGATGCGTATTTGGGATAATCTATATGGGTCGCTCACACAGGTAGAACAAGATCTTTGGGATCTTTCAGCTCCTTGGCATGTTCGTCGTAGGTATCAATGACCCACTGGCAGAAGTTCTCCCAGTCTCGATCAAAGATCTTTTTCGCTTCAACTCTCTGTTCGAGGCTGAGACAACTGTGTTCGAGGCTCCACTCTGCCAGCTGTTTCCAACCGTGAATGTTCATTCTTGGGTCTCCAGCCAGGACTTGATAAAATTCGTGGGATAGCGCAGATCTGTTCAGCGAGGGACCTCTGTCAGCACACCTAAACTCAGCCATCACGAAAGTAGGAGCTGGAATGCGCACTGTGTTGCTGTAAAGAGGGACTCAGAACTCACCTGAACAATGAGGGATTGTCTGCGTTCAACGTGCATTCCAATCCCGCCGCCAACAGCTCCGGGAAGATGTGTTGTCTTGCGTTTCCGCATAAGTGGAGCAGCTCGTTCGATATGGGGCACAACTCCAGACAAATCCTCCTCTCGCGGTACTTCTCGACCAGCAATGGGTGCTTGAGGAGAGCGTAGCCATGCCCGATCCTCTTGGCATTCAGCAAAAACGAGTCGTAGAGGTTGCTGTTGTCCGGATCGTGAGAACCGCCCGTGTCAAGGAGCGTTTCGCCGGCGTGGAACATGAATGGTATCGATATCCCAAGCTCCTTGCACGTTTCTGTAAAAGCCACCAGTAGATCAGCGTAGAAGCCAACGTGGTTTGGCCGGTCTTCTGCGCCAACCAGATCGAAGCCGCAAATAAGGTCTGGAAATTGGAGCTTTAGATTGATACAATCTTGCAGCTCGCTCCTCATCTTTGCAAGTGGTATGCTTCTGGGCGTGCAGTAGATGATCTTGATGCCGAAAGGAAATGACTGAAGTCGTCCCTCGCTTTCCAGTTGTGTTCGCTTTTCCTGCATCTCTTCGCACACAATGGTCATCTGTTCTTTATGACCAAGTCTCCGTCTCCCGTCATTGGAGGGGATATCCTTATCCAGCAACATAGGCCGGAGCTCGGCATACATGACTTTTTCTCGGATCATGCTTTCAATAGCATGTCCAATGTACCATCTGTACACCCCCTCGTAGTTCATAAGACCCTTGAATGCCCGCGTGCCTTGATTGAAGCAAGCCCAGACTCCATTGGTCGTTTGACGATCGTGGTAAGCCTTCTCCTGAGTGATTATCATCTTCTCCCGCACCCAGTACTCAGCCTCATCGACTAGTTCCTCGCAACTTCCATAGATGTTCCCGACCTGTGCTTTCTCCTTCGGGAACTGCCGACGGAAATCTGACCACCGCATCCATGGAGTACTTTCCGGCTCCTTGAACTTTGGGCTGTAATCGGGAGAGAAGATATTGGCCTTCGTGGTGCCTGAATCTTTCACGTCGAAGACGATTTCTGCTTGCGTGAAGTCCATAGGGGAGCACAGTGGTCGGTCGCATCGAATGCACATGGTCTCGGCCATTTCCGGCCTACGAGCATAGGGTAGTAACTTCTCCGGCGGAATCTCGGAATTGAAGTGAAGGTGCAGGTGTGCACCCTTGGGCATCTGGCTGGCGATTCGAAAGATCTTACTCTTTTCAATCCTGCGTTGGGACACCAGAAAACGGCCTCCCATGTCGAGAGTCTCGGCGGGCGGTACCCTTTCCGAGGGCAGATTGCCGAACAGTAAAGGATCCACGCGTTCATTCTCTCGTATTTTGAGTAAGATCTGATTCGCGTGCTTCTCGTTCTTGGAAGCTCGCTTTCTTGCGGGAGCATCCCACGAGTCTTCGCGCTCTCTGGCTAGTAGATCTGCACGGTGGTTCCTGTAGGCAGTCGATTCGCCGGCAAGTTTGATGCGTCGACTCAGCACTTCCTGCGCCTGCTGCGGCATCTTGGGAGGATCCGTCTCCACTGTTGCTGGTGGCTTTTTGCGCAAGAGCGAGACCCTGGACGACTTTCTTCGCGTCGGTTGAACGGTTGAGTCGTCGTCGTTGGCCTTGACTGTGCCATTCACGTCACTCGCTGTCGAATCTTTCCGCACCCGCCGTCGTTTGATCTTGCACTGTGTCAGTGGCTTGAATGGAGAGGCAGCAATTTCGGGAGATGGATCTATCGCATGCGGCGCAGTGAGGTGCACCAAGCAATCCACACACCCACACACACCTTGTCCTTGAGCATGCCTGCCACGTGCGTGACGGTGATGACGATGCTGTATGTGTGGCGGTGATAACGTAGCCGGCAGGTGAGCAGTGCAGCATCGTGGTTGCGCGGGGAATATCTAGGGAACATGGTGAGCGGTGGCATGTCGGATTGATTGCGTGAGCCGACACACTGTGGCAAGCACGACGGGGCAATTACGAGACAATGGAAGGAAGATGTGCGAGCCTCACCTGCGATTTATACGCTCGCAAGGCAGTTGCAAGGCGGCCGGAAGGAAGGAAGGAAGGAAGGAAGGAAGGAAGGAAGGAAGGCGGCGGTAAGGTGGGTGAGTCGTTGCGGCGGCAAGCGGTGCCCTCAAGTAAACGGTGCTCGGCGGTTCATGGCGTGCCTGGCGGCAATGGTACATGTACTGTATCGAGAATTGAAAGGTGAGCGGGCTCTCGAGCACTTCGCGGCCCTCAATAATCGTGGCTGAGCAGCTGGCCGCGTGCGGATGGAACGGAATGGATCGCTGTACCACCTCGACGCCGGAGGCAGTGAGGATTGGGATGTGGATCCCGATTCCTTCTTTGCGACGTCAACGTGTCGCCCGGCTGATGATGAAGCAGCGTAAGGTAAGGTAAGGTAAGGTAAGGTAAGGTAGGAAACAGGCAGGTACACACTGGGAGGCCCCGGTTCCACTTCGGGATGAGCCGAGGAGGACGACGACTCCTCCTTCTTCTTCAGTTCCATCTTGCTTTCCATTTCTACCTTACCTTCCACTTTCACGACTTGATATCCATGACTTCCAAGTTCTGCTCCTGCTTTGACCCACATCATCCATTCGCGCTCTCATGGCTACATGTAGGCATCACTCATCAGGCTGTACAGCGAGGCGCAGGCCTGCACGTCGACATCAAGACGTGCGTGTGGGGCGCGTCGGCGGCAAGAGAGAGAGAGCTGGAGCTGAGCACTAAGAGCGAGGCTTGGACGGGCGTTTGCTTGCCTTGTGCTGCACTCGCCAGCCCGCACTTTCTCCTGTACCCAACCCTTCTCTCCTCCGAGAAGATACCTTACGGTATGATGATCTAGTCTCTGTAGCGCCATCTCTCTTCCGCCACTGTCCCGTGGCTCGCTGGACCGCGCCGTACACTCTGTCACCCTATCGACATTCGCTCCACTGTCCCCTCATCATGTCCGGCGGCAACAACAATGTCACCGTCGCCCTGCCCGGAGAGCCAAATTGGGCTGTCTGGTGGTATAACGGATTCGACAATTTCCAATTAGACATTGTTGGTTTCCTCGCCGTGTTAGGAGAGGGTTCCGTCCTGGCAAATGCTCAGGTGTCAGCGCTGTCCCGGCTGTTCTATCTTCCTCGTCTGTTGCCGGCGCCCCAGGCTCTCATGAGACCATCTCGTCCAACCACACTACCGCCAACCACCGCCAAGGTTACCGGAATTTACTCCGGAAATGTCAAAGACCATGTTCACCATGTTGCCAACGTCCTACTGTGAGTATTGCGTGAGCTAAAAGCACCTACTCTCACTAACAACCGTAGCGGCGTACCACTGCCCACCTTCACAGTCCGCTGTGTTGAAGTCAAGAAGAAGGAGCAAGATTACAAACCAACTCGTATGGACAATTTCCTCGACACATTCCTGCGTGGCCAAAGACGAGCATCGACCGGAGGGCCTAACGTGGGCCCACCGCTAGTCAAAGCCAAAGCTACTGGTCCTCTCACATGGGTTACGCTACTGGGCTTCGCCGAGGCCTTGATTTTGATGATCGCTTCCATCACTTTCGGCGACGGCATGTCGATTCTGGCCACAATCCTCCTAGCAGGTCTGTCCAGCATCATTGGAGTTAGCAATAAGTGGACTCTCAAGCTCCCACGACGTGCCCAGGGGCGTGCACCTCGCGGTGATGTTGTCATCCGATATCCGAATGGAAGCTATCTGATAGTCAGATGTGATGAAGACGTGGCGCGAGAGCTCTACTTCGCCCCAGAGGAGATCGAATACGAGATCAAGAGCCCGGCCGTCTACCGAATGTTGTCTCTGCTTGGCACACTTATGCTCATGCTGGGCATTGTTGCTCTGGCCAATGCAAAACTGCAGCTTCAATTCGCGTGGGCAGGCGCTTTTATCATCATCAACATCGGCCACTGGATTGCCGCTGCCGTTCCGCACCGGATGCATTGGGACCTATCATGCTACCAAGTCAGAGAGCAGGGCGTCGTGGGAGGGCCCACGAATTCAAACTTTACAGAGGCGTTGTGGAAGGCAATACTTCTGACAAAGTCTACACGATGGGTGAAAAACGGCGCCGCCGCTCCTCAGACTCGAGTCTGGGATGACTGGCTTGTCGACGCTGAGGACGAAGCCAAGGAGCACAAAAGCAAGCTCGGAGAGCTCGAAGATCCAGTATGGCCCGGCGACAGTCCAGACAAGGCTACTATCTGGGAAGCCCCGAAGAGTGAAGATTGGGATCCGAAACAAATCTGGGATGAATTGAATGAGGAGGAGAAGCAAGCGGAGTCGAAGAAGGCCATCATCACGACACAGGCTGCGTGATTGTCTCATCACCGGCGTCTCTGGACGCAATCAACGCACACGACAGTGGAGAAGAGAGCAATGGTTGCTCAGAAGACATGTATACGCATTCAGGGAACGGCATTTGACAGCGTTCAAGCGATCTAGCGATTCACATATTTGAAAAAATCTCCGATGGAATACTACATATGTACTGAAACTTGCTTCCGTGCACTCGCTTTTTGAAGAGGGTATTATACCGAAGCAGCTTCCGATTCCCTCCAGTGGAGACGATTCACTCTGATCTACTCCGTACTGGCGCAGTGTGCTGGCAGAGAAGAAGCAGATGTGGTGCCGGGTTGCCGGGTTGTCTTCGCGCCTGTTCCGCTTGAAAGCACAGCTCAGCACGGGACTGCGGGGAAAATCCTCGCCATCTAGCCATCCTGGTGCAACATCCGGACCTGCAAACTGACAGACTGTCTTTCTCCTCAGATTACTCTGTACCATCTCACTCCATCTCATCTGCGTCTTCTTACTTTCCAGGCTCACGTCATGTGTGCATTCCAAGCGGCTCGTCGCTCCGCTTCGTCCAGCCAGATGACCCCACGTACGCCGCGAAATGCAGCACACAGCGCAGCATGTGGTCCGAAATCTCTATTGTCGGCGCCGCCAGTGGTTGAGTGGCCGAAAGCCAGGGTGAGAAGCAGCGCCATGTGACGACGGTACGACCAGCACGCATCGCATGTGGTAACCACGTTGGAAGGGAGAGCAGGTGGACAAAGAGATAGATGTTGATTGGCTCTGGACCGGAACGCCAATGTTCTTGGAGTCTGGACCTCTCCAGTCTCCACACCTGCAGTCGCACACTTCTGTGTTCGGTTCTCGAGCTTTCGCGTGCTCTGCCCATGGGGTTCCGGCTGACCCATGCTCTCGGCAACCACCACCTTCGACTCGACACCTCCTGTTATCATCCGCTGGTTCATCCGCTGGTTCATCCGCCAGGTAGGGTGGTAGGCCGTCGATTTCCCGGCGATGACCTTCATTTCATCTCTACCACTCCATTCCAACATACCTTATCTCCCCCCATGCTGACCTTCATCCTGCTGTTCAGGCTTGGCTGAGTGCGAGGCTTCTTTGTTCATATATCGGGAAAGCTTCCTGCATCCTTTCCGGACTTCATTGTTATCTGTTTGAAGCCGTCGATAGAGCAATAGCTGCTCTTCAAGCTCGTCGGCATGGCCACAGTCACGGCGACCGTGACGCAGATCGTCAACCGCACCGTTTCCCAAGCTGCGTCTACAGCGACAAGCACCAACCGAGCTACACCTCAAGGCGGTATTCTGGAAGGTGGAAATCCTACTCACTATGACAAGAGCGTACGCATGAACATCGGAGACGGTACATTCCTTGCGAGTTGACACCTGCGTAGAACCCAATCATTCTGTTCATTATCCAAGCCGGCATCATTGTCGTCTTCTGCCGTCTCCTCCATTGGCCTCTGTCCAAGATCCGGCAGCCTCGTGTGATCGCCGAAGTCATTGGAGGCATCCTCTTGGGCCCTTCCGTGATGGGTCGTATACCCGGCTTTACAGACGCCATCTTTCCGCAAGCCTCCATCCCGAACCTCAACCTCGTCGCGAACCTGGGACTTGTGCTGTTCCTATTCTTGGTCGGAGTAGAAGTCGATCTACGGTACTTCTTCAGCAACTGGAAGGTCGCGCTCAGTGTTGGCGCCATTGGCATGGTACTGCCGTTTGGGTTGGGGTGCGCAATAGCATGGGGTCTATACCACGAATTCAGAACCGAAGAGGGCATTGTCCACATCGACTTTGGGACCTATATGCTGTTCATTGGTATTGCCATGGCCATCACCGCCTTCCCCGTCCTTTGCCGTATCTTGACGGAGCTCAAGTTGCTTCAGACGCCAGTCGGTGTCATTACTCTGTCAGCTGGAGTGACCAACGACGTTGTGGGCTGGATCTTGCTTGCGCTCTGCGTGGCTTTGGTCAATGCTGGTAGTGGGCTTACTGCACTTTGGGTACGTGAAAGATGAGAAGGAAGAAGTGTGCACGTTTGGGCTAACGTATGGCCACAGGTGCTGCTGACTTGCATAGGATATGCATTGTTCCTGTTCTTGGCGGTACGGCCTGCGTTTCTGTGGATTTTGCGCAGGAACAACTCTCTTACGGATGGTCCATCCCAATCGATCATTACATTGACTCTCTTGATCGCCCTGACATCCGCCTTCTTCACCGGAGTCGTCGGCGTTCATCCCATTTTCGGTGCTTTCATGGCCGGACTCATGTGTCCTCACGAAGGCGGGTTTGCCATCAAAGTCACGGAAAAGATTGAGGATTTGATTGGCGCTATCTTCCTCCCTCTCTACTTCGCCCTCTCGGGTCTCTCCACGAACATTGGACTGCTCGATAACGGCATTACCTGGGCGTATGTCATTGGCGTCATTGCGGTTGCTTTCTGCGCCAAATTCGCCGGAGGAACCGTGGGAGCGAGGCTGAATGGATTGGTCTGGCGAGAATCCTTCACCATTGGAGCCCTTATGTCCTGTAAGGGCTTGGTCGAGCTCATCGTTCTGAACATCGGACTCCAGGCGAAGATTTTGAGCACACGCACATTTACAATCTTCGTCGTCATGGCACTGATCACCACGTTTGCTACTACTCCACTGGTGCAGGTGCTCTATCCGCCTTGGTATCAACGAAAGCTGGAAGCGTGGAAGCGCGGAGAGATTGACTGGGACACTGGCAAGCCTCTTACCGACGAGGGCAACCAGAGTGATGGTGTTGTTGGCCAGAAGACGGAGACATCGAAGGTCAAGAATCTTTTGGTCTACCTCCGCCTGGACAACATGCCTACTCTGCTTGCTTTTGTTTCTCTTCTTGGAAACCAGCCTACCGAGACCATGCAGAAAGAACACCCGTCGTTTACACCAGACAGCACCGACAAAATCGTCCAAGATCGACGCCGCAAGCACGTTGAGGTTCATGGAGTTCGTCTGGTGGAGTTGAATGACCGTGGATCTGCTGTCATGAAGGTCGGCGAGGCCGACGAGATCACGGCATTCGACCCAGTGTTGAACGCGTTCCGAGTTCTCGGACAGATGTTTAATCTTGCGGTTTCCGGAGAGGTCAACGTGGTGCCGACCAGCAGCTTTGCAGAGACGCTGGTCAACAAAGCCGTAGACGAGTCGTCCGATCTCTTACTTCTCCCCTGGAGCGAGACCGGCAGCCTGAGCGAGACACAGATCGTCTCGTCCGACAGTGCGAAGAACAAACTGGATAGCGATGCCTACAGTTCCTTCGTCCGACAGTCTCTCGACTCAGCGCAATGCAACGCTGCCATCTTCATTAATAAGGGCTTCTCTGGCACCCTGAAGCAGCGGCCCATGACCATCCGGCGTACCATGAGCGCCCTGAGCGTGCGCAGCCAACGCGACCAGGATCAGGCGATTACCGTGAGTCTGGACCGCGATCGGAGTCATCACATCTTCATGCCCTTCTTCGGACTCAGCGCCGATGATCGCGTCGCTCTGCGATTGGTCTTGCAGCTCGCGGAGAATCCCGGTGTCACTGCCACGATTGTGCATTTCTCATCGCTTGCAGAAGAAAAGGCAGTGCAGCAGCAGCAGCAGCAAGAAATGAAGGTTTCTCGTAGCCGTAATAAAAAGTTACTACATCCGGGCACGAGCTCTACGGGTAGTATCCCACAACAGCAGGAAGAAGAGGAGGAGCATCTGGCAGGCTTCTTCGCCACGATGCGAAGCTCTCTCCCGCGGGACCTCGCGCGACGGGTTGTGTTTGAGACGATTCCGACGAGGGATGATGTGCTGGAGGCGGCCGTTCTGAGGGCTCAGGGGGAAATCGCGCGGAATCCGAGAAATGGAGGCGATGTTGTTGTTTTGGGGAGGAGTTTTGGACAATTCCCGGGCCGCGATCTGGGGGGGACGACGGATTGTCTGGGTGGTGCGGCGGATCGGTTTGCTGCTAGTGGGATTTATGCGTCTTTGCTTGTTGTGCAGGCTAGAGGGATGGATTGATGAAGGTGTTTTTTTGTTTTGTTTTGTTTTTTTTTTGGATGGGAGTGGATGGGATGGTATGTTTTTGAATGAGTTTTTAGTGATATCCCATGTATCTAGCAGGACAGGACCGGACAGGACAGGACAGGACAGGACAGCGCGTGGGGGAAGAATTTATAGAAAGGATGTAGATATCTTTGCTTGCTTGCTTGCTTTTGATCCAATTTTTCAGACGTATCTATCTAGGTAGGCAGGGGGGGAGTAGTGTCTGTCAAACGGTCAGGGAGTACTCTCTCTTCTGCCGCAGTATCGTCATGTGAGAAGAACATGATAATAGATGACAATGTAATCGGATCTTCCCGCCTCGGCTGGCCATGTGAATAAATTCACCTCTGCTTTCCCCCTTCCCCCACCATGGTGGTTGGGTGGGCACGAGACGTTGAGATCCCAGCGGCGGCAGTGAGACATGCATGTTGGCGAGGCGAGTGGTTCACTCCTGCGTGTGTGTGTGTGTGGACTGTGGAGTAATATAGATATATATATATATATATGAGACATGCTGCCCGCTGACCCGACGAGAAGGGGGAAGGATCTTATGGAGCGCATGATATGATACACCACGGGTTCTGTAAGGGTCGGTTCGGTTCGATGATTACATGTATTGATGAGATGACGGGTGATGTGGGTGCTGCGGCGGCGGCTGAGAGAGGCTATAGAAGGCACAGACTGGAGAGGAGATGACGGGACGGTACTGCTGTACCTTACCTGTCCGATGTCCGATGTCAGATGCTGTCCAAGGGCAACGGGAAGGGAGAGGTGGAGTCGGGTGGAGTCGCGAGTATCTCCGATCGCGCCTGCTCGAGCGCCTGCATGCCCTTTTTGCAGTTGCAGTTGCCGCTGCTGCAGTTGCAGTCGCAGTTGCCGTTGCAGTCGCCGCTGCAGCGTACTGGGATGTAGACGGGTCATGGGTGCCTCTGCTGGGGGCCAAACTTTTTGGTGTCCGTGTCCTTTGCATGTGATTGTGCCGGTGACGCAGTCTGGACGTCGCGCGGGACGGAAACGGAAGGAGGAGGAGGACAGAAGGAAAGGGGGAAAGGCGGAAAGAGGGAAAGAGGTACGGAGGCGATGGCGGGCTGAGGTGATAATATTGGAAGGCGCTGTGCACGTGGGATCTCCGGGGAATGAAGGCGATGGGACACGTCGACTTGTCCCGTCACACGTCTTCCATTCTCCGTCGGTGTCGTGCCTGGTCTGGTGTAGTGCCATCCTTTGCCCGCGCCCGCGCCCGCACCCGCACCCGCTCTGTCTCGCGGAGAGGCGCCATGTGGAGTGTGGAGAGGAACGACGTCTTTTGCAGCCCTCCCTGTCACAGCTTGTCATCGGCAACTTCTGCTTGGGAAAGGGGGCCCCCCCCCCCCCCCCCACCCCCCCCGGACATGTGTGTCGTAGCGCTAGCACTATAGTTGATAGGCACATGAGCGCGAGTGTGCCCGCCTCCCTCTCTCAAGTCTGGTGCGTGTGACCAGTCGGTGAAGCTAATTCAAAAAGGTCTCTTCCCATTCCGCCCAATACCCTCCGTTGCAATGCTGACTGCCAATTCAGACATCACCACGACGACATTCCTACCGCTCTTGTTGCGGGGGGCCATGTGAACGCCTCCGCCCACACGATACCCTCCTGTCCCGCAACGCCAATGGCCCTTCTGCATGGCCTGGTTAATGAGGAACCGCGATGCCTCCAGCACGAACGGGTATGCTGAGAAGAGCACGCGCCAGCTGTCACGGACCAAGACTGCGACGGCATCGGCATGCCGCCCGCCCAAGAGGCTCAAACTCAAGTCTTCACAACTGTTCAATCCCATCATCCTCGCAAACGACTTGCTGGAGAGCGCCTACACCGCCAGAAACGGCCCCGATGGCGACAAGAACCTTGCAGAGGGGACCAAGTTGCTCCAGAGCCAGCGCATGAAAGATGCCAAGTCATATGAGGAATGGAAGCAGGCGGCGGACAAGCTGGACATCTTGGAGGGCAATCACTATTACAAGTTTGACGAGGAATCGGACGAATGCGATATGGGCTTGCTACGGAAGCGGCTGGAGAGACTCAAGCAGGCCAATCATGACGACGATATCGAGGAGATGGTGCAGCAGATCCGCAATTCTCTCCAGAGGGATCTCGGTGGGATGTGCAATCCACGGCTCTATCAGCACGCCTGGCTCGGCACGAAACATCTCATCGAGGAGTATACCGAAGTCGTCAAATATACCATTGAGCGCATTGTCAAGTACTGCCAACAGAGTGAAGATCATGATCTGGTGTTGAGATACAAGGAGACGATGAAAGCGGCCAAGGCGTCGTTTGGCAATACCGCTCTGATGCTCTCGGGCGGCGGTACGCTGGGCATGTGTCACGTGGGAGTCGTGAAGGCCCTTTGTCGCGCCGGTCTACTTCCCAAGGTTGTTTGTGGAGCCTCTGCTGGCAGCATCGTCGCCTCCGTGCTCTGCACACATAAGCCCAGTGAGATCGTCTCGAAACTGGAGGAGCTCTGCAGTGGCGATCTGTCCGTCTTCCAAAGCGTGGACGAATGGCAGGGCATTCCGGGCATGGTCTTGAATGTCCTCAAAGGCGATCCGTGCTTCAATGTCAGCAACCTCTGTCGAGTCATGAAAGGACTGCTGGGCAACATCACCTTTCGAGAGGCCAACAACGTCACCGGACTAACGCTCAACATCCACGTCTCGTGCCGGGACAAGCACAACTTACCGCGGCTTTTGAACTACCAAACGGCACCCAATGTCGTGATCTGGACCGCTGTGGCCTCTTCGTGCGCTTTGCCTTGGGTATTTGAACCGCCTGGCCTGCAAGCGAAGAATCCGAAGACAGGCAAGCTCGAGCATTGGGGCCATCTCGATCACAAATGGATTGATGGCTCTATCGAAGGAGATCTGCCCGCTCGTACCCTCGAGCGTCTGTTCAATGTCAACAATTTCCTTGCCTCACAGGTGAACCCACACGTCGGCCCTTTCCTGCCAAAGGAAGGCGAAGACCCGAGCATGGCTCGCAGAGGACTGAGAGCGGGAGCGGCCACCGCCATTTGGACACTCGATGCGTTCATGGACCGAGGCTATGATTATTTCTTCGTCAAGATGGTTCATTCGATCTTGAGCCAGAAGTACGATGGCGATATCACCGTTCTACCGGACATATCTTGGGTGCCTACCACCAAGATTCTCGCCAATCCGACGCACGAGTTCATGATGAAGGCCACACGGGAAGGCGAGAAAGCTACCTGGCCGAAGCTCGACCGCATCCACAACTCCGTGGCGATCGAGCTCGCTCTACACAATGCATGTATGGAGATCCAAGCTCGATCAATCGGTGGTTCAGACTCTCGGCGTGCCCCCTCTACTACGAGATCCGAGCACGGCCTCTCGAGTACTGGTCTACACAAACGAAGGAGCGGGTTGCCAGGAGGTCTTGGACCTCTTCCAGGCTTCAATCGAGGAAGACAAGCCGCTCACCGTCCCGTTCGATCCATGTTCAAGCCCGCTCTACTTCCTCCAGCAGCGCAGGCCAACGGCACAGACCATCTATTGTCTTCCTCTGACGAAGCACGATCAGGTCAGTCATCACCACTGACCTCATACGACGATGAAGACTTCGACGACATACATGATCCTGACGACCAAGACTCACAACAAGCAGAAATGGAACAACGATTACGAGCATTCCTCTCCCAACCCACTTCGCCCAGCATTTCCATGAAGAGCTATTGGGGTTCGGATTCGATATCGCCGAGATCTCAAGTCCCGCCGCAGACGCCGCCGTCGCCGCCTTCCCTGGAGATGAAGAGGGCCTTTAGTGGGCTGTTTATGTCTTCGATTGAGAAGCAGCCTCCTTCTTCTTCTTCTTCGACCGGACGAAACCTTTCTGAGCGGAAGGAGTAGTGATAGAGATATAGATCTAGATTGTGAGGCCGATGACTAGAAGATTTCCCTGAGGAGGTTTCCTTTGTCAGTATGGTGCCAGTCATCGGCATCGGAAGAGTTTGGAAGCAGCGTGGGCGTTTTTGGGAGAGCAAGATAGAGGGATATACCCCAAATGGTATTTTGAATTTGTACGGGAAGAAACAAATGGCCACGACGAGGCATGGGGTTGGAAGCAGAGGACATGGAGCCGCCGCGTGTTCTCCTGCTCTGCGGAGGTGTACAGGATAGAGTATGCAGGCAAGAAGGAGATGGCCCCAGAAGTTGGAGGGAAAAATAGCAAATGGATTGTCAGATCTAAATCCCATCCATTTCTTTTCCTTTTCCCAATTCTCTCAACTCGAACCCCATCCATCTGGTAAGTTGACCACGATTGGTTCCTTTCCACTCCTCACGATTGCCCATACGACATCCTTTTCAAAAAGAAACAAAAAGTGAGTCAGCTTTCCTTCTTTCCCGTTCACTATGCAACAACAACGATTAGATAAATAACTCACCTCATCGGAATCATTAACTTCCTGATGTTCCGCATACGCCGGGATGAGAGCATAATCGCCCGGTTTCAACTCCACACGCTTCGCCCCGCCTTCGCTCACAATGGTGCCGTGGCCGGAGTAGGCGAAGACGATGGTGTTTTCGGATCCGTGACTAAACATGATGGAAAGCAAGATCTTAGCTGCGGGTGCTGTGGATGCTGGAGAAGGGGGGGGGGGGGGGACACGAGACGCACTGGTGGACGGCGGAAGCGGTATGGGGTTTCGCGATCATGCGCGAGGCACAGATGTCGTCGCAGGCGTTTACGATGGCGTTTTGGCGGAGCATGCCTTCGGTTTGGCCGCCTGAGGTGGTGAGGGCCGTGGAGGGGGTGTGGAGGATGGGGTTCTGTTGTTGGGAAGGCATTATTTCTTGATGGATGCTGCTAGTTTTATTATATGAGGAGAGAGAGAGAGATGATGGTTTGTTGTTGGGGGGTTCGGTTCGGTTCGGAGAAAGGTAAGTTAGTATTATTGTATTGTCTTGTATTGATAGGCTCGGGGCACAGGTACGAGATGGAGTTTGTTGTTTTCTGGACTACGAGGGGATAGGTACTGTACGTAGATATGATAGGCATAGGTATGGCGGACAGAAGGAAGTTTCAATGTTGGCGGACTGGAGCTCTTTGTGATTTTGGGAGACTGACGTAAGTGCCTGGTTTGCGAGGTGTATGTCATTCTTAATGACCTTTGGGTGGCGGGCATGCGATGTGTTGCTCCATCCGGGCATTGGAGATGCCGTTGTACAGTAAGGTTTTCGTTCACTTTGAGAGATTATCAGGTTCTCTAGTTACTATACGGACCTTTCGTGGGTAGGATGCATAAAAAAGTTAGGAATAATCTAAGCGTTCGCTTTTCTATTTGGCCAGATCTAGGTGGATAGGTCCTAGATTACGGAAGCTAGATGCGTAGATCTCTCTATTATACCTCCTTCAAAAGAATGATAGTCTTTTATACGGCCCCGTCGACTTGGATTCGAATCTAGTACAAAGCAGATCATCTCCACCCGGGTTTTCTGAAGCAGGCAACCACCTATCCACCGACCGCCTACAATCTGCGAAGTGAACGGGGCCTAGATATCCATCGCGGCGGGAGACTCCATGCCTAGCGTGTCACTGCATTGTTTGTTCCATGGCAGTTGAGGTATATTTTGGAGATATTCCGTCGCGGCGACTCGACCCGAAATGGCTGGTATCCGTCAGGCGGGGTTGGTCAACACCGAGATGAGACTCATCCTCCTCCTAGATACGCGCAGGACGTGTTGTCTTATATGAATGACGATGGCATTCGCTGTGGGGGGTTTCATTTCGCGTGAAGGTCCGGCACAGGAATATCGGATTGGTCGTGCCGTGCCTCCCTCGGCATGTGAGATGCGGTCTGTGCACTCGATCCGGCCGAGGCACGCGGGCTGAGCCAATGAGAAGCGCGTTGCTGCAGCTGACCTCTGTCACTTGACCAGGGCTGACAGGGCGTCGACGAGAGCCAGGAACCTCTCAGCGTCCGTCTGTGTGCAGAGTGGACAGGCGGATCTCCGCTGCACGTCGGCTTTGCATGTGAAAGCATCTCGGACCCGTCCGCAGGTGAGGAGGATAAACCTCTGACCATTCCTCTCCTTCTCGTTCCACCCGCCGCCCTCTCCGCAATCCCCATCTCTTTGTCCGCTGTACCCCAGATCCATCGGCGCGAGGCTGTTCATACTACGATCTCTTCTCCATTTGCTTAATCACTCCTAGCCATCATGTCCAAGACTTTCACGGCCGACGAGGTCGCCGCTCACAAGAAGGCCGATGATCTGTACATCATTGTTGAGCAGGATGTCTACGACTTGACCAAGTTCCAAGATGAGCACCCGGGTGGAAAGAAGAGTACGAAGAGATGATGGACTCGAAACCTGCCAGACCATTTCGCTGACCCTCCTCCTCAAGTCCTCCAGAGAGTCGCCGGCAAGGACGCCACCAAGCAGTTCTGGAAGTACCACAACGAGGCCATCCTCAAGAAGTTCCAGCCCAAGCTGCAAGTCGGCTCGCTAGATACCAAACCCAAGCCCGCTGCTCCCACACCTCCCCCGTCGCCGCCAGCTGAGAAGAAGGAGAAGGTCGTGCCACAGGCCGAGCCCGGGGTTATCGTGCCCGTCGCAGGCCCCGCCGCCGAAGAGGAGGCAGAGGCAATGGATCAGTTCGGAGACATGGTCCCATACGCGGATCCATCTTGGTACCAGAGCTATCACACTCCCTACTTCAACCAGACCCACGCCGATCTCCGCGCGGAAGTCCGGCAGTGGGTTGAGGACGAGATCATGCCCAATGTCACCGAATGGGATGAGGCCAAGAAGGTCCCCGACAGCATCTATAAGCAGATGGGAGAGCGCGGATACTTGGCAGGTCTCATGGGTCTGCACCACTGGCCTACGCACCTCACCAAGCACACGACCAAGTCTGTGCCACCGCAGAAGTGGGATCTGTTCCATGAGATGCTGGTCACCGACGAGCTCTCCCGATGCGGTTCCGGCGGTTTCGTCTGGAATGTTATCGGAGGTTTCGGAATCGGCGCTCCTCCACTTGTGAAGCACGGCAAGAAGGCATTGGTTGATCGGATCGTTCCCGGAATCCTGAACGGTGACAAGCGCATCTGCTTGGCTATCACTGAGCCTGACGCTGGGTCTGATGTTGCCAATCTTACATGTGAGGCCAAGCTCACCGAGGACGGCAAGCACTACATTGTCAATGGAGAGAAGAAGTGGATCACCAACGGTATCTGGTAAGCTTTTACCCTCCCATACTGACCACAACTTCTTTTCTAACCAAAAAATCAGGTGCGACTACTTCACTACCGCCGTCCGCACCGGCGGCGAAGGCATGAACGGTGTCTCGGTCCTCCTCATCGAACGCGAATTTGAAGGCGTCAGCACCCGCCGCATGGACTGCCAAGGTGTCTGGTCCTCAGGCACCACCTACGTAACCTTCGAAGACGTCAAAGTGCCCGTGGAGAACCTCATCGGCAAGGAGAACCAAGGCTTCAAAGTCATCATGACCAATTTCAACCACGAACGCATCGGCATCATCATCCAATGCATCCGCTTCTCCCGCGTCTGCTACGAGGAAAGCATCAAATACGCGCACAAACGACGCACGTTTGGACAGAAGCTGATCAACCACCCGGTCATTCGGTTGAAGTTGGCGCACATGGCACGGCAGATCGAAGCTTCGTCTTCGTGGATGGAAAACCTGATTTACCAGGCGCAGAAGATGAACGAGACGGAGGCCATGCTGAAGCTGGGCGGTGCCATTGCCGGGCTGAAGGCGCAGGCCACCACGACGTTTGAATTCTGCGCCCGAGAGGCGTCGCAGATCTTCGGTGGTCTCAGCTACAGCCGAGGTGGACAGGGCGCCAAGGTCGAGCGGCTGTACCGAGATGTACGCGCCTATGCCATTCCCGGTGGCAGCGAGGAGATCATGTTGGATCTGAGCATCCGACAGGCTTTGAGGGTGCACCAGGCTCTGGGCATGAAGCTGTAGGGCGTCTACCATCTTACCTTTGTTTGCGAGTATTATGAATCGGATTTTTCCACTGCATGGCATGGCAGGGCGGTCAACAGGCGGAGTCAGGAAAGCAGGCCGGCTTGCAATTTATGGGGAGGCACATGGATGATATCTTGTTGTTGTAACTTGTTCTGATCGATCAAATCAAATCAAATCATTCCATCACTTCAATCAATCATCCCATCGGCCGTTTCGGGTCATTCATTCCAGCATGTCTACCGTACATAATGCATGGCCAGCCTTCTCGTCGCGAGACAAGAGAGGGCGGACCAGGTATCAAAAATCGCTCTCCGTTATCCATGCCCAAGTCTCAAACCATCTTCGACGCATCGTTTCCTTTAGATGACACTACCCCGTCTGGGGAAATTGACGCCCTCGGTCGCGGCGGCATCACAGAACCAGGAAACCTTATCCCCGGCGCCTTCATTCACCAAGCCACAGGGTAGACTCCTCCCCTCTTCCGATTCGAAGATCTTCTTGAGAACGTCCTTCTTCCCGCCCCCCGTGGCGACGAAAGCGATCTTGGCGGCGTGCAGCACGACGGGCAGACTGAGCGTGATGCGCGTCGGGGGAGGTTTCGGGGAATCGGTGAGGTGGAGGATCCAGGCGTCTCTTTCCCGCAGGAGGGGATGGTCGGGGAAGAGGGAGCAGGTGTGGCCGTCGGGGCCGCAGCCCAGCAGGATGAGATCGAAGAGGGGCAGCTTGACGGAGTCGCGGGAGGCGAAGCTGGCAACGAGCTGCTTCTCGTAGTCGTCGGCGAGTTCCTGGGGATTACTGAGGAGGGCGGTGTTGATCGGGTAGACTCGCGGTGCGCCCTGCTCCGGGGGGATGTGATCCAAGAGGTCTGCCTTTACGAGTTTGTGGTTGGAGTCGGCGTGGTCGAGGGGCACGCAGCGTTCGTCGGCGTAGAAGATGTCCCATTTGCTGAAGTCGGGGGTGTCTTCGGGGGTTCCGTGGGCGGCGGCGGAGGAGGAGGAGGGGGCCAGGAGGGCTTTGGCGAGGGTTTTGGGGAGGGAGCCGCCGGAGACGGCGATGCGGAAGACGGGAGGGTTTCGTTGGAGGGCGGATCTCTGGGCGTCGAGGATGTATTTCCGGAGGTTGGGGGCGAGGTCTCTGTCGATGTCCGGGAAGGAGTAGAGGTTGGCGGGTTTGCCCATGTTGCCGGTGGGTGTTGCGAGGGTGAGGAGGAGGAGGAGGACGGCGAGGATGGAGAATTCGGGGAGATGCGTTGTTGTTGTTTGTTGTTGTTGCGGTGGGGGAGGGGGGGGAGGGGGGGAGATTCTCGAGAGTGAGGTGTGGTGCTGCTGCTGCTGCTGCTATCTGCGCCGGTGGGCGAGGTTTTTCCTCGAGCTAGTTCTATCGGGCGCTGGTAATCTCTATTATGACGAAAGAGCATCCACTTGCTTGCGCATGAAGCTCTTGCTTGTGCAGTGCTTGCAGTGACTACGGGGAGGCGGACTCGCAGGTTAATAATAAGGTAAGGTAGCTTAATGTTCCGGATTGTTGCACTTATCGCCGTCCACGAACACGCCTCAGGCTGCACAATGCACAATGCACACTGCACACTGCACAATGTACACTGCACACTGCACACTGCGCACTGCACATATCGGCGAAGAGGCCGAGCGGAGCCGCTCACACTGACGGTCGGGATGCAACTGAATGCAATGTGATGTCGTCCCTCATCATGACATGGTCACATCTCTCATCATGTCATGCCGTCCCCCCCCCGAACATCTGCCGCGGCCTGGGAATCTCTTGCCGGGGGGAAATTCGACTTCAACCACCGGATGCCAGACTTGGACTCTGCTGGAATCTTCTACCATCCGCGACACGACGGAAGCGAAATGGCATCGGGAAAGCCAAAACAGTGGGCGAGGCCGGCGCCGAAGAAGAAGCCGGCCAAGACAGACGCTCTGGTGACGGCGGATGATTTCCAGGACGCGGCAGACTTCGAAGAGAGCGCGGGAGGGAAGCATCGAGTGGGCGATCCCGTCAAATCGGGACGCGCATTCGTTCGGGCATTGCACATCTACGACAGAGGCCTCCAGAAACATCCGCACAGCTTCGACCTCGCGTACAACAAGGCACGACTGCAACTCGAAATCTCACAGCAGGCGAATCTCGTCGAGCATATCGGCGTGCCGCTGGTGGAATGGCTGCAGACGACCCTGGAATCGCATCGATATGCCCTCCAGCTGAACCAGGACAACCCTGATGTCCTCTTCAATACTGCTCAGATCCTGACCAGCCTAGCGGAGCAGCTGTCCGAAGATGATCGTCAGGCCGAGGCGAGGACCTTGCTGCAGGAAGCCTTGGAGCTGCTGTCTTCTTGCCTGTCGAGGCAGGAGATCATGCTTGAGCAGCATAAACTCGACTTTCCGGATACTGAGGAGGGTGGTGTACCGCTCGAGCCTCAAGACCAGCCCTCTCCTGCTCCTGCTCCGTCGTCTTCGCAACATGTCGACATGGGAGACGAGCAATCTGCCACAGTCGAGACCCCTGTCGGCCCTGTCGATCTTTTGGATACCGTGCATGCTTCTCTGTCCGCGCTCACAACGCTTGTGCCGTTGGTAGATGAGAGCGACCTGCAGAACTTGGGCGACATGGCGCAGGCGTTGACCGAGACCAAAGCTCCAGGCTACATACCTCTTCTACCGGCAGAAGATCAGACCAAAGAAGTCTTCGCCATCGCGCTTGATAGGGCTACTTTCATCGCCGCATTCGCCAATGTACAATTTGAAGCACAAGTCATCGGGTTTCAAACGTATCTCGAAAGACTCGACACTTTCGACGTCCCAGGCAAGGAGGAAGACGTCAATGCCCTATGCTCAGAAGCACAAGCACGCACAGAACTCGTCATGTCTGCTCTCGATCGCTTCGACGAGCCCTCCGAGCTGCCCTCCGCTACGTGCTGGAAACAGCTCACTCTCGCGCAGGATCTCTACTCGAAAGCCACCAGACTTACGTCAGAAGAGGCGCAGGAGCGGAAAGCGGACATATATCAGACGAAAGGCGACCTCGAATTGCTCAGACATCGAATCGCTAACGTGCAGAAGGCGGATCTCTCAGACGCTATTCGAAAGAGCGCACCGACCCTCGTTCAGAATGCTCAGACTTACTACAAGGGTGCTGTGTCTCACGCCAAGGCTAGTGAGGATGAAGAGGTGGAGGAGGATGCGCAGCAGAGGTGGGATCTTGCTAAGCATATTGCGGCTGTGATGTATGGCAATGGCAGTCCGACCGAGGATGTTGAGGGGCTCTCGGAAGCTCTGGAGGGCTGCGTCGAGGAAGGTCTGGTCAGCTCGTCGATGGCACAGGCGCTCACCCAGTCATCGTTCGCATCGCGGAGCTAGAGATCTGTACATCTGAGACAGCAGAAAAGGACGGACGGCAATCTCGATTCACGTGGACTCACTCACCATCTGGCTTTGTATCGTTCATCTTCAACTATGGCCCGAAGTTGTCTGCAAGCCATGTACTCGTCTTCTTGTCTCTTCTCGCACCTTGTCCTTAACAGAGCACTACGAACCTCCCCAACAACACGACTTACCCCTCTCATCTGCAACACGGCCCCTGAAGCCGACGACGGAGTCTAAACAGCAAAACCAGTTCTCTGACCTCTTCTCCAAATACGCCGGTCTTACCATGGTTCCCATTCGGCAACTTCGACATCGGCACACAAGTCTCCGTGTACATCGATTCCGGCGGCCAATCGCAATCCATACCCCAACCCACCACACCCTCACTCGTACCCGCAATATACACCGATCCAGGAGGAGGAGGATCCATGGATGTGGGCCGGTCGGAGCCGTTGTCTCGGTCCTGATAGAGCAGATATCAGTGAGTGTGATTGCGGGAGAAGAAGGCAGAAACGCCTACCCAGCGACAGGTTTGACAAACCGAAACCTCAGTGTCGGCGGCGATGCAGACTGTATCATCAGGGCTCAGATCTGGACCCTCGTAGATTGCGTCGTGCAAGGAAGTATCGTCGTCGTTGCAGTCTTCGCCGGTGTAGAAGGAAGGCTACGGACCACCTACGCCCTGCGTTGCTGGGGAGGGTGAGCGTGAGGATGAGGATGAGAGTGAGGGGGAGTGGGAGTTTCATGTTGCAAGGAAGTGTTTTGGTTTTAATCATGGGTAGGAGTTAAAGCTGAAGGTTAAAAATGAGCTTGAAAACTGAAACCGAGCTCGAAGTCGAAGCCCAATTGGGAAAAGCTGTCTTAAAAGGAAGGCAATGGTCCGTGCGTTCTTCATCACATGCAAGAGCGACCCGCGTTGCTTGGCATTCAGAAAAGTTCGGTTGGGAAAAAGAGGGAAAATCGCACTCGCCAGCGCAAGATCTTGAAGTCAAATTTTTCAGGCGGTGAGTAAAATTTATAGATAGGTAACAGAAAAATTGTCAATGGAATTGTGAACGATTGATTGGCTTTTTGATTCTGGCTGTGAGATTTTTCTGTAAAACATCATTCATCATGGTGGTGGGGCATCTGACTGACCATCCATCGTGCTCCGGAGTTCATTTTGGCATTATGCATCATATCCATTATCCATTATCATATCATGGCTCGCCCTCAGCCTAGGTAGGTAGGTAGGTAGGTAGGTAGGTAGGTAGGGGGTGTACCAGATCCGTCCCGCCCTGCGACTGCAAACATGCACGCAAAAGGAACAAAACAAAAAGACAAATCCCAGTCCCGCGGGCATGCCTGCCTCTGGGTATAGATCCATCACGATATGCCGCCGGGAATTCGCCATACGCCAGAAGAAAGCAAAAAGTCTCCAGATATCCACGCTCTAACGGCCCGGCCATCCCGTCAGCCGATTCGCGATATCTTCGACATAAGCCGCAGTGCAGCAGCCGGCAGCGAGATTGCCATTCGCAGCGACGCTGCCGCCATTATAAGCTCGCGCGGTGCGATAGTAAGCCATCGCGTCACCGTCGCTCTGCGGCCGTTCCTGGGCGAAGAGCTGCTTCAGGCCAGCGCCGGAGGAAGTCCCCGCGACGCCGTCTTGGATCATCTGGGTGATTTCGGACGCGGGACAGGGGGATTGCACGCCGGGTTGGATGGAATCCGCGCCGGGGAGGTTGACGTTGGAGGGGGCGTTGTTGGTGTTGCAGGAGCCGGTTCTAGAGGGACTCGTTAGAAGCAAGTTGTAGAGTTGGTCTGCGGTTGGTGGGTAGCACTTACCCATTATGGCTCTGCATGAGCCCGGGATTCGAAACACTGTATGCGGTCGTGATGACGCGAACACAGCCCGTCGATTCCTGCATGACGATTGCCAGGACGAAGCGGGCGTCGATACCGTTTGCCGCCCCGACGGATTGGATGGCGGATTTCATGTCGGCGATTTCTTCGTCCGTGTCATCCTGCACTCCCCAATTGAGGCAGGAGCGCTTCATGCTGGGTGTGTTCGCTTCGAACCTGCATCGCGATTAGCCAATGGAACGGCATCTTGCCTCCCTGGGTTGTACTTACATGGCGTCGAAATCCACCCATTGAGACATTGATGGCCATCCTTGACTCGGAGAGCCGTTTCCGGAATATGCGACGTACCCAGCACTGCTTGGTACGCTTGCAACAGCCGTGGAGCTCGAAGCCGACGTGGGCAGTGTAACAAAGGTGGCAGTCGCGGTTGTGGCTACCGCTGTCGACTGCGCAAGTAGACTAGAAGTCGTCGGCGTTGCAGACACAGACGCAGACGCAGACGCCGCCGAGAGACTTGCGGCAACAGCGCCGCAAGCTGCCACGCAGTAAGCGTATCCAGCCAGCATACTAGGACAAGCCGGTGGGTTGACTCCCTGGTTCCAGTTCATGAACGCAATGTGATCGAGACGGAATTCGTCTGCAACTTGGTTGCAGTAGTCTCCGGGACGTGCCACGTACCACTTCGCGCAACCCGGGACAACTCCAGCCTGGGTCGGTGCTGGAGCCGCGACAGTTGCAGGACAAGTTGAGCTGACTGGCACCGACGATGTGACTGCAGCGGGCGTGGTCGAGAAGCTCGTCTCCCTTACGGAGCTGGCGGCAGATGGAGAGGGGCTCTGCGACTCTGGTGCAGTGGTGGTGGTTGAGGTAACACCGGTTGAGCTGGTCAAACTCGCTGGGCTAGCACTTGCAGGCGCCGTCGATGGAGAATTCGATGTCGGCGTGGAAGTGAAGACTCCGGTATCGGTATGCGTCACAACCACCGTAGTGAGCCTAGCATTGCTGCCCGTGCCTAACGCGTATGTATAGGTGCTCGTGCGCCACGTGGTCATTGTCATGCCGCTCTTCTCCACAGGGTTGGAGCTTCTTGTTGTCCGCGGTGTGGTGGCATTGATGGGGATGGTGTTATTCAGTCTCGTTACGTTGAAAGCAGCAGAGACGGGGAGGCCTGGTGTCGTTGTGACTGCTGATTCCGAGGTGGTTTGGACCGCATTACAGATTCCATAACCTCGCAGAAGATTCTCGCAATTCGTGGATTCGGAAGAGTAGTCGGCTTCTTGGCTGTAGAGTTGGATGTCGTGAGCGGCTGCAACTTCACCGCAATTCTTGTCTAGAGAAAGTGTTCAGTCACCACTAGTTCTCATGCATCGTTCAGTTTCGTCTTACCTGACTTAGTGTATAGTGCAGTGCATATCGGCGTCGCATAAATGGTGGTGGATGAAGTACCTGTTGATGTTTCCGTCATCGTATTCGACGAAGTGACATTGGTATACTGATGTTTGGGGAAGGGGACACGGGAAAGGGGCTTTGCCGCAACTGAGCTAAGTAGCACCAGATGAAGCAAATAAGTGTGCATCATGAACAGACCGACGCCCTCACAGGCAAGCCCAAAATGCCTCTAACGCAAAATTCAGAACAGGGGTTAGAAGAGCAATGGATTTAAGCGCGCTGGCAGCACAGTCCAGCTCTCTGACCCAACGAAGATAGAAACGAGTGCGAGTGATCGTGGCCCGGTTGGCAACAGAGCAGCCTCTGTTCTCTGCGTTGCACTTGTATCTTCGTCGAATCGATAGCGAATGTGTCTCTGGCGTGCACTTCTTCGAAAGGGATGGGGGAATGGCTTGCCCGTGATCTGCAGAAATTGAAATGACACTCAGCTTGTGATTCTTCCTGTCCTCCGCGAATGACCAGACGAATGTGTGTCGCTTCTTGTTCTTCCCTTTTGGAGGGTCCCTGCTTGCTGCCGCGAGTCGTATGGGATCCTTGCGACCGTGTCTCTGTAGCGCTTGGTCCAGATGTGGTTGTGCTTCGAAGCCTTCGGTATAGGGGGCAAAACACTATTCAGAGCTGAGGCCGAACTGTGAACTGCTTTAGATAGACAAGGATAGGGTTAGTATGCAGGTACAAAAGATCATGTGAAACAGGGATCTTGTCGGTATTATCACGAGATTCCGCAGGAAATCTTATATCAGCCTTACAACGATTCATTCTTTACCGTAGTGTCAGTCTGTTGTCCCGTGAACGTGGGCTGCCGGCAAGTCCTTCACAAGGTCTGGCGCGGCCTATAAGCAGGAGCATTGGCGTCCACTGAGAATCGAAAGGTTCATGCAATTTAGGCCAAGTTCCAGGGGCGCTTACTTCAAAACATCTCTTGCAGAAGCGTTGCCCACGGGTGCCGCAGCAGACGGTTAAGCCTAGTTCGCGTGTGCTGGGTCCACTTGTGAGATTGTACGGCGAAGATACAGAACAAGAGGCCGTGACATGACCGCATGCCGTTGCGTGGTCAATTTGTAACTGCCAATGTTGACGGTAGCAAGGATTAATATTTCCAGAGACGTCGATGTGGACCTGAAGGTCATGGTGAGACTTTTCGTCAGCTGCTCATGCGACTGTTAAGGGCGTTCTGAGGAATGTGGCGTTTCCTTGACCCGCACCCAACCGTTATAGCCACATCTGCGCCGTGCAAAGGGGTCGATCAGACTGTGAAGTTTCCTCTGCAGGGCCGCCGTCCGTGGGCAATGGACGAATCGGCGGTAAGATGACCACTTCGAGATCATTGAGACCCGGACTTAGTGCCTCAGTGTTGATGTCGTGTGTTTGCAAGAGCCGTGCAGAACTTGACGCTTTTCCTATTCGGGGCTGCGCAAAATTAAATTCTATGATAACTTAGGAGTCAGCTAATCGTTTGTGGTTTGCGTTTGCGGGATTGAAGGAGAGCCTGCAGTCTCGCAGTTGTTCATGTTGCTCTTGTTTGCATTCCGCTGTCCTCGCGATCACCGGTAGAGGTCCGTGAGCTGTACCAGTCAATGGCTATACGAGCTCTTTGCGATTGGTGGGAGATTATCAACATCGCGCCAGAGAGACGAACATCGGCGTATTAAGGAGGGCACAGCACGCGAAGCACTTCGCCATCACGGCACCACGGCTCACCACTCGTTGCGGCCGATGGTCCTCCGTCAGTCTCCCCGCAAAATCCTCCGATCCAGAATCACGAATGGATTAAGCTATTAGGGTAAGACGAGACATCGCGTGCGAGCATGTATTTGACATTTCTGTTGAACCGTGAATGGAGCTATGAGCACGAGGCTGTTAAGCTTTGGTGCCAGTCGCGAAGATGCCAGTCACTACAGCGACAGCTGTGATTTGGCCGCCGTTGAACCCATCGAGGTCGTAAGGGCAACAGGAAGCGGCGCAGATTGTGTCCTTCATGGCCTCGAACTCGATGTAGTCGCCAGGTTGACTGCTCCCTAGGCGCTTGAGAGAATAGTTGGGTCTGTCTCTGTTAGCGGAATGAGTCGAGAGGGTCTTGACGGATATGCAGTTACGTGTTTTGGAAGAGGTTAAACGGGTCGGTGATCTCCAGGTAGCTTCCCATGCCAAAGGGCTTCATGGCCTCTGCGATGTTGCCTGCACAGCTACGATGGTTCTGGATACCCAGCTTGGCATACATCTCGGGAAAGCAGCTCATCTAGAAAACCTTTAGTGTACGTGCAGGCTACTGAAGGTGCGACAGATGCCGGATTGAAGGCAATGGTCTTACAAAAGTCATGTCGTGCACTTTGACCGTGTCGTCGGTGATGCGGAGAATCGGCTCATCTCTGTTTGTCCAGAGATACTCCCCTACGGCCGGGGTCACTCCGGATAGGTGATATCTGAGAGAACCTAGGGTCACCACTCGTTTCCGGCTGCCTCGGAGGATGCGAGCGCGAACGCAAACGGTGCATACCGCGTATAGGCCATGCTGAGCTTCTCGACAAGATGCGTATCCTGCACCCAAGCCGCAAAGTCGACGACCTGCTCGCCATACAGATCCACAATGCGGAATCGCTCGCCTTTCTCGACCTCGAACGCGTGGCCATGCGCAGCGGGAACCGTGTGTGTCTTCGGCGCGTCCTTCTCGTGCTGCCGCCGCCGTCCGCCGCTAGCCATCGACGCGAAGTCTGCCTCAGGAAATGCCATATCGATATCAGATAGCGCGTGGAGTGCGTGCAGAGTATGATAGGAGGTGTAGTTGCCTAATAAGAAGCGTTTCCCTTGCATTCACATGGGGTAAGTAGTGCAGGCCAAGCTGTGATGAAGCGACTCGACTGTAATAATAAGGTATGACGAAGGGCCGTGCCTGGATCGTTTATCCGTTGGTTGAAAGAAGCTTGCCGGCACACCCTCCTACGTACCTCTGCCCCCCCCCGTCGTAAGCTCTCAACCACATCTGACTTATTCGCAAGTCGTGCGACGCTGTCCTGTCGTCGCTCGCTCCATCCATACAATCTGGCGCCTTCCTGGAGACGATTCCTCACTCTCTTCCGCTCCGGAAACAGCTCATCCATCCCATCCGCACGCCCTCTAACGCGCCTGTTCAAAGCCAGAGCAAGAGCTGGACTCGGGAGCTTTCGTTACACATTCTTCCCGAGTCTGAGGCAGCGAGCCCAAACCCGAATCTATCGTTACCTAATTGCACGTCACCAGCGCAAGCAGAACCGATCTCTACGCAGTTCCACAGCTGCAACACCACCCGGCAGTCCGGAGTCAAAGGATGGGCCTGGCAGTGCCGGGTCCAACATGGCGAGCGGCCTGGGCTATGGCGACCAGTCTGGTTTACGATCCGAGGGAAGAGAGCCGGGAGCGAGGAGGAAGAAGCTAGCAGGCTATCTCAAAGCGGCCAATGAGCTGCGGCAGAACTACTTCAGTGGAGATACTACCGTGGAGAGCCATGGCCCTGAAGATGGGCCAGGGGCGTTTCCAGAGGCTGCAGTGGTTCGCAGTGGCAACGAGGAGATGATACTCTTCCCTAGCTATGCTAGAAAGCATGTCGAGAGCAAGCGACCGCAAGCAGCGACGCCTGGACGAGAGATGACAGAAGAAGAGTACTGGCGGCGAGAATGGGAGAAGAACGAGGACATTAATGCTATGGTGGATGTCGATGTCCGTGGCTGGATATACACGCCTCCTAGAGGTCCACATACCCGCAAGCAGCGCCTGTTGATTGGCCTTGCGAGGCAACTATCTGGCATTCCTGCTCCTCCGTCCAACAAGCCGGGCGAGTCGAGTCAGTCTAGCACAGCACCCAGTCGAAATGCTAGCCCTACGCGACAACAGGATGAGGATCTCATCAACTTTGAAGCTGACCAGATCGTTCGGAGAGGACAAGAAGAGGAGCGCTATGCTAGCCGCGGTGCCTTTTACGAGAAGCCCGGCCAGGGCAAGGATACGGACAGTCTGTACGGCGACGCTCAGAACAACGCAGATAGAGGCCGACACAGCGCATCGTACGCCAGCACCGTGTCTTCTCAAGATTCTGATCCTGGAACGACTACTCCAGTCCAGAAGCGGTCGTCATGGCCTGCTGCGCCAGCGAAGATGTCCTCAGCCGAACTGCACATGGCCAACACGCATTTGATGACGCGCTTGAAACCCTTCATGGCGAATCCACTCGCCAACACAGCAATGAGTGCTTTCTTCTACAGCGAGTCGGCATCAAGGCAGCGAACAGTCTACACGGATGCGTCTGGCCACTTCAGCTTTCGCGCGGCTCTGGACTTCACACCAACTCATGTTCGGGTCCTTGCTGGAGAAAAGTTGTCTGCCACCGAGGAGGTCCATGTAACTTCACCGAAAGGCGTCAGCCTTATAAGCGACATTGATGATACCATCAAGCATTCTGCCATCAGCGCCGGAGCCAGGGAAATCTTTCGCAATGCATTCATTCGAGATCTTGGCGACCTGACGATAGATGGCGTTCGCGAATGGTACAACACATTGCATGATATGGGTGTGAAGATACATTATGTGTCGAACTCACCATGGCAGATGTATCCAGTTTTGACGAGCTACTTCAAGCTTGCGAACCTACCGAAAGGCTCATTCCATTTGAAGCAGTATTCCGGCATGTTGCAGGGTATTTTTGAGCCCGTAGCAGAACGCAAAAAGTCATCTCTGGACAAGATCATGCGAGACTTTCCCGACAGAAAATTTGTCCTCTGTGGTGACAGCGGAGAAGCTGATCTTGAAGTATATACCGAAGTTGCTTTAGACAATCCTGGCAGAATACTGGGCATTTTCATTCGAGATGTCACGACAACGGTCAAGACGGGCTACTTCGATCCTAACAGTCCACCTGGAAGCAGAGGCCATACGAGAAATCATTCCCGTGACAAAAGTGGAGATTCTCTCGCCATGTCGAAGCGCATTGCGCGACCGCCGGATATTCGCGACGACAATGAAGACCTCAAGACGGCTATTGCCGCATCACTGGAGGACATGGAAGCCGAGGCACGCCGTGCTCGGAGATCGATCAACCCAGATGCCATACCACCCGAAACCAGGCGATCTTTACGAGGAGGCCACGAAACCGCACCAGCGAAACCGAACCTTCCGCCTCGCCCACCAACTCATGCCGCAACCTTTGGAGGTAGTATGGCAGCATCGCCGGAAGAAGACCTGATTGATTTTGCCGATCCACCACCGACGCAACCGTGGCTCGCTCCGCCAGTTCGGAAACCTTCTACTCAACTGGGTCTTAAGCCAACACCATCACCTCCACCACCGCCAAAGCCTGCAGGGCTGCGGAGTCCCACTCCTGAACAGAGCTCGAAATCACTGGAGAGCGCGAGTAAGACGCCGCCGCCTCGGCCTGGGAAGCCTTCTAGTGCAGTGAAGCCTGCCAATCTCCCTCAGATCCAGACACATCAGCCATCGCCCTTGTCCCAGGTGACGAGGCAAGAGTCGACCAGAAAGCCGGCTCCTCCCCTACCGATGCGACCGAAGACCTTCAGGAATACCATCGTTCAGGCCTTGCCCGGTACAGGTGCATACTGGCAGGGAGACGCAGGCACGAGCCGAACCAGGCCTCTCAGCAGCCGCAGTCAACCTACATCTCCCCTCGCCAGGCCAATGTCCATGAAGAAATCTTTCGAGGACCTCAATCTTCCAGAAGGCGCTCTGAACCAGAATCCTCCAGCACCGCCGCCACCACGCCGAACAGGCTCTTCCTACTCCCTTGCACAGGTGCGTCGACGATCTTCGAACCGACGCTCGGGCGCTTGGGACATGGACGATGGACCAGCAGGTAGCCCAGGAGACGGCGTAAGCAAGAAAGAATTCATGTGGAAGCAACGATGGGCTCGTGCACAGAATCTCCTGGAGAGGAATGGAGTCACATTGCGGAGTTGGAGGGTCGGTAGTGACGTGGCGGATGTGTGTGTCAAACTCATAGAGCAGGAATTGAGAAAGATTGAATGGGAGGAGCGAGGGAAAGGTAATGGAAATGGGAGTGCGAGATGATATGATACCCGGTGATCGGAATTATCATTCTGTTTTTCTTTCCGTCTTGTATGTTTTTATCGTTTTGATAGATTACTGATACCACAATTTGTTGTATAGCGGGGCTGTATTGCATTACAAGGCGTTTTTTTCTTTTCGTAATGCACAGTGCCGATGTCGCGATATGCAAGGCATTCTTCAAATTTCAACCTCCCTCATTGTAATTTCTTCGAAGGAAAGCATCACGGCTCATACAAAGTCGGACTTTCGGCGATGCTAATCAAGCCAGGGCATTCACTCACTCACTTGCCAGTGCATCTTTGGCGCTAAGACCCCAGAAGAGTAAGAAGAGTAACTTCCATACTCGCGAGTGACAGGCATCAAATCGCGGGATCGGTGTTGCGATTGGATTGATTGTACAAGCTCTGTGACACAGCGCAGTTCGAATCTGTCTCCTCTCCTGGTCGCATTCGCGGAACATGGCGAATGCTCGCACTGCAATCATCGAGCAACTTCAAAGTTTAAGTCTCGAGGCAGACTTCTACCCGTTAGTTAGAGTGGGACGTCGCTAGCGATGAGAGTGTCCGCCTAGCTAGCTGTGCAAGAAATGTAGGGTGGATTTGGGCGATTGGATGGGGAGTCTTTTCGAAGATGATACTGTACTGTGCGGGGCTTCCGCAGACTGATACGCCCGCAGTTTTAGTCCTGGTTCAACAACGCAGGCATAGCGAGCTCTCCTACAAAACAACGATGCAGACTTCCGATCCACATACAACCAGATCCTCAACACAAACTTCACATCCTTCGACCTAGTCACGACACTTTTCCTACCACTCCTGCACAGTTCTTCCAATCCTCGGATAATCAACATCTCTTCCGGCCGTGAATCCATGCGATTGGTCACTTCAGGCGCCAATCCTCCAACTTCAAACATTCCTTATAGTCTCTCCAAAGCAGCACTCAACTTGTTGACCGTGGAAATGAGTCTTGCGCACCCGGAGGCTGAGATTCAGGTGGTAAATCCTGGACGGTGCAAGACGGCCTTCAATGGATTTCGGGGTCCTAAGGATCCGCTCGAAGGAGCCTTGTCGACCGTGGGATTGGCGCTCGCGGAGAAGGGGGAGTATACAGCTGGGTTTTAGGCCTATGAGAAGAACGGTATGGAGGAAGTGCCGTGGTGAAGATGCTGGATTGGTAGCTTTTGAGCAGCGAGGGAGAAAGTCGACATTTCTTGGCTGCTTTGATCTAAATGAGCCGAGAAACCCGATTCTGATCTGGTTCCAGATTTCGTTTGGTCGAGTGTACTGAGACATGTCTAGTTTGGCAGCATTCTTTCAGGCAACAAATAGTGCGGTCGTAGATTTTCGTGAGGAATCAGCCAGTCAATGACCAAGAATTGTAGTCCTTCTCTGGAGACATGTCGCAATGCGGCGCAAACTGCGAGAAGTCCGAGCGTCGATGCGAAAGTCGGCTCGAATATTTCCATGCTCTGCGGCGGGATACCCGGTTTTTCCATTGTCGCACAAGATGCCTAGCTCATCTTCATCTTGCTGCCCTTGAGCAAGTATCCTCCAACGAGCTTACCAATCACCGCTCCAGCATACAGCCCGCACACAATAGTGACAGGCCATTTCTGCCACTCTCGATCCCAATCCAGAGGTATGGGGATAGCTCCAATCCAAGCACCTACGCAGGCGCCTAACGACATTCCATATATCTCATCCACAGGCTGTTGCAAGCTCGCGATCCGCAGCCATGTCGAGACTTCTAGTCCATGCACATAATAGAGATGAGGCGTAGTCAGAAGGGCCATGTGGAGCGCCAGGAGCAGCGTCTGGAGATGGTGCGAAACGAGCGGAGCGCCGAAGAGGATGACGATGATGTAGAGCAGCGGGGCGGAGAGGAAGAAGGTAAGCACGAAGGAGAGGAAGGCAGGCTGTGAGACCGTGATGATTAGCACTCTGCTTGAATCGAGGCATAGGAAGGAGATGTGACCTACCACGAACCTCGCCCAGATATCCTGAGCGGGCTTGACGGCCTTTTTCTTCTGGCCGGGCTTATGCGCCGACGGAGGCGTCTGTCCGGATGAGGGAAGGCATACTATGCAGTAGATGGCTTGGACAATGAGGAGCGTCGGCGCCAGGCCCAGGAGGGTATTGACAGGATCGCGGACTAAGCTCTTGAAGCTGAAGGTAATCAGGGACAGCAGCAGGACGGGATGCAGGTTGGCGTAGAGCAGGGAGAGCTGGTCCGGGAGGAGGTCGACATGTTTGATCGGCTTCTGAGCCTCTGCGGCTTTCGCGGGAGGCGCCTGAACGCTCATAACGCGCGGATGGAGGTTGGTGGGTGGTACTACCTTAGTTGTGGTATCTCCGTCTCCAGACCAGACGAGATGGACTTGAGTATGGAAGATGAGCTTGGCTTGCAGGAGCTTCGGCAGTGAGGAAAAGCTTCCGAGATCTCCGCAATAAATAATGCCTCCGAGTGGTCCGCGCGCTCCGTTCCGTGCATGTGCAGCACTTCACCAATCACAAACGGTGGGCGGGACGGGACGGGACTGCACTTCACTCCTTCGACCCAGCTGCGGAGGTGGGGTCAAGGTAGTTACCAAGCATCACCATAAAATACCATGAACAACTATGGCCTCTCACGCCCGTCGGCATCAACACAATCCATTCCTCCCCAACAATCACATCGATCATGGCTGAAACAACCACTTGGACGCCTCCCACTGGCAACTCCTCCCAATTCGGCCAGAACAGGCCCGTAACCATCACCGCGAACAAGGACAATTCGGTTTCCATCGACGTCAAACCCAATGCGGGCGCCACAGTCCCCGACACCCAAGCAATCGGCGACAACGCCCTCTCCCTCTCCGAATGGCAAAAGACCAACAGAATCGACACGTCCGCTCAGATCAAACTCGTCAAACTAGCCCACATGCGCTACCAACACCCGGACCTCCAAACCATCACTAAATTCCTCAAAGACTTCGGGATGCACATCACCAAACAAACCTCCTCCGAGATCTGGTTCCGCGGCTACGGAACAGATCAATACGTCTACTACGCCCGCCTCGGGCCCCAGAAATTCCTCGGAGGAACATACCAAGTCGAATCCATGGCCGAACTGGAAAAGGCAGCCAGACTCCCCTGCGCCCAGACACCCATCCAAGAAATGACAGACGCCCCCGGGGGAGGCTCTTTCCTCACCCTCCACGACCCAGAAGGCTTCCCCGTGAATCTCATGTACGGCCAACTCCCCGCCGAGCCCGGCCAGCTCCCGGAGACCGTCATCCTCAACAGCGAGAGCGAAAAGCCCCGCGTCCGGAAATTCAACCGCTTCACCCCAGGCCCCGCGGCGGTGCATAAACTCGGCCACTACGGCCTCTGCGTCCAGAACTTCCCCCAACAATTAGACTTCTACACGCGAACGTTCAACCTCGCACCTACGGATTTCCTCTCCATCCCGACGGACCCCGGGAATCCAGACGGCAAAAACACCAAACCCGGAACCAAAACCAAAGACGTGTCGGTCTTTGCGCACATCGATCGTGGGCAAGAGCCCGTGGACCATCATACGTTCTTCATGGCTTTGAACCCGACGAAACACGTCCATCACGCTTCGTTTGAGGTGCACGATTATGACACCCAGCATTTGGGCCATCAGTGGTTGGGCAAACAGGGTTATACTTCCGTCTGGGGCATCGGGAGGCATATTCTTGGCAGTCAGATTTTGTGAGTCGACTTTCCCCCCCCCCCCTATCTCTCTCTCTCTCCGGATTCTTCGTCCTTTCTCTGTGGAATGTCATCGCTGATGATAATGATGTTCGAATTCTTTTTAGTGATTACTGGTGGGATACTACGGGCAATATGATCGAACACTATGCCGATGGAGACTTGGTGAATCAAGATACACCGGTCGGATGGGCAATGGCTGGTGATGAGAGTCTGGCCGTTTGGGGTCCGGAAGTGCCCTCGTGGTTCTTGGATTGAAGAGAGGGGGAAACGCTACATGTCACGTATGATGATGAGAATGAAATGTGAGATGAGGATGGAATGTATCGATGATCGGAATCTCCATGAAATTGTCCTAGTGTCTATTCTCATTGCCGGGGCACTGGGAACAAGGCATCGTGCCCCCGGAACGCCAAAGCTATGCACCATACCTCCCAGGCAAAGAAAGCAGCCAGCAAACGAAGCCCCGAAACCAGATTTGCTCTGTGCTCGGGCTCCACATGATATTCCAAGCATCCTCTAGGCACGATCCTGCCTTCGCCGCAGATTTCTCGTCCGCTTCATCAGCTTCTTGTATTTGTGCTTCTTCATCTTCAGCTTCCGTTGGCGCTTGACGGAGATGAGGAACATGGTCCGTTGTCTGGAAGCGCTCGGAGCGCATCGGATACTGGGAACGATGCCTCGCTGTCGCAGTTGGAATTGTTGTTGACGATGACGTCGCATGCGGTCGATGAAAGGTAATCGCTGGGGCTCCTCAACGCTAGCCGGCGCATTCGGTGTAGAAATCTGCACAATCGGTGACGACTCCGCGGTGTAAGAGCGTTGGCCGTGCTGATCGGTGTACTCCGTCACGATGATTGTCGTCTCATAGCTCTTCTGTTTGGGCTTCGACGTGGCCTTTCTCTTTTCCGAGCCCTTCATTTGTTCCGCGGGAAATGGCTCGGGAGGCGGCGGCGCATTGAAAGGCTTGAAATTCGCGACCTGTTCGTCGATGCTCTTCAATCGAGGCTGGCCGTCCAGATGTGTGACTCCATCCTGATTGCTCGGGCTCTCCTGCATGACCTCCCATCGCACACCATCATCTTGGAGTTCCCGCTCGTTCATTTCCAAATTCTCGAAGAGGCTGCCAAGGGCGTAGACGACGTTTTCCGGGCGTCCTTCGGCGGAGTTGCCATTCTCCCAGGGATTCGCCTCTTTTCGCGCTTCGAAAATATGGTCGAATTCCTCCGTGCTGGTCACGCGGGGAATGCTGGTACCGACGGCGATAGGCCTGTGTAGTGCGAAGAACGAAGAGATTCTCAGATCTAATCGGTACAAAGTTAGCTTCTGTTTTGTTGAGTGATAAGGCGAATCTGAGGTGCTTCCACTCACCACGCTCATCGATGTGCTGCGTGCCAGGAACAGAAGGCAGTCCTGCAAACTGATCTTCTGACTTGGCCGCCGCCGCCGCAGCAGTACGTGCCTTCTTGCTACTCTTGCTGGACACCCTCTTCTGCCCTCTCTGCGACGTCTGGGATCCCGCGGGCTCCGTCTTCCCGCTCGCAGCCTCGGTGGCCGGCGCTGGCTTACCGCCACTGGGACTGCTATCGGGAGGGCAAGATGCTTTGCTGCTGGAGTGTCGTCGCTGATGCGAGCGGCGGGTGGCCAGACATGAAGTGCTGCGGTGAGCGGTGGCCGAGGGGTTGTGGGCGGCAGCACAGGTGGCCCGGTTCGCTACGCGGCTGAGTTTGGTGGAGAACATGGCTGTTGTCTCCAGTCCGTAGGATGTCGGGGGTCGTGAAAGGCCTGTGATGGCCGGTTGGAGTGGGAAACAGTGACACAATGAGGTTGCGGCGAGTTGAAGCTTTGTCGGCTGAGCGTCGGTGGCTCGTGCTCTGCCAGCCGAGCTCGCTCGTTGCAACAAAACCGCATCCAACCATCTCACATGACACTTTGACGCCCTCGCCTGGTCTCAGCCTTCGAACATGCCTGGCCTTACTTCGAGCTATTACACCGGTGTAATTATGTAGGAATGTTCGATACTAAAGGTCATCGGAAACTCGGCATCTATCATATCCCCACTCAAGAAGGGGAAAAGGGCTCATCTTCCACTCCCTCTAATCGAACGGCACTCTACGCAATTGAGCTCCCTCGCCAGCCTTTCGCGCTTCCTGCCTCGCTCCAACTGCACTCGGCACCTTGATACCACAGCAATCTCCCCAACTATTGGGATTATGCTTATGCTTCATACCATCAACCGTGACCTCCACCTCTCCAACTTCCTCATCCCCAACTTGCGCCTCCGCGTCCTTGCTCATCTCCTCGGGCGCAGGAAGTAGAGAACCAAAGAGAAAATGCTGTGCGACTGGAAGCTTCCCAAGCACTTCGGCGAGAAACATCTTTCTCATACCACCTTCCACTTTGGCCCAGTTCTTCGCAGAGGAGATGTCGTCAAGCATGGGAGAATGCCACCGCAACCCTTGGACGGTCTTGGTGGCGTTGACCCACTGGATCTGATCCAGATAGATGTAGTCCTTGCTGCATTCCTCGATGATCAGGTCGTTGTGGATACTCAGAGGTCGAATATGCTTGTGATTGACAAGTTGACTTGCGCCAAACAGGAATGGCAGGAACTGGTAATCATCCAGACCCCAAACACCATGCGAGCCTGCCGGTTCCAGATAGTACGTGCTTTGGATATCTCTCATGACTTGCAGGTATCGCGGGAAGACCATGAGTGCAACGGCCGGGAAAATGCTCTCGTGGATGATCGATAGCTGTCGCAAGCATAGCAGCCAGAGTATGAAGTTGAGCTCATGTCCACTCCCGTAGTCTATCCTTGTCCCGTTGCCAAACGAGTTGGCCAGATACGTAGATACTTCCTCCTGAGGACCAGTGTCTTTCACTCCCAACTCCTTATGCCAGCTTGGTAACGCTTCGTCGACGGCGGCCAGGAAGTCGCGGAAAGCCGGATTACCAAATCTCGACCCTGTATCCAACGCGGGATGTTTCTTCAAAAGCTCCTCTGCCTGATCGAGTACTGCTAGCAGCGCAAGTACAGCCGGGTCTTGCGCTGCTGACGACTGCTTTACGCTTGTGATGGTTGTGTCTCGTACAGAGTCCGACAACGTGAAGACAAAGCTGACGATCAGGTTGTACGTTTCCGAGGCGATGAACAACTGGTGATCGCGCTCTGACAGAATGCGACGGGTCGGGTTTGCATATTGGTGGCCTTCAAGGTTTGGAGTCCTTGGAAGCGCAGGCGTAGGCGGTGGTGGGTTTGGCGGTGCCTCTTCTGGCTGCAGTCTACGGCGCGGAGTGAGCTTCGGTAGCTTATTTGAGAGATCTGGTGGGTTTTGAGGTATTTGAGAGTCGGCTAAGGGTACGGCGGCGGGCATCCTGTCACTGAGATGGTAGTTGTCTGTCATGAGGATGCGTTTGCTTTGGAGCTCACTTTTGGAGCGACTTGTGGTGCCTCAGGCAAACATGAGATACTCACCCCACCTCCTTCCTTAGGTAACAACCATCAACATAGACATGACCTTCAATGAACAACATGAATGCAGGAAAAGACACTTGCAAATTGTTGAACCTACCATACGAGTTAAAAGAGCATATTTGCCTCTACTCCTTCTCCAACCCCGACAACGAGGGCTCGACATGGATCAAGTGGCCCAAGGAGCCCGCCCTCCTTCAGGCCTCGAGATCCACACGCCACGAAACATTACCGCTCTTCTACCAGCACTTCCCTCTGCGAGTGCTGACATACGTCAAGTGCGACTCGTTCAATAACATCTGGCTGACCACCAAGAAGTGGTATCACCAGCTGCCCGCATACAAGATCAGACATATACGACTGCTGGAGCTCCGATTTGCGTTTCTGGAACGATACTTTGGAGAACCCGTCGAGATCAACTTCTTCATCGCACGGAGCAGACATGGGCAGTACACGATTCACCACTCATTTGGAGCGGGCTGGTACTCAGACGCCAATCGTAAAGGCGACCCAGCTGACTGCGAGGAAGTACTCCTCATACTGAGAGGACATTTGGAGACGACTTTGACTACTCTGCTAGCTAGTCCTGGAGTTGAAGGCTTGACTGCAGACGGTATTGATCGCTTGGTGGCCATCGACCCGGACATTTTCCCATGAAATTCTTGTCTCTCGGCGTTGGGCGTATCGAGCTGGTCTCAGGATTTTAGCTGAATCTGGATCCACTCGTCTACCGATGTAGGCTCTCGACCGAGCATCCATCGCAGGACGTTCGAAGTTCGTTCAAGCCCTCAAAGCAACAAGGCTGTTCGGGATTTCTGGAGTCCCACGTCTCTCCATGGAAGGCTCATCTGAGCTTGCCAGCATCTTGACTGGGTATAAGTCCATGAAGTGGTGGGCTCGAGAATGGTCCAACTCAGGGGACTGATCATGAGTCGCTCCTCGATGTACGATTTGAGATCATGTTGCATGAGCTGGCGATGCTGGGTGTTGAGCACTGAGGAGAAGACGAGATGCTGGAACACACTGCCTGGTCTCTGAGTCTCTACCGCAGCAGCATCGACCATGTTGAGGCCCATCTCCTTTTCTCTCGGATGGAAAGAGGGCCCGACGTGGTACACTGCCGTGGCACCTTTCAGCAGCTGCTGGCAAGTTTTGGGGTCGGTGACGTCTGCCTGAACGACTTCAGCGAATGGATATGTGGCCTCCAGCTTCTCGACCGAGGCTGCCGAGAGGGCAGCGAGTCGAAGTCTGAATTCCGCTAGGAGAGGCAGAAGGTGGCTGTATTGCTTTCCCGCGGGGCAGGTCAACACCAGAATGTTGCTCATTTTGATATCGGGCCGACGATGGAAACCAAAAACTCGAGGCTTAAGTCTCGACTACATGACATTCGGTGCTGATTTGAAGTTTCGCAGAGACGAGATGCAGTGGCAAATGGTTGTTCTCTCGAGTGATAGAGCGTGTCTGGCGGAAAGACGGCTCATCAGTTGATGCAAGAGTACCGTACAGTAGCGTCGGCAGTGCTTTGATTGAGTTTGACGGCGCTTGGACTTTGACCGGGGTATCTCACCTTACCTAACCCACGCGCTTAAAATAGCCCAGCCCGAGATTTCTTTGCGCATTTTGCAGGTGGTCTCTTCCCTTGTCGGGCCACCTTGCTTGTGCCGGGCCTCCCTGCTGGGATGCGATGCGATGCGATGCGAAGACGATGGGGAAGAGGATGACTACATCACATCACCACGAGGGACATGGGCACAGCAAGCGGCCAAAGATGTAGGTATGGAAGTCGACGGTGAAAATAAAGGTGCAGCGCAGCGCAGCGCAGCGCACCGCGGCGCATACGAGAGCCCTGCATTGTCGCGTGTGCAAGAGGCAGCCGCCCAATCGGGAGAATGCTGCTCGCTCTGCACTGAAGCGCCTTTCGCGACCGACTGTGGACCCTCGTCGCGAGTCGTAAAGAGGGAGGAAGCGCTGACGGATACGACAACACCAGCCGGAGCTTCCTCTCCAGCGCTCTCCAGTGTGTCACTCTCTTCTTTGTATCTCATTTGTAAGGTATCTCCCACCTCACTGTCCTGTGGACGCACCATCCACTCCCGACGACGTCTCCAGATCCGACGACGAATCGACCTTTCCGCTGCCATCCACTCACTCGCCTTGGGAACCGCCGCGCCGCGCCGCGCCGCGCCGCAATGAAGTCCCGCGCGGGCTTTGCGACTGCCCTCCTCACGACGACGACGACTCCGCTCACATGCGCCTTCTCCATCCCCTCATTATCATTATTATCCCGGCGAGCGATCGAAGAAAGAGCGACCAACAGCACGACCATTCCAGCTGCCATAGAGATTGGGCCCAGCCAGTACTGGGACGGAGATGGTGAGCGCGCACGGCGACTGCATTGCGACTGCATTGCACCCTGCATGAGGACGCGGGTGGTATTGATGGACGTACTACATGATGTATTCTGACATGGCTTTACAGATGGCCCGTGGTCATCATTCCCACTGCAGGTCGGACATGCAGTACAGAACATCCGCGTCATGGTCAGCACCGCCGCTTCTACCATCTTCACCGTAGGCGCAAACGGCTGCCCGTCAATCTATCCCGCCGACTGCGCCGATCAACGCGGTGCCCTCTTCCTCCCCAACGAGTCCTTGACCTGGATACCCAACAGCATCTTCAACCCGGGCATCGAGGCCAATCTGGGCTTGGATCTACCCTCGAATGTCGGCTTCGATACCGTCACCCTCGGCTGGCAGGGCTCTGGTGGGCCTTCAGTATCACATAGTACCGTTTTCAACATATATACCCCCGCGTACTGGCTGGGCCTCTTTGGACTCAATCCTCAGCCCACCAACTTCACCACCCTCAACGACCCGCAGCCATCCTTCATGCAACAGCTCGTGAGCAACAACACCATCCCTTCCTTATCCTACGGATACACCGCGGGAAACCAGTACCGGCTGGACAAGGTCTTTGGATCTCTGGTTCTCGGTGGCTACGATTCGAATCGTTTTCACCCCACCAAGAACGTCACCATCCCCTTCTACTCCGACGTCAGCAGAGATTTGCTCGTCAACGTCAAATCCATCACGACAGACCACGGATCGCCGTCTGATTTGCTTCCGGGAGGCTCCATCTCCATGTACGTCGACTCCACCATTGCTCAGATCTGGCTTCCTCTGTCCGCTTGTACCGCCTTTGAGCAGGCCTTTGGACTGACATACGACAATACCTCTGAATTTTACCTCGTCAATTCATCACTCCACGACTCTCTGACCGCGTCAAACCCCAATGTCACCTTCACCGTTGGAGCATCGAGTGGTTCGACGATCGATGTCGTCTTGCCCTACGGCGCCTTCGATCTCCAAGTCAAATTCCCCAACGTCATGAACCCCAACACCTCCTACTACTTTCCCCTCAAGAGAGCCGCCAACGATACACAATACACCCTCGGCCGTACCTTCCTGCAAGAAGCATACATCATCGCCGACTACGACCGGGCGAACTTCACCCTCGCACCCTGTATCTGGGAGTCCGCCAAAGTAGGCACCTCGAGCATCAAATCCATCCTTCGCGCCAACGCAACCTCCCCCGGCACCGGCACCGGCGGCTCCACAACGCCCACAGGTGCAGTCGCAGGCGGCGTGGTAGGCGGTGTCGTGGGCGCCGTAGCACTCATCGGCGGAATCCTCTACTTCCTCCGCCGCCGCAGCCAAGCAGAAAAGAAGCGCCTCGCCGAGATCGAAGCCAACAATCAAGCCGAGAGCGAAACCAAAACCTCTCAAGATTCCAACAGTGAAGGCAAACCTTTCATCTCGGGACCCATGGGCGGGGAACTCGCCGGGGCGGAAGTGCACGAGATGAACGCTCCCTTCCAAGCCCCGTTATCCGAGATGGATAGTCCGTACAAAGTCGATCCGAACAAACACGGGTACAGCGAGATGGAAGGCGGAGGAGAGTATTTCGGCCTGAGGAAGGATGGACCGGCGGAAGTGCACGGTAGCACGCCCATCTACGAGATGGCGGGCAGTGACGTGCACGAGATGCCGGCTCCTGTTCCCGGACGGGACGTGAAATTTTAAGAGAGGGAGAAGGGCAGGACCGAATTTTGATTTTTTTTTTTTATCTTTTTACTACTCGAAGCGTTTTGATATCCATTTGGTTTGGCGATCTAGGGAGGCAGAGTGTGGCGGTTCTCGTGGCGCTTGGCGAGAAAAAAAAAAGGACCAACAGGACGTGCAGGCAGGCGGACGCACGGCTTGGCTTCTCTGCTACATATCTATGATACCATCTGATGGAATCTGGGGAACTCTTTTCCAACTGTTCAAAAAAAAATTGAATTTTTAAGGAGGAGGAGGAGGAGGAGGAGAGATGAATGGCAAGACTCCATTCATCCATCTCCCCCCCCATCGTCAAGAGCTGCATTCGATCGGAGAATCTGCAACCCAGCTAGAAATTTTTCACAATGGGTTGGAAAAATGTCATTCAGTGGTACAAACACCCTTTGCTCGAAACGCTCAAATGTCATCTCAGGTAGGAGTGAGTGAGTGAGTAACGACGAGAACAATACGCGTTGCATGTGCTCTCATGCCCTCTCCTGCCCATCAATCCCCCAGATAGACCGGCACGCCATACACGACCGCCGCCGCACCATTCAGATATCTCAAATAACAGCTGTCCCGATTCCTCGACACGGCTTCGGAGAGACTCATACTCATCATCTCGCCTGCGATTCCCTTCTGCTTCTTGTTCATCATCATGCCTGCTGGTCCGCGACTGCGACTCCTAGCGGCGGGAGTTCGAACGGCAGGTTGGCGAGTTCGGGGCGTCTTGGGAGCAGCGGCCGCCCTCTCGGGAGTCGAGGGCACGGCGGCGGCGGCGGCGGGAGTCTTGTACCGTTTGCTGCGGGGCGTCTTGGCTGGGACTCGGGTCGCTTCTGATGGTGGTGGTTGTGGTGGTGGTGGTGAAGCGGAAGCGGAGGCGAAGAGTCCCCAATCCTCCCCGACGGCGAGGGAAAAGCGATCAATGTCTCGATCCGTCACGTCCCACAGCATGCCGATGACGGCCATGCATTTCCGCGTGTCACTTTCTCCGCCCTCGTCATCTTCTCCTTCTTCTTCTTGAGCTGGAAGATTCCGTCTTGCCTGACCCGCCATGAGATACGTCAAGGGCACCGCGAAAGGTTCCAGATCCCCGTATTCCGTCACGGCGCCGGAGGAGCAACCCATCAACCACACAACTTCCGAACAGCGATCCAGACGTCGAATCGCTCGAGGTCGGATATACTGCAACCCGGCTCCGTGACCAAAGTACAGCATGGTCGAGGAAGTGGACAGACGAGTCTGGAATTCTTCTTCGCTGGGTGCTCGGCCGACGATGGAGGTCCATTGGGGATGTTCGAGCCTTGCGAGTTCCGGTCCCAGGGTTGCTTCTGTGGCTTTGAGATCCGAGGATGGGTTGAGGATGTACGTGCCAGAGTCGCGCTGGATGGTGTAGCGTGCGCTCGGGTCATCACCCACGGCTTGTCTCATCTGGAGTATCCGCTCGCGGAGAGTGAACATGCTGTCCACCCGGCTGACGCTGCACTGGTCCAGACACGGAAGGCTCTCCCACGGGAACGCTTGTAAGCGGCGGTCGAGTACCAGAATCAGATGGCCTTCCGGGGATTCTTCACTCTCGTGGGCATCAATGTACGCTCGCAAGGCATCCAGAACCTCTATCCCCATGCTGTCAAAGTCAATTTCGTCGTAGGCATTGCGTTCGCCATTGAACTGGAAAATGTCGACGACGAAGTAGAGGAGATCCGCCAGTGGTTCGTCCAAGTCCTCCTCGCCATCCACACCTTTTGCGAGACGAACAAAGAGGCCTAAGATATGGTCATCGAGCTCCAGCTTCTTCGCACCGCGCTTGGCTGCTTTCCGAGAAGGTAGGTGTCGATCCAACATCGCCTCAAAGGTCTTGCGGAACTGATACAAACGGACTTGATCCTTCAGCTGTTGTGAGAGCATTCCTTTGAACCCACCAAGCCACAAATTCTCGATATTGAGTAGCAGCTCGTGCAATCGCCTGTCCAGAGCCTCTCGCGTACTCCACCATTTTGTCTTTGCGCCTTTCGTACTAGGGTCGCCAGAGTTGTGGCAACTGTAATTCGAGAGCGCAATGATATCTCTCAGCTCCGCCTTGCCAGCGTGAAAGTCGAAGATCTCCTCTTCGGCATCTTCGGACTTCTGTCGAGAGAATGGTAGTCGAATGAGGAATGGCGTCTCAGAGCAATGATAGCGAGCTATGTATAACTCTTCGCACTTCTCATCCAGGAAAAGTGATACTGTAGTCCACAGTGGCGGTAGAATGTCAACATAATCGGACTGGAAGCTCTGTGCAGTGAGATTAGGCTCCGATCTCGACGATTCTTGCCCGGGCCATGCCATCGAATCTTGGCTGCCACGAGATTCCTTTTCTACTAGCACGCCGACCCGTTGACGCTCCGAAGCGTGCATGCGAGCACGCTCTGCTGTGAAGGCCTCCTGGACCGGATGTAGAATTTTTGAGGCATGCGTTGGCGAAGTCGCCGACAGCATCACTGACACGCTAGATAATTGGCAGTAGAGTTTATGACTTTCTGCCGTACTCAGTGACATGCTCTCTTTCAGGTCAAGCTGCAGGCAGCGACTTGCGGCGATCAACAAGGGTTCAAGGGACATGGCCGGTGCGGCCTTGTTCCTAGCTGTCCTGTTCGAGGCTACGACCTTGCTCGCCGGTCTGATAGGCGGACAGAAGGTTGTTGTGCTAAGGGTCGCGAGGGCGGACAGTCTCCTGTCAGGGGCGAGAAGGGCCGGGTATGCCAAAGTCGACTCTGGCAGAACATTGAGAGAGAAATCGGCATGGATCGCAGAAGTGACCTTCTGCATCGCAATTTCGTGTTCGAGTTGGCGCCATCGTGCTGTATTTGATGGGAAAGGCACAAGCCCCTTACAATTTGGTTCCACACGGCCAATCGCAACTCCAGTGAGGGCTTTCTCGAGCGATAGACTGTTTTCCAGCCTCTGCAGTGCGAAGTAGTCAGACGTGTCTATCCGCGACTTTTGCGACGCTTCGGATACCGGCGCGGCCCTCTTTGTTGTCTTGCTAGTCGTCGTACGCGTTCTGGCTCCAGCCTTCGTCACTGGCTTGGGCTGAGCGCCAGTCTTCTTCTTCGCATCCCCTGAGGCTTTCGTATCCACTGCGGTGTCTGCACTGTCATCATAGACCCTAGACAGCTGTTCAATCTTAGAGGTATGCCGTTCGGACTGCATGTCTTTGGCAATCTTTTCTGCCTGCTCGAGACGGAAATACGCCTGTTCAAATTCGCCATTTCGTGCCCTCAAAACAGACTTCGCCTTGAGCTGCTCGATTGTTGCCAACGATACAGATAGTGAGGTTGTATCTCCCTCTTGCGCGAATAGAAGCTCTGCATCCTCATTTCGTTCGCAGGCAGCAAGGAATGTGATCCGATGGGACCGGACTCGCTGCACCAGCCGCCGAGCACCGACGGATTCTACAATTTTCAAAGCCTGTTCAGAAGCGTAGTTGGCATCGAAGAATATCCCGTGATGGGCGGAAACATCGCTGAGATGGAGCAGGGTCGAGCAAAAAAGGCGAAGGACAGGCCAGAAAGGAGCGCCTCTGTCTGTATTCTTGTCCAGCCTCTGCGAAGGGTCCAAGTCGGGCTGCAGATTCAGCTTGCTAACCTTGTGCGTGAGGTGGTCCATCGATGGCTCGTCATCCTTGACACTGGAAGGCACTGTTTGTGACTGCAATTCTGACCGCTCAACACTCGACCAGATGCTGTTCAAGACCCTGTTCGCTCGCTTAGCCGCCTGAAGCGCTTCGGAAGGGTTACCAGAGGCAAGCATGAGCTGCGAATGTAATAACCAGCCTCGACCATGAAGAAGTCTGAAGGTCGTGGTCTGGCTCGACGGTAACTTCTTCGGCTGCAACTCGCGGCGATAGTGCAAGGTATCCAGAAGTGTTCGACGAGCCTCATCTACGTTGCCAATGGCGTAGAGATATTCCGCGTGACAAAGGTGGTAGTCTAAATATTCGAGCGTTTGCGAGCGGGTAATACTCAACAGCTTCTCCGCCGTGCTAAGACAGTCCGCCGCCTTTTCTGCATAGCCAAGCAGGATGTATACTCGGGACAGTCTCAGGAGACTGCTTGCTCCCTCAAGATTGGCGTTGTAGACTCTGCAGATGTCAACTAGTATCCGGAGAACGGGTACCCTCGATTCATCCTCTCCAAGTATCCCAAAGTACTCGTCAAGAGACATCAGTTGTGATATCAGAGCACATGGATTGTCTACGACATGGTCGAGACCTTCCGCATCTTCAACGAGATCTGTAATTGAGCTCCAGCCAAGCAGGCTCTGTCTGATGGCCTGTGGACATGGATCGCCATTTGCGAATGCTCGACTCAGGCGCGAGGCTGCTTGGATGTCTGGGATATACGCTTTCAGACCCTCATCCTTCCCCAAGTCGGTCGTATCAAGTAGTGCCGTAGACGAGAACATCGACAGGACGTGGGGCGGTAGTGCCATTGGGTGCTGCTCGCGTATTCGCATTGCCAACACTGCGATCCTCGCATGGCGTACTGGATACATGGACGGATCGTAAGCCAGATTCAATCTCTTGAGGGTCTCCGGTATCAGCTTTTGCAAAGCCTCCTGGTGCTTACTTTTGTGCGCTAAGTCGATTTGGCACTTTAGTTGTCGTTCAAGCAGCGCTCCACGGTCTGCAGGACCTAAAGTCTCGTCATCCATTAGGAAATTCATGCATCTGCTTGTATCCGATGTAGCCGCTTTCAAGGTCAGGATTTTCAGCATCCGGCCAAGTGAAATAGCTTTGTTGAACGACGCCCACGCCAGAGTCATTGATCTCGACGATGCTTTTTCCGCAACTGTATGAAGAACTCCAGATTGGATCAACACATTAGCAGCGTCTTTGCTGACCCATGATAGGGCTTCGTCATTCGGTGCCTTGCAGGCAAGCGCCGCCCGTATAATATCTTCCGCCGTCAGTACATGGCGGCCGGGAAATTTGCGAACATATCGGGATGCAAATCCAGCAGCCAGACCAGCAAACTGGGCACGGGATGCCTCGATGTCTTCGCATTGCTGCAAGTGACAGAGAGCCCGGAGAGCATGCGAAAGCTCAGACAGAAGGACTTCGTAGTCCACCACGTTGCCTGTTACGCTGTCTTGGAGTCCTTCGGTGATGATCTCTAGGTCTCGACTGAGGGAACTTCCTGCTGAATCTGAGCACTTCGCAGCCAGCGCGACTGAAACCTTTCTCGCGAGGGCACTTATTGATCTTGCATGCGATGGGGGAAGCGTTTTGCATGCCTCTACGGCAAGTACTGCCAGATGCCTAGCATGGTCGGCGCAAGAAGCGCGCTCCGCTAATACTGACAGTATCCTAGATATGCTGAAGTCGGCGGCACTGCCCTCATTCTTCGAAAGTCTTGCAATTCCAAGTCTGTCGTATTCTTGATGACATGTTTCGAAGACTTTGGGGGCATCACAGCCAATTGACATTCGCCGTATGAGCGCCTGCAGACACTTCGAAAATGGCTCAAGGATATCCTTGCCTGTGTCGATTGTCTGGCCAGAGAATTCTGCCGCTTCGTAGCGTAGAAATAGAGATGTCGCTTGAGTCTTGAACACTGATAAGGGCGGTGGACTCTGACTTCTATCCCTTGCACTTTCATCCGCAGATTCCAGCACGCTTGGACAGATTTGCAACATCAGTTGCGAAATTGACTCCAGGTGTTTGATCGCCTTGCCATTTTGCATTTCTGACTTGCACCAACGTCTTGCCAGATTTACAACTGATGCTGGTGACTCCATGGAAAGGTGCTTTAGGCTCCTTTCGGTTGCCGCGGAATTCCTTGTGATACTGATGAGCTTCAGAACGTGAAGATGGTATGAGGCGATCAGCGGCCATGCCTCCTGGCACTTCTCTGAATCAAGCTGAATGTCGAAAAGCTCCGCCAGGGTTTCGTGTTTTCCAGTGGTCTGGGCAGGCGCGGAGGCCGATTTAGCTGGGTTTGACTCCTGCACACCGGGGAGAGCGGCTCTGAGCCTTTTTTTGACAGCATGCAATTCTTTGGCAGCGAAAGACTGAAAGCCGAGACTAATCAGCCTATTGCAGAGGCTCATCATGCCATTCTCCAATTGGAGCTTTGGCGGTTCTCGAAGACCCAATTTCTTCGCATCCACAGATCCTAGATAGGAGAAAGCCAGCATAGAGCACTCGGCGACGGCGGCGACATGACCTTCGTTGCACGACTGTGAATCCGAGCATGTTGAACGTCCTCTGGGTTTCTCTGTCCCCTTTGCTGGGCTCCGTTGAACCGGAGTGGCGTTGCCAGAACGGACTTGCAAAGCACGTTGTGAAACGGGTGTAGTTTTCGAAGCCCGCGGTGGAGTGGTATGATTGACCACAGACGAGGGCCGCCGGAAGCTCTGCGCTGGCGCTTTCGACCTCGCGGCATCTGCCAGGACCTTCAGAGACGAATTGACTACCTCGGTGGCTAGAGCATATCGTGCTTTCGGTGGCAGTGAGGGCGTCGCGTCTTCTAGCACCCTAACGTCACCCTTCCGAAAACCTATTGTGGCCGCAGTCGTGCCCTTGATTGGCTTTGTGGTCCTTCCGGCCGGCTGTGTTCGTGATGAAGGTCCATTTCTGCGAGCTGGTATTGCTTTGGTTTCAGTCTGGGCCGCTGCGGAGCTCAGCAGACTTTGTAATGTTGTGACCGTGGATGCACCCGAATTTCCACCAGATATCGTTGCTTTCACGGTGTCAGCAAGAGTTTCTGAAGTCGCCATAGACTCTGTCTCGTTATCGCATAGTCGGGGATGTAGTGCAGCGTGATATCTTGACCATGTGGATGGCGCTTTCCGGGATGTAGTTGGCGCGGGATCAACCGAGGTTGGCAAGGCAACGGCGGAAAGACCTCCGCGGCGAACTCCATGTCGAGTATTCATCCTACGACGCTTGCATTTCTGCTTACCACCTCGAATACACCACCTGCTGCATGCCAAAAGAGCATAATGGCCACCGTAAGAGCGGTAAACTTGCGTCGCTCCGTTTGCGCACAATGCGTTCGGAATCAGACACAGCGGAGGAGCTACATGCCAACGCCAGGATTGAACTACGCAGAAGAATCCAGATTGCCGAGGGTCGCAAATCCATCTTTCTGGTCTTCGCTGATACCGCGCGTTCTACGCCGCCCTACAGATGCGGGAGAGGCTGCTCAGCGTGCCAAGAAACGAGCAGCGGGCGCAGAGGAGCGTCGTATTGGAATCACTTTTCTACTACTGGGCATCCTCGTGGGGTCCAATGCCATCAACCTCATCTCTCTTCGCCGAGAGATGCTCAACTTCACGCGACTTACCGATGCGAAACTCGCAACATTGCGTGAAGTTGTAAAGAGGGTGAAGGACGGGGAGGATGTTGATGTAAAAAAGGCGCTCGGGACTGGAGACCCACAGCAGGAGAAGGAGTGGGAACAGGTCATACAAGAGCTTGAAGAGACGGACATGCTGATAGAAGGGCGCAAAAAGCGTGAAGCTCAGAGGGCAGAGAGAGCTGCACAACGGCAGCAGGAAGACGAGGCCAGGTCCCAATCTAGGCGGTCGAAATCGGAAACAAGCACGAGTGGATCCACTGGAGCTGGCGACGCATCCCGACCAAAGTTCCTGATGTGAGATTCATAACTGGCGCATCTTCCAATGTCAAGGGTCCATTGTTACCCTTTCTTTTGACTCTGGCCATCTATCCAAGAGCCGAAACCATACTCTTCATGCCATTGAACACATACGAAGGCCAGCATCCCCCGGACTTGAACCAAACCAATGCGATCTATTTTGCAGACAAAAAGAGCCGTGATCACATCAACATAGAAGGCTGCTGAAAACAGAATATAAGACGCTCTGATCGCGTGGACAAAGCAAGCGCCGGTAGCGTAAATTCGCGCCCGTGATTTCAAAGGAAGACTTGTCCCCATCTAGCAGCACGAGTCAGCTCTGCGTAAACGTGTCAATCGACGGGGCACCTACCCAGAATCCTTATCGCCCCCATTGGTTCCATTCCAGTACATCTTCGAGTCCTGGAATTCCCCTTCGATCTGGTGCTCGATCCACTGCTGGGTGACTTTCATGGCACGGGCCTGATCGCGAACGCGTAGTTGGAATCTAAATGGTAGTGGCTTAGCAATGAGAAGAGTCGAGAAGTTCATCGTCGGATCTGACTCGTATGGCTGTGCAGCTGGGATCTTTTCAGGGCACTCTTCCTCCGGGACAAAGTTCCACGATCCGGGGAGCTCAGGAGTTAAATCCTACTCACCGAGCCCAGTATTGCTAGGCTCTGGATCCTCTGACGGACTGATGTCCTTCCTCATGGTACACCAGCAGACCGAACAGACAGACTTCTTCCACGAGCTAGGTTGTGGCTTGTCGCTAACGCCAGAAACTGAATCTCTCTCCATATTTGAAGCAGACGCTCGGGTCAAAGATTCTTTCACCTCCTCCTGCATCGTCTCAAAGAACTTCTTTTCTGTTCTTCCGCGTCGCAGCTCCCAAGCCTTGGCTCTGCTGATTTCTCTGGCAACGACATTACGGCTGTCAATCTGTTCCCCAGGGCGCCGCTGGGCGAGACCCCGATCGGAAGCTCACGGGCGCGTTGTTTGAGCTCTTCTGCTGGTTCCGGCGTCCCCCATGCCAATCGACTAGTGACTCTAGCCACGAACGATTCCATGGCATGGCTGTATTGCGAAGGATCCGTCATAAGCTCCAAGAGCAAGCGAACGGCTTCCATTTCGGGGTATCTGTAGAAGGATTCCCGTTCGCTTGTGTCCATGGTCTGCTTACCGAACTTGCGCTGGCGAGACCATAGCACTGTTTTCACGCAAGAGAAACCATCAGCATCCAGCAACGATTCAATACTTTCCGAGGAGGCGACTTACAGTCCTTGCTCATGAGAGGAAGGTATTGGCCGCTCGTGCGGTTATTATGTTCCAGCGACTAGGGTAAGGGACCCTACATTCCGCGGCACGATAGACGTTGCCATGTCTGTGTGACCTGACAGTGATACCGGCACCACGCCGGCGGTGAGCGCCTGGCACAGTGAGAATAGTTCGCGCTTGCGAAGAACAATCAAGGGCCTTGAGGAGTACTGCTTTGCTGTTTCAAGAATTTGCCGAGCGGCTTCTCATGGCCTTAAGAGGTGAGGTACGAGGGGCTGCAGTTGCTCGGAAGCTCCGAATATATTGATCTGCGCTTACGAGATGCTTCCCTTAAATTGCCAACAGCTACTTGATGAGCGTATAGCCACTAGCCCGAATTTGCAGCCTTGTTGGCAGCAAGAACTCCAACCCCCCTGGACCTAGGCAGATTATCTCCTGCTTCGCGCGTAAAATATTTCCGCTTATGCATCCCCGCCGGACAGGCTGCTGCAATTTGGAGTCCTAGTAGTAGCATATATTCAACTTTTGTGGGGAAGTGCTCAAGAACGTCCGCCTACCATGTCGACAACCACGTCCCGCGCCTAGCAGTGCTATCACCATCCTTGCACAGTTAGCGTCTTCGTTGGCCGTCGTTGAAAGTTGCATGGTTTTCCTCTCCGGATGCATCGTAGCGTTGACTTTGAATCAATAGTTGCGGTAGAGCGCATCGAGTGGATCAGCATCGGGCGGATAGTCCCTCAACCGAACACGTCTTCTGCGAGCCTGTGAAGAATTGAGGCTGGCTGCGAAACATCATGTCCTTCCCGTCTCTTGACGCGGAGGACTCATCGAGAAGAAGACGGATATTCGGCTGCCGGGAGTGTCAAGAGTTTCGTCTCGGCACTTGGCGCCATTGTCCCTCCGCCAGCGTTTCGTACGCCATACGAACGCCCCGTACCGCTTCGCTTGGGATTTCGAGGTATGGTCGATACGTGTGCGAAGGATATGTCTAAGAAGGACGTGAAGTCGTTGTTCATGACTTCAGAGCACATACTCAAGATTATGTCAGCAACTTTCAGGTTCTCCGCAATCACATGACGGTCTTTGCCTCGGCAAACGACATCACCTCCAATGCCACTTCCACAGATGATGGGCGAACATTGAGATTCAAGAGCACACGAACGATCCATTGGACTCACTATCTAGAGCTTTGTTGCAAATTCCAAAAAAAAAGTCGTCACACGGTCAAGATGCCCGAGAGCATCATCAACGAGCCAGACCTGGCATTGGACCGATACGACAATGGCATCTTCGTCCTCACCATGAGAAAAGCCCCCGAGAATCGAATCAATTCCGCCTATGCCCAAGAGCTAATCGCAGCCTACAACACCGTGCGCCGAAGCGTAGGAGAAGACGCCGAAGGCGCAGTCATCACGAAGGGCAACGATGCCAAGTTCTGGTGTACAGTAAATCTCGCCACCAGCCTTTTCTAGAAACCAATTAAAAAAAAACCAACCGGAAAAGAACAAGATCATTCGTTGACACTTGCGGTTTGCTTTTCTTCGCATCTAGGGTCTAGAACTTGACGAGGCAGACACGAACCCATACGCCAATTCCGAGGGCTTCTACCCCCTCCTCGCCACCCTGATGGATTTCCCCCTGCCCACCATCGCCCTCGTCACGGGCCATACCTTCGGCGGCGCAGGCCCCTTCGCCCTCTCCCACGACTATCGCATCATGAACAGCAAGCGTGGCTTCATCTCCATGCCGCCCGTCAACCTCGGACTTCACTTCCCGGGTATAGGTGCCCTGCCTCGACTGAAGCTGCAGCCTCAGATTGCCCGGAAGATGCTCCTAGAGGCCCATCGCTGGACGGGAGAGGAAGCCCTGCGGGATGGGATTGTGGATGAGATTGCCGAGCCGGAGAAGTTGCTCGATGCCGCGATGGAGTTGGCGAAGAAAGTCGCGCCGAAGGCGAAGATGGGGGTCTTTTCCCTCCTGAGGAATGAACTCTATGGAGAAGCGGGTAGGGCTTTCCGGGAGATCAGTTACATTCACGGGAAACGCGTGGGTGCGCCGGCGAAGGCGAAGATCTGAAAAAGTAAAGTAGGAAATATATACAACGATGAAATACTTCGTCAATTCTGTCGTATTTTCAAATTGCCGCCACAGCCTGCTTTACACCTTTTCAAAGTTTGGCCAAGATGTTTCTCATACTTCCTCCCTCTCCCTTGACAATCTCCTCATTCTGATAGTAAGGATCAAACGTGATCTCGTTCAACGGATTGAGCCTATGCGCCCGATGGAACAAGTCCTCATACACTCTGCCATCCGATCTCCCAAGAGCGCTATCGAGCAAGAAATCGGGCACTTTCCAAGCGTCGACGAGACGAACGGCGTGAGGCCTAATACGAGCCATGAGTTCCTGTATCTTTGCGGGGAGAGAGTCGAGATCCTCATCGGAGACGGCATGAGCTTTCACGAAGTCTCGAGCATCGTTGTCCATCGTGAACAGGGCGAAAAGGCGGAATTGCAGCTGAAGATGGCTCTTCAGTGTCGAAGAGAGCGTGGAATTCGAAATGGCATCGTAGAAATTCGAGACCAAGATTGCCTGCGATTCCGCGATGCTGATCTTTCGCAGCTGGAGCAGCATTTCGTTCCAGCTGCGCTTCTTTTCGGTACGTTCGACGTACGCGCGATGGGTGAGATCGCGGGAACGACGGGTGAAGGCCTTGACGAGATTGTCGTCACTGTCGTAAATTCGGAAGGGAGAAGGTCGCTTTTGATGCTCGTTCTGAAGCCAATCTCTACACGACTGCTCCATGTCGTCTTGAGCTTGGCCCTTCCGAGCTACAGCAGCTTCCATGCGCTTGAGCAGGTAGCTAGCGGTCTGTTGAGTAATCATCCAGTTGTCTCCTTCGACTGTGGGCTTCGACAAGTAGTCATTGTTCAGCTGAATGAAGCCACTGGATGCCATGAAGCCATGTCCTCCCATCGCCCTTCGACATGTCTCGATGCTGTTGGCGGCTAGTTCGGTACAGAGACTCTTGAGCCCGGACGATTGTGCATGCAGAATGGCCAACTTGCTGAAGTCGCCCTGGTCGATTTTCGCCCGTGTGCTTGAATACAGGTTGTGCATGGCCTCACCCGTATAATGCAGTGCGTACGCGGTCGCCAGTAAAGGTAGGATCCGAATCTGAACGGTGGGATAGTCCAACACCGACATTTCAGGCGTATTCTTGTCTCTGCTGTCTCTGTCCTGGAACTGCTTCCTGATTGATGCGTATCGCACCGCGATTGTAACTGCTCGGGCGATAATCAATCGTGCGTGCATGATGATGCTTGCTCTTACAGCTGTGAGGCTTCCGTACACCACGGCACTGCAAGCAGAGTCAGCTAAACTCAACCCATCTCCCAAATAAATCTTCGTGACATCGACTTACGGATTAGCGGGCTTAGTATAGGTGCAAGTGTTCGGATCAACCCTCGAATAGTTCGAAAGCATGGCTTTGTGCGGCACCACGAAGTTGTCAAACAGCAAGTATCCGTTGTCCATAGGTGCATAGCCGTACTTCGGTCCAATATCACCCACAATCACCCCGGGCAGCGGCTTATGCGTCTTCAAATCCCGAATCTGGACAATGAACGGATGAGGCCCATGGTTAACAAGCTCCTTCGAATCCTGTGACTTGGGCACATGCAACTGAGCAACCACAATGGCATGGTTAGCCGTCCGTCCCATGGAGCCATTCCACCACTTACTCGCAGTCAGAGTCGGACTGTGGATGACGAAGTTTCTCTCGCTAGGATTCCAGGTGGCGCGGCATTCCAAGCCACGGACATTGCTTCCATGTCCAAGTTCGGTTTGGGCGTAGCATCCGATGACCTCCCAGGCTTCAATCCTCGGCAACCAGTACTTCCTTTGTTCCTCATCGCCCTGCTCTCTCACTGTCGTCGGAAACATGTTCTCGTGCACCATGTAAGGACTGACATCGTCACACAGGTACACTGCCATGCCGTGATCGTTTTCATCCCAGCCATATTGGTCTTTATATCGTCTCAATTTCTTCGCCCGAGCCAGACCGAGGTGATAGCGTTCAGGTCTCGAGAGATTGAATTGCTTGGTCTTGCTGAACAATTTGTCCTTCTCGAGAATGGGGAGGATGCGTTCTTGGCGTTTCAGAAACCCATTGCGACTGAGCAGATGCTCTGCTAGCTCCTCGATGGGCACATCTGATTGATTCCGTTCCTTGGCGAGGATTTCCAGACCTGGTGGAGAAGCTGGCTTGAGATTGTCTGAGAAGTCCGGCATGATGGGCCAAGCCCTCTGGATGTCGATCTTGGAAGGTGTAGCGCGGTCTGAGAGGCTGCCGCAAAGCGTGATGTCCAGATGGATGGGTATGTCTGGTCAGATGAAGCGAGCATTCACTCCAGTCCAGTACAGCGAGTAACACTTCTGCCACTGTTTCGCCCAAGAAGTGCCCCGTATGCTTTGATCATTTCCGTTCCATGTCATGCAGTCAATAATGTCAAAAGTCAAGATCATCGACTCCATGCAGTGATACCCTCGGCATGCTGATCCGAGACCGGCACCCACCCAAAACTCTCTCCATCTCCCCACGAATGCGGGGCTACGGATGGCAAGCATTCACCTACCTGAAACCTGGTCTTGGCGAGGGAAACAACCTCACCTCGTCAAACAACAAAGCGATCTCGGCTCTTGCAATGTCGTTTTCAACAACAACTTGTCAATGCCGCCTTCACCAACATCGCCAAGCATCGCAGCTCTCTTCCGCCAACTAGAAAAGAGGGCAATCAACTCGAGCTCCACATTCGAACGCAACCCAGAAACGGTCTACAAGGAAGATGTCCTACCTTTGCAAACTCTACTAAAAGAACAGTGGAAAATGAGCAGTTTCGACGATAGGACGCTACAAGTCCCCGAACATACGGGCAAACACATCTTCCCTTGCCATCCTCTCTTCAATCGACTCGTACGCTTTGCACATGCCAATCCGCCGAGGCTGTGCGTCAGAGACGTCAATACCGGAGTCGAAGCGACACACGTGCAGCTGCTAACTGATGTCTTGGCTTTCCGGGAAAGGGTATGGCAGAATCTGAGTGATGGAGTGAAGAAGGCATTGGATCAGCGACAGGAGGTCTATATTGGCATCCTGGCTCCGGGGGGATATGAGTTCACAGTCGCAATCCTCGCCGCACTGGCATTGGGAGCTGCAGTTGTGCCAATGACCGTGGCACTGCCACCCGAGGAAGCACTGTATTTTGCGACAAAGTCGCGGGCTGCTGCAGTGCTTGTGTCTGATGGAGCTCTGCGTCTTGGTCTGGCGTTGGAGAAGCTCGTGAAGGACGCTGATCCGTCGAGTCGGTTCGTTTGCATCCCGGTGGCGCCGTCTCTGATGCAGCCCCCGCTTGACCCAGCCCAGATCATTGTTTCTTCGGATATGTACCTCGACGACAATGCGCCAGGCGTCGTCATCTTCACAAGCGGCACTACAGGCCCTCCCAAGGGCGCAGTAATGCGAAGAGCATTCGTTCACGACGAAGCGCTGAGTGTCGTGGATCACTACAACGTGACTCCAGACGACATCCTTCTGCATCTTCTGCCCGTCCACCACGCCACTGGCATCGGCATCATGTTCTTTCCCTTTCTCATCGGAGGCGCACTTCTAGAATTCCGCAGTGGCAGCTTCAATCCCGAATGGACCTGGGAACGATGGCGTCGAGGCAGAAATTTGTTCTTCTCCGGAGTCCCAACGATCTACATGAGAATGATGCGGTACTTCCAGCAGAACCTATCGCCTCGTTCAGATGCTCAAGAATATATCGAGGGAGCCCGAGGGGTGAGGACTTGTATATGCGGCACCTCGGCATTGCCCAAGCCTATCGCCGATTTCTGGGCCAAGCTCCTCGATCAGAACATACTCTTGCGCTATGGCATGACCGAGACTGGTGCCGTCTTTAAGGTACGCATGGGAGACAAAAATGTGCCCGACGGGTCGGTGGGAAACGTCTTCCCAGGCTGCGATGTCCGGTTATCTGAAGGCGACCAAGGCGAGATCCTGGCAAAGTCGCCTGGAATGTTCTCCAAGTTCCTCTTTGATGCCGAGGCCACGGCAGCATCCCACACCAGTGATGGATATTACAAAACAGGAGACATGGCTCGGCGGGAAGGCGGGTATTACTTCATCATGGGTCGCGCGTCAGTAGACATCATCAAGAGCGGGGGATACAAGATCAGCGCGCTCGACATTGAGCGAGAGATCCTGGCTCTCCAATATGCGGCCGAAGTGATGGTGGTTGGAGTGCCAGATGACGAGTACGGCGAGCGAGTTGGCGCCGTGATGTGTCTCAAGGGCGAGAAGGACATGGCTCCGGATGATGGCACGCACGTGGTGCAAGATCTGACGATCCAGAAGTTGCGAGACGACCTCCGCTCCAGGCTCGCAGGCTACAAACTGCCCACTGTGTTACGGATCGAAGCCGAGGAGCTGCCCAAGTCGGGCACAGGCAAAGTTGTCAAGAAAGTGCTCGGCCCGCGCTTCTTCCCGCCCGACAAGTACAAGACGATGGCCGAAGTGCAGGTCTGGAGGCGGCAAGACGACAAGTCCAAAGCCCACTCGAAGCTGTGAGCGTGTATCCGGTTATTCTGTATCCACGCTATCTGTATTCGGTTAGGAGGTCCAGCAGCCATTACGTCAGCCACGGGCAATATCCTTTGTCATGTATCGACGCCTAGCTCCCTCGGACGTACACACACGGGTGCGGTCCTCCGTTCAACGTCCTTCGGAAGAGGCAAATAGGGCAAAGATCGTCTGCTAATTGGAAAGGCAAAAGCTGGGAATGCGAGATAGTCATGCCCCGGGACAGAGGTTCCCACGAAGTTCCACGCGTCGACGTCTTTGATTGTGGTCGTCGTGTCGATGATGGAGACACTGATGGTGTCGGAAGACTCAGGGATGTGAAGGTTGGGCTTGCGTCGGCCATGTTGAGGGAGAGATAGAGGTATCGAGTTCTCGCACCGAGATTTCAATTGCCTAGATATTAGGACTTGGTCTGTCCAAGCTGTTCCTCATGTGGTAGCAAAGAAACAAGATATCAAAGGGAAAAGATCGGCGCTGGTACCCGAGCTGCTGGCCTATCTCTCTAGAAGCTGACAGAAGCGACCTTGAGACTAGTCATGTATTCGAAACACGACGCGCGTGGTCTTGCTTGCGTGCCTGTCTGTCCATCCACGGTTCCTTGAAGAACGAAGAGCTCCAAGCAAACGTGCGAGAACGCATCACTTCTCCAGATACCACCCCAGATCCGCTTCGGGATCATATTCCCTCCACGTCCTCCCATTCCCCATGAAGCGGAATCTGTTGCGCGATCGGTACGCGATATCGAAATCTTCCGGTCTCAGAGTCAAGATCATGTCTCGGTAGGAGATGACGCTGCCCGCCCACACTGCGGTGACGCGCCCGTCTTTCCGATGATTCTTGTACCACTGTTTCAAATTCCATTCGGTCAGCCAATGCTTCTCGGACTCGGTGCGGGAAGGGAAGAGACAATACGACACGTACCGAATGACATCCTCCACTCCAAGCCAGAGTTTGCATGATCTCGTCACTGTAAGCATTGAATTCTTCCACAGCCTCGCCCTTGACTTCTACGCTCTTGATGTCTTCTTCCGCGACCTTCTGGATCCACTGGCACATGTAGTCTGCCGACCAGCCCAGGCCTGCCATGAGGGAGCCATGCCCGACCGGAGCATTGGGGCCGGAAAAGGTAAAGAAGTTGGGGAAGTTGGCCACACAGAGGGAGAGGTAAGAGGTAGGTTCGTCCTTCCACTGGTCCGAGAGCGAAACTTGGTTGCGGCCGATGAGCGGGAAGGGCGGTCGGTGCGACACATCGAAGCCAGTTGCACAAATGATTGCATCGAATGCGAGATCTTCCCCCGTCTTGGTGCGAATGCCTGTGGGTGTGATGCATTCGATGGAATCGGTGACGAGAGAAACATTGTCTCGCTTGAAAGATTCGAGATAGCCCGGCCCGGGAGTGGCACGTCGACAGCCGACTTCGTATTCTGGGGTGAGCTTGGCGGCAAGATCTTCGTTGTTGTCGAGTTTGGCTTTCATCTGGTCTGCTGTAGCCTTTCGACCCGCGCGCTGTGCAGGTGAATCTTTCACGAACATGTCGAAGGCACGGTTAGAGGAGGCTTGTATTTGCCGTCTATAGTCCCGTAACTCGATTGGATTCTCTCGGAAGCGGCGTTTCTCGTCGTCGGTATAGTAGTACTGTGTCTGTCCGCCAATGATGGCAGAACCGAGGCCTGGAGTGATGTACGTGGAGTTTCGAATGAAGTTGGAGAGATGGGCAGCGTCTTCGACGAGTTGCGGAATGATCTGTATCGCGGAGCTTCCATTTCCAATGACTGCTACTCTTTTGCCTTTGGCATTGAAGTTGTGGTCCCAGGATGCCGAGTGCATGAGGTCGCCTTTGAAGTCGTGGAGTCCGGCAATGGAAGGCCAGCGCCATTTAGAAAGGAAGCCTACCGCAGAGATGAGGATATCACAAGAATCTTCCACGGCACCCGCACGAGTATCAAATCGGAGGCTCCATTTCCCTTTGTCTTCATCCCACTGAGCGTGTGACACACGATGGCCAGTCTTGACATCCCGATCTAACCTGTACTTGGCCACGGTTCTTTTGAAGTATTCCAATATCTCTGGTCCGCTGGCGTAGTAAGCACTCCAATCCGGGTTGGGCTCGAAGGGGAAACAGTAGATGTGTGCTGGGACGTCGCACGCCACACCAGGATAGGTATTGACCAACCACGTCCCGCCCAATTCCTCATTGGCCTCATAGACGACCAACTCTGTATGATCCCCCAAGGTGTCTTTCCATTCGTGGTAGATCTTATAGGCTAGATTCATGGCAGATATCCCGGCACCTATACAGGCAATGCGCAGCTTTCGCGTCGGTGTACGCTGCGGTTTCCTGTACAATGGTATCCATGAAGATGGTAAAGGACTGCCGTGTCGCTCTGGTGGGTTGGGCTTTTCTCCATTGGCTTCGTCTGCAATGCCGTTGCTCACAAGAGTGGGATCGTTACTCATCATGTCTTCCATTGACATCTTCTCAACGTCTGCGAAACCAGCCATGATGTCGTCGACGAGCTCTGATTGCTGTTGGCCTGTGGTATCCTGGATACTGGAAGGTCTTGTTTTTTCCCCTCTTGGCGACACGATTATAGAGTAGAGATGAAGAATATGAGTAACTCACCTTGCCACTATAGAGCGCACATACTTGACCCAGCAGTAGTGAGGAGTTAGCCGGTTAACCCCGGTGAGGGGTGAACCATGCCATATCGACAGCTCTACGTAGCCGTCATACATCATGTGTTAGACAGCTTCGCAGTTTTCCTAAAACAGAAGGGTTCGACTTTTTGTGATCGGATATTGCATGTGATGTTGGGTTCGAGGGTTGTTGCCTTCACGAGATCCGATGGTACATAGACACGCAGTCGGTGTCGGCTGATCGGCCCGAGAGGTGACAAAGCGGAGCACAGCAAGCCAGCTACCACAAACCAGCTGCCTGCATTGACCACAGGTTTGGTTTCAGATTTCTTTGCTGCCGACCCCCACTCAACGAGTAATGTCGACCTCACCTTCAAAGCGCAGATTCGCCGAAGAAACCGATTTCACGTCCAGCAAGAAGCCCAAGGCAGTCATGAACGGCACTCACGAGCCGGAAGACACAGAAATAGCGGTCGAAATGCCCATCGTGGACCCGAGCGCGCCTCCAGATTCCCACATCGACCATGCCGCCGCAATCGCTTACTGGTCGAGCACACCCGCAACAGTCGATGGAGTGTTGGGAGGATTTCCCCAAGTCAGTCGTATCGATCTTCAAGGGTCGGCGAACTTCCTCGCGAAGCTACTGAGGCAGTCCAGACATCATACCCAAGCAGGAAAGCTTAGGAGGGTAGCAGATTGCGGCGCGGGCATCGGCAGGGTATCCAGAGGCTTCCTCAGCAACGTCGCAGAGGTCGTGGACATCGTCGAGCCCGTGAAGGCTTTCACGGACCAAGTAAAAGACGAACCGTACGTCGGCAAGGTCTACAACGTCGGATTGGAGAAGTGGCAGCCAGAGGTCAAATACGACGTGGTCTGGAACCAGTGGTGTGTTGGGCAGCTTACGGATACGCAATTGATTGCATATCTGCAGCGTCTGCCACAGAGTCTCACGGAAGGCGGCTGGATTATCGTGAAGGAGAATCTGAGCAACCACCACCTGGGCGAGGATGTCTTTGACGAGACCGACTCCAGCGTCACCAGGACCGATGTCAAGTTCCGGCAGCTCTTTGAGGATGCGAATCTCAGACTGGTTAGCACAGAGCTGCAGAAAGGGTTCCCGAAATCGCTGTATCCGGTGCGAGCGTATGCATTGCAGCCAAAGTGATGGAGGGTTGAATTTTTCGAGGGATGAGATTTGCCTGTGGCCCACAAGTCTAACCTCCTGGTCTTTTGCAGGGAGCTTAGTGAACCAATGAGCCTTCGGCGCCTCAAATGACTAAACACCTATCGTTTGTGAAATCCGAACATCATTGCACCTCTGGTACTGAAACAACTCCGCAGAATTGCCAGCGGCGTCGGTTTCCGCATGCAAGTGAGCAATAATCAACCAAGCAAGCTTTTCATGCAGGTATTTCAAATTGCGCTGTCCGACATGGCAATTCGCAAAGAATTTGGCTTCGGAGCCTACTCTTGCGATCTTGCTTCGGGTAATATATTTGAAACGCCCTAATCGGACGACGCTTCGGTCCGAAAGACCTGAGATATTGAACTTCACTTCGGCCTTTGCTGGACAATGACGCGACGATATCTCCGCGCTACTACGCGGTGCCAGTAATGAGTATAGTATATACCAAAAAGCTCACACGGGACGTAGCTTACCACGCACGCGGGCCCTGCAATGCCTTCCGAGATGCGGGACGCAAACCACACCCACGAAAGTCTCCGCGCGCCTGGGCGCGGGAACTCTTGAGCTATCTGCCTTGCCGTGTATTGGAGACATTGTGGCGCTTATAATCGGGTTCTTCCGCATACATACCAGGCCTTTAGCTGAGAGGGTTTGAGCAACATGCAGGAGACTCGGGGCCAGGTGAGCATGTCAGCCTGGCGCGTAGATTTGATTTTTCACCTCGAAGACCCTTGGGAGGTCAAAGCAAGCTTAACGTGTTCTTTAGTCTCCTTGGCAGGTCCAGTCATCTCGGTGTATGATAGTCTTACGGTCTGCCATTAGACCTCTATACCGTGCTCGAGTTGCACGTTAGACTCTCTGCGGCGATCTGCGGTCTTCGATGTTCTGAGCGAATGAGACGACTGGACGAATAAGAAGTCTCTCCTGGCTTCTCCATCTTGCCATGCGCTGGCATGCAGAAGATCTGAAGATCCGGGGCCATCATTCTACGGCAGATGCCCGGGTGCCTGATCTTCCAGTTTGAGTGAAACACCGGAGGAGGTAAGGTAGGCTTGTGCAGTAAGTTGCAGTGGGTCAGCGGAAGTCCGATATGTACGTCGTGAGATGAGGTGCGAAATCGATACATGTCTATAATAGTGCTGATGCGGAGAGAGGCCATATATGGACATTCACTTTCTGTTAAGGTGTTGTGTTCCCGGCAGCCGGTAGCGGGGGAGTTGTTTGGCATTGGACTGTCTGTGTCGCCGAGGTGGAGGCAGTCCCGTTGCGCAAGACTCTTTCGATGATGATTACCTTTCTCCATTACTACAAGGATTGAACATATCCATTCAGAGCGTGAAGTTCAGAGCGTGAAGTTTCGAGCGTACTGATAAGAATATTATTATATCACTAGCACGAGCGCCGTGAGAGCGCTCCGGCCACCTGGGCTCCGGGCGGCTCCTATTTTTGGCTCGGGGCAGTTCCCTACGACGGCTAGGGGGCCGCCCCGAGCACTCCCTTAATATTGGAAAACCCTACACCTTCCAGGTTTGCTTCGACGACGCAGCGGAAAGAGGAGCATCCCGCCTCGTCGGCGCGGCGGCCGCCGTCCGATTCCACGGGGTATCAAGGGGCTGCAGGAGCTGCATGCATGGAGCTCCAGTAGCAGCGTCTACGAGCCGTGTTTCGCGTCGATTATTGCCCGTCGCGAAGGTTCACCCGGGGCAGCATTTCGGTTTGAATCCCGAGCTGGATGAGCCGTGATGCTGCTGATGATGTTGTTGGCGAGTCTTGTGCTGCACACTTTCCCGGGCGAGGAAGACGCGTCGTTAGAAGGGATGGGTGCATGTATAAAATAGACGGATCCAGCTCGTGTGCGCAGGAGTCCGCACTTGCCATCGGCCGCACCAGCCTGACTCTCTTGCAGCTCCATGACTCTGGCCACGCCAACCCTTGGGCCTGACAGCATCACGTCCCTGCTCCTCATCTCCCCCAGCTAATGAGGATAACGAGCTGATAGTAGCGAGCCGGACGCAGTACTCCCATGTTATTACTATCAGATATGAAGCAGCGGCCGGACCTGGACGACGAGGCGTAGGTCATGGAGGATGAGTTCCTACAGTTCCTCCGCACCACCAACATCGGCTTCTATGGTGCCCCGATGCCCAAGGACGCGGACGTTGGCGTTGCTGTCAAGATCAGCAGCAGCACCGCCGCCACCAGCGACATGTCGACGCCGGTGTCTTTTTCCTGCCCGAACTTGTCATCCGCAGAGGAGGAAGAGGGCGAGGAGCACAGTCAGCAGCAGAGTGAGATTGAGCCTGAGGCTGCAGCACTAGCGCCTGTGCGGCGATCCGTGATGGAGCCAGAGATTGGTGGGAGTGGGCGGGAACGGGTATTTCTGCCCAACGTCAGCGACCCGGATTCCCATCAGCAGCGCACCGGCACCGTCAACACCGCCGCCAACGGTCCTGCGCGCACTCCACCTCCCTCGCGCCCATCCATCGCCTCTCGCCACGCCCACGCCCACGCCTCCGCCGCCGAGGAGCCCGTCCCGCCAATCCCTGCGCGTTTTCTCAAAGCCGGGCGACCTGCATCCATCATCACCACAACCTCGACCTCACCCCTGCGTCACGCCAGCCAGACACGCGCGGCAAGCGTCAGGCACGACAATTATTCCACCCCTCCGCCAGCGTCCTCCACCACACCTCCGAGACCTGCATCCAGAACCCCAACTCCGCTTGCCCCCAAGTCCGCCGTTCCAGAGCACCATCGCGTCCGCGACCTCTCGCCCGCTGAACACGTCCGGCCCAATGCCATAGAGACGGCGCGCGCGCGAAGACACTCGCGACAAGGCTTACGGCCTCCATCGCCGGAGCTTCGCCGACCGCGCAGCAGTTCGTCTGCTGCCCGGCTGGACGTGCACTCCTATACCCTGTCCAAGCTGGAGAGCCGCCCACCTCGCTCCTTATCGAAAATGTCGCGCACAGGGCGACGGCGGAACGCAGACTCGTTCCTCGACCCTGAAGACGACCGCGACGCCAACATGCCCTCAGACGACGACACATACGGACAACTGCGACGCTCACAAAGCCGCATTTCACACCCAGAGAAGCGCCGATCACTGCCTGCCGACATGGCCACGCCGTCAAGCGACCGCAGGCCGAGCACCAGCGGTAGCATCTACGCGCGCCCGCAGTCGCGACTCTACGTCAACTCCAACAGAGCTTCCACCAATCTGCAGCGCCATTTGGATCAGTACAGAAGCCCCGCGATACGCTCTTCTGCGCAACTGGCCGACGCTGCGTCCGTCTCAAATCAATCCAACTCCGGACGGACGCGTCGGTACTCGCTCGCGCCAGAGCAATCGCCCGTCTCCCCTTCCCGCTACCGTGAACGTCTTCGCTCACCCGAACTTCGAGGCTATGGCAATGGCGGGCGACAGTCCATAGTAGAGACGCTGCAGAGCCACGACTCCAACAGAACCCTCGAATCCCACGAAGAGTCTCTCACGGAAGACTCGGAAGCAAAACAGACCGGATCCACTTCTGCTGAATCCCAAGAAACGGACACTGTGTGGGATGAGCTGGACGACCTCAAGTCTCGTATCAAGAAGCTTGAGCTCACCGGCAAAGCTCCCACATCCAGCGCTGCTGCGTCTGGAGACTCAAGTGACCGCCCTCGCACCGCCACCACCGCGCCTACCACCATTGGCTCTTCTCCCAAAAATGAGCGTAAGCAGGAAACTGAGAGCAAATCCACCCCGACACCTCAACCAGAGACGCCTGGGAGTGCCAATACGTTGGCCAGCGTCCACCCCGCGTTGCACTCTGCTCTCGCCAAAGCCAAACCTCTTTTGAACGCTTCTCTCTTCCGCACACTGGAGGCATCTGCGAATGATGCTCTGCAATTGACTGCCATGGCAAGTGGCGGCGGGCCCCAAGGAACCAACTACTCAGCAGCTTCCATCATCAACGGTGCCGTCAGCGACCGCCAAGTCAGACGAAAAGCTGGCTCGCTGTGTCGCAATCTCACCGATCTCTGCATCGCACTTTGCGAAGGCAAGTACGAGGCTCCCGCGATTGTCACTTCTCCCACTTCGATGGATACGATTACCGAGACTCCGCCGTCTTTGAGATACTCCCAATCCAGCCATGGGATGCAACGGAATCCGAGCGTTGGGCGACCAATGAGTCGTCTCGACGCCCGGAAAAGCAGCATTCTGGGCGTGCCCACTGTTGGAAGCGTCGACGGACTTAGCCCCAGAGGCAGCATAGCCGACGCCTCTGGCTCCGAGCAAGACTCGCCTCAGGTGCCATCGTACTCGCAGCAGCGCCGCGTGAGCAGAGCTCCCACCAGCGTCTTGCGCAGCCGACAGCAGCGCCAGGAAGAAGCCAGTGGCGAAGACGACGAACCCACCATACGAGCACACTCCCGTGCCGTGACTGACAACGGCTCTCTGCGCGCCAAATCGCGCGCACAGCCACCTGAAAGATCACCAAACGCACAACGCAATCCCTCTTTACGCGAATCTATGATGACCCGACGAACGAACGAGACTGCTTATGAGAGCAATCGCGAAATTCACACACCCAGAATCTCTTCACTCGGCGGCTCGGACCTCCGTCGACGACGATTGTACGATCAACAAGCGACTCCCCCGGTTGGAGAGGAGGAAAGCAGCCCGGATGATACCCAACAGACCCCTTCACTACATCCTTCACGTCGACGCATTACTTCCTCTGGGCAGTACGGCAGTACCAGTCGTCGTGTCACGGGTGAGTTTCTTGCGCCTTCTCGCGCTGCGAGTTTGAATCAGCGGAGGAGTGTTATCGTGGAATAGGCTTCCATGGATCAGCTCATCCTCGGATCGCGCTCGCCGGACGACGATCCGAATGACGAGAATGAGAGGCCTGTCACCGCTCCGATTTGAACGCTTTGACGTATACGGAATTGTTTGATATTGAACTCTGATTTCTCTTGTTGCTGCTTCAATGTTCGAACTCGCGAGATACCACTGGGCAGGCGCCCAAAATCTTTCTGTTGTTGACTTTTGCGATGTTCTCCCCCCCGGAATGGGGAGTACTGTTTCGGAACGGCGTGCTCCATGTGAGTATCTATGCACGTACGGTGTTTGTGACCCGGCATGTACTTGGCCGAGCGAAGCTATCAGGGATGCTTCTGTATTACTATGTATCTGGTATTCATACGATGCGATTCGCAAAAACGCGAGGACTTGGAGACACAGATTCTTCCAGCACGCTCCACATTTCTCCCTCTCTACCTCCCAGATCAAACTTCGTTGCGGCCCCGATCGATACTGGATTCTTAATGGAATCTTGATGGGCGTTTTGAATGAATCTTCCTAATCATTCCTCGCCGAAGCTAGGCTTAGGACCAAATTTTGAGTAGAGGTCACCAAATCTTGATTGCCAGCGCCCCAACCACACTCCCACCTATATGCTTCTGTGCTTCGGGAGGATTTCTCCCTGCTCTTCTTGCAGGCACACGATCGCAGGCAAGTGTAACCGGCCTCCTCGACTTCAGCCTAAAAAGTCCTAGCTTCTGCCAACATTCCACTCCGACTTCACGCTGTGTAACGTAGGAACGCATCCACTACATCACACTCTGCTGGTGCCCAATAAGTGCAGTCACTGTGTGGCCCTCCACGTGTACTGGCTGGTCGCGTGGGGATCGGAGACGAGGCTAGCTGCGCCACAGGATCTTGTGAGAGCTGTGAGAAGGGCATCGATCGCTCCAGCCGTGCCAGCAGATCACTGAACAGGGATCTTGCGTCTCTAGCCAGCCCGTCCCCTTGAAACCGGATTTGGAGGTGCTGTGGAGTGACGTATTCGCACCCGCAAAGAACGCTTCGAGACTTGTTGACGTTTTGTGGAACTGGGCATGGTTGTGGAGGAGGAGGGTATGATGATGAAAGTAGCATGTGTATCGAGATAAGGCTAAGGTATTTGAGGGCGTGCAAGGTAGGGAAATTTTTCTTTTTGTGTTTCGCTTTTGGTTTTCTCCTTTGCAAACATCAACCGATCTATAACTTCGAACAAGTCGGAATCGAGCGCTGCTGTCAATTCATATTCAAAAGGTGAGTGAATCTCCCCTCCATGATAAGTGCCGTTCTCATCTGACAGTTCTTCTACCATAGACTCCAACCAACCAACCAACCAACCGAAAATGGAATCCCTCAAATCTGGCGCGGCGTACGTCTCCAACTCTGCCCAGAGCGCCGGGCAGTCCGCTCAGAACGCCGTCAGCGGTACCGACAAATGGAACGCCATGACCGAAGAGCAGAAGAAGCAGGCGTACGAGAACCTGCCCGCGGAACAGAAACAGGGCAAGACATACATGGAATGGATCCAGGAAGGATACCAGCACCAGAAGGAGAACTGGATGCCATGGATCGAGGACATGTATCTGAAGTGGTTCACCAACGACAACAAGGCCAGCTATGCTACGAAAGGTGAGCCGAAGCGTCTGGCGGAGGCGAGGGCGACGTGAGAGGGATATGTGCTGACTGATGTTTTGCTTGCTTCAGATACCTTGGACAAGTCTAAGGTTACGGGGGTCGAGCAGGTTGATACTCTGCAGGATAGCGTGAACAATGCGGTCGGACAGCAGGTTGGTAAGGGCGGTGTGTTGCAGCCTGTAGGCGACATGGCGAGCAAGGAGGGCGTCAACCGCGCCGAGCGTGGAGGCAAAGACGACTCCGGCTCCTACGGCGGCGCTGCGGGTGACTCCGTCATGAGTGGCGCTCAGGGCGTTGGGAACACACTCTCATCCGGTGCGCAGGGCGTCGGCGGCGCTCTCGGTCTTGGTGGTAAGAAGTAGGGCGAGGCCCATCCAGAAGCAGCAGTAGCAATCCGGATTTGAGGGAAGCGAGACTCTTGGGAATGAGTTCAGATTGTCATTATGGTAACGACAGAACATTACGATGCATGAGACAGTCTTCCATGTGAAAGTAGGGTATTCCATATATTTCATTGGCGCCGCTCTTTCCTGCCTTTGTATTCACCTCATCGTCAGTGCGTTCGGCGCTAGTGGTGTCGCCAGCGGGCCGAAATGACTGGACTTCATCTTTCGGGACACCGCGACTTCGAAAACTTCTTCTACGACTCACTTGCAGCACCAAAACCACGAGCAATTGACAGGCCGCAAGACCACGCGCCTGCGTCAACTGCGACTAAGCACGCTCCACAAAGGGCAAGAGAAAAAATCTGAAAGCTTCAGCTACAAAATTTACGACGACCCACCCAGAGCTTTTTGTCACCAGCTTAGGCTCTCTTACATCCAAGCATCCGGAAGAATATTCTACTCCGCAAGCATCTGCGCATACTCTCCCAAATGCCAGGTCGAGGTGGTCGAGGAGGCGGAGGTCGCGGCGGCCCGCTTCCACGCCCAGTGCAAGTGTCGAAGAAGATCTCCTGGCTTTTGCGCCACGGCGCGGCCGAGGAAGGCCTCACCTTACTTCCAGGTGGCTTCTTACCGGTCGACCAACTGCTCTCCAATCGCAAGATTCGCTCGTTGAAAGTCACCCTGGATGAGGTCAGGGAAATCGTGACGGACAACGACAAGCAGCGGTTCACCATGGTTCATGTTTCTCAAGTCGATCCAACGACAGGCGCAGTTCAGGAAAGTGTGGAAATCTCAGATGAGGGAGATGGCACGGTCGAGCCAAAGGAATTTCTGATCCGAGCGAATCAAGGGCACTCGATCAAGGTCGAGTCGGAAGGGTTGCTCAAACCCATCACGGATGAAAATCGGCCGGAGACGGCCGTCCATGGCACCACACATTCTGCTTGGCCGAAGATTGTCGCCTCTGGAGGCCTGAAGCCGATGGGTCGTAACCACGTGCATTTGGCCTCTGGATTGCCTGCTGGGTTCACCTCACTCTCCCCGATCAATACTTCAGAGACTGCCACAGCTCCCGTGATCTCAGGAATGCGCAACTCGAGCACCATCCTCATTTTCATTGACCTGGAGAAGGCTATGGCAGCAGGTGTCAAGTTTTGGCTGAGCGACAATGGTGTGATTCTGAGCGAGGGGAATGAGAACGGTGTCGTTCCGCTGGAGGTGTTCAAGAGGGTGGAGGACAGGACTGGAGAGGGATTGCTTGTCGAGGACGGCAAGATTGTCAAAGAAGCGCCGGTGAAGTGGAGCGCGAAGGCGTGAGAGGGGAAGAATGCAGGCAGTAGGGCAGCCTCTGTGATGGACTGAATTGTGCTTCACTCGTTCAACTTTGCTCTGGATTTTCCGAGCCCAAGAACCGCGGTTCTAAGACGACAGCAATAGTGCCTGGGCAAGATCGACTGGATGATACGATATCTTTGGAATCCTGGCACCCTCTATACAGACCACGTGGATCGTTCAACGAGAGCGGCGCTGATCATCCACATCTCACGAATCGGTCCCAGCAAATCGTAAACGAACTCCCAAAAAGCACACCCTCATCTGCCACTTGCGTCTCTGACGCTTTGCCAGTACAAGGCTGTCAACACCTTCCACAGACCTATAGGCCACACGACTGCGGTGACACATCGGTGGGGTGGCAAGGACACGTACAGACCTTTGGTCTATTTATTGAACGCCCACATTTCGTTCAAGACCAACGACTTCGTTCCTAAGATCTTACTTTACACACCAGGGCTAGCAATTCGACTGGAAACCCCCCCGGGGGAAAGCACCAGATACACTATATTATAGCATAGCATAGCATAGCATAGAAAGCGAATACGCATACGATATATAAGACATTTTTCGCATCTTCCCGCCCACTGCTGGCTTTCTTTTCATCCATAACGCAGCCTCTTTTCAGTCCTCCTTTCTACGATTCTGAAGAGACGAAAAGAGCCAAGCCATCATGAATCTCGGCAATCCTTTGTCCTCGTGGAATAGAAGCTGTAGCACAGGTATGAATTGATGCAGTCGATATCCATATCCTAATTCTCTAACTGACTTCTAATAATTAATCGACAGAGTTGCCAAGTAGTAGGTAGCAGCACGCACGCCTAGGCGCTTGCATGGGGGTGCTGATGATATCTACAAATGCACTGCAGAGAATTCTGACCCACCTGGATTTGACGTGAAAGCTCGCCGCGCTGACAGGAGGCTTATTCATGACCATCCTTGTCGCAGTGAAAACAATAGATGCATCGTGGTTTACAGAGTCGGGGGCTGGGCACATTGCCCTTGAAGGGAAAAGAATGGACGCGATGATGGCAAATCGATTAGATATGCTGTTTGCGGACTCGGTGCTATGGTGGTCCATGTCGTGAGGATTGGAAATGCAGCATAACCGAACGCCCTCACCAGCAACTGACGCAACTTTTCACATGCATGCAAGATACCGGATCGCTACACAAGATCTACCCGTCTGGCTACGTTCAGTCTTGGTTATGCTACGTCGGTTCAGACCAATCCACTTGCTCAGTGACGGGAGCGCCGCCATCCTTGACGTATGTGATCTTCAGGCGTAATCGCAGCTTCGCTGGAGGAGTCTAGTGTCTTGTTAGTGAAAAGCATAGAACTGGGACTTGCGTGTCCACTTACTCCCTGCACACTGGTGATACGCATTTGCTGTGTGGCTTCTTGTCCTCCCTCAAGCCCCGATGAGCTGATAGCTTGTAGCTGCAGTTTCTGTGTCTTGGGTACCGCAGCTTGAAGATTGAGTGCACTTAGGGTGTCAAAGTTGCTTAAGTTGCGGAAATTGGCCTTGACTTGCACAGCCTGTGAGTCACGCTGGACTCCAAAGGTGATGTGCAGATCGTTTTTGTTGTATGCAGTGTGAACTTGTTGCTGCGGTTGCCAAGGGGCTCCACCAAAGCCGCCAAGCATGTCATTGGATGCGGACGAGCTTGGCATTGCAGACGGAGTCTGAGCGGTAGAAGGTTGTGAGCCTCCAAAGAGATCCATGATCGAATCCATGTTGCTCTGTGGTCTCGGCTGACCGTTGGGTGCCGCAGAAGTGGACTGTGAGACAGGCGATGACGCTGCATCGTTACCACCAAGTATGTCGGCGAGCAGATCTGCGTTGTTGCTTTGCGAACCGTTCATTGTGGCGCTCATGTCGGCCGTAGGCATGCTCGAGTCCCCACCCATGAGGTCAAGGAGCATATCCTGTTCCGTGATCTGGCTGGGCTTCTTCTTCGCAGGTACTTTGCTTTGCCGCTTTGACTTGTGCGTTGCTTCGCCAAGTACTCGCTGTTCTTCGCGAATCTCAGGCGGAGGCATCCGCTCGAGTACACCGCGTCGTACCTGATCGTAGCCAAAAAGATTACCATACTCGACGGATCGTTGCTGAACTTCCACGTCAAGATCTGCTTGCCGGCTTAGTAGAAGTCTTCTTAATTTGTCGATCTGTCCCGGGTCCTGAAGGCGAGTTGTAAGCTTTATAGCAGCGGTAATAATATACTCCGTAACGCTTTGACCAGCATAGCTCGAGTTGAGGATGGCTGTGAGGAGGTCTACTATTTCGTTCTCTTTGACCTCTTTCACAAGCTCCTCCTCTTCGTATGAACCGCCTCGAAGGAGGGCGTCGCCGTACTCCCCAATGACCCACGCGCCTGCGAGATTGAGCCCTTCTTGACTAATGTCGTCTTTCAATGCAGCGTAGAGCTTTTGAGCACAATACGTCTGCAATTCTGGCGTGGTTGCAATGAGGCGAACGAAAGATGACAAAATCTGCTCCTTGACGTAGTTGCCGGCGAGCTTTAACACGCGCAGCATAGTGTCGACGTGCCATCGCTTGTTGGGGGCGAATCGATCTGCAGCAATACCGATCTGGCTCGTCATGATCGGCTTGAACTCGTTGTCTGCCACTTCCAGGAAGGCAAGCAATTCTCTGATCAGAACTCGCACGTTTGACTCGTTGATCAGAGTAAAACTCAAGTCCAAAGCTCGCCTGCGAATACTGATATCTGGGTCCCGAAGACAATCCAGTATTGTGTTTCGATGCCTTTGCACCGCATTCGGCTCAATTGCAACGACTTTCAAGAGTGTGTTCAATGCCACATATCGAATGTTGTTATCCTTGTTGGTGAGGAACTTTCCGAGTATGTTCACGCCAAGTACGCGCAGTCCAGAATCAGCCTCTATGTCCAAGATGGTCAGTACGGCCTCGTAAAGAATCGAGTTGCCAACATTCTTGGATGCTTCGGTATTGGTCGCAACTTGAGCCAGGATGTCGTTGATCTGTTCGCTCGTCTGGGGATCCCCTCTTCCCAGCACTCTCAATAGCCTCAATATCTTGACCTGTAAGAACGGGTCTGTGATACCCGTAACATCATGCTCCGGCGCATATCCAGACTGGGAAAGAGCTTTCAGCACCTTCACTAAACTGCCAGTAATCGGTCTGTACATTTCCACGACGCCCATCTCCCCTCCTTCTTCCTCATCAGCCTCGCACATGCTAATGACAAGGGTCAGGCCGCTGAGTAGTACACCATGGTTACGGTCGTTGAGCAATAGCTTCGCCTTGTTTAAAAAGTGCTCCTGCAGGTCTGGTACCTTTCGACATATTCTCATCGCGCAGAGAGCCGCCTTTCTTCGAATGTACGGGTTTGAAGAGGACAGTATTGTTTCGACTTCGGGGAAAAGGTCGCGCGACATCTCGATCGAGGCAATGTTTCCTAATGTGCAGAGGGCGAGCCCTACAATGTACTGGTTGCTGTGATTGAGGTCACTAGCACCCGTTAGCTTGGCGTGTCTAAATGAATTCGCAATGAGCCTCACTTTTTCAACGAGTTAGTGACTAGCGTCAAGACCTCTTGGTTTTCGTCTAGCAGCAGCATCGTCCCCAAATAACCCAACCGCTTGTCCGCAAAGCGCGGCGACGCCAGCAGCTTCAGACATTCAATTTGGCCAAAGTGTGTCCGCTCACCCAGAGTGAAGAGGTATAGCAGTTTGGCGACATTATTCCGCCTGCCATTGAATGAGCGCATTGTCCACAATGTTTCCTTCATTTGACCGGACCATACCGCAAGTCTGAATTATGACTCTCCTCCCTGAAGCTGTTTCGTATTGCTGCACTCTCTTTCTGTACGACGGCTCGCTCGTCCGCAATCGTCTTCGCGGCGCGCACATTTCGAATGAATTGTTTCACTGGAGATAAATCGCATCAGCTGGTGTCCCTAAGTTCCGTCCCGTCCCATCAGGCGTCAAGTTTCTTGGGCAGCGTACAGGAGCTCATTGCGGCGGTCGCAAGGACCCCAGGCTGAGGTCAAAAGGGAGGCAAGCTTCAAGGCCGTGATATGCTCATGTCGTGCGCGATGGTGGTTGAGTCGTTCAATGCCTGTGTCGCCGGCGCTCGTGTCGAAGTTGAAGGGATATGTCTTGGCTTGTATTGAAGCACAGCGAAGGGAATCTGTCTCGAGGGACGGGCTCGCTTACCTAATGAGTGTAAGCTCTGCGCTAAGTTAACCTTGTTCGTCTCCCCATCCTCTCACACATCACGTCTTCTCCCTTCTCCCTCACTCCCAACTCCTCTGCTTCCTTCATCGTCGTCTGTGAAAGACAAATGGAAAGCTAGGGAAAGCAAAGCTCTGTCCTGTGACGCGGCCTCGCAAGACTGCCCCAATGCAGAGGCAGCGCGCTTTTCGCAATACTCATCTCTCCCCCCCGTCGCTTTTGTGCAGAATTGATGCGCTCCTCCAGATTCATCCTGCTCTACCTATCTCGTCTAGGAGCGCGGAAAATGGACCAAGCCTTAGAATCCAACTGTAGCTATCGTACCCGGTGCGTGGCATAGCCAGATTCACGTGCAACCACTTCTAGACGTGTTTCGAGAGCGAGGGTACAAGACCGACTGCATCGTACTGCGCTCAGGGCAGACGGACAAGCCACGGCCGACTCGGAGGACGAAGAATCACATGTCAATGACGCTGCATCTAGCGAACTCGGCAGTGGCCAATATATCATACTTCTGCCACGCTCATACGCCGGTCATCCTGAGGCCGATGCTCTCAATCGCCTGATTCAGGGCGATGCTTTAGAGCAACGAACGTCGTGGCCGAGTTATTAAGGTCATGTTCTTTGCGGCTCACCACTTCCCCACTGGATTTGTCGTCGATAACAAAGATTTCATTGGACTAGAAACCCCGCATTTCTATATCAACGAGAGCACCATGGATGTGTTCGAGGAATCGGCGCTGTATGAGTCTCGCTTCAACGATCTCCATTCCGAGAAGCTTGCAACACCTTACATGGATGCGATTGAACGGGCCTACTACGCCGCTGGCGGAAGATCTATCACTTGTGATGAGTGGCGGAAAGGTCCTGGATTAATCATTGGGTGTAGCAAAGACAGGGCTATTGAACAGGAACTTTCGCAGCAGAATGGGCAGAATTCGCTAGCGAGATCGTCTGGGTGGACTGCGGGCACGCTCCATGGACAGCGACGCCTGAAGAGGTGACATACTTGGTGGCTTTAGCATGAGGGCAAGCATGGGATCTATAGCATTGCTCGCGAGCTGATCGGCCTGTAGGTAACGCGCAAAGAGTCCTCCAGGCTGGCTGCCTCAGCAAGGCGACTTCTGCTCGAGGTTGCAGCTGCCAGCGGTCGAATGTAATGCACTTCCCTCTTCGGCATTAATTAACATACACTTTGAACTTTGAACCAGCCCTTCTTGAACCAGTCCCGGCTCATTGATTGCGTTCATCCACCGCCAAACAAGATCGCGCGTCGGGCCGGCTTCGGCAGTGAGCTTCCGATCTCGTATCTACGCCATATCGACTTGCGGCGTAAGAAACACACACAAATGACAGAGTGCGTTCCATGATCGCTTCGTCGTCAAGACTGATGCCATACACGTTGCGGAAGCCTCTGCCCGCCGGGATAATATGCGCATTACGCCTGCGCGATTGAGAGTCTCCGTGGCGTTTCCATTTGGCTGCGGAAGAGACATGCCTAGTACGTTGCCTCATAATGCGGTACAGAGAGACTACCAGGTGAGTACTTCTGTTGTTCAATGGTTACCTCGTCTCATCGCTGCCACAGTGTGCATTGCGCATCATCAACAGTCGACAAAGACGCAATAGGCCGAAGACTGCATCGGGCAATGATGCCCAAGTGTCTTCGGAAAGCGGTACACCAGACTTGCGAGGTACACCAGGAATTGCTGGCATGTCATTGTGGCTTCAAAAACTCGGCCATTCGGTAAATCGATCGCATTGAGCCTTTGCTTCGAGTGGTCCTGGCACTACTGACCAAACGCCAAGGAAGACGACATCAACCGATTAAATATCGTTCATGTCGCGGGAACCAAGGGCAAAGGCAGTACTTGCGCATTCACGGAATCGTTGCTACGAGTCCACGGACGAAGGACAGGCTTCCCAAGCAAGACGGGTCTATATACCTCTCCCCATTTGATAAATCCTGAAGAACGCATACGGATCAATACCGAGCCTATATCGCAGAATACGCTTGCGAAGTACTTCTTCGAAGTATACGATCACCTGACGCAACTAGCCGAAGAATTCGACCCGTCCAAGGAAATTGTGCATCGAGGACCGGGGTATCTCCAGCTCTGGGCACTCCTCGCATTCCACGTATTCATTCGCGAGCAGGTGGATGTTGCTATACTGGAGACACACTGTGGAGGCCAATACGATGCGACAAACATCGTCCAAAAACCCATTGTCACTGCTATATCGACTCTAGGCATGGACCATATTGATATGCTAGGTCCAACCATCGAGAATATCGCCTGGCATAAAGCGGGCATTTTCAAGCTTGGAGCACACGCCCTCTCATCACCTCAAGAGGCGACTGCGGCCAGAATGCTAGAAGAACGAAGTGCGGCTGTGCACCAACCGGTCCGCTTCATCGACCCTAGACCTCTCGGCCTCAAGCCCCAGATCCAAAATACCAACGCCTCTCTTGCAATAGAGGCCAGTAACGCTTACCTTCAAACGTGTGCACCAGACCCGGCATCCGCCTTGACCGAAGAAGACGTGGTGACGGGTCTTTCGCACCTCTCCTGGCCGGGCCGCTTCCAGACCATACACGACCCGCAGAAGGATCACTGCACCTGGTACTTGGACTCCGCCCACAATGACATGTCCGTGAAACTCGCGGCGGAATGGTTCGCGGCTGAAACCGAGGCTGTCGAGGCAACGCGGATCCTAATATTCTCCCACATCAACGAATTGCGCTCGGCGTCCGCATTGCTTCGCACGCTCGGAGAAGCGCTGAAGACGAACGGCGCGCTCGTGGACCATGTCATCCTCAGTACATATGACGAATCCTCCGCGGCCTCGGGTGCAACAACAACAGATTCGATTCAAGATTCACACAAGCTCTTGCAGGTCGTCTGGGGTGCGATTCTTCCTGACAGCAAAGTTTGGAGTGAGCCGACAATCCAGGGCGCTATTGCACGGGGGAGAGAGCTAGGCAACGGCGACCCGAATGGAATGCAAACACTGATTACTGGCAGTCAGCACTTGGTCGGCCCTGCGCTGCGGATCCTTGAAAGGCAACCGACAATTCCATGACCTTGACTTTAGAAAGCACACTCCGTATCCTTCGTGCCGACGACCAGGTTCAAAGAGGCGAGATTATCGAGTCATAACGCGATCTTCATTCCCGATCACCAGTCTCTTAGCTGAAACTCCCTTTTTTCACCAGGTCCAATCCACTGAAAGTCGACCGGAAAACCTCCGCATTAGGACCCTTTAATGTCATTTTCGCTTCAACGCCCGCTGGACAATCTCCTGGACCGAGAGTTGGGGACGACAGAAAAAGCGTTTGAGCTGACAAAATAGTTGCATTTCTTGAGTTACGTCTCATTTCATAGTTGGGTATCTGTCTCGTCCCTACATCTTCGGTAGGTCAATCATGCTCTAACACCTCAACACCATCCATCTATGCCAATACCCCAGCAATGTCCGCTGAGAAAAATCACATCATGCCCTCATCTTCTTCCAGCATATCGAATGCTCCTCCTTCATTCCCATGATCTCGTCTCCTGGCAGGCCTCGTATGAACACGAATTTCCTCTGTCCCACCCCGATTCCTCCGTGCAGGCTGGATCGTAAGCCTACTCTCCATTTGATCAGCAACATCTTCCTTGTCCTCATCTTCTTCGCCCAAGTCGTGCTCGGCAGGCGAGCCCAAGAAGTCCTCGTCATCGGGTATCTCGCTCACTACTCGCTCATTGACCTTGAATTGCGGCGGTAAAGCTTCCCCAAAAGTCCAACAAGTTTCGTCTTCAATGCCGTGCCCTTTGATTTCGAATGCTTCCAATAGTGATCTACCCTGATACTCATCAAAGGCGAAGATACTAACCCTCGTATCAACGTGGAACGGGCAATAGGGCGGATTTGTCTCGACATCGCTGGCTTGATTGTAGAGCATTTTCGGTGGACTTCTTCGCTCACGAAGATGATCGGGTGGCGGTGATGGATGACGTAGACTCCAAAAGCCATGCGGACCTTGCCCAGTGCATGTGTCTGTAAGGAGCCCCTGAAGTCCTCCAGCCTCATTCCTCGTGGCGATAGGGGTTAAGGGGAAGGCCTTGCGAGCGTATCTCTCATGCTTCAATCCGCTGACAACCTCATGACCCTTACGTCGTATGACTCGTTGGACTGGGTGCACGTGTATAGTGCCACCGCACGCAATGGCTACGGAAATAGTGTTGTTCCTTCGAATCCACTTCAGGGATTTGGCAGTAAAAGGCTCTTGCAGAGCTTTGGTGTGTCTGATCTTATTGTCATCCGCGTGCCAATAATCGCTTGCGCCGCCCTTAGCAGCTGTGTATCCCTGGCTGATGCCTCGCGCCACAGCACGTGAGCCAGCATTACCAGCAGCCGCCGTTGCCTCCTTGAAGCCGGCAAATGTTGTGGGCAGGCCAAAAGTTGAAGCAGGAGGATTCGTACGAATGGAATTGACCTGAGTGCTGACGGTTTGCCAACTGGACTTAATGCTGCCAAGAAAGCCTTGGTTGGCGCTGGGAGGCGATAAGCCAGTAGACAGACTGACTGTTGCATCAGCCTTCTCTGCGCTGGGGGCAGCGGAGATACTCGATCGCTTGCGTCTTCTCGAAGGAGCTCGACTTGGCACCTCATGCAAGTGAACTGTCCCATGAGCGGTGAGAATAGCAACAGCATCATCATCCCTTGTCCACGCACAACCAAGTACAGTTGAAGGGCTGTTTCGGGTGAGTCGCTGTAGCTGCTTGACGCACGGACTAGTGCTCATGTCCTGGCCGTCTGTTGTGCTGCGTTTGGGGACACCGTGAGCGGCCTGCTGCAGATCCCAGATCGTAGAGACTTCGCCCTTGCGGCTCGTGGTAAGCAGTCTTGTCCCAGTGGAAGAGAAGGACAGAAAATTGCAACCGTCAACGAGCGCAAATGTAGCCATGACTGGAGGCGGATGCTTGGACTGATGTGCTTCCCATTGCAAGAGACATTCCAAATCGATAATGGAGACCACGGCTGGCTCTTTCGCAAGTCGGCCTGGATCGCTTGAAGGTGCGTTCGTCGGCGGAAACAAATCCTCTTTGCTAGATGAGCGGTCATGATTTGGTCGACCGCCTGGAGGTGAAGGCTGTGTGAGCTCTTTCCATCCTTGCAACCCCATCTCAAGGCCTTTCTGAGAATACTTCATCAGTCCCTGAGCAGCCTGCCGTCCGAGACGACTCCAAGCACCTTCGACATCGGTTCCCACAACTTCACAAGATACTATAGGCTGCGATGAGGCAGCGTGGGTCGAACAACCCGGCGGGTTTCGATTTACGTCCGATGTCAAAGGAACACCTTGAATGGAGATACTTGAAGAAGTAGAAGGAGGCACGACCGCCAGCCACCGCTGACTCAGGCTGTAGACTGGGATTTGAACATCGTCCCTGGTTTCAGTAGGAGTACCCACGTCGCTTGCGCTGGCTGGCCTGGATGGAGGAGCAGACAACGGCTTCTGCACCACAGTCCAGTATTTCCCGACGCAACGGAAGCGTGTGCCTTCAAGACTGTGAGCGGCAGACTGAGTAAAAACGAATATTTCTCCACTCTTGCCCGAGCTCACAGTAATGAACTGGCCTTTGGCGTCGATGTGAAGGTCTCCCACCGGATCCGGAAGTGACGAGATCTGACCAACGACAGGCTGCTCAATCGCGACAGGGGCACTGCGATATATCGTTGCGACGTAAATCTGAGTTTGGAGGGAGTAAATCTCGACCGTCGTCTGGAAGTGTGTCGGCGGTTCGTTTTCGTTGGGAGAGACTTCTTCGCCTTCAGGCCCCGAGTCTCTTCGATCGTCCACCATTGGCCCATGTACGATCACAGCGACCAATGGACGTAAAGACTGCAGTTGGTCGTATCTTTCCAGATGTGGAAGAATTTTGGCACCAATGATGGACCCTCGGAGCCCCTCCAAACGACCTACGAGTTCGAGCTTGTTGTTCAGAATCACGTATACGTCTAGACCGCCTTCGCAGCCCACCAGAAGAGCCTCTCGAGCCTTCTTCGCGGAATCTTCGTCGCCAGAATCGGCCAAAGAGTCTATTCGACAGCAGTAGCCATTGGACCCAGCTGGGCTTCCCGTCTCCTTCTTTTGACCAAAATTCAAGCCTAGATCTGGCAGGCCGAAGAAATGTGGCTGAGGCATGTGGGGCAGAGGCGGGTCTCCAAAGCGTGGCCGTGACGCAGCAAAGGACTCGCGGCGCTGTTGAGCAGGTGCAGCAAGCGATACAGGAGGTCTGTACCCGGTCAAGCTGTTGTTCCGGTCTCGTGGCGGAGCAAGATACAAGCTAGACGGGCGGCGATTGGGTGAAGCGGTTACCGCGGGCTTTGCAGGAGCAGGTCGTGGAGACCTGACAACAGGAGACACAGCGGGAGACGGTGTGGAAGACAGTTTGGTCGGCTGCGGTGTCGTAGGAGGCAGCGGCTCTATATCCTCGACCGCAGTCGTCTCGTCGTCGAAGTTCACTAAGGGCGAGCTGGGTACTACTGGCTGAGCAGGGGCAGGCACCTGTGCTGCGGGAGGCAAAACATCTTGCAGCTTTGCGCCGTGGTCTGTAGGAGGAGACGGGGTTATAGATCTTGGATATGCCGACGAGTCCTCTCCGTCTTCGGCCTTGACCTTCCTCGCAGCGCCATCCTTCTTGCCCTTCTTCTTCTTCTTGCTCTCTCTTTTCGGCGGAGGAGGCGGAGGCTGTTCGTGCTGAGGATCGTTGAAACCCCAAGGATCGTCCTGGGGATCAGCAGCTGGCGGGGCTGCTGGGACGGCTTGCGGTTGCTCGTCGAAGTTGTCAAAGTCGGGAACGAAGTCGTCGTCGGCCGAGGGCATCGGCAGTCAGATGGCAGAGAAAGGCGGTCTCTCAGTAGGTTTGTAGGTGATTGCTCGTGGGGGAACGAGGAGTTTTTCCACCAGCGGAAGCAATCAGACAGGCAGGCAGGATAGGGTAGAATCGGCAGTGGTAGGCGTGACCGTTGTCTTAGCAGCGCGTGAGGTAGCGGGCAAGCGGACAGCGCGATATGACCACCACACGTGTTTGTCGCTTGTGCAGGATCGGTCCTGGGATCGATCGCACAGCAGTCACGATGTGCCACGATGCCACCAAGATGCTGTGTGAAAACGAGGGGAGCGGAGGGGAGCGGAGCGTTGTTGATGTCCTGTACCACTGGCGTTGCTGTGAGGCAGTGAGGTGAGAGAGGTGGAAGGAGGGGCAACTCCGAGGCCGACAGACCCAGGCACAGACACCTCAACGCGCGTGTCCTTTGTTGCGCCCGGCTGTGATAATGGCGGGCGTCGTCTCGATTCCGATGGTGGCGTCGACGTGAGAGAAGGTATTTATTGTTGGTTGGGCTGGATCTCCGCTGCAGATGTAGTAACACCTGCACGAGCGGTATGTACAAGAGAAGAGAAGAGGGCAAGCAACAGGCGCGAGAGCTCGCGGGGCAAGCTGGTCGGGGCCAAGCACTGTCACGCATGCACAACCTTGAAGGGCCCTGCACATGACAAGGTCCCAAATGACGGACGGCCTGCCAGACCACACGGCTCTCACCCATCATATCACAAGCCCGCCACTCACCGCATATAGCCCGGGTCGTGTCAGATAGCCACGAGGCATTACGTAGGTCCGTCCGGCAGCATTCACGCACGTTGCAGCGCTATCAGCACCGATTCGATTGCAATCGAGAGCAGCAGGTGTTCGTCATGACATGACATACTCTGCGACAGAACGACATTCCGATAGGCACACAAAAGAAGAAAGAAGAAAGCTGATGCAAGGCACCGTAAGATCTCGTTCAACATCCGCATTGCGAGCTATCTGTCCATGCTCGCTCAGCCATCTCCCTCCCAAAGCAACAACACCATGCCTGCCGAAGGGGCCCCGATGCTGCAGAAACACATCCCCTTCTCTCTTCTGCAGTTTCCACAAATTGCTTTCTTGCAGAACCTTGTCATTGTCGCCTCATTCGTCATGGCCATCGTAAGCGCAGCTGCTAGCGAGCTCCAGGAGGTCTGTAGGCGCCTCCACTGCTACCGCCTTCACGGGCACCAGGAGGACGATAGGCACCTCCAGCACGCGGTGCTGGTGGGGTGTCGCTCCGCTCACCTTCGCCTTCACGACGGCGAGATGACTGCCACCGCTCGCCGCCGCGGGGGGCGTCCATCTTATCTCCCTCGCCCTCACGGCGTCGCGACTGCCAACGCTCGGTTCGCTCTGATGGCGCTGGAGGGGCTGAGTCTGCGCCAGGAGCCTTTCCACGGAGCGCAGGAGGCACGTAACCAGTCTTCCTGGGCGCAGCGGCTTCGTCAGTGGCCACGCGCTCGTCGGCCGAGGGAGCAGCAGCCGGGGGAGCAGTGGCCGCGGCGGGCGCTCCGCCGGCAGCCTTACCGGCTTCACGGTCACGCCAGCTGGACTTGGCTCCGGTGAGGTTCAAGCGTGGAGGACCGCCAGCAGAGACTGACGGTTCGGCAGGGCGGTCTGATCTCGATGGGGCAGCAGAAGCAGCAGCACCACCACCTTGTTTGCGCTCCATGCGTCTCCGCTCAGCTTCTTCCTCGCGCTCCATCTGCTTCCGGGCTGCCTCTGCGCGCTCCTGTCTGCGCAGTTCGGCCTCCTTCTTGGCCTGCTCGTCCTTGACTCGCTTCTCCTCCGCCTCCAGAGCGGCCTGTTCTTCTTCCTGTCGCATACGCTCCTCCTCTTCACGGTGTCTGCGTTCCTCTTCTTGCACTCTGCGCTTCTCAGCCGCCTTCCGCTCGCGGACCTCCCGACGACGCTTGTCCATTTGTGCATTGAGCTCGCGCTCAGCGGCCTTGCGGCGCTTTTCGAAGTCGGCGTGGCGCTGCTCAGTAATGGTACGCTTGAAGGATTCATACTGTGGCACAAGTCTGCTGAGACGATGCTTTAGGGCAACTTCCTCCTTGTGCTTCGTCTCGGCGTTGTGTAGAGTCTCCGCCTTGCTCTCTTCGTAAGCCTTCAAGTCGCGCTCGCGTTGCATCTCGTAATCTTCGCCGAGATGCTTGATTTCTTCCTTGCGGTATGCACGTTCCAAGTGATCAATGCGCTTGCCCGCTACACGAAGCTTCTCTCCCACTTCGTTCTTCTCTCGTTCCAGGGCTTGCAGCTTGAGCATTCGAATGCGACCTGTATCAAGCTCATCAATGTCGATACCGGAGATGTCGACACCCTTGACACCCTTCTTGAGTTCGTTCAATTGCTTCTCAGCTTCCTCGCGTTGAACACGCTTTCGCTCGGCCTGGAGACGACGCTCCTCACGCTCCTTCGTCTCCTGTGCCAATCGTGCGGTCTCTGCGGCCTGCAGTTCTTGCTGACGAGCCTTCCTCTTCTGCTCCTCCTCGCGCTGACGGGTAAGTTGAGCATTCGCAGCTTCTTCCTTCTTCTTTTGAATGATCTCTCGGCGAGCGATGAGCTCCGCGTGCTCTTTTTCTGCCCCAGCCTCGGCGCGCTTGAGAGCGGCGAGTCTTGCCTTCTGGCGATCCTCATTGAAGGATGGATCCACATATTGCACGGCAATGTATAGAGACTTAGAGAGACGAGTGAGCTGAGAGCGCACGATCTCTGCAGGAGTGCTCTGCAAGCGCTGTACAGAGCCGGCATCGACTTCGGCGGATCCAGCGCCAGAGCCAGGATGCATAGCCTTGGCAGATGAGAAGACATCAGAGTCGAAAGTCAGGATACCTGTCGAATGGTCGATGCGGATGGAGAGGTCGCCCTTCTTGCAGCCATTCATGATGAATTTCTCGATAGTAGCGGCGTCAACTTGGAAGGGATCAGGGAACTGGGCAAGGGCAAGCACGTCTTCCAGCTTCACGTCTGTGTAGACCTGGGACAATTGCTGGAAGAGGCGGGTGAGAATGACTTGCTGCAGTGGCAAGACATACTTCTTCATCTCCTCATCTGCGCCGATCTGCGAAAGAATAGGGGAGACTTTCTCGCAGATCGATTTAGGGTGGAAATCTGCCTCCAGTATGTTGTACAAGTTGCGGATCTCCGGGCGGGCGCGCTGTAAGATGTCCTTGCTAAGTGCGTCCTTGAACAGGATCGATCGAGTTGGTGGGGTGTTCATGCCGAGCAAGTTGGTCAGGCGGGCGTTCTTGGTGCTGCGGGAAGCATCGACGTCGATCAAAGCTCCACGAGAACGTGAAGTGCTGATCACAGGGATCGAGAGGGCGGATAGGAGAACAAATGAAGAGGCCTTGGAGAGATCGGCATCGCTGATGTTGGTGGGATTATCCTTCTTGCTTGCTCCGGCGGCGACTTGGCGCGAAGAAGCGATGAGCAGGCTGTAGTATCGGCTGTATGCTGCGGCATGGAAGAGGTAGTTCTCGCTGACGAGGAAGATACGTGTGAGCTTCTCGTAGTAGTTGGCCATCATTGAGTTCTTTGGCTGTCTCCGGGAAAGACTGAGCAGAGTGTGGATGTCTTCGACACTCTTGAAAGCCTCCTGCCACAACTCAAGCTCAACGGCGACATTGAGTTGCATAAAGCGGGTGTCGAGATGACGTTGTAGGGTGTCGGGATCGCTGAGGTTGATAGCATGCACCTGCTGTGAGTACTTGGCAGCGGTCTGCAGGTGGTTTCGCAGAAGTTCACAAAGGCGACGGAACTCAGTCTTGCGGGTGTATTTCAGACAGAATTGGAATGCCTGGTGAGCTGTGGTTTGGTACATGACCTCCAGGCGAGCATTGTTCTTGAAGATATCGAGGACCGTGCGGTAAGTCTCCCAGAGAAACTTTAGCCACGGAGTGACAATTGCCCGGTCAGTCCGGTCCTTGGATTGTTCACCAGACACTGTAGAGAGCAAGATGGATTCGGGTGTTTCCATAGCCTCCAAGTCGGTAACGTTGGCAAGCGAGGCATCCGCAGACTCAGCCGTGGTGCCCTGTGCGGAAACCTCATCGGCCTTGGCCTGCGCTTCAGCGACCTTTTGCTCTGCCAGCTCGATGAAGCGGCGGAAGACCAACTCGATCGTGGCGACATTTGTGTTCTGGCTAGTGTTCTTGTAGTTGTACAGGCCATCTTTGGCTGATTTTCCTTTTCGCAGCTCAACACATAGCTCGACAAACAGTAACATCACCGGCTCGAGGGCCGCGATGGTGCTGTTGCGCGTTCTCTTGGAGGTGACATGTTCGTGTAAGATGGACAGAGCGGCCTGTTGCTGGCCGACCCCGATCAGTTCTTGCGCGCGCTTCAGCACATTTTCGGGACGGGTGTGCGGCGGCGGAGGCATTCTGACGGCCTCTGCGACGGCAGTCGCGTATAGGGTGGTAGTGTTGATGAGCCCTGCGCGCAGGCGAGGTCGTTTCTGATGTGATGCTCAGTGGATTGCTTTTTGCGTGTGGATGCCCGGATACGGTCTTGTGAGTCGAGAGCTGGATGTCGTGTCCGGCCCTTGGAGCAGTCTTTAAGTTACGGTAGCCTGCCAGTCGTGACGACAAGCTGGAGTCAGTCGCGTTGGGGATAGAGCTGATGAGACTCGCGAGACTGGAATCTCAAGCAAAACGTGAGGCCGAACTGTGGGCAGTCTTGGCGGGCTCAATCCTCCACCCCGGTCGCGGGAAGAAGCGGACCGGGCAGAAGTCTAGGTTTGCACGCAGCCAGCAAAGCCGAGCGTTAAGCGAGACATGAGAGGGCAGGCACGTGAGGAGGGTGCTACGATTCAATAATTACAGCGAAATTGCGTGTTGGCGCGTGTGCAATACATCTCGAGATGTCCCACAAGACTGGAATGCATTGGCAGCACGCGAGGTGGTGGTGTCGGTGAAGCGTTGTGGCCACTGTGATCTCGTTCCCTCCAGTTCTGCCGCCGCTTCTGGTCTAGCTGGCAGCTGGCAGGAAAGCCCCCATCTCCCAGAGACATTGCGAGGAAGGGTGAAACGACAGCTAGAAGCGAGCCCGAACAATTGGCGACCGCAAGCTCGTCCCTCCACCGCCAGCGACCGCATTCGGCAAACACCACGCTTTCTTCCCTACAACTGCTCTCACAGCTCTCTCCACCACATTCATCACCGCCGATAGCAACAACAAAAGCCCGACCCAGCTCACGCTGCCGCTGCTCCCGTCCGCAGCATACCTTACTGTGCCGCTCCGACCAGAGTCGCTCCTTACCTGCACACACGCCCGACACCACCGTCCACGCACGCCGCACCACCGCGCGCCGCAGCTAGGGAACCGCGAGCAGTCGGCAGGGAGGTCGCCGTGGGAAGACGCAGGCACGTTGCACGAACCACACTTTGTCCACGAGAATTCGTGCTGATTGCGCGCAGCTGGTCGCATACAACTGCATCCCCAACTTCCGAGCGAGCCTTTTTCGCCTTGACCGCTGTGTCTTCCGCCAACGCATCTCCATACTTAGCAGCAGCAGCACCAACACCAGCACGCGACCCGCTGTCAGACCGCGCATATTAAAAGCAGCTCCCACGCCTGCCGCCCTCACCTTGCCGTCTCCTGACCTCCTCACCCGAGCGACGCCCGTCTTCGCATTCCTATCTCTCTCTGCTCCAATACGCCCAACATCTGCGCCGCGCCGTCGCGCTTGAGAGCACACCATGTCGGCACCGTACGAGATTCGCACCAACGACAATGGCAAGACTAAGAAGCAGTCCATGGCGGAGTTGAAGCTGCGACGGCTCACAGAGCTCAATCAGAGACTCCAAGAGGACCTCAACCGCCGAAGAATACCAGTGTCAGAAGCTGCTATGGAGTATGTTTGCTTCTTCTCCCGCTGCCACTGGCCATTGCGCTCGTGAAACATGCGCTGACTATTTTCACCTAGCTTGATCGCTTTCACAGATAAGGAACCAAAGGTATCTTCGTGCCGCCGGAAAACCACGCCAAGCTCCCATGGCGAGCGTACATTGCCATACTAATGACCATTTGCTAATAGGACTTCATGGTACCGAGCCGCTGGGGAACCATCGATAAGCGCGAGGACCCATATGCGCCGCAGCAATCGAACGGATGCTGCTCGGTCATGTAGCAGCGGTGCGACTCATCTATTCATCCCCCGACATACCATCAACCATCTTTCCGACTTGTTTATAGCAGCGGCGTTTTGAGCGGGTGGGACCAAGTGTCTCTGTTGAGCGGAAATGGGTCGAGGAAAGAAACGAAAAGCTACTGCAAGCCTGTGGAAAGCAATTCGAAATCGAATGAGGAATGGGAGACAGCAGTGGCAGCATGGGTTCTCGACCTTTGACCCCTTTTTCTTTGTGAAAAGTATCTTGGTGGAGGAGGAAAGGTGTAGATGCTGTACCAATACCGATGCCGCCGACAGCGCGGCTACTAATACCCATCTACAACCATTCCGTTCTCTTTTCCCTGCTCTTTTCCTGCAAGGAACAAGTACAATTCTCGAAAGTGCTTCGATGGGTCCGCTGACAGCACCTGGCGATCAGTCTGAGAGTTCAGTACATGGCCGAAGAGATGGCGTGAGAGGCAAAGTCTCTTTAGACTTTGGCTTGCTGTGGGGACGGCTCTTTTGCCTGTTTGAAATCCTTCTTCCTTTGGATGATCATTGAAGGTAGCACATGGCAGCGCTGCTACGCAGTATTATCTACTTACTACTGAGGTGAGCGGCTACTGCAGAACCGGAAAGCTGGTCCGGGAGACAGGCAAGCATAGGCGAATACCAAAAACCACTCGTAGCGGCAATTGGAAAGTTCGTGAGACGGCAGAACAATCGTACCTACAACTAGAAGAAAGAACTTTCAAGACCATGGCCGTCTGCATGCTCTCGCGCCACACCTCGATCCAGATTGCCCCTTCTCGCGCCGTGATAGCATTGGCATGGTACATGGATGGAAGGCCATCTTGGCATTTCACGGCCATCCATCGCGGCGCAGACGTCGAACGAATTAATTCGCAAGAGCGGCATGCGACATCCCACGGGCGGCGGCGAGAGTTGGGAAGAATATATTGTTTTGGGGAGGCGGGCTTACGCCATGCTTGCGCCTCTTTCCCAGGACGGCAGGAGCGCTGTGCCGCAGGTTCGGGAAGCGACTCGATCTATAGGCTGAGGATGATGGTTGTCCGGTGAGCTTCTTTTACGAGTTGTTGGTGGGCGATCTTGAGAAAAAAGGCAATACAGCTTCGGCCATACGTGATGAGATGATCGAAATGATATGTCAGAGGCTGGTGTCTTGGAGCATGGCGTAGGCGGTATCTGCGAGGACCGAGCCGGAAGAGTTCGCGATCTCCCCAAAAGCAGCCATGATGTGAGGATGGCCCGGGTGACAGCAAAACGGTGAATAGAAGCATTGTTCATAACATCCCGCTTCGAAATCGCCGTAATACTCCACCATAAAATGAGGTTTCAGACGGCTAAGAAGTGCAAAAGATAGAATAGAGCGTGACCATTCTTCTGCGCTAGTCTCTCCACCGTCTTGCTGTTATTGTTGGTGTCGCAATACGAGGAGAAACTCAGGCCATCTACCGTGTCGTAGATGGCAGTGGATGGAAGAGTATCGGGCCTCCAGGCGCCCCAGGCGATTGGAAAAGATCTCAGGTGCATGAGCGGGAAGGCGGTTCGTGGACTAATGTGAGATGCGTTCATCCGCTGTCGACCAATGAGAGCGGAGCTAGGCGGCGGGGCATTTTCTTTTTTCTTCGACACTTTCACAGAGTTCGTCTCAACGCACAGATCATGTTCCTCGTCTGGCCAATCACGGACACGTCAGGCCTGCCTATGAGGAAGGCTTGCCGCATCCAGGCAATGTGTGTAACGACTTCATCCCACGCTCTGCCTCCCACGATGTACAGGCCGCTCTATGCCTGCTGTATGGTGAATTGGTGCTGTGGCTTGGACATGCGGAACTCATCCCCATTCTCCCTCCCCGCCGAGCTGCATCCGCATCAGCGGCGCGAAGGTGCAGCTGGCATTGGGGACGATGTGTCTGTCTGTCTGTCTGTCTGTCTGTCTGTCTGCAGAAGGGTCGACAGGAACCGACGCGGTTGATGCAGAGATCGGGGAGATGCGAAGGAACGGAACAAGTGGGTCGTCGGCGGAGAAAGGTCTTGAAATCGTTGCGAGCACTTGGCTAGCAGATATCTGGAATCGTCTAGTGTGCATCCTACCGCCGGCTAGAGAATGAAGGATGAGAGAGTAGCATAGCCGGCACAGTATAGCGCTGCCACTGTTCGTCCTCCAGCCGAACCTTTTCGCCGCGATTGAGTTGAGCGCTGCTCGCTGTGCTCGCTATCTAATTCTTCCCTCACGTTGATCCCTATCCTTGCCGAGGACAGCTGCCCACACTCCCTCCCGATTTCTACCACCTGTATCGCATGCCTCTGCACCGCCGCTGACAGTGGCCTCTGGTCACGCCGCCCCTTCGCCCTCACCTGGCTACGCCGTTGCTCACTGTCAGGTTGTGTGGGAGGAAGCAGGTCAGCTGGTCCGCTACCAGGTACTAGGTACCTTTCCGTGAGACAGCCCACGCTCGGATTTAGACGACGATCGGCGCGGGTCGACTCAACCTCCGCGCCTGCCTCGAGGCCTCCAGACCTCACTCGCGACCGTCGACGACGCCTGCGACATTTTACCTTACCACCCAACCACCTTCACCCGCCCGCCGACTACGACGACGACGACGACGACGTGAGCGGTGCGCCGGCACCGCTCGCAGCATCCGTGTGATGGACACCACCAATGCTCAGCCGTGGAGTAGGCCGCCTGAGCAACTGGATCCCATGGCGCAAATGTCGACCGACCTGGACGACTTGGGGAATCTCTTCGAATTCGGCGAAATGGACCTCAGTCTGCAGAACATGCCCTCGAATCAATTCGGCAATCACATGCGAGCACCGGGCACACATCCCTCCACACCCTACGAGGAGATGAATGAGTCGGAGGTCATAATCGGCACGAGTGCGCAAGACTTCAGCGGTGTGCATGGCCAGTTCGACATGCCGCAGTTGATGGAGAACACACAGCAGCGCCAGCCGCATCATTTGAATGGCCATCCGCAGACCACACATCCCTACACGACTGAGTCCTTGTACCAGCCGTCCATGCATCAGGCCTATCATCCAAATCAACAGCAATTTCAATACCAGAACATGTCGGGCTTCCCCTCAACGCAACATGTACCGCCGACACCGAACAGCTTTGAGATGCACGGGGAGACTGCGCGCTTCATGCAGCAACAGATGGACCCACAGCAGAGGGCCATTCTGGAGCAGAGATACCAGCTGAGGAAGGAAGATGCCGTGCGTAGCACTAACCCAGCAAGTACTCCCAGGTCGTGGCTGACTTTGCATCAGATTGCATTCACGCCGATGGTCTCCCCGGCAGGCACACCTCAGTTCAACGTGCAGCCTGAATACACTGTTCCAGGGGCATACTTCTCACCACTCACCTCGCCCATGCTACATGCGCAGCAGAACGGCCAGACGGCGCACCAGCAACAGCAGCAAGCACAGCAAGGTTACTATGGGAACACGAGCACGGCTCCCAATTCGAACGCTACCTCTCCGCTGGATCCCAACACGGACGTCGACATGATGGATGACATGCAACTACCGGACAGCGCCAGTCCCCAAAACAAGACACCGGGGAGGAGGAAACCTGCAGCACCAAGAAGTGGCGGCTCGCTTGCCAAAGTGAAGCAGAGTCCGATTCAAAAGGCGACCAAGCGAAAGTCAGGAACGATGTTGTCGTCGCTTGCCCCTACCAAAGAGCTGGAATGCATGGCCGAGCCACCTCGATCGGCAAGCTCACAGCCACGTTCTGTAGTTCTGCAAATGGCTCGCACAAACAGCTCTGAGGATGGCAGCATTAGTCCAGAACCGCTCATGAGCGCGCCAATCATGGGCCCGCCCCCTCGCCCTGGATCTGCCCTTGGAAATTCGCCCATGCTCGCAAGTCAATGTTTTGATGCCCCTGCTGCTGGAGCACCTGGGAAAGCAGCCACTCCCAAGTCGCTGCTACAGTCAAAGGGCACTGGCCAAACACCAAAGTCTGGATCGAAGTCCACAGACGGGCGACCAGCAAGTGGCGCAGATGATCAGACAGAATTTGAAGAGCTTCAACTACCAGCTGCGGCTGCATCAGATGGCAATGTTCGACCATCGCTCCCACAGCTGAAGACACAAGTCCGCGAAGTCTCATCGGATGGCACGCCTCGGGTTCCAGCACGCAAGACCCCTAAGCTTGGCGCGTCGAGCACTCCTGCATCTGCACGAGCTGGCTCTGCGGTAGCAAGTCCATCTCTCGTAGGATCTCCTATGACCGCTTCCACTCCTGGTGCGCTGCTGAAGGACAAGAAGCCCGACGCGAAGGGTGCGAGGAGCAAGAAAAGGGGAAGCGTCAGTGGAAGTGGTTCAACCCTCGTTTCACCTGCTCTGCGGCCTAGAATCAGTCCTAGCATCAAGCCTCTGCTTCCAGAGGGTGGTAAGTCAACACTGTCACCTTTCTCCAACCTCCACGCTAACTGACGTCGCAGCGTCTCTGCAATCCCCCACACACGCTCTCCTCTTGGCTTCAAAATCCAACTATCAAAACCTCCTCGAAGGTAACCAATTGCCTGGAGTGCACTACCCCGAATCTCTCTCGACTGGTCTTACCTCCAAACGCACATCTCACAAGGTGGCCGAGCAAGGCCGACGCAATCGTATCAATGAAGCTCTCAAGGAGATGCAGTCTCTTCTTCCCAAGGCTGCCACCATGCAGGGCGCAAAGGAGCATAGCAATAGCGATGGCACTCCGGAAGCTCCAGAGACCCAGGAATCGAAAGAAGAAGCTGCTGTCAAGAGCAACAGCAGCAAAGCGGCGACTGTGGAAAGCGCAAACGAATACATCCGCAGACTGCAGAAGGAGAACGAAGATCTCCAGAAGAAGAACAAGGAGCACGAGAACAGGCTGAGAAAGCTGGAGGGGCAAGTCAACGGTTCTTGTACTTCCTCGGAGAAGAGTGCGGCAAGCCCGATGGACGCTTCGACTTCGTGATTCTGAAGCGAGCAATGCGTTTTCAGTTCTGAACCGAGAACACGATGGTCCGCACAATAACCCCACTGATCTGGGAATGATACTATGGCTAGGATGCGGCGTTTTCTGGACGACGACGACGACGACGACGACGACGACGACGACGACGACGACGACGACGACGACGACGACGACGACGACGACGATATCGACGATATCCATGCGGGACGGTGTCCGATGACACGAGCACACCTGGAGGCAGGATATTTCAATCGACTCTCACCTGTCGTTTGCCATCAAACTCCGGTTGGGCGTTTTTCAGGCGGCGGCAAGTTTGGGACGGGCAAAGTGAGCGAGCATTTGCCTGCCTCGCGCGAGCCGCTCTGGGCGGGAAAAATTTTAGACTACTACTGCGGGTTGCTGCCGGTTACTTACTAGTGGGAGGAGGCGACATTGTTGTGCTTCTTTTCTCATCAGTTTTTTCGTTTGACTTTTGATACCATTGATGCACGATTTGCGCCCCCCTTCTGGGGTGGCGCGTGGTGCCTTGTACGGAGCTTCTCGGGGGGCGGGGCTGGGCTGGGCTGGGCTGGGAAAAAAGTGGGGTTGTATATAGAAGAAATTGGAACAACAAAAACGACCTATTTGGAATGGGACAGAGAGAGAGAGAGAGAGAAAAGAAGGTTTGCGGCTCTCCACCCACATGGTCTTGAATTCCTCTCATCAAAAGTAATTTCAATATTCGCTGTGTATGTACAAAGTGATTTGTATGAGAAAACATGAGCAGGGAGCAGTCTCCCGAGTCTCGCTAACGCTACCTTACGGATGGTACTCCATCAGCTTGTCGAGATCCACACGCTGGTAATACGAGATGTGGCCGAAGCCTTCCCAGAACTGCGCGAGGCGGTCGTGAGAGATCATGATCAGCTGCGAAGGCGTGTATTGATCTATGCACTCTCGTTAGTAGCCGCAAAAAGTTGTAACACAAAGGCACGTTCTCGCAGGCGACTCACCAGCTCTGAACCCTCTGCTGGCGATATGTCCAGCACTGCGCACGATGCGCGCTCCTCGGAATGTGTCCTCGTCTGCGACACGCATGAATCCTCCTGGACCGATGTCTGGCGCTATAAAGGTGTATTCGCCGCGAGGGACATTGATGTCACCCGTCAACTTGATAGCTTCGAGACGGCCAGTGGGGACCTCATCGTGGCCCTGTGCCATGGGTTCGTCCTTGGGAAGATCGGCATGTCTGCCTGGATATGTCACGCCCGCTTCCTCTTCGGCGCTTTCCACTTGATGTTCTACAGCGCTGACGAAGCTTGCTGTGCTGCTACCACTTTCTCGCCTGCCGCTCCGGAACCACTGCCTCAGCCAATCCATGCCTCGCGGGAGAGGATTCTCCGCACCGGGGTCAGGCTGGGTGACGACGAGGAACTCACAGCCATGGCCACTGTAATCACCGCACCAGATGCCTTGCCAAGGTTTTGCAGGTGTGGGCGTGTAGACAGATTCCGGGAGAGTGGCGTAGGTGGAGATGCTCTCTGGGATATGATAGAGGACCCCTCCCGCGCCCGTCGGATTTGAGTAGGAAAAGTGAGGCGGCATGTCCATGGAGAGTCCGCCGCCAGAATTGCTGAAGGTGATGACGTTGGGTCGAGAGCGCCGGCCAGTGTATTCGACCCATTTGCGAAGACGGAAACTGTTCTGACTGACTTCGGAATATCGCGAGGGTCGATGGCCAGAGGATGTATAGCCGTCGCCGCTCACATTCCGGGTTCGGCCAGAAGCAGGGAAGCGGAGTGGTGGCCAGACGTATGAGCCTGCGGAAACTGCACTCTCAGGCAGATTTCGACACAGCATCAAGGAGCTGTACAGACCCGACTCCACAAATGTCTGCATCAAAGTCTCTCGGCTGTAGAGGGACTCTGGACCGTAGCTCCGATCGCTAGGGTAGTCATTTGGAGGATCCTTGGCCTTCGGACTGTCGACATTGAGTCTGATGACGGGTTGATGGAGATCCAGAGATACTTTCGGGTCGAAGCTGTGGATGATGACTTCTCGATCCTTCTCCCAGAAAGTAAGTCTATGGGTCCCGCGTTGGGCCACGACGGTGTATGCCTCTATGCATCCTCGCTGTTGATCGTAGCGTGTCAAGAGGAGTTTGCCACTGGGTTCTGAGTCTCCAAACCAGAAGCGACTCTTGGTCAAGAACCAGTGCGGGTGATGGGCGATATACAAGTCGCGGAAAGAGCCCGCAGGCCCGGGAGTGGAGATTGGTTTGGCGAGGTTGCTATTCACCCGTGGCTGCCAGATTTGATCATCATAAGCCGGGCCCAGGAGAGTGGTGCATGTCTGTGCGACGTTGGCGAGGTCAAAGGGGCCGAGGAAAGAAAGGACGTGCTGGATGAGTTCGGCGGGAAGGCCGAGCAGTGAAGTTCTGCTGATGGTGTCCTGTGTCTGGCTGGCGGCAAGGCCGGAGGTCATTTGGGGGGCTTGTGAAGCCATGTGAACGTGGCTTGACAATGTCTCCGGACTGGACGTGGGATGTTGATAGGTTAGGTTACGAGGTAGGTGCAGGTAGGTAAGGTATGCCTTCGGTTTGCCACACCGCGAGTCCCGATACTGCGGGAAGGGCAGCAGGTCTCTGAGATCTCCCCGAACGATGCGGCGGGAGAAGAGCTTGGATAATATTGGCGCCGCAATAATGTAATGCACGTACCGGGAGGAGTGGTCCTGTCCTGCCTCCTTCCGAGTTCGGGCGTGCGAGTGGCAGACGACTTCCCGGAGATTCGGATGACAGCGCCCGAAGAGGCAGGTGAGAAGACGAGGCAGTCGCGGTCACGCTGTATCGACTTACCCGAATACCAAGTGCCGGTATCGAAGTGTACTGTACCTTAGTGTAACGGAGATGTCTTGTTGTCCATGACGATGGGCCGCGATTTGCCGATGATGCCGGCCCGACGCATTGACCACCACCACCTGCCGTCACCTCATTCCCGTCTTGCCTGTCTCCCCTTCTCCTCTTCCCTTACTTTTTCCACAATATGCAAGCTTCCTGCCGTTGGAAGAGCACACGTCGTCTCGTATGCAAGCCTAAGTCAGCAAGGTGCATGCTCAACAAGCGATCGGCAAGGCTGAAGGGTCAATGGACAACACCCACCATCTCAGGCGCGTTGACTTTGCCCTCTTCGATAATACACTGATGAGCTCGAATGTCAGAATCGCCCTCGTCGTGCATGAGTCAGGTTCACGTGAGCATATGATAGCCTTGCTTTAACGCTACGACGAAGTAATCTATATGAACATGGTATCATTCAAACGTTCCTCGACATATCCCAGATCACAACGTAACAACAACAGCCTCACTCGCCTTCACCGTGATCGGACCAATCCTGCCTCTGCTCCCACGCACCGAGACCGACGTTGAAGCACCTTGCACAGGTCTCCCGTTGCTCGCGTATGTCCAACTGATGCCCTTCCAAGAGACCTGACTGGCATCTTCAATATCCGCTCCATCGGCTGTCAACTTGTCTACAGTCGCCGAGCCGGTGTAACTTGACCCGACGGACAGTGTGACGGATTTCGACGGCCGAGAGCCAGAGTCGGTGGTTCGGTAGGTTTGCAGATTGAGCAAGACGACACTGCGAATCGTATTCGTCGTGACATTGTAGATCGCATACCCGGCAAATGTATCCTGCCCAAGCTTCAGATCGGAAATCTGTATATCGCCTTTTGTACCGATGATGTCCGCTACGAATGGGTGAGCGTAGTATGGTGGGTTCACAGCCGGTGCAACACCACAGTACGTGACTGGACGCCAAGAGGCATACGTGAAGCCGGAAGATTGCTGCACATTCATCCTCTTGATATTGAGAGTCATGCCGTACAGCATGTAGTCGGCCAACCAAAGAGCGGAGCCGAAAACGCCAAGGATGTTCGCGTTGCCAGTGCAGTAGGTGTTGCTGTTGACTTCACCTAGATGCAGCGGAATGGAAGGTTCGTTGCTCTTGAGCCAGGAGACAACGGGCTTGAATATGTCGAGCTTCGCGGCGATGTTCGTATGATTCATGTAATTCGTTTGAAGGGCGAAGATAGGGACTGGGGCTAAGTCCATGTAGTGGTGAAGGGAGGTCGTGGCGACGGTGTAGCCTTGGGAATCTTGACCTGCGTTGAAGATGTTTTGATAGTTGAACGTGGCGTCACCTGGGAAAAGGACTGGTGCTTGAAATGGCACGGCAGTGTTGGAGATTGCAGTCGTAATGGACTTCGCGTACGACTTCCATTCGCTGAGGTAAGTAGACACGCTATAACCGGACGGTCTATTCGAGCCTGGGTAGTAGTTGATTTCGTTGCCGATCTCGAGTGAATCAAGGTTCGATGAGGGGATGTACTTCATTGCTTGGACACTCGCCGCTGCAGAGTTGTCCTGGAAGCCACCTGTGTTGTTCGCAAAATGGGACTGGTATGTGTACTTTGCGTTGATGTTTGCAAAGCCTTGGAACCAGGAGGGCCCTATTTGCATGCCTGTCGTACTTAGGTCAGTCCGCAGCCTTTGACGATCTTCCGATGCACTTCCTTACCGTGTGGGATGCTGCCGCATGGTGTGTTAGGCGGAAGGACTAGAGCACTATCCGTTTGCGAAGCATTGTAGTAGGAAAAGTCTCCCGATGTACCACCTACGCGTATGTGTACCGAAGTGCCTTTAGACCTTGTGAGCAGACAGATTTCGCAGTTTACCTTATGGAGAGGGGACCTGCCAGTCCTTGACGCGACTTCTGCGATGAGATTTGCGGAGAAGGAGTTGGGCGAAGACTTGTTGCCAGCGTACTCATGCCATGAGTGCTGGGAGAATGCGAATGCCGGGTAGCCGTGGTCGACAGTATCGCTCGCGTCGCTTGGCGTTGTCTCTGAGATGGCGATGGTCTGTGATTGTCTCTTGTCCTCTGCAGCGGGAAGAGCGTAGGCAACGGAAGCTCCAACGGGAAGCAGGAGGGAGGAAGTCCGCATATCCTAGGAAGTGTGAAGGGGCAGCGTGAAGAAGCCTACCTCAGCAACGACCAGCAGGAAAGACAAGTAGTTCCTTACAAGTGCGGAGTAGAATGCAACGGTCGGGCTCCTTGCATCGAGCTGCTTTGACCATGTCTGAAAGCCGCAAGGTGCGTACTCTGGATGCCAATGGCTCCACTTTCGCATAGAGCAAGACAGAAGCGTCAGCGGTGAACGACTTGTGGTAACTGGATGTGGATGTCTCCAGACTCCGCAAAGGAGCGAGAGTGTGGAGTGGAGGCGCATCTAGACCGAAGTAGACTTGCGTAGAGCCCGACCGCATTGCAAAGGACAGCCAGCCACGAGTCGGATAAATTCTCCTAGGGGTGGGCCGTCCCCTGGATTGTCAAATGTGAGAAGGAGATGGGAAACGAGTAGTCTATTACTCGTGGGAGATGAGGCAGGAGTGAAAGTTGGGAGTGTCCTGGAGTCGAAAGGTATCCTGGCCTGGTTCATCCTGGCCCGCAGTTTTGGCGGTGGCCTGAGCTTACAAATCCGCAAAATGGTTTTGCTAACTGCCGAAGCGGCACTCGCTATAAGTCGCGACTCACTCTACTACTATAATAACAACTTATAATAGCGATAATAAGGCTCTATAAGTATCGCGTACTACTATTACTAATATAAACAGTTAATATAAAGTTAGGCGTAGCTTTTAGCTTTATATTAAATCCGTTAATAGTAGTACGTAGCTTTATATTAACTAAAAGCTATTATTACACTTATACTATTATAAGTATAAGTCTATAATATCGAATAATAAGGTAGCTACTAATAATAAGTAGGCTATTTTATAAGAGAGTATTCTTATCTAGCGAACCTAGACCTCTTTTCCTACCTAGATAGTACTTATAGACTTATAAATCGATAATTTATAGTATTAATCGACTAGAAGACTCTTTTATTTATTTATAGATAACTCTATAAGACTATAACTAATACTAGTCTAATTATTAACCTACTTCTTCGCCTCTATCTTAGTCTATATCTAAGAGCGCTCTAGTAGTAACTATATCGGCCCTAAGATAAGCTTTCTAAAGCCTAAAGAATAGGTAAAAGCTAATTAGCGAGTCTAGTAAGTTCTACTATAAACTAGAGATATAGAATAAGACTATATTCTAATATATCTCCGATAAGGATTAGTAGTACTATATAAATAATCTTAAATCTAATAATAAGTAGGTTCGTAAGTCTATAGCTAATAGCCTATAGTAGTTTACCTATACTAGCGAGATAATAGAGATAGATCTTAGTATACTTTTTCTAATTTTAATAGACTCGTTATATAATAGATTATAATATAGATATAGAGGTATTAGTATAATATCTAGAAATATAGTAGTATAGGTATAGTAATATATACTAGAATAATCCTAAAGAGACTAGGAGTAGGTCGTATAACCTATCGATATCTAGGGATATATACTAAGTATTACGTAACTACCGGAGTAAGCTCCGGACTAATTTGTAACTAACTTATAAGGGGTTCGTAAGGCCTCCGTAGGGCCTTACTATACGTAACGTTACTACGTAATATCTTAGTACCGGATCGTAAGAGGTTCGTAAGGCCTCTATAGGGCCTTCTTATACGTAACGTTATTACGTAATATCTTAGTACTAGATCGTAAGAGGTTCGTAAGGCGTCTATAGGGCCTTCGTAAGGCCTCGCGTTATATAATCTTATTACGTAACGCGACTAGATCGCCTACGACCTACTTACGTATTATAGACGCTTCTCTTCTATATCGATATCTACGTCGAATATACTTAATTATCTCTTACGCTAATCGTAGGCGTATAAGCCTAGCCTTTCGGACTTAGTACGTCGTTAGCGATAAGCTAGCGGGGATCCTAGGCTTAGCGCTTATATACGTCTTTATATATAACGCGCTAGCCTAGTAATTCGTAGGCGGATCGTTATACTATCGTACTATAATCCTTCCGCCTCTAATAAACTCGAGTCGCTTTAGAGTCGTACTAGAAGCGATTCGCTACCGGATCGCTAGTCTTTAGGTATAGATATTCTCGTTAGAAAGGAATTATAGTTAGCTCGTAGGTACTCCGTAAGGCTTCCGTAGGGCCTTCGTATCTATAGGTTTTAAGCCTTAGGCTACAATTCTTCTACGTAGTAGTTAGTTACTACTCTAGAGTCTTCTAGAGAGTTCTACCGATTCTATAAGGAAGAGTAAAGCGATAGAGTAATATAGTAACTTAAAGGGTTTATATTCTAAGTAGTAAGATACTATAGTAAGTTAAATATATCGAAAGCTAGAGGCATTCTTAGTGTTCCTATATAGATTCCTAGTTCGACTAACTTGTCCTACCTACTAGCTAGAAACTAGCTATCCGACTAGAGCTATAGTCGAACAGTCGAACTTGTTACGTAGTCCTCCTTATAGAGTTCGACTACCGGCTCCTCCCGTTAGTCGAATACGTAACACGTAACGTGCCTCGCTATACGCGTAGGGTCTCTCTTCTATTTTACTAGCTAGGAATTCTCAAAGTAGCCTCGCCCCTACTTCGATCCGTAATAATAAGTAATTCTTATATATTATAAGATTATTAAGTTATAGACTTAATATATAGCCTATTCGGATAGCGATTATATAGTTCGTAGAGCTTATATAGTAGAGAGTTAATTTACTATAAAATCCGGTAGATACGGTCTCTAGTAGGTATTAGTATAGTAAGCATAGAGCTACGAGTTAGCTATAAGTCGATTCCCTACCTACCTATAATATACTAGTAGGTTCTTAACTCTTATACGAGCTTATAATAGCTAAAGTCTTAGGTTTACCTATCTATTAGTACTACTCGAAGTACCTTATTAACGTAGGTAGTAGCTACTTCTAATTCCTTATATTCTAGTCGATACTTAAGGCTATAAGTATAGTAGAGCTCTTAATACTATCTTAAAGAGATATTATAGCTATTAAGCCGTAGTATAGTATAGCTCTTCTTATCGCTAATAGTATATAGCTAGAATAGCTTAATAATCCGCTTAATTAGTACTACGTTACTACTATAGTTAATTCGAGAGCGAGTAGTTACTCCCTATTATAATAGGTATATCTAGAGAGTTCTAATACTATAGCGAATGCTCTTAGTATTATATAGGCTCTATACGACTCGCTAGTAGGTATATCTAGTATAAATCTAAAGCTTAATCTAGAGCCGATAGAGCTATAAATCGAGAGCCTAAGGTAGTATAATAATAAAGTAGATAATAAAGAACCTTATAGATAGATTACGAGTCGATAGCGAGTATATTAATGCCTAACCACTGCGATTACGGTGTAAGAGTGTGGTAGTGCGGTAGCAAAACCGGCAAAACCATTTTGCGGATTTGTAAGCTCAGGCTACCGTCTTTCTCCGGATGCAGACCTCAGGCTGCCAATGACTTCACATCCTTACTGTCGCCACTACATATACCCTTACATATATCCATCATGTCCATCGCCGCCCAGTGCTACGTGACACGAACACACATTTTGGCCAAGGAAGAATTCGGCGTTCTTTGGTAATGAGAATTGAGCAGTGACAGATTCTTCTACTAGTTGTGTGAACAAGCCTCCGGCTTCAGCGCTGAGCTTCTGTTCGTCTTATCTTTCTATCCCGGCTGTCGCTGTGACGAGTGGTACAAGCACGACGTTGTTTGTACCCAGTCTTCTGAGAATGTTGGAGACGCGCTAATCTTTGTTTTCGATTAATTACAAGGACTGATACTCAGAGTACTGGGACGTCCACGATAGTTGCAGCGGCCCAGACGTCAACTGTGACCCTAATCACCATGTCGACTACGATAGGCACCAGTGCCAGTAGCTTCACGATCCCGGTCCTTACCACTATCTTGGTCCAGTCAAGAGGAACGGCTCCGCTGTCTCTGACGCCGACAACAAGCTCCGCCTCCTCTTTGACGACATCAAGTGCCGCCGCTGTATCAAAAAGAGCCACATCCTCCACTACTATAGTCTCCGAGCCTATTTGCTTAGCCACGCGGTATCCCTGAGGCGCAAGTCTGACCTCAGCTTGCCAATGCCTCTCCACAGCCATAACCACTTCGACTTCAACGTATACCTCGACAGTGTCTACAACAATCACCGTCTCTAGCACACACTAAGCGTTGCGGCTACCACAATTTCAACGCCCACAACTACAACGACCAGCACGACCACAGTACAACTTAGCTCAATAACGAGGCTCGTCCAGAGCCGTATCATTACATTAACAACAAGTATCTCCGCAACGCCTTTCTTTTCTCATCGTAACAGGAGGCAGAATCGATGATTTGTCCGACATCGCTTGGGCAGACGAGGACATCGAGACCACTTTCATGGGGATTAATAGTACTTCGAGTCTTTTCTACGTAGGCAGCAGCAGCAATCTTGTCGAAGAGAGCGGATCCATTGGCTACATTGCAAACGAGAGTCCTTCGCCGGACCAGGCTGTGGTGTACTGTGACAATGCGGACAGTGTGTCGACTTCTGATAGATTCCAGCAGGCTATCACCTGCAGTGTGAGCCTGTGCAACAGATGGGACATGCCCAATTGCATGCACGCAGAATAATCACTGGGATGGGTTTTGGTATTTAGGCTCGCAGCATCTGAAGCCTTGTAGTAATGCATTTCACATCTATGCGGCGTCGTCATGAAAACGAGATGATACACGTGAACCTATGACGCTGGACGATAGAATTGCAGTATGATTGGAGTCGCGAATATACGCTCGAGTTCTCGCTCGCCTCCATCGCCTTACAAATCCAATCCCCAACACATCTAGCTTTCCACCCCGATGGCTCTCCCTCCATCAGCGTCTGGCATCCATCCCTTGGGCCGCTCTGCTCCTCTCACGACTAATCCATACAACGACCGCTCAACTTTCTCAACACTGGCGCGCATCACCTCCATCTTCTTGTCGACATCTTTAGCGAAAGGCCCAGTCCCAGCATTCAAAGACTCCAGCGCCGCCCTCATGGCCCGCAAATCATTCAAAACGTTCCGCTCCTCTTCTGCATCATGAGAACTCGACGGCAAAGCGCCATTTGTCGCCATGGCCGTGATCGCGAACCTCATCAACTCGCCCGTCATATCAAAGATTCCAAGTAGATAATCTTCTGGACTGAGGCCTACTCCAGATCCCTCTGAGCCTAAAGAGAGGAGTTCCGAGGCTGCGTCTTTGTAGCTGATGAGTGTCGATGTGGTCAGGTAGTGTTCGAAGGATAGAGCTTCCATCCATTCTTGACATCCGCCGCTGATCTGTCTGGCATATCGATCGGCATTCAACCCTTGGAGATCTTTGCACACGGAGGCGAATTGCGTGGAGATGGTGTCGTAGTATTGCTTGTTGCCTTTGGTGACATGCTGGGGCAGTGGTTCATTTAATTTTCGTATACTTTAGTGAAATGTCAGTCATTTGAGGTCGTTGTCGGTGGATTCTTCTTGAGACGTACCGCTGGAGCGTGAAGATGCTGCATGAAGCTGTTAGCTTGGTTTCGATCAAAATTTATAGTTAGGAAAATCCCACATCTTCTTGGAAGCCGCCGTGATATCTCGAGAGGCCTTGATTATGCGTTCTCTCCTGTCGTGATGCTCATCTAGCTCGGCACGGAATCGTTCGAACCTATAGAAGGGATATTAGGTACATCCTTTGGCATGAAAGCTTCGGTGTGCTGGTGTTTCTCACATGGACATGAACGGCGAAGGCGACGAGTTTGCGGATTCTTTTCCCTCCATCTCGGCGTGGGTTCTTTTGCCCATCGATGAAATTTGGCGAAGTTTTTTGAAGGATGAACGTTGTCTCTGGATCAGTGAGTGGATGGAGTGAGGTTGGAGGTGTAGTCAAACAACTTTTGATCCCGAAGCCGGGATCGTGACTACGCGACACTAGCGTGAAAGCTAAACCGCGCTCGCGTTATCAACTTGGAAGCAGCTAACTCTTCTGAGGCCTTCTTACCTTTATCCTCAACAACCCACTCGTCGGGAGATGGAATACCGCCCACCATGACAGGTCGATAAATCCCGCCTGACCGGCGTAATCGAAGCCAAAACGCGCAAGAAAACGAGAAGCCTAAAGTCGAGGACCGTCCCGACAACACACCACATATGATGAGATCATGAACTATTTTCTGGCGTCCGAGAGACGACGAGATTGCAGGAAGCTTCGCGCCTGATGGACACAGCAAGAAACCCCATTCCTCTTCTCTGCAGCACGAGCGAAGGAGCTTGCGTACATCTTCCTTTTCCACGGAGCTAACCCGCGCTGGGATGACGACCAAATTATCTTCACCAAGTCCAGCCTCGAACTGCTACCTGCAGATCTTGCAGACGACACGACCAAAGAACCGCGTGTAGAGGCACAAGACTCAGTTCCGCCAGGACGGGAGATCGACGAGAAGAGTAACGATCAAGCCTCCCCGGTGGTAGCTAAGCCTGAGCCGGGGGGAAATAAACAGCGGGACCCTATTGCAGTCTTCAAACAGCGCGAGAGGTCTCCCTTCTTCAAGTTCGAGGGATCATATCAAATTGACCGTTTGACTTTTCTCGAGCCTAAGAGCCCCGGATTCGCTCGCATGCTGGAGCATAAATGGACCAAGCAAGATCCTCGTGGCCGCATCAAACCCGTGCAGCGTTCAGGGCTGAGGCGGGAGGAAAGTGTCAGTTATCGTTGGGCGGTCATCACATTGAAGAAAGACGAGGTCGCAGAGAAGGAAGCCGGCGCGCCGAAGGTCGAGAAGAACCCGGATGTTGTTCCTGCGGAATTAAAGACTGCGAAGAAGAGCGTTAACGACGGGAGGTGCCGGCGGAGATGAGGTGGGGCACTGGTGAGAGTATCGCGGCTTGCGTTGGCAAGATCTGATGCCGGCTCTTTCTACTTTTCAAGATGTTGAATGGCCTGCGAAACCAGAGTAAGTTGAAGAAATTTTCTTCTTTAAGTATGTTTGATGAAGGGATATAGCTCGGTGCATTGTGAGCAGATTCGAATTTGAGCACAGCGTGTCTCAGGCACGTTGTGTGGCTGGTTGGTCCAAATCCCGAAGCCTCGGATAATTGTGATTGGCCGGTCCCTGCATTCACGAAAAAGCCGCGTTGCTTCATTGGCTTCGAGACTTGGAAGAAGGTAACATCCAACATCTCTACAATTCTCTCTGCCTACACCACCAATCTCATAAGACACATGAAATGACATTTTCTCGCATCAGCCGATAACACGCCAATATTATATTAGCAATGAAGCTCCTTTACTACTCCCTCGCACTCTACCTCTCGCTGACGCCTGGACCCGCCTGCGCCGCATCGTCAAAAGATTCCAAGAAGGAACCCGACAAGGCGTGCACGATCACATCGCCCTACTCCGGCAGCTTCTTCGACCTCACGTCGTTGCAACTGTTTGATCCCAAAGAGAACCCGAAGAAATTGAAACATCCGCGAGAACACAGCTGGAATGCGACAGGATGGGACATGGGATACAATTTCACGATCAATATATGCCAACCCGTGATTGAGAAGGTGGAAGATGTCGTGGGAATTGAGAAGAGCATGTGGAAGAACGTGAGCGCTTATTATAAGCAGGATGGGAAAACGTATTCGCTTGGGTAAGTGGACAGAGTGTGCCTGGGCAACAACTACCGGACCAGCTAACAGGGATCATGTGTGTCCACAGGCAACAGAATGATGAGCTCGTTATGCGAGGGCGAAAGCTTGTGTTGAACTACACAGACGGATCACCTTGCGACACGGCTGGCAAAAGCACGCATTCGGTGGTTGATCTCAAGGCGAGGGCACTCGTTGACGAGGACAAGGATGACAAGAAAAAGGGCGACGGGAAGAAGAAGGACGATGATGGCGATGATAAGGACTCCAAGAAAAAGCCATCCTCTGGCAGCACAAGGCGGAAAAGCACGGTCATATCAATGCTCTGCGAAAAGGACCCCACAGCGCCGCAATTTGCAATTAGCTTTGTGGGATCGCCGGATGAGTGCTCGTACTTCTTCGAAGCCCGCTCACATGCGGCCTGTGCGACGGCCAACACGAGTAGCGGTGGATCTCTAAACCCTGGAGGAGTCTTCGGTGTTATTGTTCTGATCGCTGTGCTCGTGTACTTTGTTGGTGGTTGCGTGTACAACCGAGCGGTCTTGAATCAGAGAGGATGGCAGCAGGTGCCAAACTACCACCTGTGGGCGAGCATATGGGGCTTCTTCCGAGTGAGTTCGATCATCCGGAGGATCAAATTTTTGCTCAGGGCAAGCTAACCCGAGGCTAGGACCTCTTTATCATCCTGACATCCTCATGTGCTCGCTTTATGCCATCCAGGAGAGGCTATAGCCGCGTCAACGGCGGTTTCGGCGGCGCCGGAAGTGGCCGAAGAGCAAGAGGAGACAGCAGCGATGCTGAAAATAGACTTATCGACGAGCTGAATGAGGAATGGGAAGACTGACCAATCCTGCCTTCAGCTCCCTTAAAGACAGACTCGTTCGCCGCCCTTAATAGATGTGTTACGACTCGAGCGTTATATGCTATAGTACGTTTTCCTTCAAGCACAATCCTCACACTTCTCATCTCCTTTCTGTTGCGCCGTCGAAGCACCTAAAGCGGGCTCTCCCGAGTTCGACTGTCCTCCAACTACGACATCGCCCTGTAACGTAGTTGCCGCCTTCGTTGCTTTGGAGGAAGGCGTATCCGAATGCCCCAGATTCTTATCCGGCTCAATGAAGTTGCGGATCCGCTGCTTGAGAATCTTCGTTTCAGGAAAACCTCCCTCAGCTTTCCGATCCCAGATCAAGACTTCCTGCGCTTGCACTTCATCCAAGGAACTGGTTGATGTTGCTGTCGAATTGTAGGTGAGATGGACAGTGAAGAGGCCCCCTGTTGCTGGGATTAGGGCTATTTCCCCGATGGAAGTGCCGAATGTGGACAGGAGTTCCTGGCCGAAGTAGGCTGCTCGCAGCATCCATTTGCATTGTGTGCAGTCTAGATAGATGTTAGTTGCAAACATGAGATAGAGGAGAAGACACAGTCGTACATGTGATTGCCACTCTTGGCAGTTTGACAGACTGAGTGTGATGTTCGCCCATTTCCGTTGGGACAAATGGATTCAAGCTGTTGAGCATGTGCTTTTCAATCTGGTAATCAAGGAAATCGAACGTTTTCGTCTCAAGTGGGATTGTTGATGTTGAATGTGTGACAATCACATGCAAGGCTTGCGGAAGCTTTGGCCACTTTGTCTCGGGCCGACACGCCGAGCGGGAGGCAGCCCGAGAGCCGTGAATCATGACATACCCACCTCACAGCGCAGCCTGACTGCCTCTCCGAAGCTGGATTGATTGAAGACTCCCCAGCAAGAGCTGACATGACCATAGCCGCTTGCTCATGCCCGTCAAACATGCAACGAGCTCCCGACTGATCTCGAGCCAAGTATTGAGTGCTGCACGGGAACTCCACTCCATTCAGGTCCCAGCCTACCCACCTTCGTTCTGAGACCTTTGAAGTCGTTCAAAGCAACACGCATTCAAGATGAGAGACTCGCTATATACCAGGATCCACGCTCGCGAGCTCAACGATCCGGCAGTGCGCTCGAAGAGCTACCGAAAGTTATACACCGACCGACGTCTTATCGACGACTTGGACATTGTAAATGAGCTGGATGGACACTCAGGGTGCGTGAACGCTCTGTCATGGAGTAAATCTGGTAACCTGCTCGCATCAGGCTCAGACGATCAGCATCTGAACATTCACACTTACCAGCCGGAGAGTACGACGAACCAGTTCCAACTCACTGCCACTGTCGCCACAGGCCACACCCAGAACATCTTTTCGGTCAAGTTTATGCCCCATAGCAATGACCGAACAGTCATAACAGCTGCAGGAGATGCGCAAGTAAGGATATTTGACTTGGAATACGCCGGAGCAGCTGGATCGGCATCCTTTGCGTTGGTCAACGCTTCAGAAGGACGAAGAAGAGGTAGGAACAATATGTACAATGGCGTGAGGTATCTCAGCGACGGCGATACCAATACACGCGTATACAAGAGCCATGGAGATAGAGTGAAGCGTATTGTTACGGAGTCCTCTCCGTACCTCTTCTTGACTTGCTCAGAGGATGGCGAAGTAAGGCAGTGGGATCTACGGCAACCATCTTCAGCATATCCGGAGTCTCGTGGCTCTCGATTGAGCTCGGATTCTTCTGTACCAACGCCTCTGATATCGTACAAGCGCTACAGCCTCGACCTCAATACCATCTCATGCTCCGCCAGCCAGCCGCACTACATAGCCCTTGGTGGAGCTCACCTCCACGCTTTCTTGCACGATCGTCGGATGACAGGAAGAGACAGATTGAGAGAAATGGGAAGAGCATTGTCGCCGATCGGCCAGATGTCGGCGGAGGAGCAAGAGATCATGTCACAGGCAACACAGTGCGTGAGGAAGTTCGCACCAAAAGGGCAGAGGAGGATGAAACGGGCGGACAACGGTCATATCACGGCATGCAAGATTAGTGATGCCAGACCTGACGAGATGATTGTCAGCTGGAGCGGAGATCATATCTACAGTTTCGACCTTGTGAGGGACCTGCCAGACGAAGAGGAGACCACCGGTGCGCTAAATAGTCACCGAGCGAAGGAGAGCAGGGATCGAAAGCGCAAGCGGAAAAACAATGGAAGCGAAGCATCGCTGGCTCAAGATACTCGAGCCTCTTCAAAACCACGAACAGGTGCTACCTCGTCTGATGCAGCCTTGAGGATACGGTATCAGAACGGCCAGAGCGAGGACATTCCTATTCCACCTCGGAGCCAGGCGCTCACGGAGAAGCAGAGAGACGCACAGCGGATCGCAAAAGCAACTGTGAACATCCGGTCATCTTTGTTCGGACAAGGAGAGGAGGGGTCCGATCCATCTGCGCAGTTCACTTCTGCATTGGGCCATGCCGCGAGTATACTCGGTGACATAGATGAGACGATGAGGAGCTGGGGCTACCCCATGGAGCCTGAAGTGGACCAAGTCTATGTCCAGCAGACTCTCAGGCGCCTTCGGGAACGGACAAGGAGATTCGTGCAGGCAGCCGGCACGGTCGCTCGCGTACTTGGCGGCAAATTGCAGACCCCATCAGGCTACAGCCCATTAATGGCTCAGTTTAGTACGATCGAAGTCAGAAGCAACGATCTGGTCATGCCGATGCGAGAAATGTTCTTTTACGACTTCCTCAAGGCGATACTTCTGTGGCTAGACTCTGGTATTGGCCGCCTGATTGAAGGCTTTACCCGCCCGAGCGATATGCCGCAGGGTGCGAAAGCTGCTGGCAGCCTACCCATACCTGAGGCTGAAGCTTCGTCTGACGCAATCGACGAGTTCCTGATACCGTACCTACTCAACTGGGCGGGAGACGATCCCATTTTCAACGTGGAGGCCAATAGATTTGAGACAGATGAGAGCCAACAGCTCTTTCGGTCGCAAAAAGCCGCTGTTCTTGCCTTTGCCTCTGCAGTGAAGATACCGTTCGAAGATCTATCGTCTGCTACGGTGCTATCAGAGAGCAGTGGAGGCGAAGGGGTACGTGCGCAAGACCGGCAGATTGCTCACAGGTACTGGGCTCGAAAGGTTGCTCGCAGTATACTGTTGACCGTTGCAGAAGGCCTCAACTATGTCACCGTCGATCGATGCTTCGGTGGACTTGGTAGAGTGGTCAGAGAGCTCGCGGCAGAAGAAGCTCTTGTGGATGTTCTTGGTGACGATGGTGAGGAGGAGGAAGGCACGAGCGCTATGGAGGTGGTCGACCGAAATGGTGATGTCGTTGATGGTGCTAATGCAGAGGATATCTCCGCTGCTGCTCATGCGACGAGACATGCAGAATCGAATGGATCGCCTGAAGAAGAGATGACCGACACGCCTGATGAAGCTGAGGCGCTCCTTGAAAACGAACGACGTCATGTCCGACGGCCAACGTTTGTGCTGGAGGAAGACGAAGAGGACGAGCACGAGAACGAAGAAGACGACGACCACGATGACGACGTTGACAATGGCGACGACTCTGATGAGGACAGCGAAACCTCAAACTCCAGCACCGAGGCGGATGAAGAAGATGGGGTGCCGAACGTCGGTATGCCGCGATACATCTATCGTTCGGCAGTTGAGCGGCGAAGGTTGCGTCCCAAGGTTCAGCCAGACGTACCTTGCTCAAGGCCGACTCGGACATATCGAGGTCACTGCAATGTGCGCACTGTGAAGGATGTCAATTACTTTGGACCTGATGATGAGTATGTCGTCTCAGGGTCAGACGACGGCAATTTCTTCATCTGGGATCGCAAGACGTCGAAGCTTGTAAATGTGAGTATTCCAGCTTGGACGAGACTTTGGAAAATGCTGATGTGTATCACTTCCTAGATCCTCGAAGGCGACGGAGAAGTTGTCAACGTTATTCAAGGCCACCCTTACGAGAACATGCTCGCAGTAAGTGGTATCGATCATACGATCAAAGTATTCTCTCCAGATGCTCGAGCGCGCGAGGTCGCCCGTCTTGGTCAGGGTGTTTCCGCGCATGACGCATCTTCCTTCAGCTCCATTGCATGGCCGATACGAATAGGCCACCGCCCCCGTCCCTCTGAGCGCCGAGCAGAAAGCGAAACGACATCCGAGCCCGCTGCGCCTCTTTCCTCGGAGGAGGAATTGGAAGCTGCTCACGAGAATGACGACTACGTGGCCCCAAATGGACTGAGCAGCCGCAAGAGAATGCACGATTCGTACCGCATCACGCAGAATAATGATGTGGAGCGTGGGGGAGGGAGCCAAGATGCGGTCATTACTGTACGTCCCAGTGTTCTTGTCCGTTTGTTGATGGCGAGAGGCATGTGGCCTCTTCCAGGGGTGGAGCTTGAGGAGGGCGAGAGCAGTGACGAGGATTTTGAAATATGAGATTCCCAACTCTTTGCCGATGTTGCGTTCTTTAGCCAAGAAGCCTTGTGAAATTGCATTTTCTTACGGAGAACAGCTTCCGCACGCCCAACTCCTGCAGTTGCTTTTCGGACAGCTGGGGAACGTCGGCATAATGCCTTCCTTCGACTGAGCCGAGTGCAAACAAGCACTTCCACCAAGCCTTCCACAAGCCTCCCACAAGCTTTCCACATGGTAGACATGTGCTGGTGGCTATTTGGCGTGGTAGCGTGCGTTGCTGGGTCAGCTGGCACAACGAATAAGAGAGCATCGTGCCGCAACGGGGCAAATGCCCACGGGAGCAACTGAGGGAAACACTAGGAGGATTATCTTGGAGGATGATTATGTTGTGCAATAATATCCCAAAGACATCTGGAGAAGAGAAAATAATAATCGAAAGCTTGCATGTGTCTGCCTGCTTAACTCAGCTGCGATAGGATCGATTCATAGTCGGTCCTACCTGCACTGTTCTGATGGTGTGGAACTAAGTCCGGGGAACGCCTGGCGCCGCGGATGCTACGAAACGTATCCTTGTATTCGCCTATTCTCCAGTGTAAACCCCAAGAGTATCTCAGCGGAGCAATGTCTTCATCTCTGTCCAGAGACGTTCCCAACGCTACTGTCGGAGCCGCTGTTCTTGGGCAACCACCTTCTTTCTAGACATACTGACTCAACCAGCGAATACCATCACCATATCCTTGTCGCATAACCACGGAACACATGAAGATCTCGACAGGCCTGATTCCCTCCAATGGCACCTTGCCCTTGCCCGTCGTCTGATACAATCCCAGCTCATGTCTCAATTGATCCTCGCTCACGGCATTCGGGTGGTCGATCTTGTTTCCGAGGATGAGGAAGGGTGTCTTTGCGAGGTCTTCCATGCTGAGCAGGGCGTCGAGTTCGGCTTTGGATTCGCTGAAGCGTTCGGGATCTTTGGCGTCCACGAGGAAGACGATGCCGGAGACCTCGGGGAAGTAGTCTTTCCAGAGACGACGGGCTTGTTGATGGCCGCCGAGGTCGAAGGTGGTGAAGCGGACGCTGCCGATGGACAGTTCTTCGGACGTGGGGTGCAGGGTTGGTTGGAGGATGGCTACGCGGTCGTTCTTGAGCATGTGGAGGAGCTATGAGGCGATTGGTGTTAGTATGAATTGCAGTGTTGCGGTTGGGCACAGGCGCATCGCGTACGGTGGTCTTTCCGGCATTGTCGAGACCGAGGAAGAGCAGTTTGGCGTGCTTGTTAGCCAGGCCCAGGCTGGCGAGGACGTCCCAGACTGTTTCGAGGAGTAGAGGTCAGCTTCACGTGTCCACCACATGTTCCCTATCTCCCACTTACACCAATCGATGATCCACATGGCTGTCTTGGGATGCGCTCAGTCGGGAGGTCGATTCGTCGAGAGGTGTCCGCAGAGATTTCCTAGATTGTGTTGTGGAGAGTATGAGAGTGAGGTCTCCGTATGGAAGGGATTGGAGAGGGTGATGTGTAGAAGCAACGTTGATCTCTCGTGCTGAGGTCTCGATCCACTGAGGCAAGAACCGGGAACGGCTAGCGGGCGATCCCGCCGGCGTCGATTGGTCCACCAAAAGCTCCATCAAGTATTCACGCATTTGATTCAGGGATCAAGCAACGGCCACGCGACGTCAGGAGAACAGCTTGCACTTATTCACTGGGCTTTGCATGTGATTGTCTCCAATCCCGACCACAGACACTCCTTTGGATCCAACCGCCGTAGACGCATCACCCGCCAACTATGGCTGCAAACACTCTTGTAAATCATCTGCGACATGTCACAACGATGTCGATGGCTAACCATGTTCTCTAGCTCGACCGTCTCGTGGGCCTCGCAATGCTCATCCTCGCATCCGCCGTCTTCCTGTACTACACGATCTGGACACTGTTGATGGTATACCTGAAGTCCAAACCATTGCACTCTTCAATTTTTAACATTGTCCAGCCCTTCGTCGACGACTCCCATCCAGTCCAAAGCCTCTTCCCCCCTCGCGTCTGGGCCATCCGCATCCCCGTCATCCTCCTCCTCCTCGGCGGCGCAGTAGTAGGGAGCTTCCTCAGTGTGATCATGATACGAAGCAACAGAAAGAAGGCCCTCAAGGCCAAGAAAGCAGCTGAAGCGCAAAAGGCGAAATAGAACATGGGCGAAGAAAACCAAAAACCCCCGGTTGAGGGGGAAAAGCGATGGAGTCAGGGTTGGGATGGATTTGGACGGCCGAGTTGCTGTTCTTGGAGGCGCTCTACTTCTCTGTATATCATAAGAGTTGTATATTTATCAGTCGGGTAAGAGGAGCTGTTGGGCCTGCGCTTCACAGCGGAATGCTTTGATATCGGGTGAAGGGCCATGTGCTTTGCTGCATGTCACTGAATGCAGTATGCACTCTCGACTTGTGAAAAACTCTCCTCGCGCAGAAAAGTTCCCACTACCCATTACCGCACTGATCAACATCTGCGTTTAGTAGTAGCAGCATCGACCGCCGTGAAGGCTTACACGAGTACCACGCAGAATCCAAAAGCAACTCGATCAACAACAACCCAAGCCAAGACAAGATTATCTTACCCCTACACCCCCTCGCCCCAGAAAGCTCAACTTACAATCCCTCTCGAGCCAGAAACTAAACCCACCCAAAACCCACAGGGGGGAAACGGTGTGCTGGTAGTGGTGGTGGTGGTGGTGGTGGTGGTGGGTGAGATTTTCTGAGCATGAGGATGAGGATGAGGATGAGGATGACGAGGGGAGGGGAGGGTAGGTATAGAGAGAGGGAAAGGGACAGAAAGCAGTTACTACGACGAAAATTGCTCGCTCGAAAGCAGGGTGCAGCGTGCCGCTGCCGCAGCCGCAGCCGTCGGAGGAGAAGGAGGAGGAGGACGTTGGATCGGCCTTGTTCATTAGAACGGTCAAAAGAAATCTGTCTATAAACGAAGCTTGATTATTCCGAAGACCCAGTCCCAGGCTGTCGCTATTTCACTTCTTCACTTCTCCACTCAATCCTCCTTCTTCTCCTCCCCCACCGAATCAATCGAAGAAGAAGCACAACCATCCGAGCCGCTCTCATCGCTCGTACTAATAGCATGGAAAGAGAAATCAATCTCCCCGACGAGAGTTTTGACGTGTCTATGAATTTTACGGAAGCGACATTGTCAGTCATCGATCTAGATATCTCCTCGCACATTTGTGAAAGAAAGGAAGGGGAAAAAAACGTTTAGAGATGACTCACTTTGTAATCTTCACAATGTCCTGATTGATACAGACGGCGCAAATGGTCGTCGCGGCAAACGCACTATCATAACCACAATCAAGCAACACGTCAGCTCGGGACCCAAGAATGTACCGTACTGGAAAAATGAATGAGAAAAATGCTCACCTATACTCCGGCTCCGCAACATGCCTCACGCTCAGAATATCCCGATCAATCTCATTCAAGCGATCCACGAACTTCCCATGCTGGGGGATTTCCAAGTACGGCGGGAGGGGCCTTCCATGCAGCATGCTGGAGCTCAACAGACTCAAGAGACTCGTCAGGCGATGCGACGTGGCATTGGAAGAGGCCAGCAGGCGGCGGAAATCCTGGCTCCATTCGGCGGAGGAAGGCGTTGCATGCGTGGTCGAGAAGGTCCCGGAAGCGTAGGAGAGGAGGGAAGTATATTGCACGAGCCGCTGCAGGCAGCCGATGAGGCCTTCATATTCCTCTCGGGGGAACTGGCCGCCGACGCGGATCTGGGCCTTGGAGAAGGCCGAGTTCTGCTCGAGCGTCGAGATGAGCCCGATGAGTTTGAGGAAGACCTGGCTGCGGACTTTGCTGAGATGGTAGGCCCGCGTGCCCTTGACGTTCTCGTCGCCGTCGATCTGCTGGACGCGAGATCGGATGGTCTCGTGCACGATGGAGTACAGGTTCGCCAGGAGGTAGAGGGCCGCGCCGATGTCCTTGCGGAGTTCCGTCGTTTCGGAGATCGGGTAGGGGAAGATGGTCCAGATGTAAGCTACGAGGAGACCGCCGCAGACGGTTGCGAGACGGTAGGGTGCAAGGGCGTAAGTCGGGTAGGCTGGTTGTCCATTGCTAGTGAGAGCAAGTCATGTCAGTAGAGAACGCATCGGAGTAAGAAATATGACGAAACTTACGTTGTCGCCGCCGCCGTGCCAATCACGTCAACCTGCAGCTCATACCCAATGATCAAGATGGACGTAACAGCACCCAAAATCCCCACAATGATGAGTTTCTGCTTCTTCAAAATCACATAGTATGCGCAGAAGATCCAAAGCCAGAGGAAGACGATGACGCCCGGGGTCTTTCCGTCGACAATGTACCATATGATATAAGATCCGATCATGGCAACCAGAGTTCCCAAGATCCGCAGTGCGAAGGTGAAGGTGCTCTGCCCGGCGGTTCGCGTCATGGATATGGGCACCATGATCATCGCCCATAGTAGTCTCTCCTTCAGGAAGAATTGTTGCGTATCGTGTAGGTAGCAAATGATACCAATCGTCATCGTCGCGGCGCTGACTCTGAAGCCGAACGCAGAGGCGTCGCTCCTGAGAGCACGAGGAATGAGACGGATAACCTCCCCAACCTTCTCCAGTCCATTCCGAGGAGGAAGATGTTCCGGGTCTTTGCGGCTAGAAAATGACTCTCCGAGGTAGAGCGAGCTACTTCCGCCATTGTTCAGATCGACAGTGTATTGATCTTCGTTATTCAAATCTTCCCGCCCAAAGATTGCTCGGCCCCATTTCTTCAAAGTCTTTACCCCGGGCAAGATGAGTCTCGTCTTCTGAAAAGCGCCTTCTGATTTCCTCTTATCGACGTAGAGGACCAATTCGAGGGCAGCTTGGCCCGCGCGCCAGAGGAGAAATTCCACGTACAGTCCGAAGAAGAGTTGCCGTTGCGATCGTCTCCGGATATGCTTATTCGCGAGATCGAGATCCTCTGGTCGGACGGAAGCGGATTCGAAGAAGTCGTCCGGGATGTGGATGCCGTGCTCCGCGCACCAGTCCCTCAGATTCCGCTTCTTGTTTTCGAAGAAGTCGTCCAGCTGCTCCTTGTACGCTTCTGCAAACCCAGCGGAGCCAGGCGCCGTGTTGTCTCGATTCTCTTCGTCTTGCTTGCCTTTCTTCGGTCGCTTCTCAATCTCCAGGGTAATGAGGACGTGCTGGAAGGCGCGATTGATGCTGGAACTCATCGTCGCAAAAGGTTCGTGCAGAGCGTGCATCAGCTGATGGAGATTCTCAATCGACCTCTGCTCCGTCTTCGCTTCTTGCTCATCCGGATGCTCATCTGTCCAGCCTCCCTGTTCCGCGCGACGACGAAGGATGTCGATGACCGTGTTGAGTCCCATGACCGGAATCATGATCGGTTTCATCCTCTTGAAGACCTCTCCAATATCCGTGGAGCTCAGCTTTCCAATGGCAAACTCTCGTTTCGCACACTTGATGTCTGCCGGTAGCTTCGTATGGAGTCCGTAGAGCTGCTCCATCATTCCCTTCAGCTTCACGCTGTCCTTCGTCTCCATGAATCCCATTCCATCCTTCTTCCCTCCCTTCTTCTTCTTCTTCTTCTTCTCCTCATCCTTCGCCTCTTCCATCCTCCTCCGCTCCACCTCCGGATCAAACCCTTCCAGACTAGCCAAATAAGCACCCTGTCCCTTCAACATACCCCCAAGCACGTTCAGATACCCACTCATCTCCTTGAACACCACCGTCCGCGAACTGACCGGGACGAAGAACAACGCCACCGCCGTCGCGAGTCCAAACCCCGTCAGGAACCCCTCCAGCAACCGCTCCATGAAACTGACCGCGTACGTCATGGAAGGGAACTGCGTCCCGTACGTCAGGGACACAATCGTAAAGATGCTATACAGAATCACGGGAAACTGAAACTGCGGCAGTCGGGCCCGCAGGGCATTCGTCAGGTACGTCTGGACGAACAGCCAGACGGCCAGGACGGCGGATTGACTGGAATTATAACCCGTCGGAGGCGCGCCGGGCGCGGTCGTATGTAATCGCGCCTGGATCCCGCAGTAGAGGGCGAGGAGATTGACACTCGCGCCGATGCCGATGCCGATGATGTTGAGCAACATGCTCTGGAGGAATTTCCCGCGGGGCATGATGCACATACCGAGGATGGAGGCGATGGCGATGAGGTAGCCGATGGTCTGATACTGGTTGGCGACGTCGGGGGCTTGGTAGATGGCGATGCCAATCGTCGGGGGCAACGAGCCCTTGAGCATCATCAGGAGCGTCGGGACGTCGAGGCCGGTTTTTGTCCATATCTGCTTCAGCTTGGAGGGCTTCTTCCCCTCCTCCCGTGGCTCGGTTTGTTCCTGGCGATTACGGCCGCGAGAGTCGTCGATGGGGCCTTTCCTCGTGGACTCGCCAGTTCCATTTCCATTTCCACTGCTTTCGCTACTGAAAGTCGGGGTCGGATGCTCCATATTGGTATTATTCTCTTGCCTCTGTGCTTCCGCAGCCATGCTGACACCGCTTCAGAGCGCGATGCGCTTTGAATGCCTGCTTTTTATCAAGATGTCATCGTCAACATGCACGGCGGACGGAAGCGGAGGCGAAGAAGCAGTAGTCGTATTTGAGAGGTCGACAGCAGCTGCAGCTGGGCAGCAGAGCAGGCGGCATAAACTCTTTTCCGCGGGGCCACAAGACCCCTTCCGGGTCCGGGTCCGGGTCCGTGCAGTTGTGCTATAATGGAATCAAGTACTACTACTAGTAGCGTGCTAGCAACAGCTAGGTAAAGTGGCTTGCTTACTCCCTAAGGTACGGCCGAGATGCATTCTCGTTGGTTGAGAATGCGAGAAGAAGCTGGAAAAGATATTGCGAAAGCGAGAGAATGAATGGGCGCGGCCAGAAAAATGAGAATGCTCATGATGAACAGAGCTCGTATCTAGAGGTGCTATACAAACTCAACAATTGTTTCACAAAGCCAAGGGCAGAGAACGACATTGGTTCGGGTATCTCGAAGCAGACGGGAACAACTCCACTCCTGATCCATGCAGCCCAGCTCCAGTTCCTCGATGTGCAAGGTTCACCTCCTTCTCCGCTCCCATCATCCTGTTGCGCCTGTCGAGAGAAATATGAAAAAAAAAATAAAGATCTTGCGGCAGGCTCGCTGGTAGATACGCTTTTCAGAATCCAAATGAAAATCCTACCGGTTCGGAGTATGTCAAGTTCGGGTCGTCTGGTCGACCTTTCCCCCAAAAAAATGCAAATCATCCGCGCGCATTTCAAGTCTTTCTTCATCAATGGGTGTGGGCGTCGTAATTCGTACAGTAGCAGTCGCCAAATTGGGCGATACCGATGATCCACTAGAAGCACCACATCACGCCTTGGATCGTGCTGGAATCCTGCGCGATTTGGGCGGGACTCCTGCCCTTCGCATCGACATCCGCCATCGCCTGGAGTGTCGCCCGGCTCGGCGCGCTCTTGTCCATCGTGCTGACCGTCGTGATCTTCGACAAGCGCTGATGGTCCAGCGTCTGCTCAGCTTGAGTGATTGGGTCATCTTCCGAGGCCAGCACGGAACTCGAAGACTGCGGTGCGGCTGGATTCGCCGATCCGGTCGCCGAACGCTGCGAGACACTTCGGACAAGCCCGCTTTCCTGGTGGAAGTTGTGTGCCTTGTACGGAGGTGGCTGCAGCTCCCAGTCTTCCAGCAGCTCCATGCGGGCGTTGATTCTCATGCGCCTGCCCTCGTAGATGACGATGTCGCTGGCTCGTGGCGCGTCTGCAAGCAAGACGGGCATGCATCGGCGAATGTAGCGCTGGAGCTGTGCTGCAGTGCGAGTCTGCGCAGGTTGCCATTTCCCTTCGGGTGTGAAGTTGGCGGGTGATGTGACGTGGATCATGTCTTCTGAGAAGGCCGAGTACATGGTGTCCGTCGTATTCGTCCGCATGGCGCCTGGGCGAATCGTCCCGTCAGACGATTGAGGCCTCGCGCTGTCTTCCCGCATGTCCGTCAGGTCGATTTCTTCTTCCTCGCGTAACAAAGGACTTGGAGGAGCTTGCTCTACAGCTTGCGCTGGGGTCTCGGATTGGAGGGCGGACTGGTCCTGCGTCATTTCTTCCCTCCTCCGCTCCGCAAAGCGAGGAAACATTTGCGAGAAGATGCGCTCTTGCTCTGCCAGCATAGCGGGATCATTGATGTTGACTCCAGCATGATTGGTAGCGCGATGCTGTTGATGCCGCCTCCTGCGCCTCGGTACAGTGCATTGGCGTGCTATGCTCCGGTCGTCGATGGGTTGTGCGATATCAATGGCTGCGCTGAGAGCGTGGACCAGCGACCAGATAGGTTGTTCTTCCGAACCAGCCAGGAGCAATTGATGCGTTTCTGCTCGCAAGCGCAGAACGGTCTGTCGCATCTCCCTGAACAGCGTAGCATCCTTCTGCCACGCTCGCCTCCTCGCGCCCTGAGGGATGAGATGGGCAAGCCTCGTCTGCGGCACCAGCTTCGCGAATTCCACGTCTGACGCGAGGCCAACTTCCGCATGCTGCAGGGTATAGCTGCGCAGCAACTTACCCGCGCCTCCATCCTTGACTCGATGCAGGTTCAGCATCGTCCCTCGCACCAACGCGTACAATTCCCTCCAATCTCCGCCACCGACGTGCGAGAGCGGGTGCAGAGATTCCAGATTCAGAAGCACCTTGGCGCCGAATTCGACGGTGCACGAGTAGTCGGGTAGCCTCTCGCGACCCTCGAGAGAGGAAGGCGTCGGGCGAGGTCGCATCGCCATGGCGAAACTTGGAGGTTGATCGGTGGAAACGGAACATGTCGTGTGGAAGATGTTGTAGTTGCTCATCGGTTTCTGGCGTGGATTCCGCGACGTCGAATGCGGGGGCGGATATGATTGTGATGTTGGTTGTTGCGGCGTCTGTCGCGCATCCGGCCGAGCCTGAGCCGGGCTGTTGGAAGTTGCATCCGGAGCAGTGGACTCGCCATCCGGTCGCCTTGGCGGTCTTGTTGAATTGTCCATGGCCGAGGGGTCGGTGTTGGCGGGCATTGGAAAGGAGAAGCAGGCTCGCGCGAGGCGGGCGGTAGGCTCTGGATAGATATAGCTGGAGCGCGGAGGAGGAGATGTTCGTGGTGTCTGGCCACAGCTCAGGCGATCACGCTGGACGGAATGGGGTAGCACAAAAGTCCCGCGTGCCCGCAATGGACCGGCCGCCCGCAATTAACCGGCCAGGCTCGGAAAGGCTAAGAGGGAGAGCTGCTGGCGAGGATCGAGGCCTCGAGAGTCGAGGCAGAGAATTGAGGTCCGGGAAGGCCGGGGAGGGGAACAGCCCGGTGTCTTGACCTTGACCAGGACACGATGCGGAATCGCCGGCGATGCAGGGGAGTGCTGCTCGTTTGCCTTGTGCCTCTCTCCAGCTGCAGTAGTAGTGCCCAGTCTAGTCTGCAGTGCGGTGGTCGTGTGCGGCAGAACTACTCGTTCAGGTCGTGGCAGGCAGGGTACAGATACCGTGGACATGTATGTACATGTACTGTGCCTCTTCTCCTCGCACACGCCTGCCTCAGTCAGTCCACGTCGCAAAATGCCAGGAAGACGGCGCGCGCGGGGAGGGGATCGGATGTCTCGTGCCAGAGGAGGAGGAGGAGGAGCGGAGAAAAAGACGCGGACGAGTCGTGATGAATAGATAGTATTAAACTATTGAATTGCGAAATGTTGTCTCACAGCGCGGCCGTTGCGCTCTAGACTTCGGCTGTTCGGTGCGCCACACGCGACGACGGCCGGGGCCACCAAATACCAACAAACCCTTTCCTTTTCCTTTTCCTTTTCCTTTTCCTCTTCCTCTTCCTCTCTCGCAATAAACTTTCCACCGGTCCCCTCCTGTCCTGCACGTGCACGGTTCCAGAAGCGCCATTCTTCCCCATGTGTGCGTAATCCAGCAACCTAAAAATCCTTCCCCCCCCAAAGCCCCAAGCATGCATCGCATCTGCAGAATTCTCCCGACACGACACCTTGTGCAAATCTCATCCCTCTTGGAAATTCTGTGATCCAGAATCCGAGACCGAGTTTCCCCGGACGTGAGAGCGTTGCTGCTACGAGATTGCGATCGGTAGCTGGCTCTCGCATGTAGCCGTCATTTAGATTCAACGTCTCGGGCTCTTCAACATCATTGCGGAGTGTGGAGGGAACGCGTCGCTTGCTGCTCTCCCACTCCGCCTGATGTACGTCCTAGGGGAGAAGACCTCCCGCAGCGGGAGCAAGGGCAACACTCGTACCCGCTCGTCTCTCAGGAGAAGAAGAATCAGCACGATACTGTACAAGTACATCGTATCAGGAAAAAAGTCTATAGTAAGACAGAAGAAAAGTTTCTGCATAGCAATCGTCAGCGTCGTGAGAGAGGTCCGTTATCTCCTTCGTCGTCACACATTCATTCCCTCTCCCAAAATTCGCTTTTTCTCGGCCGCATCAACGGCTTCGCATGTCGCAACATCCTCTCAAAATCCGTAGCCTCGCACCACTCCTGGCCAAAGATGCGAGCGGGCGATTCTTCTCCCCATTCATCACCCCAGCTTTGCGCTCACAATCCTTTCTCCGGAAACGCCCAATCCTTCCTTCGCCCTGCTGAGTGAGATTCCATTCCGTCGCAGATCGCTCGAAAGCTTCCGTCTTCGAGACAGCAAACATCACGTCCCGTATTCTTCTCTGGCCAAAAGACACCGCTACGCTGGCGCAGTCGACGGCGCCGCGTCCGGAGGTGCATCAGTCGTACTTTGCGTCCTCCGTCTCCGCTGCTTCTGCGCCGAGCCTTCCTGCCTCAGGGCCAAGACGTCCCGCAGCGCCTGATCGTCTCGGTTTCGGTCTGGATGATGGACACGCACGTGTCTGCAGGTGTCACACACGTCAGCCTCTCGTCAGGTCAGCACGCTGTTATCATAAGCTTCCTTACTCACCTCTGAAGATTATCCGGCCGGGGATATCGATGTTCTCGGTCCGGGCAGAAAGGGCATACATACCCCGGACTGTTGTGCACCAAACCATGCCGGATCATTTCGTTCTTCCTCTTGAAGCCTTTGCCGCCCTCGCTGCGCGGACAGTCGCTTACGGGACAGTAGTGCGGGCGGTTCTGACTGTGCACGTTTCGGTGTGAACTGAGAAGATACTGTGTCTGGAAAGGTGGTGCCGTGCAGCCATCGAAGTCGCACTTGAAGCTACCAGTTGGTATGGTAATCATACCAGGTGGTGGAGGCAGTACTAGTCGTCCGTTGGGATCCATATGCTCATTGATTGAGGCCGTGTGCGAAGTACTGTGTCCATCCGAGCTGGCGTTGGTGGCGTAGCTATCCCCTGAAGACGACTGCGAGGGTAGGGACGGAATGTTGGCCAAGAAAGGCCGGCTACCTTCTGTAGCAGTGGAAGATCTTCTGTCCGAGTAGTATCCTTGCGGGGTGGGCTGCTGCGGTGAGGCATAGTGGTGTCCATCGCTGAGAGTACTGGTCGGCGATCTTGCGCTTGAATGGGCGTATGCTGTTGGCGAGGTCTGGGTGCTGAAAGGATGTGGGTGATGAAACGTCTGAACTGGCGATTGTGCAATCGATCCGAAAGAGGGACTCTGATGGTGACTAGATGAAGGCTGAGCGCGTACGTCGTGTTGCGTTGCCTGCTGTGTCGCCGTCTCGGCGAGATACGCCAGTTGATGAAAGGGAGGAAGGCTCTCTCTGTGAGGTACAGTTGAAGACTCTTCCTGTTGGGGTGAAACGGCGGGCAGGGTGTTGGCAGCGTTGCCCTCTATCATCTGCTTTCGAAGGATAGGAGAGCTCGCTAATGACTCTTCAGAAGCTGGGGCTGGCGGCTGAGGGATTGTCTGAATAGTGAGAGGAGGCGAGGCCTCACTCGAGTAGGTCCTCTTTTCCGCGGGCAATTGCGGCACCTTTTCCCGGCTATCGCGTGCAGAGTCGATTCTAGGAGGAGCGCTCGAGTCATTCGAGGAGTCTCTAGAGAGCACCAAGGCTGCCGTTGCCTGCAACACTTTCGCGTTGCTCGCCGCCCCTAGATCCACCTTTGCAGGTGAAGGCTCATCGTCGACTACCGTGGCGGCGGTCTCATTGCTGCGAGCAGGCTCGTCTGGAGCTGGCGGTATTGGAGTGTCTGTCATCTCAGTATCTTGATCGCATGCGTCTTCAATGGAGTCGGAATGATTCTGATGGCTTGTGAGACCCAGAACGGTAATACCCGGGTCCGGACGTCGCCTGCCTACAAGTGGGTCCGGAGGTTCCAGCGCCAGCTCGGGCGATGGTGATTGTTCTGGTGAATATCTCGTGGCGCGGAGAGGTGGGCTCTCCCTGAAGATTGGCTCGTCCTCCTCGATATAGTTCATGCAGGAAAAGGTTGGAATATAGGCTTTCGGCCAGTGATGAATGGAGAGACGGCAGCAACGTCGAGAGCCCGTGTGAACGCACCAAGCGCCGGTACAACGAGCCAGAGCCAAGCAAAATGAGGTGAATGAAGAGCCAACACACATTCAGCGTCAACCCGGACCTCACTCTATCGCCTCAGCGCCGGGGGTAAGATGTAGGATGGTGGTTGCGCTCGAGACGTGCCTGGGAACCATGTCAGTCCACGGTAAGTCGGACAATCCGAAGCCGTGATTCAGTCTCGATGCACCTGTATGATGCCCAAACAAGTGCCTGCGAGTATGAGATGGACGGCATGGCAGTGGCTCGAGCAGGGCGGATGAGCGACAGAGCAAACAACCAAAAGCAGCAACTGGGGAAAGAGGGTGTTGGTCGGCTGGCAACGCGGTGCTGAGCGGAAGCCAAAGCGTGGTGAGAGTGATGTACCTGGACGACGTACCGAAGCATGGTCAGAGCCGCAGTGCCAATGACGTCGGAGCCGGCCGGGCGGGCGCGAGGACAGGACAGAAGACAGAAGAGGTGCAAGGCGACAGAAAGGTTGCTTGACGAGAGATGCAATGCGATGCGGTGCGGTGCGGTGCGGTGCGGTGCGGTGCGGTGCGGTGCGTTGCGGGGCGGTACGGTACGGTGCGTTACGGTGGGGTGGAGGTGGGGTGGGGTGGGGTGGAGAGTGAGGCTCTGCGGTGGTGGAGGATGATCGTTGTGAGACAGCAAGGCTGCGAGCGGGCTTCGGGGGGACGTGTGGTGAGGTGCGGCTCGGCAAGCAGCGTATGATTTACCCTTTCACAAGCAGTCAGTCCACAGTAGGATGGCGGTCGTGTGAGAGGTGAGAGGTGAGAGAGGTGAGGGGTGAGGGGTGAGGGGTGAGAGGGGAGAGGGGAGGGGAGGAAGGAGGCAGACCGGCCAGAGCAGGGAAGTTCTGGAACGTTTCTCTTCGCAGCCGCGCCGATCGACAGAGTTGCTGAGTGCAGTGCTTCGGAGCCGCACGCCGGATGATCACAAATGAGGTGCCCTGCTATCTCTCTTCCTTTCCAGCCGAGTTCTAGGCGAGTCAGCCTCGGCGGTCGTGTCTGGCCTGTCTAGCAGCTTGGCAGCGGTGGTGAGCTGTCGGGACCAGGTGAAGAGTGGCTTGACTGGCTTGACTGGCCTGCCCTGTCACCTGTCTGCTGTCTGCTGTCTGCCGCGGCTCTTGTTCCACGTTCCCTCCATACCCAACCAACCTCATAACCTAATGTATCTCTGCGGTGCCATCATCGGGCCTGGAGCTCCGGCGGCTGAGAATCGAGTCGAGAACACGACGGGAGCCGGGTCGATCGTGGGGGGCGCGACGGAGACGGGCGAACTTTCTTCCGCAGGGCCCCCCAATCCACGTGACGTCACGTCCGAGACCGAGATCAAGGCATCGGATGTCGAACAACGACTCAACCAACACATTCACTCTTCCAATCCAGACCCTGCTTTCCTCTCCTCGAAGCACCTCACTGGCAGCCAAGCAGGATAAGATAGATGCTGGGGCGTGCAGCTCGCATTCGCCAACTCGGCCGACTTATAGCCGCATCAAGCTGTCTCTCCCAATCGCACCCGCTCACGCGCTCGCCTGGAGTAGCTTTGTCTATCGGGAAGATGAGTAGCACCAAACGCAAGGCACCCAGCAAACCCGAGTCACCGGCCAAGAGAGCCCGGTCTGAAGTACCCGAATACCACCTCACTCCGTCTGTAAAGGATGAAGACGGCGGCGTTCGGTGGCCAGCACCGAAGAGGCAAATGGAGAAAGCTAGAGAGATCATCGTCGAATGGTGAGTGTTGCACTTCGTCGGAATATTGCAAACCACGTTGCCACCGTGGATTTAATGCTCATCGATGACTTCCACCTGGTGACCGCTCTGTGAAATCGCAATCGAAACCAATCCCCCTGGAGGTCGGTCTACCACGTACGTAACGCGTCCCTTCGAATCTTACTGACTTTCGGTAGTGCAAATGCCCAAAAGCACGTTGTCATCGTACCGGACAAAGACGCAGACGGTCTTACGGCTGGCGCCATCTTACGACATACATTGGTATTCCTCGGCCTCTCCAAAGATCTGATACACGTCCACCTTCTAAGCAAAGGAAATACTGTTCACTCAGAGGATGAACGCCGTAAATTGGCCTCGCACGCTCCTGCATTCGTGTTCGTTGTAGACCATGGGAGCCGGGCAGGACCGCCTCTTGTAGACGGAGATCACACTGGGCTTGTCATTGACCACCACCACGCTACTCCGGACGACTTTCCCGCCGGCTGTGAACATGTTACAGCGTGCGAATCGCCACCCGTTGCAACCTCCTCGCTACTCACGTGGGAGCTGTGTGAGCCTTTGCATCCTGAGGTAGTGTCTCGTTGTGACTGGCTGTGTATAGTCGGCACTCACGGCGATCTTGGCAACACGCTCAAATGGTCGCATCCATTTCCCGACATGCAGGCGACCTTGAAGAAGTACACCAAGAAGACGCTCAACGACGTCGTCTCCCTCATCAATGCGCCTCGCCGGACGGCGTCCTACGATGTCAAGTCAGCCTGGGATGCACTATGCGACACTCTAGAACCCGCAAGTATCCTCAAGAATCCCCGTCTCCTCGCTGCACGAGCCGAGGTCAACGCAGAAGTGGAGAGATGTACACATACCGCTCCCAAATTCTCGGCAGATGGCAAGGTCGCGGTCTTCAGGATCCAAAGCGAAGCGCAGGTACACCCGGTGATAGCAACCAGATGGGCCGGCCATCTTCAGAGCAAAGCGCTGGAAATGATCCTCGTCGCTAACGAGAGCTACCTACCCGGTAAGGTCAATTTCTCCTGTCGCATCCCCCGCTGTGCAAGAAGCAGAGACCCGCCCGTGGACATCATCAAGAACTTGAAAGCATACGCCAGTCTCCCAGAACCCCCGAAGGATGACCCTCTCGAGAACGACGACAAGACCACCCAAACACCAGCCGCATCCTCCGATGAACGCCCCTTACTCGAACGCCTAGGTCAGGATTTCGCGCGAGGCCATGTGCAAGCTTCCGGCGGCATTGTCTCCCATGACGAATTCGAAGAGCTCATGCGGAGGATGCAAGTGGGCGTGAAGACATCGAAGAAGGAAAAAGACAGTAGTAGTAATACGAGTCCTTCCAAGGCGAAGGCCAAGGGCAAAGATATCGATCCTGGACAGAAGAATACTCTGATGGGATATTTCGGAAGAAGTAATGCTGATTTCATGGAGTAAATTGGACGTGAACAGGGCACGCTGGGCATTGCAATCAGAAGACCTCCCGTTCATGACATTCGTTCTATTCTTCTATTGTATTCCTACAAGCTGGCCAGACAGGCGATTCCTTCCCGCCTCTTTCACTGATAATTCCCATTTCGGTGACCAGCGGTTCACACCATGTTGTTGTTCATCGTACAAACCAATCCGTTGCAATGCCTGCAGGGTCTCTCGGGCGGACGCGAGGACCAGGTCCTGTAATTCCGACGGCAGGGACCCGCGATAGCCACCTGCATCGACACAGGCGTGTCAGCGAGCGAACTCCACTACTCTATCGCGGGTACGTGCCGCGCGAATCGAGCGCTGCCCGGCCTTCGTTACGTTGACCAACTGGAGGTCGAGCAGAGGAGAACACTACTCCACGACGACCACCATACTGACCTCTTGGTCTTGGTCTGTAGCTATCAACTGGGCGAGAGTACGATTCCCACTCCAGTTCCCTCCTCCTCTGAGTCTCCTCTTCCGTTTCGTCGTCGGATCCAGAAGCTACGTCTTCGGCATGGTCGTTTCCATTTACGAGGACGCCGTCGTCTGTGGTGGCTGTCAGAGTCGTTAGTGAGCAATAAATTCTTCCAAATGTTCTCTGATGAGAGATTGACGGGGACGAGACTCACCTGCTTTTTCCGCGCCTGCGCCGACTTGGCCGCTGAACGCAGCCACGTTCTTTCCACGCGCTTTCGTATGGACCAGTTCCTCGGCCCATTTGCCTACTTTCTCAACAGCACCCAGAACATCGTCGCGGTTCTCGAGGAGGAAGTTCTGGATTTCGGCGGGTGTGAGTTTGTCCTCCGGCATCTTGGCAGCGAATTCCTTGGCAAGTGCAGGAAGGTCATATTGTTCCGCGATGTGAGAAGGCTTCTCGCCCGGGGCTGAAGAAAAAATGTGCAGGAACATCTTCTCCGTGACTTCGCTGGAGGCGTGACCGAAGAGGATCTTGCGGTCGATCCGCCCGCTGCGGACGAGGGCCGGGTCCAGGGAGTCAGGGGAGTTCGAGGTGAGAAAGAGCACACGTCCTTCAGCACTGCATGGGCCATCGATGACGTTGAGAAGACCAGCGAGTGAGACACGTGTTCTCTTGGGCGACTTGCTCTTCTTTCCCGATTGTCCCGATGTGGATGGCTTCATGCTTTCGCGTTGGATTCCTGCGGAGTCAATGTCCTCGAGCAGGACTACGCATCGAGTTGGGAGCAGATCAAACAGCTGCTCAAGTCTGTCGTCCGTGAGATCTAACATCGTCATGGAGACGATGAACACGTCCAGACTGAAGTGGCCCGCGATTGCGACGGTGAAGCTAGTCTTTCCAGTACCCGGAGGGCCGTACAGAAGGTAACCTCGACGCCACGGGATTCCGCGATTGGCATACCAAATCTTGGCAGAAGGGTGCAGATAGTCTTGCAGGTCCTGTACGATGTTCTGCTTCTTCTCCGCTTCCATCGTCACCGACTCCAAGCCACGAGGAGCACGCGAGATCGGACGATCCCACAGTTCCCCATCGCGCATGTACTTTGAGATTCGATGGATGCGAGTGAAGACTTCGTCTGCAGGTTCGGCCGTCTTGTCCACGTGATCGAGAAATGCCTTGATGATCTCGATGTCGCCGCCGAAGAGAGAGTATGTGGAGATAGTGATGTCCGATTCGCGGACCTTTGTGTGGCCTCTCATTGCTTGACCCGTGGAATCGACTAATTGTTCAGTCTGGTCAGCTTCACGAAGTATTCTCAGTTTGTAGCCGTTCCAGTAGAAGACATTCGAACCGACGGAGGGAACATAGGACAGCTCTTGGCGTTGGACGGGCTCTTCATATATACTGTTAGAGCCACGTGCGTGGACTCGTTGGTTCGAAATGCTGTGAACTGTAAGCGATCGAGTGTCGGTTTCCACGCCATTCTTGGCCATCCACGAGAGCAGAGACCCGTGGAGCGCATGGTCACCAGGAATCGTGATTCTGCCATGGAAGTGTGCAGTGAATTTGTCGAGAAGAGTGTGGAGACGAAAGCCTTGCCAGACGTGGTGATACAAGCCGTATGCGAGGACTGCAAAAGGACCAATTGTAAGCACAGCTCTTCCAAGTCTTGGGCTTGCGCGACAAAGTATGTCGATGAAGTTCCGCCATGCAATGTCAGGCGTGAGGTCGAGAACGCCAAGGGCAACACCGTCCTTAGAGCGCAAACCGGTTGCGGCACTATAGAGATTGTCCGAGATCGCCCGAAGCGGCGTGTGTGCGAGATGCGAGTTTCCGGCCATGACAGCTGAGTGGGTGTGGCAGGGGGTTTGTTGTTTGTATGTTGCTGTTCAGTTGAGTGCAGCGAAGCTACCGGAATTAGGTAGCAGTCTAGCTTGTCGCGACGGGGTCGGTGGAACGAGAGCGGATTACTGAAGGACTGTGGCGGGTTTTATTGTCGTGCTGTGTTTAGTCCTTCACTCGCACTCGTGGCTGTACTGGTGACTCTGAGGCTTGTCGAGAGAGTTCCTCGAGTGGAAGCAATAGCTTTTCATGTACTAGAACGCCTCATTGTCCATTGTCCTTGTGTCAGTGCTTTCCCTTCTGTTCTGGCCGGAGAAAGTTCTTGTTGCAGAGCGAATGAAAGCGCAGTGAAGGGTATTGTCAGTGCACTCACAGGTCTTGGCAAGATTGCCGTCTCGCGGGAAGCGAGGTGAGGCTTGCGAAGTCGGAAATTGAATGTTTGGGTATCACTGTATATAATCATAGTCTTCATAGACTGGAGAAACGAGGAGTCTAGCCGTCGCTGATGCGGACACTCTTTCTATGAGCTCTCCGTGGACGGCTATTGTCAGTTGTAGCAGGTGACTCCAAGGCACCTGTAGCTGTAGCGGTCGTCAATGCTGCCCCTTTATCGTCGAGCTGTGTCGTCGACGCGGCATCGTCCGCAGAGAGTGTTGGTTGTGAAGTCGCGGTCGATGCTGTGGACGCGGCGCTTACTTCGCCCGATTTCTTGGCGGAAGTACCCACAGGTACCGCCGTATCGGGTTTGGAGGCCGCCTTCTTACTTATCGACCTTACGGCTGCCTTGGGCTTGGCCCTCTCTTCGAGACTGATCGGTGTGGCCTCTTTAGATGCCTCCCCGCTCTCAATCATCGCGGACCCCTTGTGAGGCAGCCGCAGCGCCAGGTAGCTCTCCGGCGCTCTCCGACATCGCTTCATCACGTCCTCCATGTATTTTTGCACCTCCGCGGCTGGCTTGACCCACCGTCGAATGCAGTTCATGATTTCCTCCCTGCCATACGCAACTTCTACCATCATCGTGACCGGCTGCCAGTAGTCTCTCTCCGGATCCAGACCGGTCGAATCCACCGCGTTGCGCCCTTTGCGCACAACCACGAAGCTGACCAGCTCATGTTGCGGAGAGAGGGGTTCCAAAATGCTGTACTCTGGGAACAAGAAGCGATCCTCCGTCGCACCCTGCGTCTGGAATTCAAGGATGACCGGTAGATTCGTCGGAGGTGTCCACTGAGGTTGCTGGGTGTATGGGGTCTGAGCAGGATAGGGTGCTCTCGGCGGTGGATGTTGTGGCTGGATGGGTTGTGGGCGTGGCTGCGGCTGAAGCTGTGGCCTTTGGTCCACTGCACCATCATATGTGGCCCCATTAGACTGCTGTGGAGGCTGAGGTTGATCCTCCCGTTCACCCTTCTGCTTCGATATGATGGCGCCTAGCTCATCGATATGTCTTTGAAAAACTTTAAGTTGGTGGGACGTCGCGTTCCCTGTTGCTACTTCCTTCATAAGCGCTTTGAGCTCAGGATCCGAAGACGCGCGAGATGCTAGCATACTAATAACAGGATCTGGATTCTTTTTGTCTTGCTGACCTGAAGCTGGCGGAGATGCAGCAGGAGGTCGCTGAGGAGGTTGCTGAGGCATAAGGGGTTGCACATTCTGCATAGACTGGGGTGTTCCAGGCTGGCTCACAGGCGGCACTGGGCGATTTTGGAACTGCTGATTTGAATGTTGCAGGTATGGCTGACTTTGCGGTGGCCGGTACTGTTGTTGTCCATATTGCCCGTAAATAGGTTGATTCTGCTTTGGCCTAGGCCTCTCCTCCACGAAGACCTGTGCTACCAAGAGGTGTGGCTCAAGCCTTATCCTGCACTCCCCTTTACCCTTCATCCATTTGACCTCGGGGTTATTTGGCGGCTGCGGTTTCGCGTTCTTGCCCGTACCTTTCTCAGGCTTCACCCAATATCTCTTGAATATCCCTTCGCAGATCCACTTCTGTCGCGACCGATCGATAGCGGCTGCAAGGACATTGCTGGCTGCGATGTTCTGATACTCTTCGCTTGGAAGATGGGCTGGCTGCGGCTCGGCCACCGTGGGAAGAGGCTTGCTGTCTGCGATCTTGGATGGTAGCCTGATGCCCTTCTTTTCTGGCGCAGGAGAATCGACGGCGGGTGATCGCGTGACGGGAGTTGCGAATGCTGGCGGAGTAGGCGCCGCGGTTTTCTGCTTCTTTGCTGCTGGTGTTGCCGTCCTCGGTGGCCGCCCAGGACCTCGTTTCTCGCCAGCTTTGGGCTCCTGAGACTGCGCCATTCCTGCCTCGCTTGATGATTACCGCTTGATCATGAAGATGCAGTGTAAGCAGCAGAAACGCACTGTATGAGTGTGGACGTGAGGTGGCCCAAAGTTTGGGTATATTTGCCTCAGGCACCAACGCTTCGGAAGTTCTCCGCAAATCCACTACCCTAAGGACCACGACAGGGCAGACGACAACGTTGATGGTAGTCGCTCAACAACAACAAATCATCGCATTCAAGGGTGCTTGATCCAGCCATGCTCTCGATACCAGCTCGCACGTCCCGCCACGCGCTCCGCCGTACGCTCTTCGTACGTCAGCGACCTCAAATCGCGGCCTTCCTATCTCGCAATATTCAGCAAAAGCGACGAAACTCGACATGCGCGGTCTCCACATCCTATAATGCCCTACGACAAACAAGAGGGTCGTCGCTAGCCGAAGCGTTCTCCAACTTACGGCTCAGGGGGGCGTCAAAGCAGCAGTTCAGAGGCATGAAGGTCCGGAGCAGTGTCAAGAAGCTGTGCGATGGATGCAAGTCGGTGCGAAGAAAGGGAGGGAAATATGTGTACATCATCTGTAGCAAAAATCCAAAACACAAACAGAGGTATGTTCGACTGAATCCATAGAGTCTGGATTCTTGGCTAACCGTCTGGTAGACAAGGATGAGAGACGCATAGGCTGTATAATATTCACGAGCATTCACGGACACGGCAAATGGACTTCTCTCGGAAGAAGAGACGGATCCGAAATGAGACAGGAGGGTTCCTTCTGTAGAGGGGCCATGCTCTTAAGGTTACATTGCGTACTCATCTGGGGCGCATCTGAGGTTGATGGACTGTTTCGATACCCACGCAATGCCAAAGTCTTCACCAGTATACGATCAGCATGACAGCCGGCAATCCATTCCCAGAACTGCCATACCATCGCTACCAAGGCAAAACTGAGGCGGCGAGCCGGTGTTCACGCGACTGGCACAGGGTTATATAATCTGTCAGCATTCACGCGTCATTCTACTCTGCCAGGGAGGGTTACGGATTACTTCGGGGATACACATGAAGTTGGAATATCGCAGCATAGCGGCAGTCCTCGTCACTCGTCTCATCATACCGAATCTATTTCGTGAACCTTTTGCTGTGGCGCTCCATGGGTATCTGTAGTAGCAGCGTCACTCCCAAGAACGCCATCCAAACGGGTCATTTGCTCATCAAACGCTTTCAGTAAAACATCGACATCTTCTTTTCGCCTCTTTCCCTTGTACCTAGACTCGCGCTTCGCCTCTTGCCCTGAGATCCTGAGCATTAGCCCCCTCTCCGCATCTTTGCCGTCACCGCCTCCCCAGCTTGGTGCTGGTGCAATGTGCGTCTTCAGAGCCTGCCAATCCGGCGACAGCGAGGACGCAGACTGGACTTCTGTACCATCAGCGGAGAGGTCGAGTAATACGAATCGTTCGCTCGCAGGATCTTCTTGTTGGTTGGCGAGACTCTCGAGGGCCGCATCTGTGAGGATGTCTGGATCGTCGTCCGCGAAGACGTAGTGGACAGCAGGATGATGGTGATGCTCGCCGCTTTCAGTGCTTTCGACCACTGTAAAGAAAGGTTTGAAGTCTGGTGGTGGAAGGAGATCTTCTTCCGCATCTGGTTCTGGATATGGTACTTCTTCTTCGCCCTGTTGTGTTGTGTTTATCCCGGCTTCGGTAGACTGACCGTGCCCAGCTGGCGGATTGGAATGTCGTTGCCCATCAAATCCTGGTTCATCCGATTCGACTTTAGCCGATTGCAGCGCTCCACCTGCATGAGAAATGAAAATCCACTCTCATCCGATGCTTGCTCCCAACATACCTTCGCCGGCCGCCGAATGCAAGTCGTGCTTGGTCGTGGCCTCGTCCAGCTCCTCCTCCTGTCTTCCCTCGTACCCTCCATCTGCCTCCTTCTCTTTCGCTATCAAGCCAGCCTCTGCTACTGGCTCCTCGATCTCATGCTTAGGCGTTGACATTCTCCATCGTTGGTGCGCCCTCCGAAGGCTGATGACTGATATTTGATCGGTCGTTCGTTGAGCTTTATCGCCGATAACGCCTATCGATACAAAGCTAGACCGAATATAGTTAAAAGCCCACCCGATAGCGCAAAGCTATTCGCCGAATCTATTAATAAATGCACTTCGCTAAGCAGTGAACCGACATTAAATTCTTGATGTTGAAATGCTCGTCTTGCATTGTTTTCAACATCGTTATACGGTAGGGTAATTACGATTTGGCTCGCGTCTTGTCTTCGTCAAAATGCGTCCCGAAGAAGCCAGCAACGGCAAGCCTACCGAGGCCTCTCCTTTACTTCCCAAATCCTCGTTTCCAAGTCCACGAGCAGATGGTGGACCCTCTAATGGCACTTTCGATCACCCGGAATCCGCTGAAGCAGATGGAGGTACTCTCGAAAGGCAGACGACCACGACCAGTCTCAATCGCCTTAAGCAGTACGAAGGACTTCCCGAAGTCAAGAAACAACTTCCCATCATCTTTCCAGCCGTAGCGACTGGAGTCTTCTTGTCGGCAGCGGACCAAACGATCATTGTCTCATCTTATGGAAAGATCGGCAGCGAGCTAAATGCCCTCAGTCTCACACCATGGATTGCTACGGCATACTTCTTGACCCTCACTTCCTTCCAGCCATTGTACGGCAAGCTATCTGACATCTTTGGACGCAAAGCATGCCTTCTCTTCGGCTACACCATTTTTGGCCTGGGCTGCCTGGGATGCGGACTGGCAAGAGACATCAAAGAGCTGATTGCAGCAAGGGCGTTCGCAGGCATCGGAGGAGGAGCCATGACCACGGTTGTGAGCATCCTCCTGAGCGATATATGCACTCTGAGGGAACGAGGCCAATTCCAAGGCTATGTGAATATAATATTTGCTGCGGGAGCGAGTGCTGGCGCGCCTTTGGGAGGTCTTGCAGCCGACTACATTGGTTGGAGATGGTACGTACGAAGAGCCAATTCTTGAAGCGTACAAGACCCTGACAGCATTGTCGTTGACTTCTGTGATTCGCGATGGCACATCAGATGCTGATGGTACCCAGGGCTTTCCTCATTCAAACACCGATGTGTGCCGTTGCATTTATCGCAGTATCCTTTGCACTGCACTTACCCTCCCGCGACAGCACAGACTGGACGAAGAAGCTGCGCAGAATTGATTTTCCTGGCGCTATCGTTCTCATCAGCGCAGTCTTCACCTTACTCTTGGCTCTGGACCGTGGCAGCAATGTGAGCTGGACAGTTCCCGTCACGTACATTCCTCTGGCCATATCGATACCTCTATTCGTTGTTTTCGTTCTTGTGGAAATGAAGGTTGCCGTGGAACCATTCGCGCCCGGGCACATCATTTTCAACGGTAGCATGGTGGCTTGTTACTTGTGCAATTTCTTCTCAATGGGAGGATGGCTTGCCGCGGTCTTCTATGCACCGCTTTTCTTCCAAGCAGTAGATCACCTCTCCGCAACCGGTGCTGGCCTGCGACTCATTCCCAGCGTTATCACAGGCGTACTGGGAAGCCTTTTCGCCGGGTTCTACATGCGACGCACCGGCAAGTACTATATACTCACCATCGTAGCCTACAGTCTTCTGACTTGCGGGCTGATCGTTGTCTTCCTCTGCTCCGGGGTGGCGACTAGGAGCTCTATTGGGATCATTATTGGGATGTGTATCTGTGGGCTTGGCAACGGCAATGGTATCACCACCACTCTCATTGGCGTTATTGCCAACGCTTCCCACGAGGACCAAGCCGTTGCCACCGCTTGTACATATCTCTTCCGCTCACTCGGAAGCGTCTTTGGGGTCTCGCTTTCAGCGACGTTTGCCAATCAGTCCTTAAGGAAAAAGCTTGCGTCGGAGCTGCCTCGACTTGGTCTGCCGGAGAAAGAAGCGCTGGATATTGCAAGCAAAGTGCGGCAGAGCTTGGAGTACCTCGAGCTTTTGGATCCCAAGGTCAGAGCTGTAGTAGAGGATTGCTTTGCGAGTAGTACCACTGCCGCATTTGGGCTGCAGATTGCACTTGTATCGGGAGCAGCCATAAGCGCGTGGTTCATTGCCGAGAAGGCGCTGAGCAAATAGACTACGGCATCCTCGTATATTGGAGGGTCATCTTGGCGGATTCTATCGCTAATTTGCTGCTGTCGACCACGTTGCAGTCTCTGTCTCCTCTGAGATGCTCAAGAAGGCAATAAGTTACTGAAGTATAACGACCCTATATGTGAAGAGCGAGACCGTCGATGTGAAAACGTCTTACTGTACAAGAAGATGTATCCATTCATTAACTTTGTTATCTTGCTATATACAGAAGCTGACAAATATTCTGACCCGTTCAGCCAATCATATCACTGACACGTGCACGAGCACCCCCCTGGCCAGCGACCTCACTGTCCGTCAGCTTGTGATTCTATCTTTCATCACCACATGGCTCCAGCGCCAATGATTCTGAGCAAGCTCGGTCTGGGTCTTGCCGGCGCTGCTGGCCTCTATGCCGTTCTTTTGGGAGTCCTCCTGACTCCGCCAATGCAGAGATTGTAAGATCAAATATCGCAGAGAGACTGAAAAGCCCTACTGACCGACCACCAGTGCTCTTTATGCCCACTACTTCAATACTCTTCTTCGCGGAGATGATCTGAGCGATGGAGAAACTTTCGGATTCGCACATAATCAAGTCACGCCTTTCAATATCCAAACGTCGGATGGTGAGACTTTGTTCGCGTGGCACGTCTTGCCTCTCGACGCCTACGCCCGAAACGAGAGGAGAATTCGCGAAGAGAAACGGCCTGATCGGAGACCTGTCGATGATGTGACGAAGTCGGAGGCGTTCAAGCTGTTGACAGACGGCAACGCGAGGGTCGTTGTGAGCTGTACGTATCTCGCGATACTCCGATGAGACGAAGTTCTTCCTAACGAGGGGATGACCAAGAAGTTCACGGCAATGCTGGACACTTGGCGCAAAACTTCCGTACCGTCACGAATCGCTTCATGACCACTCAGCCGAACACTCACGTTCTGACAGTCGATTACCGGGGCTTCGGACATTCAACCGGTTCTCCGACGGAAGCTGGACTGATTGCGGATGGAATTGCGGTTGTCGACTGGGTACTGAATGTGGCAAATATCTCTCCGGAGCGGATTGTAATTCTTGGACAGAGCCTGGGCACGGCGGTTGCGAGTGCCGTGGCTCTACATTTCGCGAGTCCTGGCAATGAGCTGATACCTGGGAGTTCGAAGGAGCTTCAGCCTGTGTTGAAAGCTGACCCGACACCGAAGCCTCTCATATTCAAGGGCGTGATACTCGCTGCGCCATTCAATTCGGTCCCATCGCTACTGCTGACGTATCGCATTGGGGGCATGCTGCCGCTTCTGCTCCCGCTGCGTCCTGTGCCCTGGCTGGCGAATATCCTGACGGCACAGATGTGTGACAAGTGGCTGACCGCTGAACGCCTCACGGCGTACTATCACTCTCTCGAAAGCAGCTCCAAGCTTCGAAGTCGTTCAGGGAGCATGGGAGCTCTGCAGATTGTACATGCCGTCAATGACGCAGACATACCTTACCATCAGACAGAGATGATATGCCGACGAATATTGGGAAGGAGAGATGCTCAGAGTGCTTTGGAGCCGAGAGAGATCGATGCTAAGGATTGCATTGATGGCAGCAAAGGCGCGGCTGTGTTGGACGTCAAGAAGGAGAACATGCCTAGACTGAGGTTTGAGCTCGTAAAATATGGTGGTGAGTCAAACTTGCAAATCATCAAGACCATGCTTGCTAATATATTTCTCAGGGCATAACAGAATCATCACGTACAGCCCAGTGGCTGTCGCAGTTCTCAGAGCGTTTGATGACCTCTTTGAGTAGACCTTGTTCTTTAACTCTACCCACTTTCGTCTATTTTGCACGGATCTCACATGAAATCAAAGGGGTATTGCACTTGTATTTACCTCAAAGCCTCTGCTAATATGTAGACTCTATAGCCAGTCCGTTTCTCTTCTTGAAGGCCTTGATACTCTCTCTGCGCCTGAGCGCCCTGGTCCCACTTGCTGTCTCCCCAGTGCTCCATGGCGGTCTTCTCTAGCTCAACCGCGTTCTCGCGATCTCCGGCCTCAAAGAGCTCCCAGTAGGAAGTGGCAATGGCGCGAAGGGCATAGTCGCCTGGGTGGTAGCCATTTACGTCTCCAGAAAGCAGTCAGAATCTGCGCGCAAACTGTGTATATACCGTCCGAATATTCCCCTCCTGCGTCGTCAAGTCCCTTGGTCGAACTCGTTCTCGGCTGCGGCCATCTTGTCCCCGCCAAAAACGGTGTTGCAGAAGTTCCTGACGGCGGGCTTCTACGAGCTCCATGTCGACTACGGTGCCGAGCGGGTTCTCGAGGGCCAGAGAGATGCGCTTCTTGTCGTCGTCATCTGAGACACTTGTGTTGATTTCCTGGGTCCGACATGTTGCGTTGGGGGACACGTTGCGCGCCGGAGACTATGGAAAAAAGGACCAGCCAAAGAATTAGCAAAGAGTCCAGTGTAGCCGTTTGGCCGGATACCCACCTCTCGGGATCGAAGTAAAACGAGAGACGCAAGAGGATACGTATTGGCCTAGGACTGTTGTTGCCGTTGTTGGAGAGGTTTGGCTGCGTGCTATTGTGTTATTCGTTGTTCTCGGGCTTTGGTGTAGCCGCTTTTGTAGTAGGGTAGGTCGAGCGAGTGGAAGCAAGGAAGATAGAGGTTTATGCATCATAGCAAAGATCGCAAAGAGGTCCATATGTCTTGCTAGGCCGGATGGTCATCTACCTTCCGGTGTACGGCGATCTTTGGCTTTTGCATGTGATCGTGCGATATTGATATTTCGGAAAGCAGGAGAACAAAACGCCCATCGTCGTTAACACTAGTCGGTGATGTTGTCCTCGACCGATTGCCGTGGCTTGGCTCCCCCAAACGTCTGACATGAAGTGGCCAAGCTTTGAAGCTCGACATGTGAGTGTAAGAGTTTCACGCTTCAATAGTTCTAGCCAGAGAATCTGTGTGTAGAATCCCAGTTTGCTCGTTTGAAATCTGTGTGGTTTAGTGTTTGGACATGCTGAAAGAGTGAAGAAGCAGGGGTAGATAAACATATTTTGCAGCCAGCAACGTGTGGAGTTAAAGAGTCATAGCCACGGAAGGAAATGCTGCATTTTAAAGCAGCCCCTAGACTTCATGCGGGTGTAATGGAGGATTTTGGATACTCGTAAAGACGCACAATGTTCGAGTCCGACTGACAGGAAAGGCAGCGAGTGTTCGAAAGCTAACTTGACATTTCCATCGTCAATGCTTACTCATGAGCATAAATACAAAAATGTAGCATCATGATCTCGTTCATCACGGCCTCTCCGAGAGCCTCTCATGATTAGTTCATAATTCCATCTCAAACAGACTTTGCAAAAGCCACATAGGCGCTACTTGGGCTGTCGTAGTGGAACGTCGAGTACCAGTTCTTCAAGAAAGCATCGCCAACGACGTACAAGTTCTCAGTCGGGTCCAGGTCTCCGCCGATCACGCTGGCCAAGCAATAATTCGCCGGCAGACCACCACCGGCACCACCCAGCAGGCCATCCAGGAGCTGATCCAAGACCGAGGTGAGTGGATCACTGTCCATCTGCACACCGAGGGCGGCTGAGACGGGGAGGAACTGGAAATCGAGCTTGTTGATGGCGAACTTCTTGCCCGCGAAGCCTAGGTTAACCTGGGGCGTGGAAGAGCACGGATAGGCGATGGCGGTCATGTCTTCTCCAAGGGGGAGAGGGACGGCGCCTGGGATTTGGGTGATGAGGGAAGCGACGGCGGCAGTGGGAGCGAGGATGAGGGTAGTTCCAGTGTCAATGGCAGCCTGGCCTGCCGAGCCAGCGACAGCGGCGCCATTGCCGACAGACATGCCGTCGATGGCAACCTGCCAGTAACCCTGTTGCGTGACGGGGACGTTGGTGAAAGAGCCTGTGTATCGAGAGCTATCGCGGCCAGCAAGAGTCATCTCTGATTTGCTTTGGGTGTTGCTCTTCTCGCGACCAAGGTAGAAGGAGAACTCGGAAGGGCTCAAATTGCCCTCGTTGAGGAGAGTCATCCAGTATGGAGGCTGCTTAGATTGAGCAATGCTCTCGAAACCCATTCCCATTAAGCTATCGGCTCCAGTTCCGGAGAAGCCCTGAGCATTGGTCAAGCTGATTATGTTTTGGTGTGTGGCGGTCAAGCCAGCGATGGTAACGTCGTCGTAGTAGTTCTCTCCCATGACCATCCCGGAGCCATATGTGATAGTAGTAGTGTTGTGTTCGTCAGTACCAGACTGATCGTACTTGGTGCTACCTGAGCAACCCTGTGCGGTGCCGCATTGAGGGCCTGGGACGAAAGTGTCGCTTGAGCCAGTGTCAAAGTCGAAGGTGAAGGTCTGACCGGAGACCTGTCCCGCACCATAGTAACTAGAGCATGGTCAGGTATGAGGTAGCAGAGAAATACGTGTCCAGGGGAACGTACAGCTCGTCGACGGTGCCATCTTCAACGTCATCTGTCAAGGGTTCGTTGCTGGTGCGCTTTTGCAGTCCGGCCTTTTCGATAGCTGCTGGGAGCTCTTTCTGCGAATTGTACTTGCGCACAGCGGTCCTGATCGCGGTGAAGAAGGGAGTATAATCGATATCGCCATCTGCACGTGTCTCGTGCTGCTTGCGACTGTAAGAGATCTTCTTCGGCTGCGACTCAGGCTTTGGTGCGGCAAGCGCAAGAGCGCCCAGCGACAGGATAATAGCAGACTTCATCTTGGAGACAGAGGCATGTGATGCACAGAAGCTCTGGACGCGGAACAAGAGATCAGGTCACCAGCTTACCTTGAGGCAGGTCTTATACGATCTCCCAGGCGTTCCTGATTACCATTTCCTTCGTCCAGGTACCGAGTTCCATCCACCCAGCACGGAAATCATCTGCAAGAGCAGTCTTCAGTATCCAATGGCTGATGATGGACTTCTGTGAAAGATGCAGCCATTGCAGATGGGAACGGACGCCTCCTTGGCCTGTATGGCTTCCGCTTCCAGGACCGCGGCAGTTGACAGAAGGAGTAAGAGAAGCTGAACATCTTGCAATCTCCGCATTCTCGTTCTGCGGTTTGTACACGGTGTGGACGCTAAGCAACGCAAAGCTTCACACGGCCTGGAGACAAGAAGTGCTTTTTATTGGGATATTCTGCTGCCGCGGCTTCTTGGTCTTCCGCACAGCGCGACGCCCGGTGGCTGGTGGCGTTGTCATTCGCGGATAACGGAGAAATAGGCTCATGTGATTCAAAGTGTTCTTCGTTGATCAATGCGCTTCGTGAGCGGCTACTTGTTTTCTCCCAGGATGCCCCTGGTTGTTTCAGTCTCGGACCAGCCCAATAAGGAAGGAGCTGCTCCAGCGAGCTACGAGGCTCTCGGAGGCTGCCGACTTGCACCTCTCAGGTCATCATCAGGTTCCGCAATGCGACCTGCCCTGTGCCATGTTAATTCCTTTCAGTGCTCAGACACTGCGCCCACTTGATAACCGATCCAGACTCCACGTACACCAAACGCCCTAACTCAGACCTGAAGACTTGAAAACTTGACTACACATTAGAGGATGAAGTCGGTCCATCAACGCCAATGTCGCCGCTTTGCACCTTGCCGAGGTTCTTCAGCAAGAAACTCCTCTTGAAATAGGTGTTTGGATGTAGAATGGTGTCCAGTTCACTCGCTGGCCATAGCGACTCATCCTTCACCTGTACTTCATCGTCAGTTCTGCTCCGTCAGGCATGACACTCCGCACTTCGCACCTTTCTAATCTCGTTCTTGTGTGTGGATTCAAACACACGATTGCAGGCAATATGGTAGCGCTGCTTGCCGACGTCCTCGCGAATGGTCTTCAAGAGATCCCGGTCTGTAACTCCCACATTCTGCAACAGTGCGATCAAGTTGTCCTGGCTATAGGTTCGGTACGGACAGCCGTGGTTCTGGCCAGCCGCCGGAAGTGCCTCGGTGAGCAACTTTTGGCAGCTGTAGGGAGTGTACCCTCGTCCCCTCCGGTTGGCATCACCACCTACGTCGCCGTACGCGTGGCGTATGTTGTACAGGTACTCGGATTTGAACTTGTCTGAATTTCAGTCAGCAACAATTTGCACACCGCCATTCCCCACGGCTCTTACCATCGGTGATCAGCTTGAAGCTCCTCCTCCAAAAGGTTATACACTCTTGTAGGTTCAATCCGATGCCCTTCAGGAACAGGGTGTACTGCAGACGACCGAAATGCTTCAGATGGCTATTCTTCTTCAGCTCGCGGTGTAGGTTCTGCATGCAGAGCGGGAATTGACTACTCAGTCCGTCGATAGAAGCTGCTGTAATGTTTGCGCCATCACCGAGACTCGAGCTTTCCGCGTATTCAGCATCTGGGGCCACAAATGACTGCGAGAGGTGATGCAGTATTGGAGCGAGGCGATTATCCTCGTCCATCCGGGGTAGGAAGCGTGCTGCGAGTTCAAGGCCAGATCCCAGCTGCCGCGAGAACTCGTTGACAACCATGTTTGTCTGCTCTCGGACGTGAACATAGGCCTTGCCTTTTTTCAGCAGCACCTGCCGTCTTTCGACCAGGTCTGGTACTGCTTCCCAATCGCATTTAAACCATGTCTGCTCCTCATCTTTCTTGACATTTGTCGCGGCCTTCAAGTCGTTCAACCAGATCGACTTCTCATCGTCGCTTACGGTCTCCCATGACATAGGAAGACTTCCAATGAATTCTCGTCGCTCTCGTAGGTCTTCCTGCTGCATCCGAAGTTTGAACAATTGCGTCTCTAACCTCGCAAAACGCTGTCGCAGATCTAGTGTGCTTGCAAACGCGAGTCGCAGTGTCCAATGGCTGTAATGGTCTTTTTCTCGCTCCAACGGACTCTCACTGTTTCGCGAGCTATTGGTGGATAGCGGGAGGTGCTTGTTGAGGATGGGACGCATGTACTCTGCCGTCTCCTCAGGTGTCTTGTTGCGGAACTGGCATGCCTCCAACTCAGCCAGTACCTTCAAGCGTGCAATTGCCCATTCTTCGAATTCCTCGAGGGTCACGTCGCCGGTTGGTGGGATGACATAGAAGTTGAGACGATGGGGATAGTCCTGTTCGACGTATTTGGCACTCCCGAATTGTTGTTTCCTGGGTGCGACTGCTCGTTTCTTTGCGTCGATGCGCGGTGCGGACGATATGGCCAACATGTCTGTGGAAGTGATGTGAGAAAGATGTTGCGGTTCGTGGAAGGCGGGATGCTAACAGCTTCGCGTTTGAGAAGACGCGCACCGCGTCTCCCTGGCCTGAGGCACATCTACATCGATCCGAAAGCGAGCATTAGCGCCGCCCGCACTCTTGGCGCTCATCCACCACTTTTCGCTCTCAAGCCTGACCTCGAATCGAGCCTGCGACATCACTCTCCGACTCACTAACCCACACCAGCACACTCTCAACAGACATGGCTGACAGAGGCGGTGCTGCTCCAGGCGGAGCTCGTGGAGGATTTGCCTCGCGCGGCGATCGTGGCGGTGATCGCGGACGAGGAAGAGGAAGAGGCAGAGGTCGCCGTGGTGGTGCGAAGTCTGATGAGAAGGAATGGCAGCCTGTCACCAAGCTGGGCCGTCTCGTCAAGGCCGGCAAGATCAAGAGCATGGAAGAGATCTACCTGCACTCCCTGCCCATCAAGGAGTACCAGATCGTCGACTTCTTCCTGCCCAAGCTCAAAGACGAGGTTATGAAGGTATGGATACACATATAGAGGAATTTCTAGGCGAAACATGTGCTGACGGTATTGGAATACAGATCAAACCTGTCCAGAAGCAGACTCGTGCCGGTCAGCGCACTCGCTTCAAGGCCATCGTCGTCATTGGCGACAGCGAGGGCCACATCGGTCTCGGCATCAAGACCTCCAAGGAAGTCGCAACTGCCATCCGCGCCGCCATCATCATCGCGAAGCTCTCAGTCGTGCCAATCCGTCGTGGCTACTGGGGCACCAACCTCGGTGACCCTCACTCCATCCCAGTCAAGGAGTCCGGCAAATGCGGTTCCGTCACCGTTCGTGTAAGTCACTGCACCACCCATACTATGCCCATCTTTTTCAGTGTATTGATGCCACTCGATACAGCTCATCCCAGCTCCACGTGGTACCGGTCTGGTTGCCTCCCCAGCCGTCAAGCGTCTGTTGCAGCTGGCTGGTGTTAACGACATCTACACTGCCTCATCGGGAAGCACCAAGACCCTCGAGAACACACTCAAGGCTACTTTCACCGCCATCACCAACACCTACGGCTTCCTCACTCCCAACTTGTGGAAGGAGACCAAGCTCACGCGCTCACCACTCGAGGAGTACGCTGACGTGCTCCGCGAGGGCAAGCGCTACTAGATGCTTTCGCCTTTTTACGCTACGGATGCACGATGTGATGGATTCGCGCTAGTCGGACGGGCGCAAGGAGAAGGACAAAGAAGGACGTGCTCGTACAAAGTACGCAGACGCGCTTCGAGTAGCTTAGACCAGGAACTTCGTCTGAAGTAGGCGATCGTTATGCTTCATGCTCCACAAAGATGGTTGCGCCGAATGTTAGCATAGCTTGAGCCAAGACAAGTTCGTCAAAGCTTCTCATCACTCGAATGTTTCCATTTGATTTGGATCGCAGAGTTGACAGTGATTGCGTGACTGGGTATTGAAACCTTTCAGGACCTACTCCTAACACCTTGCTAAGGTTGCGGACTTTGCTCTCGAGTCATTTCCGCTCTTCGTCGTCCTGGCTATCTCTCTTAACATGCAAATCATCCATCAACCTCGCCAACTTCCGCTGCTGATGTTCTTCCCTCCAATTCCTCTCGACTCTCTCCGCTCCGCCGATGACTTCCACCGGCGCCGCCAGAAACGCCCTCTCCCCGTTCCTCCTCTCTTTCTCCTCCTTCCTGGCCGCCTTATCCGGCTTGAAAATCCGTCTCAAATCTTTCTTCCCCTTGCCATAATATTCCATACCCAAGAGAACAGCATACGATTTTGAAACCTTGACCCTGGACATGTCGCATCCCTGAGCTTTCAGACTCTCGATGAATGCGCGGAAAGATTTCGTCGTCGGGCGATAGTGACCGCTCAATGGGGAGAGGTAGATGAGTTGGCCATCTCTGATGCCGATGATCCCGGCGCTGCTGATGCGGGCGCCGGAGAGGAAGCTGGCGTGTTGGAAGGCACCGGAGGATTTGATTCCGATGTAGAGGCGACCGAGGGTGTCGGAGACATAGATCCACGTCCCGGGCCGGACGGAGGCGCGGAGGAGGGAGTTGAGGATTGTAGCGGGGGAGGCGTGGATTTTCTTTTTCTTCTTTTTCTTCTTTTTCTTTTGATTTTGCGATGGTATTTGAGCGGTGGAGGAGGAGTCGTCTTGAGGCGAAGTTACAGTATTATGGTCTATTGTTGCGGGTTGATGGGGCGGACTTTCGCCTGGAGAGGATGCTGAAGATGAGGAGGAGGAGGATGAAGAGGAGCTGATGTCATGGTCGCCGCGGTATGTTGTCTCGTCTCCGTGTTCCTGCACAGCATCGCGAAACATGCCCGAGACGGCGGCGAGTTTCGAAGAGAAGCCGGCGTCGGCTGAGAGCTGCCTTTTGACGTCTTCATCGTTGAAAGTGGGCTCGGAAGATCCTTTCGGCACGATACCGTGCATTGAATCCTGGTACTCCTCGACTGAGGTTGTGATAAGCTCGTTGTTCTTCGCCCAGTGAAGCTTGCCCTGCGAGTCGATCCGGACCAGGTAATCTCTCCGTTCCTCCTTGCTAAGGTAGCGAATTTTTTCTCTCTCGAGCTTTTCACGACTACATATGGGCAAGTCTTCGTGTCTACCGTCCCCGTGGTCAAGCCAATAAAAGAAATTCTGCGTCGTGCCTGACCTCTGCCATTCCTCGTGATAAACCTGTAAGTTGGCTCCATACCGATGCTTCTGGTCGACCATCTCAAGGAAATATCGCAGGTCTAGTAGCATGGAGTCCGGCTCGTTCAACTTGGATGCCTTGCTAAATCTCGAAGCCATGGTCCCCGTCGAACGAAGTGAAGGGGTCGATCTTCCAGCGCTTGCGTGTTCCGCGATTTGGCCCGCACGCCTCCAACGCAGCTTGGCCAAGTCAGAGGGTGACCGCTGTCGAGTCGGTCCTGCAGAGCTTAGATGAGGTGCTGTTGCGCTGCGGTACCTCCATTCTCGAAGAATCTCGGCCCATCTTGAAGCCGGATCCAGGGTCAGTCCTTCCAGCTGCCTACGCTCGCGATGGCCTCGGTACGCTCTTTGAATGAGTCTCGCAGCATCTTGCTCTTCTGGTGTGTGATATTTAGCGGCGATCTCTTGTTCCCTCTGCACTTGTATCTCGGAGATCCTCCTCGCTTCAGCTGCCGATGGTATTTGTAATGAGTCAAGGTATTCCTTATGCGACAGTGCGCGTGGTCTAGACATGCTTTCGGTGTCCATATGTTCCATTGAAAAGAGAGAATATAGGTGAGAAACCGGATATGTCGCTGCCTGCGTTACCATGTCGACCTACGCAATGTTTCGGGTCTCACTGGAAGACTTCCTGGCTGTAGATGCAGGTACGACTCGGGCATCCTGGTACGTACCCAAGCGTGACGATGATAGTGACTAAACAGCAGCAGGTGAGCAGCAAACAAGATCCACCATGTTGCTATTGTCTCGGTAGATTTGCGCGGGGATGGGGGCATTGAGGGCTCAGTGCTTCCACAGCGTCAGCGTGTGTCCAAAGAAGCCGCCGAAAGGACGGAGCTCCGGATCTATATAACGGATATTCACTTAGGATTCTAGGATTTCAGGATATTAGGGTTTGCTAGGCCCTCTACTACTAAATCTTTATTAAGGCTTAATAAAAATTTATAGGCTCTATATTAAAATTTACTTATAACTAATATATATCTCTTCTAAGAGAGAATAGGCCTATAAAACTAGCCTAGAAATAAATATATTTTTAAGAGGCCTAGTAGAGGCGAGACCTATAGAGAAGAGATCTATAAAAGGAAGAGATTTACGAAAACAAGAGTCTTACGATATAGAGAAGAGAAGAGATCTATAGAGAGGAGAGAAGAGACTAGTAAAGAGAGAGACTAGTAGAGAGAGAGACTAGTAGAGAGAAGAGACTAGTAGAGAGAAGAGAAGGGACTTATAAAGAAGAGAGGAGAGACTAGTAGAGAGAAAGGCCTAGAGCCGTAATAGAGATTACTACTAGCTATACTAGAATATACGTAGGATAAGGAGCATAAATTTTAAATCGCGAAATCCTAGAATCCTAAAATCCCGAGATCCTGAAATCCTAACTGAAATGTCCGTTATATAGATCCGGAGCTCCTTAGAAAGCGCAGACTATGGACGGTTGCGCAAGCGCTACAGCGTGTCTGGTCGGTGCACCACAGCGCCGAAGATCTGGCATGCGATGCAAACACGAAGCAAGGCACTGCACAGCTTATCTCAACTACAGTGTTGTCAAAGCATGGTATCTTCGTTGGCAAGCCACACAGAATTCGGCCATATTTCTTTCGTTTGGACGCACAGCCATCCCGGGCGACCCCTCGCTGCATGATATGACATTGGTGCTCGGTTCGTACTTCTTCGGTGCTGTATAGGGCAACCTTAAATGGGAGCTTTGAATGGCTCGCAGGCATCGAACAAACGAGCTTCGTCCAGCACTGAAACAGCTTTCCGCTTCGAACAAGATTCTGTTTGCACGTGATAGCGCTAGAGTATAGAGTTTGCGGGCCGCCCGAGCGGGTCTCGTCCCGTTCCAGGATCCAGGTCGCAGGTTACTCTGACGTTGGTTCATTCGAGCTTCATCTCTTCCAACTTCTAATCTTCACGAAAACACCAACGCGTCTTTCTGTTGCACGAAATCATTTCGCGTCTTGCCTCCCACAGCTCATCACAACCCCATTATTCCTTCTTCAGACTGTCTTCATTCACAAGCAGCGCCGTCAAACAGCATGCCACCCAAGAAAAAGGGCGCTGCTCCGGCGAAGGCCAAAGCGACCGAGGCGACACGCGCAACCGCACCAACAATTCCATCTACAATTACCACCAACCGTGGTAAAGAGATTGAGACTACGGCTGCTGCTACTCGTCCAAAGCGTGAGACGGTACCTGCTGCAGCTGCCGCTTCAGCTCCGAAGAAACCTGCAGGTGACTAGTTCATGGACCTTCATTATTAGCATTGATGTTAACGCGTTACAGGCACGAAGCGTGGCCGCTCTACCTCTGACGTCAACAAGGAACCACCAACGAAGCGTGGCCGTCCGTCTGAGGCTGCCACTGACGAGGAGAACTTAGCCCCGGCTCCTACCAAGCGTGGCCCTGGACGTCCACCAAAGAACGCCTCTGCCTCAAAGGCTGTTCCGGAGGAGGACCCCGCCCCGGTCCCTGCCAAGCGCGGGCCCGGACGTCCACCAAAGGCCGCGTCTGCTGCTAAGGCTGCCCCAGTCCCCAAGTCGACTGCTGCGGGCAAGAAGCGAGGCCGTCCTACCAAACATGAGGATGAGGATGAACCACCAAATGACAACGAAGACGACGAGGAGCAGCCAGAGGAAGAGGCCGAATTGAAAGAACCGCAACCTAAACGCGGTCGTACCGCCAGGGCCGCCGCTGCTACTCAGAAGAAGGACGCGCCTGCCGTTCCCGAGAATGAGGCCGCTCCACCGAAGCGTCGCGGTCGTCCGCCAAAAGGTGGCGAGACGACACGCATCTCGCGCGATGACGAGGCCGCCGCTGAACAGTTGGAAGACGAGCTGATCGAGACTGCTGATGAGAAGACTGGCGCCGCTAGCAATCGTAAGAGCAAAGCTCCTCTTACGAAGAAGGGAAAGGGGAAAGCTGCTCAGGAAGTACCCATCGACACGAAAAGTGACGAGGGCGAGCAGAGTGAACGTGGCAAGAAGTACTGGCTGATGAAAGCTGAGCAGGAGGGCCATGACGTGCCCATCCAAGCTGGAGGCACGTTCAACACCACTTTCACTATCGACGACCTCCGCAGCAAGACCGAGCCTGAGCCTTGGGATGGTGAGCATAACATTTTCTCCCTGATGGAAGCTTATTCACTAACAACACATAGGAGTGCGCAACCCTAGCGCTGCGAAGAACATGAGAGATATGAAGAAGGGCGATCTGGCATTCTTCTACGCTAGTGGGGGCAAGAATCCTGGTATGTTCCGCAGCAGAGACAAAGCTGTCTCCATGCTTCATGCTTCAGCGTCGCTAATCTTCCACTGTTTTTCCAGGTATCGTGGGTATCATGGAAATTGTTCAGGAAGCCTCTCCCGATGAGACTGCCTGGAACAAGTCCACCGCCGGCTTCGTGGAGAAGGAAAAGGACCGCGACAAATGGTGCGTCGTCCACGTCGTCTTCCGCAAGAAGCTGTCCAAACCAGTCTATCGAAGCGAACTCCAGAAGCATCTGGGCGACGGTTCGCTCAACAAGATGCAAGAATTCAAGGCAGCCCGCCTCAGCGTCTCCAAGGTCTCTGAAGATGAATGGAACTTCATCACAGAGAACCTCGTTGAGGGCTACGAGGATGGTAATGATGACGAGGCCACCGATGGTATGCCCCAGGTCCCAGCTGGTCCAAAGGATCCAAAGGATCCAGGCCCTCCAAACGGCGTCGAGGCTGCTGCTGACGCTGTTGCTGTCGGTGCTACCGATGCAACTGCAACGACCACGACGAAGACGCCGAACGACGAAACAGCCATTCAAGAAACTACCGCTGTCAAGGAGTCCGTTCCCCCAAACGATGTACCCGCCATTATGCAGTCTACTGAGGCCGAGCAGCCCATGACCGACATTCCAGCCGCGACCTCTGCCACTTCTCGCCGAACCTCTCGTGCCGAATCCCGTCAGCCGTCGGTCAAACCAGGTGGCTCTCGCGCAGGGTCTCGCGTAGGGAGCCTGGCACCACCAGCTGCCACGTCCTCTCGTCCAGGCTCAAGCGCTGGAGCTCGTGCTCGTAGCCGTACGCCCAAGCCGAACACGGCAGCTGCAGCTGTGGAGGAGTCCACTGTCATGCAGACTGTTGTTGAGGAAGAGCACCTCGCTCCCGCCTAGGAGCGCTCCAGCGGCAATTGCCGGCATCGGGTTGAGTCTCGCGGCAACACACGCAATGATGTGCTACCAGAGGTGTCTCTTGCTCTGTCCTGATTTACCCTTCTCTGCGAAGCGTGCCCAATGCCCTCCAAGACGTCGAACGTGTCCTCGTTGAACTTCGAACACTAGAGCACCTTACTGGCGTCGCAGCAACTGCGGGCGACCAAGACGAGGAAGATGTTACGGGCTTCCTTTGCTTTTTCTCTTTTCACTGCTGATATCATGCAAGAGGCAGGGTAACGGATGGATAACGGCGAAAGAAGGCGTTGAATTGCAGCGAATGTGCTCTGCAACAAGATACCCCAATACGAGACCTTCTCTGTACTTTAGCTTACGGTACCACGGAATGACGGGACGTGCTTTCCACAAACCTTTGATGCCAAAATCGATATCTTGTGTCCGCTCTGATGCTGCGCTATGCTATGCTATGCTATGCTATGCTTTGTGAGAATGCCGGGAACTTGCTTGTTGTGTCCACTTGTTTCCGAGCGCCATCGCTGTGCGAATGCATCAACTATCGTCTCTTCCTTCTAAAAGCCATCTGGCTTTCCGCTTCATCATCATCATCGCTCATTCCAAGAGTCTGCGCTCTCCTCTTCGCAGCAGCACTCGTAGCAGCGGCTCTCGACTTCTTCGCCGGCGGTCCCATTCCAGTGTCTAATTTCGCCTGTGCAGCGGGTCTCTTCCTCACTCCATTGTCACTCCTGAGCGTCTGACTGGCACTCGAAGGAAACCCACTACCGCGCTCAACTTCCTCGAAAGCTTTCTCCGCCAACTCATCTTCGCGATCTTCTTCTCTCGAGACTCTGATCCGCCGGCGGAAAGCTTGCGTGTCATCTTCTTCTTCCGCATCGGAAAGCACCTGAGTTCCGTTTTGTAGGGAAATGGCATGGCCTGACTGGCGATGTTGAGAAACCTCCGCACGCAGATTATTCCGTTGGGAGTCCTCAGTTTGAACGTGACGGCCTTTCTTGCGAGCACGATCTGCCCCTTCCTCGAGCCAGTAATCATCGCCCATTCCGTGAGACTTTCCAGGAATCTCTTCCAGGGATATGTAGCTCCTCTGACTGTCCAGATCGCGAGGACGTGGAGCGCCAGGTGTACCATCGGCCCTTTTCTTGTTTGAACGGAACCGTTTGAAGTTCTTCCGGCCATTCCAGGAAGGATTATGAAAATTCTGTTGACTTTCCTGTCGTTGACCCGGAGATCGAATCTGAACGTCGAATGTCTCAACAACAGGGTCAAGTCTTTCCACCGGCTCATCTCCAGCGCGTTGTAAAGCTTCTTCGTCAAGACGTCGCTGTTCGTCCTCTTCTTCGCGCTTGGCACGGAGTTTCTTGATGTCTTCAGACTCGGTCTTGACTCTGCTCTTGCCGGTCTTGACCTTTCCCTTTTTGTCTTTGGCCGAGTCTTCTTTGCTTGAACGATCTGGTTCCGGACTGGGTCTCATGAACGACTTGTGGCCTTTCTTCAGCGCTTCTGTTCGGCGACGCTTCAGAGCTGCTTGACCAGGCAGTTCGGCGTCTTCGTCTGCAAGTTCTTCGACTGCTGGACGCTTTCGTGTGCTCTTCTTGTCCGTGTTGTTGTGTGGCTGTGAAGGCTCATCAACTTCCATGCTACCAGCTGCCTGGCTGGGCTGCACCGAACGCTTGGGCTCCTCATCAGATTCAGAATCAGAGGAATCGGCTTTGGCGATCTGGCTTGGATCAAAATCATCGAAGCCTTGGAATCGAGACCGAGTAATGGTACGTCGTGCTTTGTACGTAGGGTTTTCTTCAGGCTCCTGACCCGGTGCCGGCTCCTCCTGTTGTGGCTGTGGAGCCGAGCGTGTTGGGCGCTGGCTCTCCGGGGGCGAATCTGGGATAGTAACGATCTCCCCATCTCGCGGAGGCCGAACGCTGGAGTCAGCTGGGAGTCGGGGTGCACGCGACGAATCCGGCGGGGCATCGCTCATTTCCTGATTTTGTGTAGCTTGCTTTAGAGGCGTCCGAAAGTTGCTAGTATCCTTCATCAATATCGCATCAAGGAACTCATTTTGCGCAACAATTCGTTGCCCGATCGCCACACAAATGCTTTCGAGGTCGGAGCCAGCCCCATGGTCAGTCAACCTGATAACCACAATGCCTCCCGGTCCAGGTTCTTGGCTAATCGGGTATAAACCATTGTTCTTCTTTCTAACGAGCCCTCTAGCAAAGTCGTCAACTTCTTGGGGCTTCGTTCTGCCCAACTCGTAGGGAAACAGCGTGGCTTTCCCACCACCAGCCGTTACCACCGGTAAGAACTGATCATGCTGGCTTTCACTCAAGAAGATGAAGGTGAACCCAGCGAATATGTCCGCCCTCTCTGAATCTGGCTTCAGATATTCGTTCGGCCGGGGCGTCGGTTCTCCGGCTGTGGGTACCAGATAATCCTCCTCTTTGGGCCAGTACTTGTCAAAGTCTTCTTCCAGCAGGCTAACTTTCTCGCCGCTCTCCCTCGGCTTTGCAGCCTCAACCAACCGGCCCACCCAACTGTCCGTCACTATCCAACGTCCCTGTAGAAGCGCTTGTAAACCCTGAATCGTATTTCTCTTCTTGGAGACCACATGCGTGGTATTCTGCATCAGATACTCGGTCACCAGCTTCACATCGCTTCCCACCAATCTCTCCTTCTCGCTCCGAACAGTTCCCTTCTTCCCAATGAGACTCAGCACTATAGGTTTCCACTCCAATTTGAAGACCGCATCCAATGATCCCAACCGGATCTCGAATGCTGTAGTATTCCTCACATCCAGCACTTTCTCTTCGGCCTTGACCACTTCCCCGTTGATATTGGTCCCGCTCTTACTGCCCTCAACGACTGTTACCCCACTCTTCTTGAATACTTTTCCGCTGTCTCCTTCCTCGACATCGTGGACCTTGACCTGAAGATGTTGTCTCGACACAGCCTTATAGTCGATGAAGTGAAGCTGCAGGCCGTCGAGGGTCGCTCGATTTGAATTGCGACCAAGTAAGTGGGAGGTACCTGGCCGCAGCCAGATGCGCTTACCGCCTAAGAAAGGCTGGTCGCAGGAGAGAATCCACATTGTCGCTGTGGATCATCATGCAATCGAGGGTGGTAGACAGTGTTGGGCGTTGTGCAACTGAGCTGAGGAGGATGTCTTCGATTTCAAGACTGGGAGATGGAGATTGAGTGCAGGCAGCACCGTTAAAACGATTAAGCGAGACGCGCCGGGACACGCGAAAACACGTGATGTAGGCGTATGTTCACTTCCTTCGGTTGAGACAGTTGAAGTGACTAGAGGAGAGCTTCGACGTGGACTTCGGTATGTGCATCTGTCGAATTGACGAACGCTATGCTACGCGATGCAAAAGGATGGCTCCAAGCTCCAAATTAAATGAACGCCTTCGCTAATACCAAGAGTGTCGTAAAGTCCCAGACAATGACCCAAACGAGTCGTCAAGACCGTCAAGACCGTCATGAATATCATGCAAATCATGCAAATCATCCCTTCCAAACGACTGAGACTTTTCTCCAAGCCAAGCTGAGAGCCCGCTAAGCGCCTCCCGCATCCGCGCCAACACTTCCATCATCGCCGCCCTCGAGCACCTCCGGGACACTGCCCTCCGTGTCCTTCTCTCCCTGGCGGTTATCCGTATCCTTGAGCGTCTTCGGCGGCGCCATCTGCGCCTGGAACTGATGCCAACAGTTAGGTGCCTGCAAAACATACTGCATCATGGAAACCCGGAACCGGTTCCGATAATCCTTGGGGCTCGTGATTGTAGGTTTGTTCTTTCCCCGGTCCTTGATCCAGCTTTCTAGCTTCTTGTCCCAGGTATATGTACGGATGCAGTCGATGATGCCCACAATCAGTTCTTTGCGCTGGTCGTCGAATCCGGCCATCAAAGAATAGTCCATCACGTTCTGCTTGCAAAGCCAAAGTGTGTCGTTGAAGACGCTGGCCTGTAGCAACTTCCGGCTATGTTCGCGGACAAAGAGCGGCCTCTCGAAGATTGTCTCGACCAAATTTTCATCAAGAAGCACCTCATCCGCTTGTCCTGTGCTCTCGATCTTTCGATTGCGCATGCTTCCCTTCAGATCAAAACGGCGATTCGGATTGCGCTCATAGAATAGATTCTCCATGACCAGAAGGTAGTAGGAGAAGTCGACACCGGTATTTGGGTTGCGAATGTTGACTTGGAACACACCAAACATTTTTGCAATCACACTAGGTACGCCATGGAAGAGAGCGTAGCTCATGAAATTGAAGTAGTCCGGCGCAAACTTGGTGAACGCTTTGAGTTCAACTTCCTGTAAGCTTTTGATGATGAACCGGTTGTCCAATGTGCGCAGGAATAGCGACTTTGTCTTTCCACCTTTGGAGTCGAATTTTAGACAGCGGGACATCGACTCTATAAAGCGATCGGCGACACCGCACTTCCGGCGAAGAGCGTCGAAAGACTCGGCGTAGAATATCTTGCAGGACGCCTTGACAGGCCCATGGCTGAACGAGTATTTCATGTGCGTCCCTGTGTCACTAAGTAGAGACGCCTCAATCGCTTCGCGTTGCTCCTGGCTTGGACCAACTGCAGAAGCCTGTGAGTGGGTGTGTGCATGCCCATGCTTCGCCAGAGGTGCCTTGCTTGGATGGCTGCGGAACTCCTTTACTTTGTTCTTGTAGTCCGGAGATGCCAAGGAGAGTGCAATAATAGAAGATGGCTCATCCTCACGAACCACGATGTCAGAGTCTTCGAAAACATGCTCATTGCTGTGAAGCGGGTATTCGAGATTAGCCCAACCAGATGCAGACCGCTTCGACCAGAAGTCGGAGAGGTAGTTAAACCACTGGCTCTTCTTGTGGTCAGTGATTGTTATTTCAGGCAACTCCGTCTCTTGTTCCACCGGTGGCGAGACGATAGATGGGCTACCAGACGTGAGATCGGACCCATCACGAGGACGCGTGGATAAGCGCTTCGACTCGCTGGTATCGCCTTCGACTTCTTCACTGCTCTTGTGGCTTGGCTCGGCTGCCGCATCCTCTCCTCCTGTCTTGTCAGACGTTAGAGACTTGTCATCCTGCTCGGCCACAGAATTGTCCTCGGGCTGAAGTTTCGAGACAAATTCGTCCATATACTCTCTTGCAGTCTTGTCGTCTTGAGTCTCTTTGTCTTGGCCTGTCTTTTCTGTGGACCGTTCCCCCACTGCATCCGTTGCGTTGTGGTACACTTCTACTACAGGTCTGCTGCTCGCCGGTGGATTGGCCCGGTGTTGGCGACTTTTCTGATTACGCTCGCGCCTTTCCTTTAGACGTTCCTTCTCGAACTCTTTCGACAACGTCTCAAAATGCTTAGCCAATGCAGATACGCTCGATATGTTGATACTGCCATCCTCGTTCCTGTGAGGAATTGATCTCGGAATGAATGAGGGTGCAACTTTGCCAACCTTACTGGCTAGGCGACCCATACCCAACCTGTCAGCCAACCGCTTCTCAGCTATTTGGAGATCACCGTTGTTGTTTGCCGACCAGGACGCAACAGAATCGATGGAGCGGTCGGACAGATCTGCACTTCTACGCGGTACGTGACCAGGTTGAGACTGAGCACGGAGCAAAGGAGGCGGCGTTGGATGAGGAGCTGGGCTTGCTTCACGTTTCTTGAGATCCGCAAGTCTGGGTATCTTGGACTCCATGGCTTCCGGGTCCGCACTTCCTGCCGCACGATGGCTCCTAATCTGCTCGATGCGCTCTAAGAGTCCAGAACTTAGCGGCTTAGGTTGCGTCGCAAATGGTTCGTCGCGCTGGCCCTGCTCAGGATTTGGGGTAGTGATGATTGGAGATAGGTCCGCGAGTCTAGGACTATCGTCGTTTGATGCATGACTGGGCGACTGAGAAGAAACAGCAAGGTCCAAGTGCTTGACCTCGTTGCGCTCAACAGCTTGCTCCTGATCTTGGCAGGGTGACATCTCGCGCGTGAGCCCACTTCCTGAGCCCTGCGCGCTATCATTGCTCGTAACGGCCTTCAAAGTTTCGCCCTCGTCTTTGTCTGCTTTGTGCTCCTCAACTACAGAAGTCAGCGCGTTTTGAGCGATCTCGTCTTCTGTCTGTCGACGTGGTGTTCCCTGCTTCTTGACAGACGTCATCTCTGTGCCTTCCTCAGTGTCGCTATTATCCCGTGATGGGTCTGACTCGACAAACATATTGCGCAGTTGAAGCGCGGCGAGCTTTCGAATGTCCGTCTCGGAAGGAAAGTAATCCCGTTCAAAGTCATTGAACGCTTGATCCCACTCCAAAGCCTTTTCATCCATGAATCTCAGCGCTCGATTCAGCGGGATCAACTCGAAGTAACGCGACCCAGCATACTTTCGCTGCAGTTTGGCGAGTAACTCTTCGTGGTCTTCCTCTACCTTCTGTCGTAACTTTTCAAGGACAGCATAAGCTTCTTGTGCCTTTTGGTCCTCAAGGGTATCGACGTTGATCGTACTTAACCTCTTCCTCAATGACTCAGTGAAAGCGTTCAGCCGTTTCTCTAGGCTGGTATATTGCTCGTTCTTGGTGATGAGATCCGCCTCAACTTTCCACGTGACTCTACCACGAGGGACTACGACGTCGTAGATATCGATGGCATCGTACTGAAAGCGCACGACCATGTTCTGGTAGCCAAAACATCGCAGGAAGTCTTTGTGAATATCGTGCTTGCAAAGTCCAGCACGAGGATGCAAAGAGCTGCTCCAGAAGCTGAGCTCTAGATACTTCGCGAATGAATATTTCCACGTATGATCGGACATCGGTGTTACGGTGGTCTCCTGACGACAGATCCGACATGTAGACCACATCAGGATTGTATCTGCGTAGCCTCTCATCTTCGCTGGCTGACGCTGGATCGAGACGGTCAATTGTCCATAACCATGGACATACTGCCGATGATGATCGGACATCTTCTTGTTGCATTCCTTGCAGGTACTGTTTGCATGCAGACAGAGATCCTCAATATATTGACCAAACGGAATGTCTTCTTCTGTGTATTCATCCAACGTGTGCATTGCAGCGTAGAATCCAATGCCGAAAAGCTCAGGTCCGGTACAAGGCGCCGAAGTGATGCTCGATACAGTCGAGTACAGGACCATGATCTGTTGATGCGAGAAGGGATCAAACGGATCGATTTGGCCACCCAAGAAGGACTGCCACTGGCGCTCCTGGACTTCGTAGGTGTGCTTTGCTTTCTCAAACTGTGCTTCATGAACCGCGTGCAGATACTCGCGTACCGCTTTCGGCTGATCCTTGGATGGCGGCGCGAGCACCATCTCCGGCTGCACAAGTTTGAAGTCCATGTTAACCGGACCATCCTCGTCTTCATCCTGCCCATCGCCTTCTTCATCAGCTTGCGCATACTTATCCCTGAGCATCTTGTATGTGGCTAGGCGTCGCTCCAGATCACGAAGTTGCGTCAGCATGTAAGGCTGCATGAAAACCACGAATGGCGATGCGGAAAGAATTCGCTTCCGAGTTTCTTTCTCAAAATCTTCATACTTGAAGTGGATCTCCTCATCATCAAAGTCATGCCCTAGCGTCTCTCTTATCGACTTTTGAGCCTCATCAATGTTGTATGCCGTAGGATCTCGCCAACTCAATGTCTGATCGTGGGCCTCGATTTGGCTTTGGGCAGTGTGAGGGATGGAGACGAATTCGTCGCGCATGAGGTAGTTCTCGAGCTTAAGATTGTATGCCACATAGCACATGAACTCGGTGATTCTTTTGATTTCGCGCAAAGTCTTTGTGTCTGCGCCCCTCAGTACGATAGTGCAACCCAGATCAGGCTCACAGCCAGAAAGGTAGATGTAACTTTTCCGGATACCGTCAGAGACATAAGCTCTGACCTCGAAGCTGTCGCAACGCCCAAGGTGTGAAGGATCAATGCCGAGCTTGTCGATGGACGTGATCATTCGAGTCTGTGTGACTCTAGCGACAGCAGCGAGGACAGCCTGCTTGACGTTATACGCAACTGTGATGCCAGCCTTTTCCAAGAGGCGCAAGGCAAGGCCTGACACGTGCTTTTGAACAAGCAACACACTGGGTCGGAGGGCGGCAATTCTGTTGACAATGTTCTCAAGGTACTCTTGCTCTTGAGCAATCACCGGCTCGAGACTCATGAAGTGCGCCTCATGGCGAGCATACTCAATTGCGAACGTGACGACCGCGATTCGTGGGTTGCGTATAGATCGGGACATGGTCTTGAGGGCAATGTTCTTGCTGAAGACTACGCCGGAAACGTAGCTCGTGTCCCCAGGCCTGCCCCCAGGGACCTTCTTGAGCTTGATGTAGTTCCTGATGTCCATGTCGTCGCCGGCTTGCACATCGGGTTCAACGTCATCCGTGCACTGCAGCAATATTGGCATTAATGCTTTCTCCCATGCAGACACATGGGGAATGTGGTGATCACGTAAGTGCTGCAAAAGGAGCTTCTTGACGTGCTCAAGGCTTGCGGGATAAAGCTCAACATCATCCCGCTCGGCACTGTGCAGCGAATGCAAAGCTGAACTGGGAACGACCTTCGCATGAGACTGCTTCGTTGCAGTGAGCGGCGATGATGGCGTTGGTTCGGACGAGTCTGGCTCCACTGAGCTCAACAGCATGTTGCTGCGAATCCTTTTGGGGGAAGGTCGATTGTAACCCATGGACCCATTGCTGAGATTCCGATTGCGCATGAGCTTCTGTCCTTGTTTAACGGAGTGCGCAAGTCCATCTTCTTCCCTCATGCCTCTAGTGCTCGATGGTGCGGTGCCTTTGTCGCCTGCTTTCGACCGGTTCTTCTTCAGCGCCGAGGCAAATATGCCACTTAGACCAGTTTTATCGCGATCTGCCGGAGATACTCCCGTGCCATCGCTTACGGCGGACATGATACTTGGCTGTTCCTCATCATCGGAGCCATCGTCTGACAGGAAAGCGGCCAGATCTGGGTCGATAATGCTGTCATGGTGGAATGTGGACATGGAGGACTTCTTGTCCGGATCAAAAGTAGCGTCTTGGTGGAAAGGGCCTCGTTCCACATCGATGCTCGACCGCAGCCCACGACCAAGCTGATGACGTGAATGCCGGCGGCGGTGGCTGGAGGATCGAGGTCGCCGGCTCAAAGATATAAGAGAGTGAGCAGAGCTGGGGCGTGCAAGTGTGGGCTGTGTGTCAAATTCAATCACAGCGGAACGACGCTTGGCTTCACGGTTGCGACGAGAGACGGGAATACCGATGGAGGGCGTTGTGACCTCTGCATCTGTTCTACTAAAGCCCGGGCCACTGAAATGACCAAGTAAATCATCGCTGAGATGTGGATTTGAGGGAATATAAGGGCTTCGAGTGTAGTCATCGTCGTCGGAGAATACGGTGGAATCATCGTCGCTGTTGAATATCATTTCCTCGCAGGGTCGACACAGCCGAACGGTCCCAGGCTGTCCGAATGGCCTTCCGGGGGTGAGAATGGTGCATTTTGCGTCGAAGATCTGACCACATGTTCGACAGTGATGCTTGCGCCGAAAGGTCGAAAAGCTCTGTCCACAGGAGAAGCAGACCTTGGCATTGTCATCCTTCATCCAGAAGTCCTTGCTTAGCACCCGTCGCCTGAGGTGAGACGACACACTACGTGTCGACGCTGTAGGCAGGGATTTCAAGTCAGTCCTTCTGCGTTGGAAACCTGAATTGAGATTGGGAGAAGGTTCCAAAGTTGGCCGTCGTAGAGTTGATTGTGAGCTGCTAATTGACATGGTATCAACGCCATCCGTAGTTGAAGAAGCTCGCGACGGTTCGAAACCAGGAAGGTGAGAGGGCCCCACGGAGACCATCGGTGGACTCTGCATCGTCGGATCTGAAGTCTTTGACCTGTGCTCTCTTGCTCTAGTACCGCGACTTGTAATGTTAACCTGGGGAACAGCTAGCATGTCACTGTGTTCCTCACCGCCGTCAGAATCATCAATGGCGCGCTCCAGGCCTGGCTCTTGCACATGGCTCGGTCGACCTGCTAATGATATTTCTGGATGTGATAGACCACGAGCCAAGGAGGTCGGGGGAGCTTCATGTAAATCACTGTCCGCCCAAGCGTTCCTTGTCCTATCGATTTCTTCTCTGAAGGGCGCATCTTCAGCTCTTTTGGATGATTTAGGTGGAGGGCCACTCTCCTTGGTCTTGTCTGCAGATTCGCTCGGCGTAATTAAGGGAATTGGTTTGCCATCTAAAGTGTGCAGCTTTGGCGTGCTCGACCTGACAGCGACGCCGTCGCCGTTGGCTGTACCATGTTGGACGACGGGCGAAGCGGGGAGACTCAGTGAGACAGCCGAAGCCGTATCAGGGGTTGGTCTTTTCACATTGAGTCCCACGTTGCTAGTCCGACTCGCGTTCGGCGAAGAAGTCGAAGGTATCGAAGATGTTTCTACCGAGTCTTTCGAGCCGCTGCTCTTGGGTCTAGTCTTGCCTTCTTTTGAGGAACCACCTCCCGATCCAACAGACTGCTTCAAGCGATGGTATATTCCAGTGACACCGTTCGTCACCAGCTCCTTCGGCCCTTTGCCGCTCCCCTCCCCGTCGAAATCATGGAAGGAAGTGAGTGTTTCTGACTTGGATGCCTCGGTATGGATGTCGTCCAGCGCCTGGGCCAGCACATCTTTGTCCACCGCGGCGGCCCCACGTGATGCTATGGATGCCAACGAGCCTCTACGAGACCTGCCGCCAAGAAAAGGTAGGAGGGTGGAGGAGGCGGATGGAGGAGATGTCTCAAGAGCCATGTCGGTTGGCAAACAACGGCGGACGGTGTTGCAATGATGACGCGAACCTCATGTCGAGAGCGTCGATTTCCTTGTCGCGGGAGTGTAGATGAGCTGTTCTGTGATGCACGTGTAAAGCTGTACGGGTATGGCCATATGGTCTGACGACGGGACGGCGGGCGTGAGGGTGGCTCCGTTGTTCTGTTCCGGATGCTTCCACCTCACAGTAGTAGGAGTAGTAGTAGTCACTGCTCATCACGCACGTGTCCCTCACCTCGCTGCAAGCTTCCTGCCGTTTCCATTTCAGCTGACTGACGTCCTTCCAGTTGGTCGGCAGGGGTCGGCTCGGCACGCGGCCATCGGTCGGGACTCGCCGAGTACGAAACCGAGAACACGCGACTGGACTTCCACGACGCTTTCACATGCAACCCACACACTACTACTTCACTCACCACTCTCCCGCTCTAAAGGCTTCGGCTAAGCCTCCGCGCGTATCTGCACGGTACAGATATGCGACGCCCTTTACGCTTCAGCCGAAGCTATGGGAAAGGCGTCACTTGAGCCGTGGCTCGCCGACTTTCTATGGGGAGAAATTGCCGCCGTCATTTCGTGGAAGAAGCACCTCAGTACCAGCGGCGTGAAGCCGGACCCAGATGGGCGATTCAGTGACGATGGGAGCAGCTTCAGGTGCCACAATCACAGCGACCCAGGCCACGTGGTGCAGCTAATCACGGTATGGGGACTGGTAGTCCACCCACGCGTTCCTTCACTTGCTAATACGCGTCTCCCAGGTGTTGTCGCTGAAAGATGGCGCAACCGTGCTTCTTTCGGATGGCGAAATCAGCATCAAGGCGCGTCTCTCTGAAAGCGTTGTTGCGCTGCTAGAAGAGGAGACCGAGCAGAAGTTCGGCCATGACACCGTCCACGACGTGTTCCAATTGAAGGACTTCACCGTGGTCAGCACCACATATGGCCCTGAGGATGGCCTTGTGCAGCTTTCGGTCGACAACATCGAATATGAACATCATCTGCGTAAGACCAAAGGCAATCCAATGCCCGTGCAGGAAGCCGAACTCATCCTGCAGCTTATCCATGATATCGAGCAACTGCGCTGTCCTCAACCAGCAGCAGAAGACCATGACGAGGCGACTCAAGATTTGGAAGATCAATCTGGGCAAGTCTCACACCCGAACCAAATCGCCCCCGTTCAAGCAGTTCCAACGATCGCGGTTCCAAGAAGTTCTATGGCTGCACCGGCATCTACATCGAAAGCACAATCCCAGATCTCCCCACGCGCACCAATGCAGTCTCAATCCGCAGGGCTTGCGCCCTGCAGAGCATCCCACCTCAAACCAGATGGGCGTACGAAGCCGCTGGGACGCTCGCTGGTAAGGGATGGCTTCGAGGTCGCGACGGGCGTTAACTTGCAGCGCCCGGTGCAGGCTGCATCGGGGTCACTGTCTTCAAAGCAGAGCAAACCCTCCGTTCGCTCTAGTGAAGGTAGTCCAGTTGAAGCAAATGAAGCCAGACGGACTGGATTGTTGTCGCTTTTCAAACAAGGCCGCAAATCGCCGCCGAGAAGTCCTGCCGCGCAACCTGAGGCCCGTCGTGCCAGTCCGGACATCATTGTGGAGACTCCAACGCGAACAAGACCCACAGGAACGGAGCGAGCGCTTTCCAAAGTGGCCCATAGCTCAACTGGTCTCAGCACCCATCAACATACCAGGCTTGAACGACATCCAAGCCCACCATCTGCACAACCACCTCCCTCGCCTAACAAGGACTCTCGGCATTCGACTGGCGGGTCCAGGCTTGCACATGGTCGTTGCAAGATACCCAAAGACCAGATGAAAATTCTCGAGAAGCCATCGTCTTGGCTCCCTTCTCTACCTGGCCATCAGTTCCCGCGCCCGAACGTGCCCATCGCCTTGCTCCAAAAGTGGAATCAAGCAAACAGAGCTCCCGCCAAAGTTATTGCAAAAGACGCCGCCCTTGTTCGCGAAGGAAACATATCCTCATCGTCCGATGACGCGGTGGGCAGCTCTTCTGATGATTCAGACGAGGAGCTGCCGGCTTCCCAATGGCCGCCGACGCCTACGCAAAGGCGCACGTCTCTGCCCCCTGACAGTTCTCTTGAAAGTCGGCCTCTGAGTTCCGGCGAGCTCGAAATCGCCGCACCACGAGCTCTGCCTCATAGAAAGTCGTCGCACAAACCATCTCAGCACTCTGGACATACTATGCATCCCTCTGTCTCGCCACATGCTCTCCCGCCAACACCGACTGTTGGCGCTGCTTCTGCGCTAACAACAACCGCCATACCAGCGTCTCAGCTCTCAGTGCCGCAGAAATCTGCATTGAAGCGTCCTCGTGAAGAATCAATGCCGCTGTCATCGGCAGTTTCAGCTTCGCACTCCAAGAGGGAAAGATCCTATCGAGTAAGAGAACCTGTGTTTGGCGTTACTCAATCGTTTCCGAAAAGTGGGTTGCCGGGCTCATCTCCGCCGGCTGGACCCAATCACTCGCAAGCCAGTGATCGTTCTGTGGCAGGCTCATCAAGCCTGCTCCAGAATCCCCGGCATATTCAGCCGACTTCTTCGGTGAATGGCACAGCTCGCGTTCAAACTACCCAGTTGCCGCGATCGACGCCGCCAGTTTCGGCTCCAAAAGGATCTCGCGCGATTGCGGAGCATTCCCTCTCCTCGCCCTATCGCAATCCATCCATGGTTGGTCGGCAATCCTCGACACTGCATGACACATATAGACCTTCGCCATCAAGACCACGGCAGCCGGTAAAGAGCGATGACGGCCGTAGCCCCCAATCGGCACCAAACAGCTCTCAACCTCGACTGTATAGCCCTTACTGGCCTTCTCCATCCAATGGGCAGTCAGCAGCAATGAACGCTCACGATGCTCTTTCCTCGCCATCGGAGAGACCAAACAACCGCAACGATCAATCAGATGACCCTCCCGATCCAGCTGAAGTCAATCGCGCGGTTCGCCGCGAGCATATGCAACATGGACGACGGCGTGACTGGTAAGTTTCCCTGTCCAACTGTATGCTGTTCAGGGACAGACCGACTAACATGTGCAAAGGATCCAGGAGCGATATTTGCGTGACGATGAAGCCGGCTTGCAGAGATTCGAACATATTTTGACAGCTTATCGCGCAGAATGTGATGACAACAAAGAAGACGGCACCTTGAGCCCAGATTTTGCCAAGGCTGTACAGGCTGCATACAGTGATTTTCCAGACCAGCGCCTTGCATCAATGAGGTTTACCTCCCGTAGCGACTACCATGGCTCCGCTGGCGAAACGCTGCAAAAGCTCGAGCAGCAGCAGCAAGCGCAGCAGATGCCGGCTCGGCCAAATCAGCCTCCTCCGTCTCAGCGGAGTGTGGAAATGGCCAAGCCAAATAAGAAGAATATGAGAAGATGCGATTGGTAAGTACGAATGCTCCCTGGGCTAGAAAGCGGTCGACTGACATGCTTTTCAAGGCTTCAAAAACAATACACGCCCACTAGTACTGGCGAGCTCGCTCTCAAAGATGTCTACGAAGAATTCCGCGCCCAGCATAGCAATGACCACATCCACGTCAAGGACTTCACAAAAGTTTTAGGACTGGCCTTTTCTAAGTACAGCCAACCACAAAATACGAGGTTCACTCACCGCATCGCCAAACACGACTCTGAGACGAGGCCAAATCAGGAGCGGCGGCCCCAGTCTTTGCCGACAACGAGATCGAATGAAGTCAGCGACCAAGATCGCCGTCGGGCTGAATGGTAAGTGAAGCAAGTCACGCAATTCACGCACCACCAGCATCGTAGCAAGCAATGTCTGACTCGTTTGCCAATCAAGGCTTCGAGAGCGGTATGTACCTGACGACACTGGGATGATGTGCATGGCAGATATGATGGCAACATATCAGTTGCAGGATCTTCATGACCGCTCAGACGACGCGGATTGGGGGCCGGCTATTCAGACCGCCTTCCCCGGGTGCGAGAGACCGCAGCATCAGATGCGGTTCACCCGCCGGGTCCCACAACGGGCGTCTGCGCCACAAATGCACAATGCACGAATGGAAGATGCGAGTGAGGAGATGCATGCTTCAACATGCACCATGGATGAGATCAATGGCTAACCAACCTTTCTCACAGGCGCGAGAGAGAGGTACTTGAAGAACAAGACAGTGTCCACGCGAGGGCCTCTGAATCCGAGCGGGAAATGAACGAGTTTTGCAGAAATTGGCTCAATATCAGACCTGGAGGATACTGCGCCGAAGCAGCGGCCAAGAAGCGTCTGCGGCGGCAGGTAGATGTCTTGGATTGGAGATTCTAGGGAATGCACTCTTGTGCTACCGGACAAGCGAATCCTCGCATTTACTCAATCCGTCTTCAAGTTTCCTCTCCAGAGAACACGACCCCCATCGCCACGGCCTCTCAATCTGATCGCTACCTCTGTCTGTCAATCGTCCTTATCTTGCTCTCGTTCATCCTGCCCTTCAGCCCTGCCCTTCGTATCCCTCCTTAAGCCTCGACTCCTCACCACCAATGGAGACAGACGGCTACACCCTCCCCGCGAGCCTTCCCCCACCACCAAGTCTGAAACCTCCTCCGGCCCTGGGCATCCCGCCTCCTCTCCTCCACAGCCGCACCAGTCCCGGGGAACGCGACGACCTCTCGCCCATCACCGACGGGTAAAATCACCGTGATGCCGTGCTTCACCCAAGGAGGCACGAAGCTTCCGCTTTCCACGCGCATTTCAACTTCCACACGCACCTGTGCGGGAGTCGCAACGTATCCGATCCAGAAACTGGCGTGTTGCGGTTGCCCAGGTGAGATTCCATCGTCTTCCAGCCAGCGAGTCTCAAACCGCCTTTCGCCGTCGGAGAACTCCTCGGGCGGAGGGAAGATTTCCACGCCGCGATAGTCGTCCTGGGGGAGAGCTGCCTCATTCGTGGTATCGCCCGGCGCGCAAGTCTGGCCGGGTCGACCGACCGGGATCGCACCTCCAATGCGTGCGAGGACGGGGATGCTCGCTTTCCAGGGGGCAGAGATGGTGTGCCACTGTCCCGCGGGGAGGTATTGGTACGGAGGATTCGTGTTCCAGAAGCCCAGCTGGGACGTTTCGCCCTTGGGGAGGTAGACGTTGGCTTCCGTGACGCCTGGTTCGTAGACGCCTCCGACGAGGAGCGTGTCTCCCAGCCAATACTGTCCCTCCCCTTCTCGGAGGACTTTCGATTGCCAGATTGCGGGATCCGATTCGTATCCCCAGCCGGTCCATCGCTGGGGCGGCGTCGCGGTGAAGTGGCTTTCCAGCATCAAGCCGTACGTATACGGGATGAGCTCGTATCGCCTCAGAATCGCCTTTCTCACTTCAGGGACGATCTCGGGGTACATCCACGGCTCGATGACGTCCCCGACGAGACTGTCGTTGCCCGTCTTGTAGCAGTTGATGGCGAATCTCGGACTATGAATGCCCAGCTGAATCCACCGCAACAGCAGTTCTGGCCCCGGCTGAGGGCCTTCGAAGCCACCGATATCGTGGCCATAGCATTGTAGGAGACACATCCCGGCGTTGAGAGACAGGGCATTCGCGCCACGCATTCCGTCCCAGCTGGTGATGTTGTCGCCCGACCAGGAACTGCAGGCGTATTTCATCGTGCCTGCAGTGGCGCTGCGCGTCAACACAAAGGGGCGTTCGTGGGGCATGACCTCCTGCAGAGCATCGTGGGAAGCTTTGCCGTGCAGTTCGGTGTGCATTGCTCGGCCCCAGAGTCCGACGTCCTTTCTCTTCTGATCGATATCTTTGACCGATTCATGATCGAGTGCCATTTGCCAATTGTCGTCGGGGACAAGATACTCGTTATTGTCGTTCCACATACAATCCATGCCTACTTTCCGAAGCTCCCGAACGCCCTGGTACCAAAAGTCAAATCCGGCCTGAGAGGAGAAATCAATATGGCCTCCCTCGCCACTCGTGCCGCCCCCTGCACTCCAGAGGCGAGCGACGCCTGTCTTCCCCGTGCTGGGGTCCGTGAACAGCGCGCCTGCCTTCACGAGCTTGTCATACTCCGGGTGGTTGGCGAGGATGTACGGCTTGATGTTGGCAATGAGTCGGATACCTTTGGCATGGAAAGCGTCACAGAACTCTTTCGGGACGGGGAACCGATGTCGGTTCCAAGTGAAGACGTTCCTCGTCTTGGGTTCCGTCTCGGCCACGGTGTACCCCGATGACATCTGGAAGCCGGAGCACGGAATGTCGTGTTCCTCCAGTTTCGAGGCCCACTTCATCAAGGCCTCGTGGGCTGGCGGTTCATCCAGCATGGAATACTTCATTCCTCCGCCGAGGTATCCGAAGGCCCACCGCGGCACCAGCAGCGGATACCCGACAAGGTCGGCGTAGATCTTGACCACCTCTTGGAGCGTCCTGCCGATGAGGGTGTACTGTTCCAGTCCCCCGTGATCCTGTCTGTACACTTTGAAGAACCCCCACATGCCGTCCATCTCGGAGCCGACGGAGTAGTAGCCGCGAGCATGAGACGTCGAAAAAGTCGCGACTACTCCCGCGGGAGTCACCCGCATCAGGAGGGGGATGTGCTTGTACATCGGGTCACTCCGGAGGACGTCGTATCCAAAGCAATCCGTGGCAGACAACGTAAAGTGCCTGTTCGAGAGATCCATCGGTGCTGCCTTCTCACCCAGCCCAACATGGAGACTGCCGCGGAAGTAGCGTGTATAGTGGGCGACACCAGTGCCATCAATGGCATACGAGCGGAAAGGGAGGTCGGCATAGAGAGCTTCCTCGCCATCATAGCCCATGGAAACGAGGGGAACACCCTTCCAGTCTAATTTGGCAACAACTCCGCCAATTCTAAAGTCTGCTGTCTTGCTCGATTCGCTGACGTGCGGCCTGGAACATCGCTCAGTGCTCGGTTTCTTTGCGCTCGGAAAGGGCGGTAGTGGGTGGCTGCCCGATGTGAATGTGGTTCGGAAAAGCCCTGGCCGCACGGCTTCAAAGGTGAAGTCGACGCCATGTGGGTTTTCGGTGCTTCGAAGGTGGACTTGTTGAGCCGTGGAATCTGGTGATCCCGAAGCCTCGTGTAGGAGCGTATAGTCTTTCGGAACGAATTCCTGTTGCGGCATTGTGGCGAAGAATGGCAATGGTGATGATGATGCTGATATGCCTTGGGCAGATTCTACAGGGCGTCGTCGTACGAGGCAGTTGAATTGTGAATGAGTTGACGCTCATGCATGCAAGCAGGCAAGTGGGTAGGAAATGGCGTGAGATTTCACAACGTCGTTTGTCCTTTCCCAGCACGACATACAGTTCAGTATTCTTTCCTTCCCGACCCTACTGGCCGAAGTTGCCAATGCCGCCCAGCTTCGTGGCCGAGAGTAAGGTATGGAGAAAATCTGGCAGTGATGGAGTCAAAATTCAAGTGGATATGTCCAAGGATGGAGATAGCTGCAGGTGAGGTCTAAGGTAAGCTGTGTCAGTCAGTCAGCCAAAGGGCAGCCAAGGACAGCGAATGTGGTCGCATTCCGCCTCGCTCATTGGCGGCGGCGATGATGCCTCGTCTCGCTGCAGGAGGGACCGCGGATGCCTAGACGCGGCGCGGGGAACGACGGAAGCACATGACCGCCCGCCATATAAATATCCCTCCACGGGGCCCCTCACACCTCACGCGAGCAATCTGGGGAAGCAGCATGGGTACATATTAGACATATCCAGCCGAGCAGTGGGCCCAGTCAACCACCTACCTTAGTCCTCTCCAAAAAAAAAATCCATCGACGTCCCTACGGTCGACCCAGCTGTCCCAACAGCTCCGTGCATTCCTTCTATAATCAATCCGCATCTCACTCTTGTTGAAGATTGAGCATACAGCGTCCAACCGAGGAGTCTTACTCTTCACCTGTTACGACCACCAGCGTCTATCCCGCGATCAGCCCTATGCTTTACACTTGATCTAGCCAGAAGACCGGTAGGTGACACGAAGCGAAAGGTGAATATCGCTATACTTTCCGTAGGGAATACCATCGTGCGAGTAGACGACGGCTGATCTTTCTACGGAGAGTAGCAGCAGTGATTTGTGAAGGTCCATGACGAAGTCGTCAATGATACAGCCGGTGTGGGTGTTGGCGACTGAGCTTTTGCCCACGATATGATGGACCTGAAGAGCGAGGATTTCAATTTCGTGTACTAGATGTCAGCTGAGGCGAATGCAGGCCCTGGCGGGTGACCCAAGTGTCCATATCGTGGGCTGTGGGAATCGAGCTCTTCTGCGGATAGTGAGTAACAGGATGCTGGCCAGGAAGATGATTAGACTCCAGGATCCATGGCAGGGGACGAGACACCTAGGTGTCTTGGAGAAACTCGTCCTGGCGTTTTCCACGTCAACCGACTTTCGAAATGCGTTTCTGGATTCTGGCACGAAGTTTGACCCCTTTCACAAAAGACCATTTCACAAAGGGCAAAGTGGTAGAGGCGCGATTGCAGAGGTTGCTGACAACTTCGAGCTCCAACTTCTGTATCGAGATGCCGCGCGAGCCTTCTCCCAACCTATGCGTTTCGCTCCGTGGCCTGATCTGGTGCTCGTTATTGCTAACAATACTCCGATACGCGTCACTGCTTACTGCGCTCGTGAAGTCGAGCCGTCCAGCCTCCAACTTTCAGCGAGTGAGCGCCGTCAGCCGGAAAGGAGAACGTTTGGGAGGATAGCGCGTGCCACTCGGTAGTTGATGCCAGCGGCCGTTTGTGGCTGTACGCTCGTTGGCAAGTCAGTCCGGATGGCATTCTCACACTTGTAAATTAAGTATAGAGTAATTGTGTTGTGCTGACAAAGTCCCAACGTATTACCCTGAAGGGTGCAGAGCACTTGGTGCGCAGTATTGCGTCGTCCAGCGGAATCGATCGGGCGATGGTCGAAGACCAGTTGGCGTTGCGCCGCGTCGCTGTTACTCAGGAGATGTCAGTGGATGAGAGCCGCAGCTTGAGCCTCATATGACCAGGCATGGACACGTAAGAAGCAGTTGATGTTGCGCGTCACTTTCGCGGTCCGTCGTCGTGTAGCTGCTGTGTGAGGTACGCAAGTCCCGTTATTGTGAATGGAAGCACAGCAGGCTGACAGACGCCGTGTACGTGCTCCAAAACCGCCGTTCCACAAGTCGCAACGTGTGTTGGGGGTCGTCGTTTGGTGGCAACGGTTGGGTAACGGTAAAGAAAACGTATCGATGGAGCTCCATATAGGGTACGAGATGATCTGTGGTGACATGCCGCGAACGTCTGCCTTGTTTCCCCTGATTTGTCATTGTATTCCTCAGCTGCGGTGTTATGTGAGAGGCGAGGCGAGTCAGGGAGAAGAAAGTAAGGTTCGAATTCTCCGGACGTGCATTGCAGCGTGCGTCAATGCAATGTCGATGATTTAGGGTTCCGCTAGTCTGTCAGAAGCCGTCCAGCCAGCCTCCGGAACCGCCAACCGGTCTGTGTCTTGGAGAGGCTTCAACTTGGGGCGTGGAAAGCAGGAATCATCGTCAGGAAGAGCGGTCGATCAGTCTGCGACGACCGGTGAGATTTCTCGACCGAGCTTACACGTGGCGAGAGCAGCCGCGGGATGTATCTATCCATTATCATCTTCTGTCGTATCACGTCGTATGCTGCAGCAAGAATGTTTGTCTCGGTATGGAGTGAGCCATTCTCTCGGGTGTTCCTTGCGGCTGAGATGCAGAAGCGAGAGGCTCGCGGCGGTAAAGGTCGGTCGGCAGGTCCAGATGTGCAGAGGAGGCAGCTTGGCAGCACGACTTGCAGTGATAGTGATAGTGGCGAAGGAAGTCGGCACGAGTGGTTGCATTGCATGGCAAGATTAGTATGGTCGTCATCGTAGATATCTTCCCCGAAGACTGCGACCAAGACCCTTGCGATGATGATCATGTTGCTCATTATCTACCCGAAAACCATGATGGATCTCGTAGCCTTGTACACGCCATGGTCGCGCTAGGCTGCCGACGCGGAGAGGAGCTGAGGGCATCATTCGGAATTCTGGATTCATCGCTCGCTCAGCATCATCATCGACGCGACGCGACGCCTGCGAGAGACGTGTAACGCCGGCGTCGTCCAGACTTCCTGCGCCAGAATAGCCAGCCATCTGTCGCAGCGCTTCGTGGTGATGTGATGGTAGCAGCCCTTTCGTGATGCGACAGCGCATGCATGCATGCAGTGAGATGCTCGGGCCGTCCGCGCGAGGGTGTGATGGTGGTTTGATCATCATCCATCATCATCCATCATCATCCATCATCAATGATCGAGGGAGGAAGAGGACGCGGGAGGTTCGCATCTCAACTCCATCTGACTTCGCTGTATCCCGGCACACTTCCTTCAGCTCGGCGCTATCCGTCCGCCTGCGATGCGATGATTGGCGGCGAAGGACAAGCTCCGAAGCTGGATTCCGGACATTGGATATTGAATTGGTGACGGCGTCCACTGAAATTACCACTTCTGTCCCTTCTGCTCCTCCTTCGCTGACACCCTCCGCAGGCAGTCGACAGGCGACAGGGCAGACTCATCAGACGACTTGACTCCCACGTTGACACCGCCGTGCCCAGGTTACTACATGCCACACGCCTCCATGCCGCCTCCATGCCGACAGCCCACGACAGACAGTCCACGACAGCCTACGAAAGTCTACGACCGTCCACGCCAGTGCCAGTGGCTGATGGGGGCACAGCGAGATGGGCCTCTTCCCACACGATGCCTTCATCATGGAGCCCTTTCCCTTCTCGGCAGGTTATCGTGCCCGCATCCAAAACATATACCTCTCGTGGCAAACCTCGTTGGGTAAGTTGACTTCTGCCCTGCAGGCATCATCCGCCCTATAGTGCTCATCCGCTTGGTGATCTCCTGCTCTGCCTTGGTCCGTTGTGGCCCGCCGCCGCATATACATCCGCCTCTTCACCTCAGTCTGTGGTCAGCCCTCCCACACGTACCTATCCCTATTCCCCCTGCTTGCAATGCCTCTCTTCGCCCGACTCTTGGCTCTTGGCCTCGCCGCCGCCTCCTCTGCTGTCGTCGAAGCCTCGCCGCAGTGGGGGAGGCCTGAGGGACGTCCGGACTGGCCGGAGGGACCTGCCACATGGCCTCAACGACGTCCCGACTGGCCTCAGGGACGTTCCGAATGGAGAGGAGCCGGTCAGAGCGCTGGCTCTCCAACATACAACTACATTTTCCAATTTCCCCTCCCCATCCCCGCCGTTGCTCAGCCTGCCTTCACCGAGACCATCAATGGCAAGACTGTCCAGTACTACGAGACGACCGTCTCGTCTTTCCAGAGGCAGATCTATCCCAACTTGGGTCCTGCCAACATGATCGGCTACAGTAAGTCGTACATGCAAGTCTGGTAGCGAAAGCTGCTAACGATGAATAGACGGCACCGCGCCAGGGCCGACCTACATGATCCCAAGGGGCACTGAGAGCGTAATTCGATACCTGAACAACGGCAAGCAGACAGCTTCTGTCCACTTGCACGGCTCATACACCCACGCAGTATGGGACGGCTGGGCCGACGACGAGCTCCAGGTTGGCCAGTGGAAGGACTACTACTATCCCAACTCGGAATCCGCTCGTACCATGTGGTATCACGACCATGCAGATGGCCACACCGCGGACGATGCCTACTACGGTCAGGCTGGTTTCTACATCGTTACCGATCCAGCCGAGAACGGTCTTGGCCTCCCAAGCGGCAAGCATGATATCCCACTGGCGTTGAACGACAAGATCTACCAGTCAAATGGTGACTTGGCCTCACCTGATGGCGATACCGTGGGCTTCTTCGGCGACATCATCGAGGTCAACAACCAGCCGTGGCCATACCTCAGCGTCGAGCCCCGCAAGTATCGTTTCAGGATGTGTGACATGGCGCTGAGCCGCGACTTCGACCTCTACATCGCCGACCAGAACATGAACCACATCCAGTTCCAGATCATTGGCTCCGACAGTGGTCTGTTCGGTGCTCCAGTCAATGCTAAGGACGTCACCATCTCGAACGGTGAGCGTTACGAGATCGTCGTTGACTTCTCTGGCTTCAAGGGCCAAAACCTCACCCTGATGGATGGCATGGCCACTACGCAGATCCCGGAATTCGACAATACGGACAAGGTGATGCGCTTCGTGGTGGGCCACACCGTCAGCGATTCGTCGAACAATGCTGTCCCCTCGACTCTGAACAGCAACATTCCGTGGCCTGCGCAGCGATCGACCATCGACCACACATTCAACTTCCAGATGGGCGGAGCAGCAGAATGGACCGTCAACGGCGTCAACTTCGACGACCCCAACAACCGTGTCCTCGCCCGTCCACCCCAAGGCACCGTCGAGCACTGGCAATTCCGTCACACCGGCGGACCAGCCGTCCACCCCGTCCACGTCCATCTCGTCAACATGCAAGTCATCTCTCGCACCGGTGGCGCGCGCGGCCTCATGCCCTACGAGGCCGCCGGCCTGAAAGACGTCGTCATGCTCGCACCAGGCGAGATCGTCGACGTGATGGCGATCTACGGCCCCTGGAACGGAATGTACATGTTCCACTGCCACAACCTGGTCCACGAAGACCACCACATGATGGCGGCCTTCAACACGACCCGCCTCGCCGCTCTCGGCTACACGTTCGACAGCACCGAACAGTTCTCCGATCCCTTGGATCCCCGCTTCGCGCCCAAGGCTTACAATGCCGCCGACTACTCCGACGCGGCCAAACACAGCGCCGTCTCGTCCCTGGTCGCGCTGAGCGCGTATGCACCCGCGTCGTCTCTCATGGCGGCCGAGGCGGCATACTACGCCACGGCCGGCTACCACGGCGATTCCATGACCGCAGTGCAGACCGCCGCGCCCTCCAGCTCGGGCTATGGCTTCGTACCCGCCGGCGTCAAGCCCACTTCGACCGCTCTCATCCCGCGAGAGACAGGGTCTCCTTTCCACGCATGATCGATCTCCAAAACAGAGGACATGTCCCCCGATCTAATGAAGACTTCGAAGCGACTTGGAAAAGCAAGAAAAGCATTGTGTTGTTGATTGTACAGGTCCGGAAGCATCGCGTTTGTACGTATGTATGTTATGTTATGTATGTATGCATGACGAACGGAGGAAAAGGGAAAGCATTTATTTGGTGGATGGGTTCCGGTGGCGGGGTTTTTTTCGCTCTCGTTCCTTCTTTTTCACTAATACCCGCCCAGCTCCAATGATGAGGCACGTCAGAGAACTGTATCGCTTATAATGGAGAGATGAATATCCAAGAAGAAAAATGATTCGAAAAAACAAGCTCACTCATATTGTAATATTTCCCCGCTCGATTGCTGATATATACTGCATTCGGACAATAGATAGGGCTCGGTGAGCTTGCCTATCGCTCTTCAACTTATCTCTTCTCAGTCACGAGAACTGACTACGAACTTCCTCACGACGCGCAGAGAAGACTTCAGTCGAGTCCGGAGTGGAAGCACGATCTATTCGACTCTCCATCCGACCACTCCCCTGAGCCATCATTCCAAACCATGGACGGTCCCCGAGCGATCCACGCCACCGCATCCGAACGCAGCGCGCAACACTACGCACCGCCAAACATCCAAGCAGCCCTCGGAGGCCTGCATCAAGACGGCCTCCTACTCCTCAAAAACATAATCGACACCTCCCACATCGACCGCCTCCGCGCCGCCATGTCTGCGGAAACCCACTCCCTTCTCACCGCCTCGCCCCGCGCAAACCTCTATAACCAAGGCGTGAATTCCAACATCCTGCAGTGCCCGCCTCTGGATAGGGAAGACTGTCTGTTTGCAGATGTATACTTCAACCCCTTCGTGTGCCAGCTCGCCAACGCCTACCTCGGAAGCCGACCGATCTGGAACTTCACGACGGGGAATAACGCCCTCGCGCGCACGGAGGGGTTGCGACAGCCTGTCCACAAAGACATCACCTTCGCCGACCACCCCACCGCGCCCTTCTATCTCATCGCCAACATGCCCCTCTCGAATTTCTCCCCAGCGAACGGCGCCACGGAATTCTGGCTCGGGTCGCACGCGCATACCACTTCCTCGGACCAGATCCCCTGCACGGAAGAGACGAAATATCGTGCCTCGCAAATCGCCGGCTACGACCCCACGTGCGAGGTCCGGCCTCACATCGTCGAAGCCCGTCGTAAGGTCCGGCCGCCGGTACAGGTAGCCTGCGAAAGGGGAGACGTCCTCATCCGCGATCTGCGAACGTGGCACGCGGGGATGCCGAATACGAGCGACGAGGACCGCATCATGGTCGCGGTGGGCTACCAGGCGCCTTGGTATGCGAATCACACGCAGAGGTTATATGTGCCGGTGCGGCATGCGAATTTCTTCCTGTCGGCGGCGGGGAGGAGGGAGGTGGAAGTTCGGGCTACTTTGGTGGAGGAAGAGGAGGAGGAGAAGGGGGTTTTGTGGAGGAACTATGGGTTTGCTTTTGAGCCGAGTGGGAAGGGGGAGGTGGTGTTGTCTTCTTGTGTGAAGGCGAGGTTGTGAGGGCCGTGTAGGGGGAGGGATGGTCTGTCATCTGGGCGTAGTGGCTCGTGTTGACGGGTATGCTGTCCGAGCCAACGGCTCGTAGCGATGACCATTCTTCATCCATCCCATTCTGTCCTCATATCGTCGATGAGACCTCCACCGTCTTCCAACTAAATCTCGCGCCGAAGGGGAGTTGTCAGCCTCGACAGCCTCCGTAATAGCAGGAAACGCGACAGGCGCGTAACCAGTGTGCGAATGAGGTCGGGGACGCTTTTATTTGCACATGGTGAGTCTTCTTACGAAAGATAGCCAGGTGTCGATGTGTTGATGTCGAAAGAAGAAATCAAAGAAGAAAGACGATATTGGTGCTCTCGACTAGCGCATAAAGCTTGGACCAGCAAGAGGCCCGCACCCACCGGGCACGCGAGCTTAATAATTCCTTCGCCGCTTCTTTTCATTATCAATTTATCACCAGCGTCGGCAAGTCGGACGGATAGGCCAGAACCAGACAGGCCAGACGCGCCAGATAAGCTACGCACCAATCGATTCGACACTAGCAATGCACCACGATGCAACCTGCGTGGAGAGATACAATCTATCCCCTGTCCCACACCGGTACTACTATAGCGCGCATACATAGACGCTCGCGCGTCGTCCCCATCCGGGCCAGGTCGATGGGCCCAACGCATTTGGAACTTGGACCTCAGCCAGAGCCTTCATGATGCGAGACCTCAAGGCGGCCGCGGCGGAGAAGGCTCACGATGCGCGGAGAGCGTTCACCAGCCGGCGCAACTTGGTGGAATGGCTGCAAGTCCACGATACCGCCCTCGACCAGCATGGCCACCGACCAAAAGGTCCGACGTGGTCCAACCAAGACCTCGATCCCACTCCGCCAGAGAAGCGCACCTGGCGCTGGTGGAATTATTCCATCTTCTATTGGGGGTAGAGGAAACGTACGTTGATCATGCTTGGATCCATTGACTGATCCGTCGTAGACTCTCCTTTGGTAACTGGACTCTCGGCTCGACCATGATAGGCATCGGTCTCAACTGGTGAGTGCAGAGAGCTCGTACCGATGCGTGCATCGTCCTGGAGACGCTGACAGCCCTCTCAGGTGGCAGGCCATCCTGACCATCTTCCTCTCGCAGCTCATCTCCTCCATCGCCATGTTCTTCAACTCGCGCTGCGCCAGTGTCTATCACATCGGCTATCCAGTCGTCGCACGCAGCGTCTTTGGCATGTGGGGCTCTTACTACTTTGTGGGCGTTCGCGCGGCTCTGGCAATCATCTGGTATGGCGTGCAGCTGTACTCCGGCTCTGCTCTGCTGGCCAACATGCTGCGAGCCGTCTTCGGCCACAACTACACCGACATCCCCAACCACATCCCCGAAAGCATGGGAATCACGTCCGCTGGCATGTTAGCCTTCCTCCTATTCTGGCTCGTCCATCTGCCCTTCACCTTCTTTAGGCCCTACCAGCTGCGGAAGTTCTTCTGGTTCAAGGCGATCATCATGCTACCGGCCATCCTGGGGCTTTTCATCTTCTGCATGGTGAACACCAAGGGCAACATCCGTCTCGGCCATCTCTCATCCAAAGAAGGCTCCGACGGCTGGGGATGGTTCTTCGTCTACTCCATCAACGCTGGCATGGGCAACACCGCTACTCTGATCACCAATCAACCCGACCTCGCGCGTTGGAGCAGGACCAAGACAGGGGCCATGTGGAGTCAGCTTCTGTCCAACCCAATCGCCGTGACACTATCCGCCAGTCTGGGTATACTCTCCACCGCCGCAATCAACAACGCCTGGGGCCTCGAGCTATGGAACCAGTGGGATCTCCTCGACGCTATCATGACGCGCTACTGGAGTGCCGGCAGCCGCACTGCGGTCTTCTTGGCCGCCGCCGGTTGGACGGTCTCCATCCTGGGAACGAACATCGCCGCCAACATGATCCCCTTTGGCTCCGACAGCACCATGCTCTTCCCGCGATACCTGACCATTCCCCGCGGCCAACTAGTCGTCGAATGCCTCGCCTTTGCCATTTGCCCGTGGAAGATCCTAGCCAGCGCATCGACCTTCACCACCTTCCTCTCCGGCTACGGCCTCTTCATGGCCTCGGTCGTCGCCATCATGGTCTGCGACTACTTCCTCCTCACCAACGGCAACCTCTTCCTCTCCCACCTCTACGACGGCTCCCGGCACAACCGGCACTACTACTACTGCCACGGCTGGAACCTGCAAGCCGCCATCGCCTATATCGTCGGCATCGCGTTGCCCTTCCCGGGATTCGTAGGCACCCTAGGCCCCAGCGTCAGCTCCACGGCCACGAAGCTGGGCCAACTAGGCTGGATGCTCAGCTTCGCTTCGTCGTTCCTCGTCTACTACGTCCTATGCAAGATCTTCCCGACCACAAATCAGAAGCTCGTACGGGAGAGTAGGCTCTCGTGGGAGGAGATGAGGTTAGTAGTAATCCTCCATCCATCCATCCCATCCCACCAATTCTAGACACCCGAACGCGGCTGACTCACTTGCTCTTTTCTTATGAACAAACAGTTCCAGGGATCTTGTCGTCTTGGATGGGACTATGATCAGTGAGGATCATAGCGAAGACGATCGACAAGCGCCTCCTGCCCACGGCAAAGCCTTTGACGGCAAGCACGGCGCCGTCGCTACGTCCGTGATAAGCTCATCGTAATAGACAGACAGACAGGTTTGCCCCTCGACTGGGTAGATAGATAGATAGATAGCAGGAGAAATTTTTTCCGCCGTGTGTGTGTGTGTGTGCTGTGGACGTCATCATCGTCATCACAGCCAAGTAGGTAAACCCGGTCCCCACGTATGTATAATCATCATCATCTAGTGGGCTTTCACTTTCTCACTTCTTCACCCTACAACACAGAGAAGAAGAGAAGGGTGGTGGGTGTCCTCCCCTGGCTATCTAAACGTCCACCACCAAAAAAGACCTACCTACCTACCTACCTACCTACCTACCTACCCGCTAAAAGTAATCTTCACACCATCGCGTATCTAGACGACAACAACAAATGCCAATGGACAAAACCAAACCCTAAGGCTAGATTCCCTGAACGGGTAAATTATAACCCTTACCTTAGGAAAGTACCTTAAGGTATGTGAGCCGAAGTCCCGTATCGTTTCGTTTCGTTTCGTTTCGTTTCGTTTCGTTTCGTTTCGTTTCGTTCCGTTGCGTTGCGTTGCGTTACCTCCGTCCATCCATCCGTCCCTATCAATCCATCCATCTACCAATCTATCAATCACAGCGCTACATGTACTGTACTTCCTCAATGAAACACCGCCGTACCCTCCACAACCCTCTCATAATAATAATAACCACGAACCTGATATACTAAGCTTCATCATCATCATCATCATCATCATCATCATCCGAGATCCTTCCAGACCACATGATTAAACCCTGTACATTGTTTTTTTCCTTCCCTTCATGGTTGGGGCATGTTCAATTCCTTAGGGCATGTTCCAAGAATCCTTAGGGCTGGCTTTCCAAGCACACACAACCAGCAATGGCCCTCTTTCTTTCTTTCTTTCTTTCTTTTTGGCCTTCTACCTCATCGCAACCGCACTGTTCAAGAGGAAGAAAAAGAAGAGTGTAATAGGGCAAGTCTTTCCGGATCATCATGCACTTGTCTTGGCTATTTTCTTCAATTATCAGCATCGCGCTACTCTAGCTTACTTCGCATTCTCGACTCTCCGAAGCCGTGCGTGGTGTTATGTTCCGCTCCAAGAACTTCTCAAGCTGTCCACGTACACATGGCCGCCTCTCCCTCTCTCTCTCTCTCTCTCGTCTCTCTCTCTCTCTCGTCTCTCTCTCTCTCTCGTCTCTCTCTCTCTCTCGTCTCTCTCTCTCTCTCTCTCGCTCTCTCTCGCCTCTCTCGCCTCTCTCGGCCGCGGCTGATCACTTCCTCATGTGCTTATCAAGATTTGTGTCTCGCAGATACGCTGTACAAGAGTGATGCAGGAATAGCATGGTTTCTCTCAAACGAGCAAAGTAGCTGTCATGGCGTGAACGAGCTGGTAGGTCCCGGGCGTGGAGGCGGTGGCATTGCCGGCACCCATGTGTAATGGCTGCCGTGGTACCGATGAGTTCCAGCTTCTTGACTTCTCGTGGTTTCCAGGTGTAGAGGAGGGAATCGGCTGAAAGTCTGCTTCGACTTCGGTCGTGTCCCGCTGCCTTTACCCTCTGAATCGCTTACGTAGGCTTCCGGTGATCGATTCGCAGAGCTCGCATTCGACGATCGGTCTTCTACCAACTCTCCCGGCGAGCTGTGATATGACCGCGGGGATGTATCGTGGTCCGATGTCTGACTTACGCGCACTGCCGGCAGACGCGGCATATCTCGTAACTCGCGCGCTCCATTGGCAGATTGACCCGTCGAGGGAAAGCCCCAATAATTGCCTCGTGCTTGGAATTGCAGCGAGGGGAGTGGGGCTGGTACTGGTCCAAGAGCCCTGATCAGCTCCTCCGGTGTAGAGGTCGAAGGTGTTACATGAATGCCGAGCTCTTCTGGTGCCGGCGACGCTGCCCGAGCGACGTCTGCGACGATTGCCGTTTTCACCTTGCCGTCCCTGTATACCTCTAGGGTGCTGGTGCGCGACCCTGACTTCGATCTGAACGTCTGTGGAGAGAGCGAGGTGGCTGACGGCATGTGCGGAGGTTCGGGTGGGTCGCACCGCATTTGCATACGAACGGGAGTAGAGCAAGTGTTGGTCTTCCTCTGGGGGGACAGATTCGTTTGCTCGGCTTGCACATCGTCCTCTTGGATAGCCTGCTCGATCGTGTTGCTGAAAGTGGTGCTCCGCTCGAGCAAGCCATGCGCCTGCTGCCCAATCTCTGCGTTCTGGCGCTTTGCGCCTTCTAGAGCCAGACGTAAAGTATCGATTCTCCTGTTCAGCGAGGCCACCTGATGTCGAAGACCGGCGACTTGGTTGTGCTGGATCTCGCTGTTTACTTGCGCGGTTGATTCGGCATGAATCGTGCCTGTCGATTTGGATTGGTCACTTTTGCTCGAGTTTGGCATCACCGTCTGACCTCTTTCCGTAGAATCCAGATCATCAGCTTGCTGATTCCCCTTGAGACCTTCCAGACGGAAGAGACGCTGCTGGAGAGCGGCCTTTTCTTCAAGCAGCTTTTGGCGTTCGCCGTCGATCTTCGCTTGCAGCCGACCGCCCATCTCGAGCATTCGGCCCCATTGATCCTTCTCTCTGGATGATTCTACACGCGCTGCTTCTCGTTTGCCCTCGCATTCCTCTAGCTGGGCCTCCAACGATTTGACCTGTTCGGTAAGCTCTTCGTTCTTCGTGGTCAGGTCGTTGACCTCCTGATCGGCGACGCTCGTCTTCTTCTCCATGGCTTGACCCTTCACCCTCTCGCGTTGAAGCTTTTGCAGCAAGGAGGAGTATTCTGTCTGCAGAGTCTGCAGCGCCAACGACTTCAACGTGATCTGATGCTGGAGGTCAGCAATATGTGCAGACGTTGCCGAATTGGTCGACGCGGTATCCACCGACGGGGCCTGCCGGTACGATAATGCCGGTGAGGCAATGTTCTGACCCGTGACTGGTGCTAGAGAGGGTGCCGCAGAGAGCGAATACGCCAAAGAGGATGGAGACGGCAAGGCTCTGGTGTTCAGGCGACTTGTAGGCGTTGGCGACGTCTGTCGAGGGTGCGCTGAGCCCGGTACGGATTCGGAGGGCGCAGGAGAAGCGCGTGGACCAAGGTCTCGAATACTGGAATCGATGTATTCTCGGGCGATCCCATGCGTTGTGAGGGTTGGTAGTTGAAAAGGCTGTGCGGATGAAGCGCCTGATCGGGGCCGTTTGAGGCCATGAAAGTCGTCCCTGTCCCATGGCTCCGCAGATCGCTTCAGAGGATTACGTGGTGATGTCTGTTGCGGCGATGCCCCCGAGATCTGGCTTTGGTGTGGCTGGTACTGGTAGCTCTCCCGGTTGCGTCGAGCGGCCTGCTGGAGATCGTGTTTGGCATAGTGCAGTCGCTCGAGAATCCACTGGATCGCCCTGGTCGGGCTGTCACCTTCACTGAAAGCGCTGGTGCCCTGTATCCCAAGTGAGAATTCTGGTATCGAGCAGACGCGCAAGCATGGAAAGGCACCCGAGACTACTCACCCTGCCAATGGAGCCAGAACTTCCGCAGAACGATTGAATGGTCTCGTCCAACTCGGAGATGGCGGACGTGACATCTTGAACGAGCGGCTTCAGCTTGGTGCAGAGATAGCAGGACAGCCGAGAAGACATTGGAGCGATGTCGGGACCGTCAACATCATCCGGACGAGCAGTATGGTCCCGAAGCGAGGCGAAAGACGGCAAGGAGGTCGAGGAGTGGGAGAGTTGATAGCTGCTGGGAGGGTTGCCTGGCAAGTCGTGCGAGTGTTTTGCGTGGGATGACAACCTTGGCCGATCTGTCATTCCGCCAACATGGTTAGCAGCGAAGGGTGCAAGGAGCAGCATGAGACAAGTGATCCAAGAGGTTTCTGGTCACGATACGTGCCTTGTGGTCGAGGACTGTGAAGTGTAGGTGGTGGTGGTGGTGGTGGTGGTGGTGGTGGTGGTGGTGGCGCTGCTGCTGCTGCTGCTGTTGCTGCTGCTGGGGCATGGGGAGGATGGCACGAGCTTGAGCGACGATCCCCATGGTGCAATCGCCAAGGAGTTTTACCGGCCGACGGCTCGTCCGCACGGGGCTCCGAAGGGTCGAGTGGCAGACGAGACGGACCTAATTCGGGGCTACGGTGACCTTCGTACAGTCGCATCTGGAGGTTCGATGTCTCGATGGCGGTGGGCGCAGAGGGTTCAGCAGTAAGGCGAAGGCTGGGCAGGGATACGCCTTCGGGCGACTTCCTAATCCAGGCATCATTGTTCTGGCGCGGGGCAAGGATGGTGCTGTGTGGTGCGGTAGGAGTAAGCGCGGAAAGCAGCGGAGCCGGTGGTCGGTTGGGATGATGCGGCGGTAGAGAGCCTGTCGTTGGACTATGGGAGGATATCATTGGGCTGGCGACATTGCTGCGGTTTCTCCAGCGACTCGTATCCCAGACGGAGGCGTCTTGGTTCATTTCAGACGCAAGGCCGAAGTCGATGGGGCCGGTTCGCCATGCGATGCACAGCAAAGCTTACACGAGCATGTCGATGGTGAAGCGAATGGCAGTGGAGTGATGGAAGAAGAGTGCGGTGGTCTCGGGCCCAGGACCAAGGTAGGTCGAGAGGTGCAAGGGGGAAGGGGGAAGGTGGAAGGGTGCGGAGGGCAAGGACGGTGGAGGGGAGGGGAGGGGAGGGGAGAGGAGAGGGAAGGAGTGGGAGGATATCCAGGTGGGCGGCATGTGAAGGCCAAGGTGTGTCAGCGTGTGTATGGTAGTCGTGACTAGTGACAGGTAGCGTCGAGTGGTCGAGAGAGTATAATGAGATACAGATGTGAGAGGAGAGTTATTAGGTTAGGGAAGCTCATGCTAACAGTTGACCTACTACATCGACCCCATCACTAGCTCAAGTGCCGATTATTAGAGTAGGAATGCCCTGCCCTGCCCTGCCCTGCCCTGCGCCCGGCGACAAAGTGCCACCTGCCATGCAGCGTCCCCGCCCGCGCGTGCACACGCTGACCTCAGCCTAATAACAAGAGGTACACGAGCCGACGTTCAAAGTGCACACTACCTTACTCATGGCACCGTACCGCGTATTTTAGTCATCCACTGCACTACCGCGACTGCCCTGCTCGCCTGCTTGCCTGCTCTGCCTGCTCTGCCCCGGCCCGGCCTGCCTCTTCACGCCCGGCCTTCCATCTGCTCTGCTCTGCTCTGCTCTGCTCTGCTCTGCTCTGCTCTGCTCTGCTCTGCGATGATGAGAGAGATCGTCGTAGCCGTCGCAGCAGCCGAGGACCTCGTGCGGCAGCCGCTTGCAGCAGCCACGTGCAGCGGATAGGAAGGTGGAGGTCGTCAGGTCTGACCCTCCATCGAAGCACCTCCCGCACTTTTCCAAATCTTCGCCGCCGTGCTCGGGGCGTTGCGCCATCACCGGCGCTGGCACCGCGCGAAGGGGGCTCGCGGGTACGGTGATTGTCGTACTCTCCTAGCTGGCCTAGGTTTGCCAGCGCTCATCGACCGGGGAGTCAGCAAGATGGTCAGCACCATGCAGCAGAAGGCGTAGGGCAGTGTAGCGATGGATGCCGAGGCTCCACCGATGCGCTACAGCAGAGTGCGTGAACACGGATGCAAGTCTTTGTCATCGGAGAAGGTTGTGTACATGTAATGGGTCGACGAGTGGAAGCGGAGGGAGTGCACGTGGACGACGTGGACGCGTGAACGCGAACGCCAACGCGAACGTTCTTTCCATCCCGAGCGCGGGAGTAGCCGCAGCTGGGTTCAGGCTGAGGCTTGGCGAAAAGGCAAAGTAGACTTCCGGAAGGCACGACGGATGCAGTGGGATTGCATGATGATGTGTGATGGATGCTCGCAAGTCGGTCGTAGTTTCACTTTCAGGCAAGCTTGACAGGACTTCGGTCCCAAACAGGACTTCACAGCTTGCCCCAATCAGCCTAGCTCACGGCTTCTTCCTCCCTTCACGCCAAGCACCCTTCACCCATGTGCCCATGTCTTCATTCCCACCCTTCCATCTCATCATCCATCATGATCAGGGTAGCAGCTGAGAGTCCGAGACGAGGAGGGAGCGTCCAATCTCAGGGGAGAGAAGACCACGACGAGGATCAACTCGTCTGTTACTCTCGACCTCGCTTCCGACCCGAGCAAATAACGCCGGGATGACTACACTCGTATCCTCCCTTCCCCGCCCCCGTCCGCGTGGCAAGTCAGCATCCTGACTCAACCTTGGCACGGCTGGCGCGGGGGGTGTATAGATCAACCTCCCCCACCTCTGCCGGTCCTCCTTCCCTCACCCATGCATGCATCATCACGGCAAATTTGGAATTCCTTTCCACATCCTCGCCGTCTCTGCCCCTTGACGCATTCCGCCTCGTAGCGAGACATGATTCGGACGGCCTGCCGTCGTACATGGACCGGCGTGGCAGATTTCCTTTGGCAATTCGACAGACTTCCGCGTTATAGGCAGATGGGCCGCCACACCCCGCCTACGGTCTCACCAGGGAGGGCATCCTTTCCCCATACAGTAGCCACGAGCATGCCCGTGGAGAGAGGATCGGAGTTTTATCAAGCCCGAAACTGCGGATCCCACATGACAAATCTGATGACACGGACCACACCAACCTCGCAGCACGATCCATTCCTCTGATTGGCCCTTCGGATCGCTCCTTCCTGAATTGGATTCCGCGTCAGATATCACAGTATGCTCCCCTATTGATCACTGTGCTCGAGCTTTGATGCGCTCGTTGCGCATGGAGGGAGCTTCCAATGGCCGTGATGCCCTGTCTCATCGCACTCCACCGACACCAATATCCATCGCCATGGCACGGCATGGCATTGGAGAGACTTGTTTGCAGATACGAAGCCCAAAAACCTCTGCATGGGCTGGCAATAACGAACATCCATCATTTCCATGCTTGGAGCAGGGCTAGCCCACGTGTCTCGCGTAGCAGACATTGCGGACCTGCATCGTATGGAACATTCCTTGCTCACTCACCTCGTATGCAATCCGAGGCTCTGCGCGATTATGGAACTGGAACTGGTAGCATGGCCAGATGATGTGTGGGAAGACCCCGCGGCCTGTGTGCTGTATCGAGATTCAACGACTCCAAATTGCAGCTATGGTATCACATCCACGCTATTTGCAGATTACCGGTCAGTTCGACGTATGATAACCGAGACTGATATTGCATATGGTGTGCTGCTTCCACGCGTCGAAGCTCAGAGGGCGCCGCTGTTCGAAAACCGCGTGATCTGGCAATTCTCATACGAAACCGGGAGGTATTCATCGCGGGCGGGCATTCCGGTGTCGCAAATGCAGTGTTTACTCTGACGAGCGTCAAAGCATCCCGAAGGAAGGGACTTCTACGGGACCGCGTTCTCTTCTCATTCCACCACGAAGCCCAAGTATGCGACCCGAATTTCCTCACCTTCGCTACCGAACGCCGTTCGCTCGCTAGCGGTACTGACCCTTGGACGGACGGGTGAGTTGTCTTTCTCGTCTTGTCATTCGACATCAAACTAAACCAGGACTCTTCCAGGGTCATGCTCGCCCAAGACACGGCACGGAAATCATTGGAGAGGGTCGGCGATGCCCAACGCGCTCGGCCTCGAAGACCAGAACCAACTCGTCGATGGGTTCAGAGATACGACGTCTACCCCATGCCCTAGTATCGTAAGAGTTGTATGATCTGTTATCCAGCAGGAGAGTTGGCCAACCAACTACAGCTGCGGCAGCTCTCTTCCTCGCTCGAGTTGCCAGTATTACCTATGAACGGAATCTCGATCAGCGGGAATGATTGTCCGAGCTAGAGGCGTCAACGCAGGCTTGCAATCCATCCAGACGCTGAGCGCCTGGTAGCGAACCCTGATGACGGCTATGTTTGTGAGTAAGTTCAAATAATGACTTGCGAGAAGATAATTACTTGCGAGAAAAGCTGTCAAATGACTCGTTCTTCGATCTGAATCGCATCCTATCGGATCCACGGGGCGCAAAAGTCACCGTCTCTCCGTTTGCCCCGGGCGAGCGATGGAGTGCATGTCCGCCGTGCGACGCGTGACGGTCCACTCGAGAGGAAAGGAGCTTCGCCGCACGTGGTGTTATTCATCTTAGGGCTGTTGGTAACACTCATATGCGCTCCGCGACCGAGATCCTGCTCACGGCCGCTGATGATACTCGAGGGTGGGCTTCACCACAATATGTTGTTCTCCGGCAGCTACTACGATCGATCCCGATCAAGGTGAAAGAACCACAATTCCGCGTCCACGCTTTCGTTCATCGATTGACCAAGCTCTACCGAGAGGGCTGACAAGTGTCAACACGGTCTTCTACCCTTTCTACCACGCGCACATCCATCCCTCCAATCACTACATCAACAGAGCGAGCGGCACACGTGTGATGCGATAGAAGAGCAGCCACAATCACCACCGGAAAACGACCAGCTATCGTCTCGTCTCACCAGCACCGCAACATCTACGAAATTCCCTAGTCTGAAGAGAAAGACCGCGTGACGGCAGTCCACACCGTCTTCGCGCTTCTTATCCTCTTCCCGACGACACCAAACAATGGACGTCGAACCTTCCACCTCCCAATCGCGATCCGTTCGACGAATGGGATGGAATGCATAAGAATTTCTGCATTTCCCATTACCCGCCGCCGGGATCTCTCTCTCATCCTGAACCTCGCCCGAAGTCGAAAACTCCAGATAGAAAGATGAAGTAAGTAAGTATCTAAGTCTAGAGAGATTTCTCAGTTCAAATGCGGATTGAAAGAAAAAACATCGCCCGCCCGCTCGCGTCGGAAGACAGACCAGATCAGATAGGATCCAGTGTGTTAACATCGCGAAAAGATCTCGGGCAGAGAGCCGAACAACGAACAACGAACAACGAACAACGAACAACGAACACCGAACAACGAACAACGAACCTTAGGGATCTCGACCCTCTCCTTTCCTTTCGTGGAGAAGAGAAGAAGAAAGAGGGATCTTATCTCAAAATTTTCAATGTGCCCTCCCCTCCCCTTCCCTCCCCTCTCCTCACTCGAGTGTTGCTCACTACTTGCTGATTACGCTCAGATCGCGTTGATGGATATCTATATCTGTATATACTACTAGTATACGCACGGAGAACCCCAGACAGAGCTCTGAACGAAATGAAAAAAAAAAAAAAAAAAAAAAAAAATCGGGCGTTCGACATCCTACCTACCTGTCTGTCTGTCTATCGAGCCATTCGAACTCTTCTTACGCTCTCTTCCTCTCTGCTCTCTCTCTCTCTCGATGATGGTGTTGGTAGTACGGCCATCAGCACAGCACAGCACAGCACCTCGACTCATTTATTCCGCGGACATCCATCCATCCCAACAACAACAACAACAACGACGACGACAACGACAAATTGACAGACAGAACAGACAGCTCAGACCTTCGACGACGACGCCACGGCAGAGAGAGAGAGAGGGACACTCACTACCGCGAGCCATGATTCTGGAAAGCGAACGACAAGATTGATAATTCAATCATCGTCGTCGCAGGATGAGTAGATATCTAGAGGGAAGATCCTAGCAAATTTCCATGGGCTCATGACAGACAGAGGAAAAGAGTTCTCGCACGCAAACAGGGATAGAGACTTCACAAGCATAAGGTAGATAGATAGCATGGAATACGAGAAATACGAGAGCAACATAAATTTCGTCTCGCCCTCATCAATCACAGGCCGCACGCAGCCATCAAAAGTCGCGCAAACATTCTCGCGCACGAGAAATTATTTGTCCCTCTCGCCATTTCAAACCTCACTTCCTCGATCCCTTGGCACCTCTCGCGATCAACTTCTCCCTCATACCCCGGACGGCATCATCCCACCCCTCAACACCATCACCGACCGCGTTTTTCAGGAATTCACCCATATTCCGCTCGTTATACTGCTCTCCATAGACAACCGTGACCCTCGGCTCACATCTCACGTCCACCTTCAATTCATCGCCGTCTTCGACCAATCGAGCGGAGACGTCGAACGTAGCGCGCACTTTGGTCTTGACCTTGGCGAGCAGGACCTGCGCTTCCACGGCGAGTTGTTCGTCCGAAACGATGCGGGACTCGGTCAGAGTCTCGAGATTCAAGCGCCTCTCCGCTTCTGCAACGGAAGAGGCAGTGTCCCACCCACTGCTTACGAGGCCGAGAAGGGCGGAGATCTTCGTCGTGCACTGCGGGAGCCCTTGCAGACACGCACGGAGGAATTGAAGAAAGAAACGAAGCGTCGTCGTCATTGGCTTCTTGCCCTCCTCAATGTAGGTCAGGCCGATGGGAGCATTAGGACGCTCAAGGGAGTCTTCCGAAGATCGAGACAAAGCGCGAGGATGGAAGAACAGTTGAAGTTCCGACTTGTAGGTCATTGTCAGCGTCGCGGGCGATGAAGACGCGGAGGCAATGGACCAGCCGTAGGTCTCCTCGAGATGCTTGACGGACTCTGAGGAATGGTTAGTGAGAGATTCTGCTATTCATCGATACGAGGACACTTGCCTTTCAATGTTTTGATCTCGCTCAAAGACACACCGCGACACGCTTCTCGGACGCGGTTAGCTTCCTGAATGGCTGCCTGAAACTCGTCCTTGCTCTCCCGCAAGTGTTCTGCTGCATAATCTTGCTCTTCCACTTGCTTTCGCAGCGACTCAAGCAGGCGGCGCTTCTCAGCGAGTTCACTATTGACATCACTCAGATTCATTCGGGTTGCATTCAACTCCTCTTTCTCTTCTTCCGAGACGGCGTTGACGCTTTCCTCAAGTCGCTCAGCTTCCTGCTGCAGTGAATGGTGCTTCTCGGTCAAAGTTGGCAGCAGCTGTTCCAAGGTCTCTTCGGAACGGCCGATGACTTCGTCGTCCTTGATGAGACCCTCTCCGATGTTTTGGAGGCCACCCATAAGCTCATCAAGAAGTTGACTGCGCCAAACATACCATAACTCTTTGCTTCTATACCGCGCATCGGTCTTCATCTCCCGCATCTGCGCGTCCAAAGCAGCCTTTCGATCCGGCGAAGCGTGCACGTACGCCTGCAGCAAAGGAGGCTGTTCGCGGATTGTCGCAGCTTCAAGCTGTGCGATCATCTGCTTGCCTTCCTTGGTGTATCGTTTCAGCTCATGGCAGGCGTGCTGATACAACTCTAGCTCTGGAACGGTGCAAGCAGCAGCCACAACGCCGCTCTCCAGACTGACCTCCTCGTCTTGAGCACTGTCTCGAGTCCTCGATGGCGTCGGAGCGGTAGTCAGTCTTCGCTTGGTGGTTGTAAGATCCATGAAACGAATGCCAGCCTTCGCGAGGAAGTCCTGTAAGCCGACTTTCTCGACATGCTCCGCGTTCGCCTTGATCTCTTTGAGATCCTCATGGAGTCGTCGCGCGGGAGATGGAAGCTCACGAGCAGGCTCCTTGGACTTTGGCATGGGTCGTGCTCGGGGTGTCATAGACTTCACCGGCGAAATCTGCTTTGCAGGCGCCGATTTCTTTGGAGTCACGGATTTCAAAGCCTCTTTACGTGGTGTGGTCATCAATTTGATGGACTCAGTCAAATCTCTCGAGTCCTCTGAAGCATTGGTCCTCTCAGGTGTCGAAGCTGCTGCTCTTGCTGGAGAGCTTCGCTCTATCTTTGCTGCGATGGGCGACTGATCTGGAGCTTGAAGAAGTACAGTCGGCCGTTCGTGTCCTTGAGCAGTTGGACTCTTGCGACCTTGGCGTCGCTGAGGACTGGGAGTGGGCGTTCGGACTGGCGAAGGTCTCTCTCCGATTGCGGGCAATTCTGGGTACGCTACGTTGTCCTTGGCGGGAGACAGCCTGGGGATACCATCTTGGCCAGTCTCTGCTTCTGCGACAGGTTCGACGGGAGGAGTAGATGTCTGTTGCTGAGCCTCGCCGGTCAATTTTGCTGGAGAGAACGATTGGCGCCTCTTGCTGGAATATGTGTGGCTGGCTGACTGTTCCAACTGCTTCTCCAGTATTGGCGTTAAAAGCTTCGCTGCTCCCATATCCAAGGTGTCCCTGAAGCGTTCTTGATCTTTCGGAGTCGTATTTGCTGCTGAGCGCACTGGTGACTGCGGTAGCTGCGGAGTTGTTTGCCGTGAGCCATTGTTCTTAGCCGTCTGATTTCCAGGTCTGATACCGCCAAGGACGGTCGTCAGTTCCATGGAGAGATCTTCATTGCCATCAAAACTGTCATCGACACTGCCATTGGAAGCATTGGTTTTCTTGATCCCACCGATGGCTTGCGTGAACTCCATAGTGGCGTTGTCTTGCTCCGAAACAGCACCAGACGATCGTCGATTTCTCAAGCTTCTCCTCCGCTCCGTCTTGACTGGAGAAGTAGTGCTCCTGATTCCACCCACTACCATTGTCAGGTCCATTGTATCATCACCCATGGAGGAACGAGCGACCGAAGATCGCCTCCTCTTAGCCTGTTTGGCTGGAGGCTTTGAGCCTGGCGATCCAGCTTCTGTGGTGGAGTGGCGCTTCTTCTGTCCGTGAATCTTGCCAATGGCTTGTGTGAGCTCCATTGTTTCGTCTCCTTCACTGACAGGTGAGCTCTCCTTTTCAGCCGGCTGAGACCTTAGAATGCCACCAATAGCACGAGTCATGTCCATGCTCATGTCATCCTCGCCTTCTTCAGAGATAGGCGCTTGTTGTGCTTGAATCTCTTTCCTGAAGACCGGTGAGAATGGATTGACGTTCTCTTGATCCAGTGACGCAGATCCCTGCGGCTCATTCGGCTGTTGCTGTGCCCATGGTTTGAAAGCATTCGTGACCTCTTCCGACACAAGCTCCATAGACATCTCGCCAAACTCGTCGTACTCAATTCCGCGAGTGCCAGCAGCCTGGGCGGCTTGCTTCAGAGATGCTTCAAGACGAGCACTTGACCCGGTGCTATCCTCACTGCCAGCTGCTGATTGAATTGTAGCGTCGTCCACGTCGAGGCTCATTGCAGTGCCCGTATCATCCTCCGATTCTCCCTCCTCGTCATCGCTGCCAGATTCGTCTTCACTTGCGCTCACACCGCTCGAGGAGTAGGCATCGTGAGGATTGTTGAAATTCATCGGTGGAATCCCAGAGCTCCGCCGCATACTTTTCCTGTCTGGTCCAGCCTCCGGAGAGTTGAGAAGCTCCGCGTCCTCGTCGTCTCGGGAAGCATCCGAGCTTGGTCTCGGCGATGCTGAAGACCGGCTGAACGCTGATGCGCGTCGCGTGCTCTCTGTGTCATCTGTCGAAGTGGTGTGGTCCTTCGCGTACTCCACGATGTCCCATGTATGTAGCGTTGCTTCCGGCGCAAATGAGACGCGCCTGTTCATCATCGACTTGCGACGCGCCGCCTTTTCGGACTCTTCATTTTTGGCGAGAATCGACTTGGTCGCGGGCACGAATGCAGATTTTCGCCTATCTTTTGCGCTGATTATGGGTGGTTCTGGCTCGTCCAACGAACCTGGGCCGATACTCTTGCTTCTTCCCTTCCTGCCAGAGCGTCTTGGTGATAGCAAGGAGGCCTTCGACTGTAGAGGGTCGCTGGAGGTCGCAGGCATCACGTTCTCCTTATCTTCGATAGTCGCCATCTTGGCTGTATGTACATGCGACGGCGTGCAATCGTGGTGTTGCAGTCGAATGGGAGGGGATGATGTCGTGGTTGCCGTGCCCGCACTTTCAAAACACAACATGTCAACAACGCTAACGTACTAATGCCTCAGGCTGCAAAGCATAGTCGGCGCGGTATCAGCCGTCCGCCGCCAGCGCCAAGCCTCACACCTGAAATTCCACGCCTGCACGACTGGACTTCACGGCTTCGAAACGACCGACGCTCGCCGCAGCAACATCCCCCATCGCCCCTCGCACCACGACGACAATCGATTGCCCCGAACTGCAATCATGGCCACCGAGTTGACTGTCCAGAGCGAGCGCGCGTTCCAGAAGCAGCCGCACATTTTCCAGAACTCCAAGACCAAGCAGAAGAGTGCCAGAGCTGGAAAGGGCGGCCGGAGATGGTACAAGGACGTTGGTCTGGGCTTCAGGACGCCCAAGAACGCCATTGAGGGCTCCTACATCGGTACGTGATGCCGCCATCGTGAAGAAGATCTCCGGGGCAAAACAAGTGTTGGAAGGAATTGCGCATACCGGGGCAGCATTATGGAATTGCAGCAGAAGAGGACAAGAATGCTGATGGAACATGACAACAGACAAGAAGTGCCCATTCACCGGTCTCGTCTCTATCCGTGGCCGTATCCTCACCGGCACCGTCGTCTCCACCAAGATGCACCGTACCCTCATCATCCGCCGCGAGTACCTCCACTTCGTCCCAAAGTACTCCCGTTACGAGAAGCGCCACAAGAACCTCGCCGCACACGTCTCTCCAGCTTTCCGTGTTGAGGACGGTGACCAGGTCACTGTAGGCCAGTGCCGGCCGCTCAGCAAGACTGTACGAATTCCAAAGAGCATATGACCCGTGGAGACATTAAACTGACGAGCATCTCTAGGTCCGCTTCAACGTCCTCCGTGTCCTCCCAAGAACCGGTAAGGCCGTCAAGACGTTCCAGAAGTTCTAAGCGACATGCGACACATGGTTTTAGAAAGCGGACTATGAAGTCAGCGAGCAGTCAAGAATTGGGAAAAGATTCGATGGCAGTCTTCCTTCTCGAGGCGACTGCATCCTGAACGGCGTTGATCAGAGAGAAGGCCTTGGGCGGGTATGGTATGATATGGTACGAAACCTGCTTGGTACTAGCTCGGCGTAGCAAGTGTCAAATGCGAACAGTTCATGCAACAACGTCACCATCTTTTGTGGATCTGGGCGAGCAATTGCTTCATGTCAACGGACCGTAGGCTTGCGTAATGCGAGGGACTGCGACTGCAATCTTGGATTTCACAGTGCAAAGGCACATCCTTGCGATCAGAATTGATGTCGACGTAACCGTGCCACGAGTGGGCCTCCACATGCTCTCGTTCCCGCATTCAACCACTGCACTGACATGCCTGATGACAGCCTCCCGTCTAGACCTGTGCGAAGATTCGGCACACTACGCATCCCAAAGAGCGCCTGTTACGCCTCAACTTGCCGCACTTCCTCTTAGTGGCCACCTCCCCATTATCCCTTCAATATTTTCCCAGCCCTCACGTCTAACGGCTCATCCAGCTCCTCTTACTCCAAAGATCCGACCGTAACTCATGTCCTCAACGCTTCCTCTCAAAATACCCACTCGTACTCATCAGAGCAACACTCTGGTCCATGATCGTCTCTCCAACCCAAAGGTAGTTTTCGATCCATTTCTTGATAGAAGGGGATTCGGAGAAAGTGTCGGGCTTGATGCTGGGACTTGAGGCGTTAGGTCAGACATCCAGAACGTCTGGCCTTTTTGGGAGAGATTAGACGATAGACTCACGTTAATCCGGTGGACCGCTTGACACCGGCGAGGAACGCGGAGATGAGGACTGCGTCGAAGGCATAGTGGGCTACGCGGCCGAGCTGGAAAGTGTTAGAGAGGGCCTTCTCATGGCAGGCATTGTAGGGCGCGGTTAGGCCAGACGTACAACCATGTTGGATGTGATGTTGGCGCGATGCGCCTTGCAGTGTGGGTTCGAGCAGGGAGTTTCCGAGAGTTGTTCCAGAGCTGCGGGCACCTGGAGATTCGGAGACGCAGGGCGTGAATTATATATATTGCGCGGCGATGGCGGGAGTCCGTGAGTAGTCTGCCGTCGTCGTCGTGGGTTGGCAACGGAGAGCTCTCACTCCACCGCCACAGCCCACGGGAGCAGTGCAGGGCGGTGGTGGGTGGTGGCGGGACAACGGGCCGAAACAGCTTGTTAAGCGGACATGAAAATTTGATGGAGTCACATTGGAGTGCATTCTGACGGAAGGCGCTTGCCTAAGGTACACAGACACAGAAAGTCAATTGCTCTATGGGTTCTGTCGTGGAGCAGGACCAATGGCTTGAAAAAATCAGCACTCGAAGCGCAATGAAGTAATCCTGCGAGCCGTCCACCGGAGGCGTCTCTGCCATCTATCGGGCTGCGACACGCTGCAATCGCTCGTCGTTCCTGCATCGAGAGAATAATGCTGAGCGACAGCCCGGCAGGAAACGAAACGACCACAAATCCTGCCATTGACGAGATGTGGTCACAGCAAGATCGCTGCTCCAGGATTCCAAGTTGCTTCAAGCGCGTCGATGATCTCGGTGTAGGTGGTTCTGCTCGAACACGGCGTTTTGCA